AGTTGCATGCCCAAGTAGAGACCTGAGTGCTGGAATGTGACATACATGCTCAATAGCTAACTACAGATGTAAGCCTACATGCATGTATTCTGTATGTATGCTACTGCGCATAGATACATATACAGTATAATTGCATGTGTACATACATACACATAACACACATTTACATGTGTATATATATATATATGTATATGTTGTTTACATATTGACTGTATGTCATGTAAATATACATATGTACATGCACAGATCAGGTGAACGGTATAGGGCTCAAGGGTCCCAGCCACGAATTTGGCTGACTAAGCAAAAGGAAAAATGGACATACGCACATGGGGGGCCCTAGGTAGGAACCGAAAACATCCAGTTTGGGCTGTTCTGAAGTCTCACAACAATACTGTATGTAGTCTCAACGTCCCTTGCAAGGCAACCCGAAGCAGAAATTCTATGGCAGAAGACCCCCTGAGCCCGAAAGCCCTGAACCGGTAAGCCTGAACCCTAAATCGATAAATCTGGCTTGGATCTGGGCCTGGGCCTGGGTGAGTCCTTGGTTGAGGCAGAAGATGCCTGCAAGCAGCGCAGGGTTCTTTTTCCCCTCTCTCTAGACATGCCAAGGGTTCTGGGTTTCGGGGTTTAGATCTCGGGATAGTATACGTCATGCTATCCTAGGCGGGCTGAGGGTTTTGGGTTTTGGGGTGTGGAGCTCGAAGGTTTAGGGCTTATATTATGGGTTCGTTGTGTAGGGCTTCATTTGTTTTTTTTTTTTGAACCCTCGTGTCTTTTCCACCTGTTAGGCTCGAGACTACCGTGACGTGTGTAGGGCTTCAGAAGTTTAGGGTTTCACTGCAATCTGAAATCTCAACTTTCCCTGGTGGCACCTGAAGGTTTAGCATTTTCGGTTTAGGTTGCGGCACAGGACTTCGAGCTGAGGGTGTAGTTCTTGGTCGGGCTTCCAAGTCTGTCTGTGCAAGGTGCCGGGCTCGGGAACAATGCTTGGCCTTCCTGCGGATTGCAACTTAGGTTTCGGTGTCTGTGCAGTCGAGCTAGATTATACTATAACTACAATAAGGAACCCCAAAACATTATAGGTAATTATTTAGGCCCCTGTAGTAGGTCTCGGTATGTGTGTGTACGTGTGCGCAGTCTCAAAGCAAGTGTTCATTCGGCTGCAGATCTTCAATGGGGTCCCCACTCTTCAGTTTCCACTTGCGATGCACAAGCAAACCCTACACACTCTTGAAGAGAGTCTGTAGAACCCCTTGAACCCTTGCATGAGGTATCCAAAGGGTGTGGACTTCTCGACAAAATGAAATCCCACACGTGCAGCTCCTGTGCAAGTCTGGTCAAGAAGCATCCCCTAAGTCCTACCCCGTTCCCTCATCGCCTGTGCTTAGGAAAGCAATGGAACCAAAGGACGCCTACAACGAATACCCGGTGCTCGAAAAACCCAACTAGGGCTTGCAAACCCTAAACCCTAAGCTCAAATAGTGAACCCACCCCGGAGACAGGCGTTGCTGGCTTTGAGGGCGCTTCCGTCTGCGGGCATTATACGGGGTCTTGAAACTTAGGCTACCTTGAGTTTGGAGTGTCTGCATAGTAAGAGTTTAAGGTTCTCGGAATTTAGAATTCATAGATCCTACTACATGTCCGCAGGGTTCCATAATGGTGTCCCTTCAACATTTAAGGCTCGGAACATCCCATATGGCGGCCTTCAGAGCACTGCTCATTTCTTTGAATCCCTTATTCGAAAGTATAAAAGCTTCCTGGAATCCGCCAACCTGAGCCCACCCTATGTGCAGCCTAGACGCTTTGACGTACTGTAAACCCTGGTGAAACAAGCTTAAACCCAGAAACCTTATAAGCCCTGAAGACCGCGGGGACTATGAACGCCAGCACCTAGTTCCCTATTCGGCCTGTGACCGTTCGGCTCACCAGGTAGGGCCTTCAAAGCACACTCTTGGGCAGGCAGCTAAAGATTCGGTTGCAACTCCTGGACTCGCACGAGGCAAGAAAGTCGTCACGACAAGTGCAGGAGCATGGCAACAGGCAAATCCAGGGGTTTAGCAGCAAGCCCCAGCACTAACACCTCTAATGGTTCAAGAAGGATTTGCCGATGCGTGGGTCGAAAGAACGAGTGTCGAGCCTTGGAATTTAGGCAAGGCCTGTCTTGTCAAGGATGAACATGGTGCATTCCAGAGTGTAGACGGCTACACTACGGCAACTTAGACCCTCAAGCCATTCCAACCCTAAGCCTTAACAGAGAGACCCCTGAAGCCTAAACCCTAAACCCTGAAGCCTACTGCCCCTTTCCCCCCAGCCCTGGGCTGCTCACATCGCTGCAGGCCCACGGAGAACTCCAAAGGGACTGATAGGCCCATCCACCTGCCGACTCTGGGTTCTGACTTTTAGCTCGACTCTTTGCCTCCTGCCGACAGCAAGAGGTCACCTAGTCTAGTTGCTGAGTTCATAAGCACCAAAAAGTGTACGTAGTACAATCTCTGTTTTATAGTAAGTAATACTACCCCAAGAAGTGTAAAGTATATCCACTCAATGATACAGGAGCTGAGGGCTTTTTGTTAAAGGCGCAACGGCCTTTCTCTCGTCCAGCCTGCCTATTGAGGGTTTCGGGTTTGGAGGCTTTCGTAAGCAGGCCATAGACCGGGTATAAAGTATGTCCCTTGGGGTTTAACTAGAAATACATGAGACGTTCAGAGCTCGGGGTCATGATGGTACTTGGTAGGCAGATCGGAAGGTAAAGAAGCAAATGGTGAAGCCTGGTGGGCCTGGTGGCTGGGTGAACAGGTGCTGCTATATCAGGGCTTTATAGCATACGATACGAGGGTCCAAAAACCTTCGTAATAGCCACCGAAGCAGCATTACGAGAAGGACAACCTTGAGTAATACAGGGGCCTTCGTAACTAGAACATGGATTTGGGGCCCATTATACTCTAATTATGATAAGGAGCCCCTCAAAATAGTATTGGTAATTATTACGGCCCCTGTAGTATTCGATCCTTGATCCGACTGTCGGTTCTCAGTACTGGCATCCCCATAAGTACCCCCCCTCCCTAAAACAGCACAAAGGATACCATCACCAGTTTTGAAAGGGCCCTATGTACACTCCCCCAAACCTACCGCACGGCCTAGTGCTCATGCACTGCCCTCGAGGTCCTCAATTTCTGGGTCGGATAACTATGGTTATAACCCGTATTAAGGTATCCTTAACCCCACTTACATAACTACCCATAGGCCCCATAGTGGTTCCTTGTTGGGATTGCCCTTATAGAATTCTAAACATGAACCTCAACAAGGAACCACTATGGGGCCTTTGGGTAACCATGAACCTCCAAGCTGAGACGCGATATGCTGACTCGGGCCGAGCCCTGTTCCACAGAAGCCAAACGGGTGCACTGTTCATGGTGATCTGACATAGACAACACTACTGTTGATGGACAAAATCCCGCATGACCCTAAGGACTCTAAACGATAGGAACTATTGTATATTCCTTGTAATGGGTAGTGCAGGATTTTGTGCATCAACAGTATCGCTGATGATATGCGTGTTGCTAGCCCTTCGTCAATCGCCAATTTCCTCTATGGTATACCCCATGCCTCAAGCAGCTAGCCCATGAAATCAAAAACAGCCTTCACAGCATAGCCTATGTATTGTACAACCCTAAACAGTTGTTACGTACCCTTTTACTATCGCAACCTTAAAGTAAGCTAAGCTGGATCCCTAGAGATCAGACTCCCTATTAATCATGAAGATTCCCGCATTTGGGGTGCGCTGAAGCCTTAAAGCCACAGAAGAGCGTGGACAGCAAAAAGGTACTACCGAAGGATCCCGTCACCTGGCAAGTACCGGATGGTTTGGGGTGACCTTTGGGCTTGTAGAGCTTTGGGGCTTCGGGGTTTGAGATTTAGGGCTCTGAGGTTTGGGGTTTACATGAATTGCTTCTTTCTGGAATTTCTGGCTGCTACCTGACGGGGTCATGCCGCAGGCACGCCGCCAAAGTCGCGCTGGTGAAGCTAGAGCAGAATCCCATGATGCTGTGTTCTGGGAGCTTGGAGCTGTTGCTTTTGTGGTGTTGACTCTGCAGGTCATCAAACGTCCCGAGCACTGCCAACTCTTACGCAGTTATTGCTATAGTTCGGGGTCCCCGTCTGTGCTTCAAAAAGAAGTGTTCGGACCTTGGGGCCGTATACTGAGGCCATCGTTTCTGAAAAGCCCATGATATGGGAGTTTCCGAAAATGGGGGACCCTTATTTTGTGCCCTACATAGTATATAGGATCCTTATGACGACCCCAAAATAAGGCCCCCCAATTTTCGGAAAGCCAATGATATCTGCTAGTTGCTAAGCCAAAGCAACTCCAAGGATGTGCCTTTCATTTAATATAGAGGCCTTGATAATTAGAATAGGCTTTTGGGGCCTAACATACTATACTTATAATCAGGAACCCCCCCGAAATGGTATTGGTAGTTGTTTAGTTAGGCCCATTTAGGCCCGATAGTAGACTGCGGCTAGATGGGAGTGGTCTGGATTCCGGTTCCTTTCGTTGTCTTCAGTTTACGTATTGGAGTCTTCCGTAGCTGCGTACCTTCAGAGAGACGCCACCCCTTGCGATTTCCTGGACTTCCCAGTAACCAGGGAGAAAAAAGTATAGACTTTTATTTCATAATGGTTCCTTTAAGGAACAGGTACCAAAAAAGTATTCAAGTATGGTGCTCCAAACCCAGGTTTCTGAAGCATACATGTACCGCCTCGTACTGGCTACTTGGAGGTTCACGGGTAGTTATAAGTGGGGTTATAAGTCCACTTAACATGGGTTAAGTATAGTTGCCCTACTTATAACCCCACTTATAACTTGCCATGAACCTCCAAGTATGGCTACTACATGTTGCTACTGTCAAAAACCGTGCTCTCTTACTACAGAATCCTAGGCATTCAAACTTACTTACCAAAAAGCAGCAATGCATGGAAGGATCTACTACTTAATCAAAACCTCACACCTCCGCTGGAAGACTATGTCGGCCGACCCGGATCAGCGCTGTTCGCTCGGCGGAGCCGACGGGAACGCAGGGCCTGCGAAATGGCTCGGGACGTTTGCGGACACCCGAACTGGGGTCTTTCGAGATCAAGATTTCGAGTCGGCCAGAGTCAGAACGACGAGTTCTTGCAACGACTGCTACCCTAAGCACTCCAAAGGTTCCGCGAATTTGCAACGAACCGCCGTCGCCTCACGATGTACACCCCGTGCACGAGGGCCACTAGCACCACCTCGCCGCTGGAAGCAGTGCACGGCCCGCACGACTACGGATCCGGCATTCACAGTATGACAAGTTTCGACTACGAGGCTTGTGATTCTTAGGCATTAACAAAACATGTCATGGCCATGAACACACTGCACAATCTTCTGCAAGTTTCAATTGTGGCCAGTGTTTAACACCGGCCGTGATGGCTCGCCCACGAAGCATGCAACACGCACTCCACAAGAGCAACGACCATGATCCGATGCGCTAAATTGCTCACATGGCGAGGTGTCAAAGTCACCTTGTTTGTGATCCGGGCGAATCGGAGCTCGCCCCATCTGAATCGGGAATCTGAAGACGACAGCAGTGCGCGATGTTTCGGGGCTTGCATAGCCGAACCAAATGGGAACTACTTCGCGCAAGGCTCGATTCCTTCGATCTCATGTCTCCCAAGCCCCCTACGCAGCCCTCGCAAACAGGCACAGCCGACCATAGCCATCGTAGTGGACAGGAAGTCCAAGAATTGGGCTACGAAGAGCAGCATTCCCAGACCTCACAACGCATTTGGCTTCAGAAGTTCAGGGCTTTGGTTCTCCATGGTCTTACCTTGGTTAATAGGGAATGGAGGAATGGGGTACAGTTTTAACTACTATTACTACCGTTCTTCCTATGCCTACTAACGAAAGGTAAGTGGTTCTCCACTATGCATCATGTGCAGGGGCACAGCTTCTTTGGGTCTTCGAAGTTTTCAGCAGAGAAGTCTGGGTTTGCGAAACAATCGTGATCAGTAGTAGCATAGTAAACAGCACGAACAGGTCTGCATTCCGAATGTTTGCAAGAAAACCTGAAGTTTCTAACATGGTGAAGTGGATGGTGTCCGCGCACAGAAAATACCCATCCTGGAAAACACCATATCCTGAGCGAAGACTCCTAGTTGCCTTAAATTTTTCGGGTTAAGGCTCCTGAGGTCCGGTTCAGCCAGACTCCCGCCCTCACAAGGAGGAACCCAGAACAAAAGCTCACTGGCCCAAAACCCAAAGGAATAAAAGTTGAAACTTTCAGAATCGACTACCTCAAGAGTAGAAAAGTTGAGTTTACAGCCAATAAGAAAGCAGTGCTCAATCTGAAAGCCTGGACCAGAGAAATCTCGGGAGCCCGGCCCATTCCATTGCGGGAGTACACCAGCAAGTGCACTGTGAAGAGCCAGACCTTTCTTAATACTCTTAGGAGCTAGGGTGGGGAGGGTAGGGCCGTTTAACCCCCTTGTGGGATTGTCATCGCTGCCCAAACACCTCCTCTGCAATTTCCAGAGGGATTCGGCTCCCGCTGAAATCGCCCGAAGCGCTTGTTGTTGTAGGTAAGGCTAGGAATTAGTATTCTCCAGAGCTATGAAGGTCTACTGGTTTGCCTAGTTCCAACCCTGCTGGCCCCGCTACATATCAACCACCTACTCCGTCCCTCGATACTTGGAGTGGAAACCTAGCGGACCCACCGACATGAGTCAAAGCAAAGACTCTCAAACCGAGCAGCACTGAACTTATCTGGTCGTGGTTGGCGAGCGAAGCGGGGACCAGAGTATTTAAAGGGTTCTTAGGCGCTAGGAAGCGAACATCGTAAATCACATCGAAACAAAAGCAGCCCTATACACACTCACCCAGTCCCTAATAAATAAAACCCTACCTCAATGTCGGAGTACTTAAAGGATCATGGGACTTAGTATTTACGGTTATTATGAAGGTAACTATACTTATAACCCCAATTAAGGTACTTATATCCATACTTACTAAGTGCCATGATCCTCCAAGTAGCGCTCCAAGAGTCTGAGCCCAACTCCTAAGTTCTGACGACGCGACGCGAACTCCGAAGAATGCGGTGGCGGTGAAGAACAGCGCGCTCAAATCATTGTGGGCCTGGCCAGCGCTTCGGGCTCATATTGGTAGAAGCCTTATAGAGTTTGTGGATCTTGGGTTTAGGTTCAGTGTTTAGGGGTCTTGGACTTCGAGGTAAGAGTTTGAGGATGCTTATGCCTTGCCCGCGCTCGGACGGGCACGGGCTCTGGGGTGTAGCCGGTACTGCAAGGATCGCGAAACGGCAACACGAGGAAGGCATTGGAACCAAACCCTAAACCCTAACCCCTAAACCCCTAAACCCTAAACGCGGGCATCGGCACCATCTGGCTGAAGACCGGCATATACTCGGCCACCCTGCCCCCAACAAATGTATGAGAGATCGCCAAGCCCGTGCCCTCAAATTCGCACATTCCTTCCCTAACGTAGGGGCCGTAATAATTAGAATCGGGTTTTGGTGCTAATTATAACTACAGTCTAATATCCCCCAAAACCCTAATCTAATTATTAAGGCCCCTACATTACGCCCGTGCCCTCAACCTTCTGGCCCTGCCTGCCGCCGCTGCAAAGTCCTCAGCGCTGAGAACACGCTGGGGCCCATGAGCACCGTCAGGAGCGAAAGCCTGAGACTTCTTGCTTCCAGGGCATGGGGTAAGGTTTTTTTGTTCTAGGCTATACTTGGAGGATCATGGGGGTTATATAAGTCCCCTAAGTGGGGTTATCCTAGCTATAACCTACTTATAAGCTTATATACCAAAACCCATGAGCCTTCAAGTAGGTTTCTTTAATGAACCTTTTGCAACTGGCTTCGCACTTCGCATGGGGTCGGCTCCCACATCAGACAACCTATGTTAAAACAAAGAGCTTCTGGGACTGTGCCAATGCTGGCTTGCCCCACTCCCCGGGTTTCACGGGATCGGCACTCACACTTATGCGAATCCCGGCATGTATAGGCTTGTCTTCTCCGACCTAGTTAGTTCTACCGCCCGCAGTCAGGAGCGACTCTCGCACGCAAAGTTGCACAAACCACTGGGGCCAAATTCGACAAGAACCAGCTGCGAAACACCCACAATGCCAAATCCGGTGTGGACTCCAAGCGGCCAGGATGCAAACGCCAAGCCCTTAAACCCTCACCTCAAAATCATAACCCTTCCGTTGTAGTTCCCGTCGCCCTCCTGTCTGCCTTATCGTGGGATTCTGTAAACCCATCTCGCCCTATCGCAGCTGAGGCGGCGACCACATGTAGCTTTGCAGAATACCCTCCGGCATCGCAGAGCTCAGGGTTTTCGGTTTCTGGCTTGGGGATTAAGATTAGGGGGAGCTTATAGGTTCAGGCTAGGGTTTCAGCTTGGATTTGGGGTTAAGGGTACGGACTCTCGCCCGAGCCGAGCAGGAGAGGGTTGAGGGATGGTTGGGATCCCACTTGGCAGAATTGCAACAAGCGAAGCTTAGGGTTTAGGGTTTAGGGTTGGAAGCAAGTATGAGAAGTTCGGAGACTAGAGATAAAAGGTGCGTGCTTTTCCGGGGCCGACCTGAGTATAGCTGCCGAATTTCTGAGGCAGGTTGTTTGGATCCTTGCACAGCCAGTAGGAACCGGGCATTGGCCATGAGACTCTGATGAACATCGTACTAAGCTCGCAGGAGGCAGATGCGCTGACACAATGACCTGTGAATTAGGGCCTAGTTCGGTCGAATAGGTTAATTTTTCGCGGGGGGGGGTATATTGACTATAATACCAGTGTGTTAAGAAACCCTCATCTAGTATCAATGTTATAAAGAACCCTAAGAAAGAGTCACTTCCGCATTCTATGCGAGACGATCATGGATCATACACACCAGGCAAAAAAAAACTAGCCCCTAGTCCCCTAGTCTCTTCTGCAACACATCCACAGATGTAGGTTGTTACAGGAGCGTGACCGGCGGCTTGACCTTGCAAGCGCACCGTACCAGTAGGAAGGGGTGTCGCCTATAAGGCTGATGGAACCATATGCGCTAGTTGCTGGGTTCATAAGTGCCAAAAGGTGTACACTTTCCGTTTTATAGTAGGTACTATTGCCCCAAACAGTGTAAAGTGTATCCACTCAACTACTAAGGATACTGCTTATGGATGCTGCAGGGGTTTCTCTCCATCAGGACTCGGCACGGCGTTTTCTTGCTTTGAGGCTTCAGGTTGCCGTTCTAGCATCTTGAAGGTCTTCGGCTTAAGGTTTCAAGATTTAAATTTAGGGTGTTGATAGGGTTGGGGTTTTAATCACAGCTTCCCTCAAGCTTTGGTAGACATCGCTTTGGGGCGTAGGCGTAGGCTCGTGTAGGGCCAGAGCCGTTCTGATTTAATGTAGGCTTCAGCTAAAGGCCCCATAGTGTTGTCTACCGCAGAATCCTCTGCTTCTTGCACAAAGCTTACCGAAGAGGGGAGGGTTGAGAGCCTTTTATGTGGCATCGGTAGGTTCTGTCGTATTTGGCCCTAGGAAGCCACGTGACATACCAGGAGGATCATCGGTAGTTAGACGCGAGGTGTCCAAAGCCAAGTGCAACTACAACTACCGAACATATACGACACTGTTGACTAACCTGAACCTCCGAGTACTCTCTGCCTGCTCTGCACAGGCAAACTGCTGGTCAAACACCGTTGCCGGATTCGTAAACTCGACAATGTACCTGGCGCATGTGGGAACTGTCCTACTTAGTCTGCTTATGTAACTTATGTATACCTGTCGGGCTCCAGAGCAACAACTTCTACTTGGGAGCTTCCGCTACATAGTAGGATTATGAAGGACCCCAAATAATAAGGTACCACCAGTTTTCGGAAACTCCAACTTAGGAATGTCCCTGCCTTAGTCTTCAGGCTTGGTAAGGTCCCGAAATGCAACTCAGCAGCCCTTGTGCAGCAAGCAGCTGCAAGCTCTTAACAAGGAAAGTGTTTATTGTGGTCTACTATACTATACTATCATTGTAACATGCCAAACCAAACCCGGAACCCTCTTACGGGCTTTGAGGAGGTCTCGGTGTCCAGGCATAGGTTTCGGCGAAGTGCTCGTTCAGGAACCACCTAGTTGCTGAGTTCATAAGCCCCAAAAAGTGTACGCTTTCTGTTTTATAGTAGGTAATAGTGCCCCAAAAAGTGCAAAGTGTATCCACTCAGCTACGAAGACCAGGCTATTGGCTTTTGCACGTGCCCCGACAAAGGTTGCACCATGTTTCTGAGGAGTTGGCAATGGCTTGGACTGGCAGTACAATCTGAAAACAGATCTTTATTCACATACAGCTCAAAGAGCAAGCCGACGGCAGTCTCATGTGACATGTGTGGGGTGTGGGATTCGGCTTCGTGCCCTTTCCTACTTGCGAGCTCCTTTTTATTCAGCACCCTCCGTGCTTCTGCCGTCGAGGTGCCCAAACAGAAAGTCGAACATGGCTTCTGAAACGGTCCCGGCAGCAATTCTGCGAAACTCGCTAGACTAGACCTGACTTGATTAGCTCGCAACCGTACGCTCGCGACCCTAAACTGGAGGGTCCAACCATGACACACTAACCTTCGGAAACGATCCCTGCACTCCTGGCCGTGAGACTCTTCCAAGCACGTGTTCGACGGTCCTAACATGTAACATGTCCTAAGTCTCCTACCGCCCTGAGTTGCCCTTCGGGATCGGGATTCATGAGGGATACGGTGTCAGCTTCGTTCTTTTGAGGTTGCAACAAAACCTATACCCACTTCAAAAACACCCACAACCAACTGCAGATGCGTCCCATAGTGGAACCATAAACCTACATAAGTACTTATAAGTACCAACGAACCCTGGGGTAGGCCGCCTTCCAGAGTATATAGGCCTCTTCCCGACTATCCGGAGAGCAGCTCAGGCCGTCAGCTTGAATGCCTCAGTGAAGCCTCTGCTCAGGCGGGACCTCAGCGGAAGATCCGTTAGTCTGTTGGTCCAAGGCGCAGCAATCCCGATGTGTAGAAATTCGCACTTCTGCAGTAGTGGTGGTGGTAGTAGTAGTAGTAGTAGCAGCACGACGTCGTCGCAGTATTGAAGCCAAAGGAAGCGCAAATACAACAAGCCACGCCTTGTGCGGGGGCTGTTCGCCTTTCTTGAACCCTGACTGCTGAAACCAGGCCTAGGGACCCCATCGCTACTCCCCCGTGTACCACAAGAAGCTAGTTGCTGAGTTCATAAGCCCCCAAAAGTGTACACTTTCTGTTTTTGTTTGCCTCCTGCATGGCTGATAGTAGGTAATATTACCCCAAGTGTAAAGTGTATCCACTCAGCTTCTAAGAGAAGCACCCTCCAAATCACACAGCCCAGAGGACCAACGTCGTTCAAGTCCAACTTGTTACTCGTTTCACCTCAAACGACACCAACCTTCACCGGAACTGAACACCCAAGCAACACCGTCGCTGCACCCCATTTTCTCCGCGCAGGTCCGCTCGATCGGAGCTCGCGGCTACAGCAAGGCAAAACTCCACAGTTCTTTGAAGGTTCTCCTCCAGAAACCCGATAGCCAATAGTCCGAAACAGTAAATTATATCCACCCAGGCTTTCCTTAGCCTTTTGTCATCGCCTCCCCGGGACACTCGCAGGCGACCTTCAAGACCAAACCTGAAGCCCTCCACTAGCCCTCCACTCCTAAAACCTCTCGTTTCAGATCTTGGTAAAGGTGGCTAATTGCGGCTAATTGTCCGCGCGAGCATTCGCTGACTCTGCCATGACGACCAACTGTTCAGACACGTGGGAGCCAACTAGTACAACAGCCGTAAGCCCGTAGGTGTAGAGAGCACTTTCCCGAGTTGAGGTGTTTGCTTAGAGGATCATGGGACTTAGTAAGTAGGTTATAATTGGGGTTATAAGTCCCCTAAATGGGGTTACCCTAATTATAACCTACTTATAACCTTACTTACTAAATCCCATGAGCCTTCAAGTGAAAGGCTGCATGCAATCCCCAAAACTCGCTAGCCCTCGAAGCCAGCACTCAGCCTGACATGATAGGCCCTTCATAATTAGAACAGAGCCTTGGAGCATATTACAATATGCGTACACTCAGGGACCCCAAGGATTATATGTTATATGGGGGTTGTCGAAAATGGGGGACCCGAATATTGTACCCTAAACAGTAGGATCCTTATAATAAGAACTCCAAAAGAAGGCACCCCGAACTCTTCGGAAACTCCCATAAACGAAACCCCCCTGCTCGAGGCCCGAAGACCTCCACCACACTACTTGTATGACCCAACACTGCGATACACTTAGAATAAGGTTTTTGGGGGTACATATTCTAGAATTTAATAATCAGGAACCCCCCAAAATTAAGGCCCGGACGGTAGTGCAGGAGCCTGAATAGCTACTAATGGTATTTCTGTACAGCCCGTGCATATTCATCGTCAGAATAAGATACCCTCTTGTTCTCAAATCCCATAAGCCCGCATGAACCCCTTATCTCAATGATCCCTCCAGGGAATTAATTGAAATCCGGGCCGTGACTCCCTACTAAGGTTCGTTTAGGGAGCTCAGGCCTTATAGGGCTTAGGGCTTTCGTGGTAAAGTTTGCAGCACCTCAAAGTCTCCCATTACTTCGGAGTTGAACATCTCCGAACTTTTGAATATAGCTGTTGCAACATTGGAGAGTCAAGCAACTCACAGACAAGAGCAAGGTCAAGTGGCTCAGGGAGAGCATGAGTGGAGCCCTCAGACAGGAAGCTACTTTCAAACTGTGGTGATACTGGCCTGGTACAGTTTGGCTTACGATGTGCTTTAAGGTTGGTGCTTCTGGGAGGTTCACGTGAGAAGGCAGGCCTTGTCTGATATGCCCACTTCTGGCTGCAAGCCTACTTAGTACTACTTGCAACTGTGTCCCTACGGCTCACTATTCCTGCACATGCAAGTGACAGATTGTGAATATCCCGCCTTTACTTATGGTTACCCATGAGCAGGGCTCCGCCCCCTCTGGGAAGCATCCCGGAGCCTGGAAGAGAGCTAGAACCCGCTCCTACTGGCCGCAGACGCTGCGTCGGTTCGGCTAAGGATTCGGGGTTTCGCATCTACGAAGCAGCTAGGTTTCAGGCTTTAGGGTAAGGGTATTGCAAGGGATTTGGGGTTTCGAGATTGAGGCCGTTTTGCGGGCCGCGTGGAGTTGAGGGCAAGGTCCGACGGTTTTTGATTTAGTTTTGCTTTCTTGCATTGGTCTCTGGCCTTTCAGGAATGGCTTTAGGGGGCAGGGAGCTTGGACTGAAATCCAGGAAACCCGCAATTTCAACACCCCGGCATCCATTTAGCAGCTGATTTTTTGTGCCGTAGGAGCAGGCATGCATAGGCTGAGGAGAGTGAGAATCCTAGACCTGAAGGTGCTTGGACTCGGTGCTGTGCTAGCCCACTGGTGTAGATCCTCAAAGCAATCCTGCAGATCTGATTCAAAGAGTTCTAGAGTTCTCTAAACTTCTGCAGTGCACTGAATAGTGAGGGGCTGAGAGAAGTTTAGCTCTCAGACAAAGATCGCAATCCTGTCTAGTCTAGTCAGTCTTTCCTACTACTTCCGGGCTTCTAGACGGGGTTCAGTTTTACACATCGCGCGCTGCCTAGAAACACATGACGAGTCTGGAAGCCTCCGTGTCCATGTGCACCCCTCGGGCGAAACGCCGTGTGCACATGGCTTGCCGCTGCCGCGCCAATCCGCCGTAATATGGTTTGAAAGGAGATGAAAGTGACCAGCGACTCCCTATTCTCCCTCAGCTGGATCTCAATCACGAAACAACCCTAAATTGTCTCAGATCACTCAATCTGGTGCTGACATCGGCACGTGGGCACCCCGTGGCACCGGGAGCACGCTTTTTCGGGGAGTTGCACACAACGGCTCAATTTCCCCCAGGGCTCCATTTACCTAAACAATGCTTTAGCGGGGCTACATTTCTTAAAGTCAGTGACCTACTATTTCGGCAGCTGGAACCCCGGGGTTCTTCATTGGGCAGAGGGCGCTGCAGCTTCACGACGCTACGCGGGACGCGGAGGAAACGCCCAAGGCACCTTAGTTGGCTTCGGAAGGAAGGGGATATTCGACGCTCCCATGACTAAAACTTCACGGTAGTTTCGGGCTTAGAGACATCACGCAGGACGACTTGGACCCGAACTATGCCCGAGAAGACAGGCCCAGATGTGTGAAGACGGACCTTGCAGAGGGTATTCTATGGTCCAGAACGACAAGAAGCCTCAAACTCTCCTCCAGGCAGCAGGAAACACGGATTCAGAGTGGAGGGCCCTGAAACTCTCAGCCTCAGCCTTTAAAGGATCTTTAGGGCTCCGGGTTTTAGGGGCCTCAAATTATAGCACAATGGGCCCCAAAACCCTATTCTTGTTATTAGGGCTCCTACATCGGATAAATTTAGACATGAACCGCGAAAGGCCTTGAGGCACTTTTCAGTTTCAGATCCGAACGTTGGGGAGATGCGAGCTGAACAGATATGATGGGGCGACGCTCTGCAACCCGGTGCCCTCAAGGGATCCAAAAAGGGTCCTATAACTAGTTCTTTTTAGGTTGCCAAAGCAGGCTTTTAGAGGCATCATTCTAAATTAATATGGGTTCAGGGCTTAGCGGAAAGGCCCGGAAAGGAGCTCAAGATGTGCCGAGATGTCACGGAAGGTTGGAAGCTTCTTCGAACACGCTACGAACCCTTGACATCCGCCATATTTCTCGTGCTCTGCCGTGATCAATGAAGGAAGACTCTCGGCCCAAAGGGCACAGACAATCGATAAGAGCAACGCTATACTGCCCACCCGCTTTAAGTCCCCAAAACCTGAGTCCACAAAACAACGATACTAACTCATAATAGGGTTCGGTGTCACACAACAACGACGACGACGACGAACACAACAACAATGATGATGGCATGGTGGTGTTTGGCGCATTTTGTACAATGACTACAGTGGAACCTCAAGGACACCGATTGCTAATTCAAGCCCCCTTATTGCAACAGGCTTTCCCACTTCGTCCTTCAGGCCCCTAAACCCTAATCCTAAACTCTAAACCCTGAACCCCCTAATTAAACCTTAAAATCTCCTAAACACTATATCCTAAACCTTAAATTCTCCTAAACCCTAAACCCTGTAAACCCCCAAACCCACTAAATCCCGTTCTCCGAATCCCCCGTGCGAGGCCCAGGCTGGACAAGCCGCCGAAAAAGCCATGTTGGTCGAAGAGCTCCGAGTTGGCTTTCCTTTTGCGCGACCGTTTTGTTGTATAGGGTTTGGGATTTCTTACAAGGTCAAGGGTTTGGGGAACGGCTTTGGTTTATAGGCGGGATTTGGGGTTCAGGGTGCGGGTTTAGTTTATAAGGTTTGGGATTTAGGGATTCGGCGCTCACACTCGGACGGGTTTGCGGTTCCCAAGTCTAGCCTTATTATCTAGGGATCACGTCCGTTTCAATTCAGTAAGGACTTTTGTCGTCGGGGAAGGTATCCGTGCCAGTGTTCAACCCAAGTACTCCAAAAGCCCTTAGTTAGGAAACGTGCACCAGATTCAAGCTAAAGATCCGACTGCTTAATGAGCCGACTGCTTTTCTTGTAGCATTCTCCGCCCTTGTAATACCCTAACAGTCTTATCACCCGTTTTTGATGTTTGGGAGGCTCTTGGGATGCGACTTCAGTCGCCCCCGTCTCATGTGGATCAAATAAGCACCTAAATATCAACGCTCGAAATCTAACCCCTTCTACGGATATTCCCTCAACAAGCTTCTGCTTAGCGGTTGTTTACACTAACCTCATTTTGGAGCTCCTACTTGAGGCCTTAAAGGTTTAGGAGGGTCTCAGGCTCTTGGTGGGGGGTTCAGGACTGAGGCATTAGACTCCCGACGCTGGCGGGAATCCAACAGCCGGGCAACTCCGAGCCTCATTTGCCAAATCCCAGGTCGGGAGGACTCTTTGGGGTTCAGGGCGGGGTTCTGATAGTATACATGCATATAACTTGACATTCCTTACTTCTAACTTCGAGCCCTGCGTACTAAAGCCCCTGAAAATCCAACAACTTGCCTTACCTGACTCCTTACCCTGCTTACCAGCTGCCCTTATCCTGTGACCGAGCTGTATTGATTCCCAAGCGTCATGAAGGACCAGAGCGCGATGAAGGTCAGCTGGGCACTGAAGGCGCATGTCTGAAGCAGGCTGACCTCAGATAGGATCTAGTATAGTCTCCTGCATAATCAGAATGGGGTCCTGTAAAGGGCTTGTGTTCGGCTTTTCTGATGGTTTAATAGGGTTCTATACAGGCTGTTGTATACAGCGATAAACAAAAGATTTGCAGAGGAACTGAGGTATATCGGTGTATCATGTTGCGGTCCTATAGCTGTATGAGGACGATAAAAAATCATCTTAATGACATTCCGACCTCTATATTACCTTAAACAATATCGCTGCTCGACTCCGGCAAAGGCCCCTCTCCGATTTTAGGCATGCTTTAGGTGGCATTGCGGTGTCGCGGCTTGCTTGGCCTTAGATTCGGTAACATCCGCGGTTTTCCGTCGGTGAACACCTGCCTACCTGTCATCAAGATTCTTGGGAAGGCGCTGACACATCCCGCGATGGAACACCCTTAACCCTTAACCCTAATCCCTAAACCCAAATCCCGCTCTCTCTGTCTCTCTCTCTCTCTCTCTCTCTCTCTCTCTCTCTCTCTCTCTCTCTCTCTCTCTCTCGCTCTCTCCCAGGTATCCCAAATCCCTATAATCCCTAAAACTCCAAGGCCCCTCACCAGAAACGTCCCCAAAGCTTCATTGCATATCGCAGGCACGTGATCTCCGAAGGCGGCCATGCTCACGATTACGATCATGGCATCCTGTGGGAAATACCGCACTTCGAACCCTTCCTTAGTTGCTGAGTTCATATTAGCCCCCACAAGTGTACACTTTCAGTTTTATAGCGGGTAGTGTTATCCAATAAAGTGTAAAGTGTATCCACTCAGCTACCAAGTTTCTCAGGTGAACATCTGACTGAGAAACCTTTGGATCTTATTGGGGTTTTTTGTAACTGGACCCTCTTCATTGTTCGGAGGTTTGGCCCCAGAAGAGACTCACTCAGGTGGGGAGAGGGTGACTATGGCTATGGAACGCAAGATGTCTCGTGCCCCCTTGCTTCCCGGCCGTCTGAGCTGCCACGGCCGGATCTTCTGGGCAAGCCAAGCATGTTTCTGAAGGGCCCTACGCTGGGGATCTCATTCTGTCGCAAACACCCCTAAGCCCTGCAACCCTAAGCTGTCCTTCACGAGGTTCGTCAGCAAGAAAGCCAGGGGAGACCCGTGCTTCCTTAGATGCGAACGTGTTGCCGCAGTCACACGGTCCGGGTTGAGGTAGGGCTGAAGACGAGCCTACGCCGACTGACAGAACAAAGTGATTCCTCCAACTGCTGTCGCGTCCATGACAATGGACAGATTTTTATAAAAAACCCGAATGCTCGACTATGGTTGGTCCATAGACACGACCCGTGAAGCGACAAACAGCTGAATATTGACGCGGAGTTCCAAGACAGCAACTTATGCACGCATTTCGAGAATATTCAGTCAGATGCTCTGACGGCTCTGACCGCGCGTGTTGAAACAAAAGAGCAAACATTACTTGCCGCAAGGTCACAGGTAGTTCGCGATGACCAAGTTCAGCACGAACGCGCACAAGATGTTGCCTACTTCTGTGACGCGTGGGGGACTTTCAGACTCTTCTGAAGCATAGATCGTAAGAAGCCATGCGCCTGCAGCCCTAAACATGTACCTTGTTGCCCGCGTTACACTGAATCGATCATTCGGGTTGAGCGGCACGGCAGCATGCCGTGCTATGGCAAGCACTCACAAAAGCAAGCCATACTCCCGCGAAAACCCCCAACTCATCTAAACCTTGCAGACACGAAGCTGTTCCTAAGACAAGCTGAAGTTGAAGTCCTAAATTAAGCCTAAACCGTAAATCCTAAACCCCAAACCCCGAACCCCTATACCCTTTTGCATCAGGACTTGTGCAATCGCCTGAACCCTAAACCCTAAAACCCCAAATCCTAAAACCCAAAACCCTTTTGAAACCGGACTTGATGACTGCCAACCCAAAACCTAAAACCCAAACCCCCTAAACCCCTAAAACCCTAAACCTTCTGCCTGCCAGAAGGAAGCCGCAGGCTTGGAGAGTAACAAAGGAGGGCAGCGCAATCCACGAGAGCACCTGGGCCTTGGATGCAGGGCTCCCTTTGTTTCGGGGGGTGCCAAGCGGGTTGAAGGTTTTTTTGTTTTTTTCAGGGTGCAGTGGGACGAACTGTTTTAGGGTTTAGGGTTTTAGGGCTTATTGTTCAAGGGTTTAGGGTTGGGAGTGCCAAGAGAACGAGACCTTCAAACTGGGCAACATAGCGGCGTAGCGGCCTTCATGACTAGAACAGAGACTGAGGGTTATATTGTAGAAGAGACTTGGCAAATATCTAGTCCCCTATATTATGATACAGCTGCTGCCACGGCTCCAGGCTATACAAGTGGTAAAGTTCTACAGCCCTAGGCCTGGGAGTCAGGCTTTAGTGTGCGGCTTTTTAACATGATGCATGCAGTGTGATAGCTGGCATCGACGACAAGGCTTAAGATTTCAAGGCAAAAACATATTATTATGGTATGTATTGTAGTATAGTAGTATAGTACTATGGTATTATGTTCCTATAACAGTATAGCACGTCGTGATTCAAGACTGGGGGTGAAGGGCTTCGGCGCTCACGCTCGGACAATGCAGGCATGCGGTTCGAGGCCTGATGATTGAAACCGTCAACTGTGTATATAGACGTGCGTCCGCAACACTTGGGGTAGAGAGGCTGAGAACATTTGGGAGCTTCCGAAGATGAGGGGTACCTTATTTTGGAGTCCTTATAATGGATCCTACTATTTAAGGTCCTATATTAGGGTCCCCTATTTTCAGAAACACGCCTTTAGGGTTGCAAATTAGGAAGGCATATGGTTTTGCTTCCTGGCGGAGACTCTTACAGCTGCCTAGCCGGTCTTGGGGAGATGTGGGGTACATCCACTCAACGACCACTCCCTGGCCGCTTAATGTGGAGATCAGAATCGCTAGAACAGTGCTTTGAGGCATCACCTGTAACAAAAATAAAACATGTGCAGGAAGTAAACGGTCATACTACCACTCATTGTACGGACCGAAGAATGCACGCCAAAGTCTGCAACGCCAGCCGGAGGGCATGTGGCGTCAGAAGAAGGATGCCTGCAACTGCAACTGGAAGGGTGCCGGCTTGCAATAGGGCGGGATACTGCACAACTTTCCGATCTAAAGACCTTCCTGATCATGGCATACGTTTCTGTCGCTGGGATTCACTGAGCGTGCACCGCCTGCGAAAACTTCGTGCGTTCCAGTAGTTGTGGGGCCTCAATAGTTGGAATGGGGTGTTGCCAGCTTACCTGTAGCAGAGTAGGAGGTTCCAGGACAAAGGTCTCCATGGTGATGTAGGAACCTGATTAAGAAACCATGGGCCTTTATTAGGGCTCCTTAAATGTATCCTACTATTTCGGGATTCTAGACCCAGGGTTGCTACATTCTCATGCGGCGGGATATCGGCTAGGATTCGGAGAAGCCCAAGGCTGGCGGCTGGCGCCGAGGATGCTTTGAAGTGAAGGTTTTTTCCCTCCTACTTGGCAAGGACGAGGCCGTTGAAGTGAAGGTTAGAGTTAGAGCCTACACATCGCTGTCCGACTTGTGTTGAGGCGTTCTATTTTCGTACATTACATCAGGTTATAGGTATTTTATATCATGACATGAAATAGAAAAATATAGCAGTGAATCTCAGCCGGAAGGATGAGAACCCAAGAACTGGATCGCAAAAATCAGCCTGAGCATCGGAGAAACGACATAGTCACAACGACGACCGCCTCTTATGCTCATGCTGAGGCAGCCAGGAAACTTTGAACACCTATCCCATTCTTGATTGAACAAGATTACCCTGTAAGCCCCCCTGACTACCCCCAACCACCACTTAACCCCAAACCCTGAACTCAACAGTTCCTACACAGCCCTGTCTACAACACCCTGTCAAGAACCCGTCAACACAAACCACAGAACAGCCCTTACTTCAAAACCCAAAGCTAGAAACCACAACAGTTTCATAAACCCTGCAAAAAATCCCGAACACTCAACCCTTGCCCTGGACCTCCAGAGCCCTTCCAGCTCCCAATCGGCCTCCTAAGCAACATGCACACATCGGCGACACCGTGGCCACGAAGGACAGGGGGTCCAACTTACGGCCTGCACCTGCGAAGCTGAGGTGTCGGAGCCCCTAAACTCTATGAACCTCACTTAGAGGCTCTCAGGGAAGGAAGGAAGCAGATTGTAAGTGGAGCTCCAATCGGGATCAGCCCACTCCGGGCGAGGCTGCTTAAAACCATAATTACTTCTGACCACCTTCATGCTCCTGAAGGGGTCTTTGAGCTACTTGCCAAGGATCCTAGGCTTGGGGCCGGGTTTAGATTCGGAGTTCTCTCTCCTCTGAACCCCGAAGCTTCAAAGCCCACTCAGTCTCCACATATTACATCATAATACATTATACCGTACACAATGTTACATCATATTAAATAATGTGCTATACTATAGTAGATTGTATTATCTCGTCTTGATTCATATTATATATTACAAGACCTGGCCCTTAGGTCGCTGAGCCCATGACCGGCCAGGAGGACGCCTGAGCAGCGGTCTCGGTAAGGTCAGGAGGAGAAGGCGAGAGAGACAGAGAGAGGGAAGACCACAGGGAGAGAGAGAGAGAGATGCACAGATAAGTACATAGATTCCGATATGCAGATTGTATGCATTTAAGTTTGGTGATTTATACTTTGAAAATGCAGATATGTCCACATTGGTCGACATGGAGCTGCATGCAACCGGCCTTGCAGTACGACCTTCGCGGACTCTGCAAAGTTGCACGACAGCTGGACAAGAAACCTTCCATGCAGACCACCAGGGTGTCAGGGTTTTGGGTTTAGGGTCGTGTTGTGAGGCCAGGCAACTAGACGTCCCTAACCCTAAACCCTTAAACTTGGGACCCTAACCCTCAACCTCTATAGACTCTAAGCCTAGAGGATAGACTCCGACCCGAAGCCCTCGAACCCCAGACCTTAAGCTAAGCCTGAACCTTGGCTTTCCTTGTGACACCTGACTCTTTAAGCTCAGTCTTAAGCCCTCCCAAAAAATGAAATGATATCCAGCTGTTCATAATCAAAGCCGAGTGTTGGGCTGCGTGCTCAAATGTAATGAGGAAGCCCCCACAATAGTATAGGCAACTTTTTAAGGGAACCCTACTATAGATCCCTTATAGACCCCTTTAAAGAAGTAACTTTTTAACGGACCCCCCAAGAATATAAGTATACGTAACATTTAGGCCCCTGTGTCCTTACCCGCCCTAAGGTTCCATTTATGGCTTTTGGTACCTAAAAAGGCCCTAAAGTCCTATAATAGGGAGTACTTGGACCCTCTGGGCCGAGAAGGCCCCCAGAGGTCTCTCAACTTGGGCTGCTCACCCTGTCAGCGAGAAGTTCAGCTCGCCATGGACCGTCAAGGTGGTGGCCACCATGACCTTTGCTTGGGCTTTAAGGCCTATCGTGCTTTTTTCCCTCCTACCTGGGCCAATCGTGCTTAGGGCTTGGGGTTTAGGAGACGCTGGCCCTTGAAGCCGCTCTGAAAGTAGTCCGAAGGAAGCAAAGTTGGCCCTTGAAGCCTCTCTGAAAGTAGTCTGAAGGAAGCTCGTTCGAAACCCTCCAGGAGCCAAACAAAAATCCCACTCGCCACCTCGACCGTGGCCATCGAAGGGGTGTTTCCTCGACCCAGGAAGCCGTTTCTACAGAAACAAATGAGCCCCCAAAACCGAAGCCACGAATTCCGGCAACCAAAGCCCCAAGGTCAGGAACTTCGAGCTTCACGGATCCTCATTATGAACTGCAAGTTCTGTGAAGCCCGCAGTTCTTTAAACTCAAGCCCTAAGCCTGTGGAAATCTTCGGCAAGCGACACAGACCAAGACCAGCGCCATCCGTAGCCGGAACCTCGTACAGGACTTTGGAGGAGCACAAGTTCGGATTTTCGGTGCTAGGGTTTACATGGTGTTGGATTTACGTCTGTAAGGATTGGCTTGGCTTTGGGAGTTTGGGGTGTGTGGGGCTTTCTAGAGAAGGTTGAAGCTCTTGGATTCAGATTGGGACACTCTACGAGCAGAGTGTCAGCAGAGTGTCAGCTGCCTTTTATGCGGAAGATGCATGCTGCTCATGTTCCAGAGCGGCGCCTGCTTACTGTTGCGGAAATCGCCACCGCATCTTGGCCTTTAACTTCAACACTCTGGGCATCTACCAGGTACCACGCACTTGGCATCTTCATTCAGTCACAGAAACTGCTCCAGGCCCAGCACCAACGAGAACACGAAGACAATGATCACGTTGCCTGGTTGACACACGGGGATTTCCGGCACTAAGACTCCATTTGAAGGGAGAAGGTCCCTATATTGAGGATCCTAGACTACTTAGGGTACTATCTTGTGGCGTGCGGAACCAATTAACTGATTCAACAGTAAAGGTGAGACGGACGAGATACAAAGAACGTACTGCAGAGACAAGCACCTGTACCCTGCACCTTAGGCTGTAGAACAAACCTGTTTGGAACACAGCTCACAGATTCAATGACTACAGTGATGATGGTCCCTAACCCCAAACCGCATATTCAAATTCTCATATTCCCTTTGCCAGCATGGGCTTGGATTGTGTGCCAGGGCCTTGTCGTTTGAAACCTCTAACCCCTAAATGCCTAAACGTTAAATCAACCCTAAATCCCTGAACCCCTAAAACTTAAACCCCTACACCCCCAACCCCTAAACACTTAAATCCTAACCCCCTAAATCCGAAACCCCCAAAGTTTGCCCATAACCAACCGACTGCCTTCTGCGAGCCACAGGCTTCTCTTTTCAAGCTCGAGCTCGAACATCCGAAGGCCCCGGGGCTCCCAGCATGAATTAGCACATTATGGTATACTACTAGTATAAAGTGCGGAATATAGTCATTATATTGTCACAATGTGTCAAAGTACATGGTAGGGTCTTCAAGCCGTCCCTTTGCTGTAGGGATCGGATTGTATGGTATAGAGAGGGTTTATAACTACCCTAACGGTTCAAAAGGCACCTGATATGGTCACTGACCTAAGAAAGCCGTGTAGGAATCCTGCACAATTAGAGAAGCGGCTCTGCTTCACCATCTGGAGGAAGGCAACATTCGCCTCAGACGCTCCGCAACGTAGAATTTCGAACCGAGAGTTTGGCGAAACCAAAGTAAAGAATTGAAGGTAGCCTATCTTTAACACAGACCTCTTTATCATACCACCCGAAAACACAAGGTGCACCTCCTTCCGCCGAGATTTGGGCTTCGCAGACCCGCGGGACTCTCGTATTGCAGCCTTGCGACGTACTGGTACGCCGTGTTGCCTCGGCTGCATCTGCATTTGGATCTTTGTTCTGAAAATATGTATCCGGGACTGGCATGTTTCTTGTTCCAAGGCAATGCCGGACGAGATGAACTTTACTTCCCCTCAGAGCAAGAACAGCGCTCACATTACCTCAGTGCGCTAGACTTCTTCCCACAACCTTCTGATTCTGCTTAATCCCCACACACAACACCCTGAACCGACGCCCTGTAAACCTACGCTGCTTGCAGTTCGGCTGCTGAGGATCAGAGAGGTCGTGAACAAGAGCCCGACAGGCAGAACACGTCGCGTGAGGAAGTTGGGGCTGATATCGACCTGCCAGCTTTCCCTAGGGGCCCAGGGGTCCATGCACCGATATCGTCGGCTAGAATGGAAGTATATAAATCGCTAGATGGATGGATTGCTGGATAGGTGGGCAGTCCATCCTCTACCGACGAAGAGTCAACCCGTGCTACACAGCCTCCGCAGAAGAGTCCATCCGAAAACCATAAGCCGCTCGCTGAACTCTGCACTCCAAATCTTGTAACCCTAAAGCCCTCCCCAATGTTCCTTCTTGTCCGGGTCGGTCAGAGCAGGGAAGAGGGCTGGGTTCCTTGGGTCAGAAGAGGCTCGGGGGAATATGACCGTGGAAGCGAAAGGTGGGGAGAAAAGGAATTCGACCTGCAGGATGTTGGAAATGCTGTGACACGGCCCATCACATTGAAGGATCAGCATGAGCTGCAAAGGCTTCTTTCTACATCCAGCTTAGGCAGGTTCCTTCAAGCAGCTTTGAAAGGAGAAATTGGAACCTTACAGTGTCGGCAAATTGGGACTTCGGGTCAGGATATAGATAGCATACAGCAACGACGGGCGCAGATGGATGTGCACTGATGCAATGCAATCGTGAAACATCTATTAGTTCCTATGTGCTGACCACCCTGATTCCTGAAACGCTAAACCCTCAACCTCAAACCGTTATGCCTAAGCCCCCATAAACGGCTCCTAAACTCCCCTGACTCCCTCAAATCCTCCACCCTCTATCCCTTAAGCCAACTTACAGTAAACCCTAAACATGCCAATCATAGAGGCCCTAACAGTCCAAGCACCGCCCTGCACCTGAGAGGGCTCCTTTTGCCAGGCTGCGTCAGCAGGAGGAAGGAGCTCAGGATTGAGCCGCCAAGCATATGCAGGAACACCAGCCTTGAAGGCGCTTGTCTTACTTGCAGGATCATGGGACGTAGTAAGTATGGTTATAAGTACCTTAATTGGGGTTATAAGTATAGTTACCTTAATTATAACCGTAGTTACTAAGCCCCATGATCCTTTAAGTATGGTGTTTGTTGCAACATTCTACGGTTCTGTATGGGGTTGTCTCTTTAGTGACGCTGGCTACAGTAGGTATGATTGTCTCATGCAACCTTAACACCAGCTTTTCTGAGTACGGTCTGCTTCGCTCCTTACAGTCAAGCATGCGTGTTGTGTTGTGGTTGTTTGTTTGAGGTTTCGGGTGGCTCCTTTGGAATATGTGGGGTTGAATGACCGGCGGCCTCTGCACGAGGGATCTAGACGATCCATGGCTGGGACAAATCGAAGCACGATCGTCCTGCTTGTGGCCGACGCCCTTTCCGCTCATAGAGTAGATCTTAACTAATAAGTCTACTACTTGATGGATCTCTAGGACCTAGGAGCCTCTGCACCGAAAAATCTTGAAGCCGGAATCGGGGTTAACGGCTTTCGAACTATTGGTCCTTCCGCCCACCCTCCTTGGCCCGAGGAAGCAAAGCTTGGGCACGTAATCAATCTTGTGACAGGGGGGGGGGGCTTCAGCTTGTCGAGGCCTCGGCATTTGCATGCAGACAGAAACACTGACCGGGTGTGTACTTGCATATGCTCCGAAGGCTTCACAGAGAGGGTGATGAACTGATACTGCCCGCTCTTGGTGCTTCCGGCTGTGCTTGGAGCAGAGTGCTTCATCCAGTTGGTTGAGCTGAGCCCTCAGTTGTGTTTTGAACCCCCCGATGCTTTTCGAAGCTGTTTTCGCCGAGCGACACAACTGGATATGGAAACCTGGGATGCAGATCGGATGCGGCTGAAGATTGGAGATCCCTGCACGTGTTGGCGGTCTAAGCGATACCACAGGGTTTATACAGTGAAAAACCTGACTACGCTATGGCAGCATTTTAATACGATAATATCAAGCGGCCAATGCGAGCGGTGATGAGGCTGTCTGTCCTACACTAACACAACATTGAGACCGATGCCTAGGCCCAGATCGATCGATTCTTCCATCAATGAAGAACATGAAGCAGAGTCAGTGTGCAAGACGGAGATCTAAGACAAAGTCACTTTGCGGCCAACCGGTAATTCTGAGTTCGGATATGTCCATCACCATCGGATTACATGGTACTCCTTTATTTGCTCCGTGCGCCGGAACTAGGCAAGCTGGGCATCAGGGCAGCATCACGAACTTATTATGTGCAAGCAAGGGAGCCGTGTCGGATGGATCAGGTACTTGTTGTAGTTGATCAAGGCCGCAGAAGAGGCGATTAATGCCACACTCCAGAAGACCTGCAGATTTGCAAGCCACAGAAAAACCAATCCCCCGTAGACCGCACAACCTCGAAGCTTCAAACCCCAGCGCCCTGAAAACGTAAATCTAAAACCACATCAAAGCGCCCAAGCCGTATGAAACCAAGAACCCTGTACGCTAAACCCAGGCCCAATACCCTGCTAAAGAACCCGACACCCCTTGACCTGAAACCCCAAGCACCTTGGGCCTCGTATAACTTATATACACCAGAAAGCTCCTAGACCCTGAAACCCTGTGTGCTCCTGGGCTTGAGGACTAGCTATCATCACGACCCTGAAGTGTAAAGCCCAAAACACTGCCGGAGAATAAAAGAATTGAAAATCATTGTTGCGGCCAAAAGCTGCTCAAATCTTACAAACCTATAAACCCTTAAACCAAAACGCCACAAACATGAAACCGCAAAAAACCCTACAGCCCCGACACACAAAAGACCTATACTACTAGATTAAAGCTTCTGAACCTAACCCCGTTTTTGCCACTGGACTCAAGTCTACACCCCCTTTTTTGCAACAGGCTTCGTACTTCGCCTGGAGTCGCCTCTGAAGCTTAAACCCCCTGAACCTGAAACCCTTCTGCATCCGGGCTTGTGAAGTCGGCCGGGGAAAGTGACAGATCGCGCTTAGCACAGGATGCCGCGCCAAATGAATGGTAAACTAGAGAAGTCATAGGGATATATCCCATCCTAAACCCTAAAACCCTAAAACCCTAAACCCGGCCCTAAAACCCTTTCACACCTGGTCTACACATTGGCCAGGAACCGAGGCGCCGACTACCCTAAAATCCTAAACCGTAAACCTCAAACCCCAAGTGCCTTGGGCATCACTTTTGGGGCATCCTCTCGGAGCAGTGGCTTCGTCTCCATAGCTGCCTCCAAGACCTGGCCAAGAGAAGGTTTAAGGGGATTTGGGGGGTTTCGGCGCTCACACTCGGACAATCCAGGCGAGGCATATGGTTTGGAGTCTGCAAAGTGAGACAACACTAAGAGGCTTCGTCACTACGCTTTGGGGGGTTTAGGGGTTTAGAGGGTTTGAAATTTGTTGGGCGGTTTTTTTGACACTCACTCTCGGACAAAGCCTAGCAAGGTTTTGGCGGTTTAGCGAGTTTAGGGTTTAAGGTTTCGGCGCTCTCAAGGACTTGGGGGTTTAGGGGGTTTAGGGAAGGTTGTGCTTTGGGGGTTCTCGTAGCTCTTTCAAACGTCCGCCCGCGCTGGCCTCGGAAGCCTTTGCAGTGCCCATGGCTTTTCCAGACTCAATTCCTCAGGGTTTAGGGTTTAGGGTTTAGGGTTTAGGGTTTAGGGTGCGGCTCCAGACTATGCAACAGTCAGGGTTTTACATGGTATGGTCTTTGGGCCCAAGAGCCTTAATTAATATATATGAGTCCTTAGAGCCCTATATAGGGGTCTTGGAGGGGCTAGGTTGCTTCGGCGATCACACTTGGAGAATCCAGGCGAGGCGCTGGTTGATTAGGGGTAGGGCTTATAGGATAAGGAAAGGGTGAACGCTCTCGCAATTCGGAACCCGAACTCACTGACCAAGGCTGCACAACTCGAAACATAATTGATAGGGGAAAAGACCCCATAAGCTTAATCTTCCGGCTCAATCGCCAAAGCCCTCATTTAGGGAAAGAACATACACATGATATTCACGTGTACTGATGATCTCGCATCCACCCTCAGAGACTGCAGCCCACCAGGCTTTCACAGAAGTTCTGCAAACGAAGACAGAAGGGGACGAGGAACTAATCCAGCACTTAGAAATGCCCAGGTATCGCATACTCTCTGTCCACGCCGTGATCGTTCAACTGCGCGTAGATGAGTCGCCCGATTGCTGCTTGCACTGCTTCACAACGGCGCATACAGAAACCCGGCTTTAGAAGTCGTGCTGCTGATAGTGGATTTAAAAGCCTGTCGAAACGACTCTACAGCCGAAGGCTCCATGTACCCATATAGTAGGTTATAGGCCTTGATGTACCTATATGGGGACCCTTAACGGCCTAAGTACCTACTACTATATGACTATGTATAAGGGCACATGGAACCTTTGGGACAGTATGAAGTCATGCAGAAGCGTCTTGGGCGCTGTCAGCGTGAAGTGAAGCGGAGTTCTAGGATTCAGGCGGCATCAGTTCTCGCCTAAGGCGACTCGCACTCCTCAACCCGGGTTTTTCGAGCTGCTGTCCCATATAGTTTGAAAGCTGCACGAACAACGGATCTATGCTTAACCCAGAGACTTCGTTGCTCAGAACACCAGGTCCCACCTCCCCGGTACCAGCTGAGGGCCCTTGTAAAAGGCTTTAGCAGGAGGCATACCGCTCTTTAAAAGTCTTTAGCACCCCTCGGTCGCTAGGTGGATGCCCAAGCCATGCCAAGCCGCAGTACCAAACAGCACGCACCTGAGCAAAGCAGGGAAAAGGCACACAGAAGCAATCAACCCACAAACAGACTAAATTGATACCTTGGACACTTGTGAAGCCAAGACCTCATGCCCAAAATGCTAACCTCAGTAGCAGATTAGCCCAGAAGAAAAATGATTGCAGAAGCGCCAGAATCAACGGCCAAGGCGCAGTACTATAGATGACGGAGGACACAGACGGCGGACTACACCGCCTTCTGCCGTGGGCTAGAGCCCCAGCAGCTGCGAACCACAAAAGTTCAGGAACTGAAAATCTGAAGACAAGGCTTACAGACCCATGCACGGCTGCTAAGTTTAGGTGTTCGCGTAGATGTATATCTATATATATATATATATATATATATATAATGTGTGTGTGTGTGTGTGTGTGCGCGCGGGTGTGCGCGTGCGTTCATGTTGCATGTTCCGGTTTCAAGTGCTATCCATCATGTGGTGCCGCGCCAGAAAGAAGTCCGTCTTATGCCTCTACTTGGAGGTTCATGGCTAGTTATAAGGTGGGGTTATAAGTAGGGTATCTATATTTATAACCCTTTTTGGGGGACTTATAACCCCACTTATAACTACCCATGAACCTCCAAGTACTGGCCCCCACATGGTGCCTTGGCAGGAAAGCGCCTATAATATTTTCTCCAGCCGACATCACCTCCGCGCCTTGTTGCGGGAGGTGAGCGCAGGTCCAATAGAAGTTGTGCGAAACCCAAGCTCATTTGCAACATCACGGAATCCCGCTATGTACAGCCTCCCATGCGTGTTGCATCCGGGAGCGGGGGTTTGTATGAGCAGCAAGAGAGCTGGCACGGACATCCACCTGAACTTCGCAGCAACTGCAACCCTGCAACACCCTCTGCTGCTCCGTGACTCTTGAAAACTTGGGGAGTTCAGAGCATCACCGTAAATGGCGAAGCTCCCATCTCTTTAAACAGGTGCACCACGCTACAAGAGTAGAGAAAGGGTGCAAATGCCAGCCGAACTGCATCCGCCGCAGGTCCAACACGCTTGTGACGCACTGATTGTTCCGACTTTCTTTACACGGAACAGAGGATGTGATCCGGCTCGTGGACGAATGCCTCTTCCTTGAGACAAAGCGAAACAGATCTAGTTCCCTCCGGCTGGAACCAGGTCCATTTTGGAAGCACAGCATCCCGCTACCGACTCGGAGGAGCAGACTAGCATGAAAGTGGCCCTTCATCCACGCCTGCAAAAGACTCTAAGATGGATGGAGCTACTAGTAGCTGGTGTAATCTACAGAAGACTCCTGATATCAGGGATCCTTTCTCAAATCCACCATTTGGAGCCCCCGGGATCTTCTGCTCTGGGCATCCAAGAGCCCGGGCAAAGCCTTAGGCCTTGGCTTTCACACGCACCCTGCGCCGGATCAGCGACGGCGCGAACCTGGATCTGGGCTACATCATTGTGTTTCGAGCTTCGCCGACCTAGAAACATCACTATTGAACACTATTCCCATATTACGATGTTACAAAACCGATACGTGAATCAGCCTCAGCCTGCAAAGGTCAAGCTATCGGCAGTCATGAGCAGACTCTCCACATCACCTCCTTCTGTATACCGAGGCCACTTCCGTATACCAGCGGGACAATTGCTCTACATCTGAAGGAACACAGGAACCTCTCGTCCGCTGGTGGTGCAGTCGTACCGCATGATGCATCTACCACAGCTTCTGTAGGAGCATTGGGAGTGCAATGTGCCCCTGGGGTAACATTATGTAAGTGTAAGTAAGTTCAGTGGGACCCTGTTACACATGCACACATCCCATACATACATACATACATACATACATACATATATATATATATATGTGTGTGTATATGTATATGATGTATGTATACACATACATGTGTATTATATATATATATATATATATACACATGTATGTATGTACGTACGTATGTATGCACATGCTTGTGTCATGTACAAACGTGTATATATATATATATATATACATATATATATATATATATATATATACATATATTTATATTTATACACACACCTATCTGTGTACGTGGTCCAAGGCACCGCAGCGGCTCCGGGTCTATGTCCGGCTTCGGCGCAGCATCGGCGATCAAACGACGGGGACCGGCCTGCGGAGCGATTTGAGCTAGGGGCTACTGGGTTCATATCAGGGGCCTTAATAGTTAGAATAGGGTTCCTTTACAGGGTTCCCTTAAAGGGTCTGTAGGCCTTATAGGCTTTTTTCTGTTAGGGCTCAGCTGGTTTAGGCTTTACTTAAAGGGTTTAGGATCGTCCTCGAACTTCATCTCGTATAGTGGGGTTTTATGTACGGAGGGTTTCTGGGCTCTTGCTAAGGGGGTTAATTTAAGTTACCAGAATGAGGAAACCGTATTATGCACTATAGATCCCCATTACGGCACCTTAAAATAGACTCCTTAACAAGAGTCCAGGTTACTATGAGGATCGCCCACAGGGATTCTATGCAAGGTTCTCGCAGGGTTCTGGGTTTTCTGAGCTTTCGGGTTTGGGCACGAACACTAAGCCTTGGGCTTGAAAGTTTACTGGAACCCTCCACGGTGAGCAGTATCGAGCAGGCCACCTCGCTTCCGGATCAGTATAGGACCCTCAGCAAGCAAGTTGTTAAACAAAAACGAACTGCCTACGAGGTGCTCAACCCAGACCACGGCCAACCAGGTCAAAACTAACAGCATCCACACCAATATCCCAACAACAGCAGAGTACCTACAAGTAACAGGCTCGGGAAAGCTCACAAAACCGCAAGGGAATTGTAAATCTTCCACTTCGCATGCCCAGGGATCAATGCCCACAAGCGAGGTTGACTTGGGTTGCCACATGCTAATTACTCCAATCAACTGAATCAACTATACAGTGTCATCCTTGTAATTACATTCGATTCCAAGGTTTACGTAAGGTATAAGGGTATAAGGTTCACATCAATTGAACTATCTCATTTGCTGGCCTGTGATGCCTTTTGGCTGAGAAGTGCAGTCAAATTCGAAAATTATCGCGCACAGGTTGCCTTTCTCAGTTTCGGGGTCTTCGGCACTAGCGAACATTTTGCCAGTCGGATTTCTGCCCGACATGAACTAATGGCTGGCTTGCATATCCAGAAGATCATTTGCAGCCGTGGACTTTTTGCGATCGTTGTCATGCACGGCGGCTCAATCCCATTCTATTATATCGGCTTTCTTGGTGGCCTTTGAACCAGAGCTCCTTCAAGCACCACGGGGCGCCACTCTTCACCAGGCAGGGTCTCTTCCACAGCAAACCTGAATTCCCAGTCGGAGGAAGCATCGGCTTCATCAGCCCTGCATAATGCTGCAACTCGACCCCCAGGCACTCCAGCATGCAAGGCGGCTGCTCGGATGGAGGGGAACCGCTGCCATTCTGCTGCGGCTGACAGCCTGCGGGCCTCCACTGGAATGCGATGTCCGGATGGAAGTCTGATCCCCGCCGAATAGGAGTGGAGCATATTCTCGGACTGTGACACAAATTCCAAGTTGGCCAGGCGATTGTTTGAGCGGTTGCCGTCTTTGTGGTTGACTTGCATCTTTGGCGAGACAGGCTGCCCTAGGAAAGTAGCCGCGACAATGCGATGCACCAACCGCTGCCGCCCAGCCGCCCTTACGGTGCAGTACCCTTCGGCTGTGCAATATCCAAAGGTTGTGTGGCTGTGGTGCTTGGTTGCAAAACGGATCCGGCCATAGCTGCTCACCAGTATTCCGTGGAGTGGCTCGCTATCGCCTGGATATCGACCCGTGTCCCAACATTCTTTGTGGAACGATTGGTGATCTGCTGTGCGAGCTGCCGTCTTAAATTCGTGCCACGCCGCATTTGCAAAAGCTCTTTGCAGCTCTCCCGCACAGCACTTCGACACTGTGTTTGGGGAGACTCCAGAGATCTCAGCGGCCTGCTTTTGAGACGAGCAGAAATACCATGAATCTGCATGACAAGGGCGCCACATAGTAGGCTTGCTTCTGAAGGCTTCACCAGCGGATCGTCGAGAATTGGTTTTCCAGGAGTGCAAGACATTTTGGCCTGCCGACACCCACGCCAGATTGCTTACATGGTTGTTGGACGGATCAAGGTCGATGTGGTTCACCTGCCAATGGTTTGTGGTCGGTGGCGGGCCTAAGAATGCAGAGGCAACCAGCCGATGCACACGGTAGGTCTTCCCGTGTATTGCCACCACCCTGTAACCAGACCATGTCCTAGTTCCGTCACTTGCAAGCCCTGTTGGGGATCTGACTCGTCCTAAAGAACTGACATGCCATGCCTTTGCTTCGGAGACCCCGCGCACACCCAAGGAGTTACATGCTCGGTCGACACAGCCGAAGCAGCCTCCCACTGAAGCAACCCTACTCGGCCAGGCATTGGACAACACTCGGGAGACTGCGCGATGCATAGTTGTGAAGTCCGCCGAGGAAGTCCCTCGAAGTGCTGAGCCTGAATCTAGCGACCATATATAGCAAACAAAACGATGGCGCTCCGGAACTGCCTGGCAGTCGACTCTTTAACCGACTCGTGAAGCAATCCGCCGCGAAATAAAAGCAGCATTGCATTTCTAACGCCTGATTCGGAATACAATCTCAACAACTCATAAATTCGGGAACGAAGCGCCTTCAAAAGAATCCGACTCAATCTGAGAGCAGCAGGGTACGCACGTGCCAAAATAAAAACTCAACCATTGCTCAGGAAGGGGTGCTGCGGGGGAATTGTCATGGTCCATTCACTGCCTCGAAGCCTTAAATGCCCAAACCCCAAAACTCTGAACCCCAGGCCTCCCGCTGCATGTGGCTCGAAAGCTGAGGTAAACTCCTGGGGATGCGAGTGCTGACGGGCCAGGGGCTGCACATGAAGCTCCGGCTGTACAGTAGAAGCCAGAAAGTTGGAATATCAGTATCGTAACCCCTTTAAGGCAAATTATAGGGGATCCTACCATTAATCCATATTCCAACTTTCTGGAGTTCCCTTTAAAGGAAATTTTACTTGTTTCAGGCTTCTGTATTTCCGGTGGGGAGATTTGCAACAGTGTGGTGTAGTGGGCAGGTGTGGAAAGTGACGGCGAACAGAAGCAACTATGACAATTGAACTGTGATTTACAGGGGCCTCCCAAAGGGGGTATGGCAAACACTGTTTACTAGCAAGGGCTGGCGAGAATCCGATGCGCATGCAACGCATCTGCGCACATCTGTTTCCATCCTCCCATGGCATCCACCCACCCCTGTCTGCCCGCCTATGATTTTCGTCGTCTTGTTCAGGGTTTCTCTGCTGTGTCCGCTCCTCCCAACCCGCTGGCCGTGGTGCAGGAATCAAATCGCTTGCGGCTCGAGAAGGCATGAAACCATTGTCAATGGCATGCCCCATTCTCAATCGGTTGGAACTTCAGACTTGCAGCGCGAAGTCCAAGCTAGTATCTAGTTCATGCGGCATCTCTTGCAAATTCTCGACTCTACTCGGGCCTTCAAGCACACGCAGTCGAAAGCCGAAGCCCCAAACCTCTCCGAACCGAGACTACGACCGCGAGGCCCCCTGTCAACATGACATCCCACCGACACAGATAAACTGTGATGACGCCCTCCCTCCATGACTTAAAATTCCAAGACTGAGAGACCGAGACTCCAATATCTTTCATCCCCCGATTAAAGATGTCGTCTGCTCAAATTCATATGGGATGCCGGAACCCCAGATTCATGGCTTCACACATTCAAGCGATTCCGAGGCTCCAGGAGTTTCGCATCATGCTGGCAGTGGCTGCCTCCATGGCCCTGCAAACCAAGCAAGTCACTGGTCTGCGACTTCTGATTTCAACTGGACAGGACATTGCGGGCTCTGGACGGGCAGAGAAAAATCTCATGCCCGTTTGGGCTGGGACGTAAGAAGTCGAAGGCTGCAAGGGCACAGCTGATCTGAAACCCGGAGTGCGGTTTCATGGGATAGAGGCATGTCGCATCGCAGACGTGCGGATGTTGATTACTCCGGTTCATGCTTCTGCTTCGCCATTGTTGCAGCCCACTCTGGCCCGAAGAAGTCTAAGATGCTTAAATGCGTGGTGTAGAGGGAGAGGCGACATGAGGAGCCACATGCCAGAAGATGCGATTTAAAACCTGAGATCTGACACAGCCATTGTGCGATGCACCATGCAGTCTGTTTTAGACTTCTTCATGGCCAGACAAGCGAAACAACAAGTCTTAATCCTAAGATCTAAACCCTGCGCATATTGTTTTTCTGCTGTCACCGTTCGCGGCTTCCGCGTCTTCCTGGTTGGCGGCTTCCGCGTCTTCTTCTTCTTCTTCTTCCCACTGCGGCGGCCGAAACCCCCAGGAAGGTCCAGCTTCCAAAACTCCGCCTTCCAAGAGCTCATACTGCCAGGCTTTCGGGATTGAAACTTCAACAGGCTTGATCGGTTGGGTAAGGGCGGCGAGGGGCTCGTTCGGGTGGGGCTCGGCAACAAGGACCCTCAACTGGTCGGAGGCTCGTGCCCAAGCCAGCACTCCTGAAGTGCTGAACGCCGCACAGACTGTTGAAGAAACAAACCTTAAAAACAAAGGTAACAACCCCAACCACGCATCTCCAAGACGAAATCAGGCGACTAATGCGAAATACTTACCAGAAAAAGCCCCATAACCTCAACGCTCGGAGCTCTGACAGCCCTGAACTCAAAACCCTAACCTTAACAGCACCAAAACCCTCAGGACTCTACAAGGCCCCTACGCCTTTGGCCCGGCGGCAAACGTCGAAGGCTCATCAATTTCCAGCGCGGACGGCAGGTCGGGAAGACGGGATCCGTCCAGCACAACGACTCCGGGCACCTTCCTGAGTAAGCTTGCGGGGTTAAGACCAGCTTCGGGTCGATGGCGTCACGAATCGATGGGCTCGGGGCCCTCATCCATCAAGCAGTTCCAGCCGTGACTTTACTAGAGTGATAGTATGATGGCACTGACGCGGATAACTGCGTACCTAAACTTTCAGTACCGTCCTACTCTCTTTTCGCCTAAGCCGCCAAATCGCACAACAAGGTGGCGGGTAGGCCCAGAAGGGCTTAAGATCCTCTGTGCCATCATAGAACAGACCTTGCAAGATAGGCTCGGGGGTTCGAACACGTTGCGACTTTTGCAGTCTAAGAGAGCCATCTGAAATCGGTTACAAGGTACAGTACCCCGCGAAATAGAGCCCTCATACCATCCATTTGCCGAAACCCTTGCAATAAAAGCAAAGGCTTGCACCCGGGTGTCTTTTCCACCTGCTCCTTCATGGCAGCAGAATAGCCATGCCTGGCAGTGTCAAGCTTTGAGCTTCAATTCTGGAGCCAGTGCGCCCTGATTCTCAGCACATTGACCACTAAACCCACCAAACATCCTGATCCGATCTCATATCCCGAAACCACAAGTCCGACATAGCTACTCCAAAGCTGCGAAGCCAAAAGAGCACGCCCTGACTTGCTGGACTCCAGTTCGCGAAAACACGTTGGTGACTCCCGGACCTCCACGTCTCATCGCCGAAAGACGTGAGTCCCACACAGCCCCTATGGATCAAAAACTGGACGACCTGAACCCTTGCAAACACCAAAGGGCTCAAAGGTTTTTTCAAGAGGTAACTTACTCCCCCAAGAAGCACAGAAATACATGGTTAAACTTTCCGATTCCTGCTAAACTATAAGAGCCCAACAAGTTTAAAGGTTGGGTGTTGGGGATCTATAAGCTAAGCTCCACAACGCGGAATCCGAGAAGCCGGAACACCAACGCACCAGGCCCCAGTTCTTTGGCATAGCCTCAGCTCAGGGGGGGTTCTGAGGATTAGGGTTCCTTTCCAGGGGGGTTCCTCTGTTGGGTATGCTGCTATGAACGGGTTAGGAAGGTGTAAGTCCCTAGAGGGTCCTGTGTTGGGTATGCTATGAGGTGTAACAGGGGTCGAAGGGGGCTTTGGGGTCCCCGGAGCCTGTGGCGATATAACACCGTTGCCCATAGGCCCCATAGTAGTTCCTTTGTGGGATTACCTTGTAGCATTCAAAATATGATCCCCGAAGAGGAACTACTATGGGGCCTTTGGGTGATCTTGAAGCAGAGCTGGGAGATCGAACGAAGCACGGAGCTCTTTTGAAATCGTTGCAACAGTCGCAGCAAAGGGCCTGGACAAACCTGGCGCATCTTTAGGTGCATGCCAAAGAACTTTACTGGTGCTTGGAAGTTCATGGGTAGTTATATGTGTAAGTTCCCGAATATGGGTTATAAGTATAGTTACCCTGGCATATAATTATAACCCCACTTAAAACTAGCCATGAACCTCCAAGTGAGGAGCGTACGCTGCCCGCGACTCGCGCCTCGACCAGGAGTGAAAATGGGTTTAATGTAGGAACCTGACAAGAAACCTTGAGCCTTTATTAGGGTTCCTTCAAAAGGGTCTATAAGAGTTATTATAAGGGATCTATAAGGGTGCTATAAGAACACGTAGCAACCTGATTAAGAAACCTTGGGTCTGTATTAGGGTTCTTTATTATATGAATCCTACTATTTTGGGGTTGTAGGCGCAAGGTTTCCTAGTCAGGTTCCTACATTAGGGCCTGCTGGCGCCCTATACGACCCCCGGCCTGATTACGGGCCGGAGGAAGGAGGTTGTCCGAGTCCTCTGCTACTGGCGGGAGCCTCTGAAAGCTTTGGGCATCGGGTTCCCTGCGCTCCCCCTGTTGCGGAGCTGCCTCGCCCTAGCCTAAAAGCAGCCAAGGGTCTCGCGCAAAAGTGAATTCGACTGCAGTGCCGGCCTGTCTTGTACAGGCATGCATGCTGCAAGAGCTGCTCCATGATCAACGGCATGCGTTGCACACGCGCTCAACGCACCAGCCCATACCCCTGGCCCAAACTCTCCATTTCAGGCAGGTGCTGCCACAGGGGCAGCCGGTTCGGGTGCAGCTTCGGCAGCCCTGAGAACCACTTCCACACCGGCAGTACATCACGTCACCCGGCATGGTTGCGGCATCCCAGTCGCCACTGTCAGGCATCACGGTCGCAGGCTGGTCGGTAGTCGCAGCTTCCATCGGCAGCGTTTTGGACGTCGCTCCCCGCACAGTGCAGGTGGTGCAGCTGCAGTTCTTCCCCAGGCTGTAGATGTCCTTCTTCCCCAAGTCCTGCTGGCAACTGGCGCCGCAGGGGCAGTGGAGGAAGTCGCTCAATGGCTCCGGCATCACTGGTGCTTTCGCTGTAGGGCCAGTCAGGTTCTGTGCCTGGCTCAGCGCCACGGTCAGGGAGAGGAGCCAGAACACCATGGCGCGGACAAGAGGAAGCCGGCCCAAGGGCAGAAAACCTTTCACTGCTGCCCTTATCCTGTACAAGTAGCAAAGGCTGCGTAGAAGAGAACCTGAGCGACGGAGTGTCGAAAGCACCTCAGAGATCCTGGTGGCTTTGCATCCAGCGATCTAGATCTGAAGTTTCGGGTTTTACGGGATGGAGCCTGATCTTGCCAGTATTGACTATACATCCAGCATTGAAGACCGAGGAGACGGTCCTTGCGACAAGAAGTCTGAGGTTGGTGGTCATCTCAACTTGGAGGTTTATGGCTATAGTTTTACGGTAAAACAGGGGTTACACGTAGAGAAACTAGGGCTATAGCGTGTAACCCACATTACGGGAATGAACCTCCGAGACAGACCCCTCAATTCCGAAGCCTCTCATTAGCTGGTGTGCCAGGGGGCGTTTCGCCTGCTTCTCCAGCTTCCGGTGCATCACGAAGTTGAAGGTCGTTCCGTAGAAGTTCTTGCATTCCATCCACCTCAGGGGCATGAATGCAAGGTTCAGGGTTTTGCTGCTCGTTTCTATAGGTTTTTTAAATTTAAAATGGGGGCCTCAATAATTAGAATAGGGTTTTGGAGTATCTTATACCTAAAACAAAGGAACCCCCAAAATGGTATAGGTAACTTTTTGGGCCGCTATATTATGCGGTGCTCGTGGCTCGTCTCGACCGTTCCGGACACGACACCTCACCGTCTGTCTGGTGCTTCATTGGGAATGGGGGAATGGGTCCTTATAGTAGTCCTATACCCCCCTTAGAACCATCATACAAATAGTATCTTTAATATTCTCTTGGGTTTTACATGAGCAATAAAAAGTAATTCCTAAGGAGACTATAGAGCCCCTCTATAATCCCCAATAAATCGTCTCCATAATCCAGCCGTGGCCTGACCGACTCCTTCCGATGGGGCAGAGATACTGGAGCCTCAAAGAGCAGGTCCGGCGTGATCTTCATGCCTCAAAGTTGCTGAGTTCTTAAGCCCCAAAACGTGTACACTTTTGGTTTAGTGTGGGTAATATTATCCCAAAATCCCAAAAAGTGTAAAGTGTATCCACTCGGCTACTAAGGCCTTCTTGAGCCTGCGACCTCAAGAGCTCCAGCTCAGTTTGCACGGAGAAGCCTCAGCTGGAGGTTGACCGCTTTGCCCACAAGCTACAAGGGAGTTTAGGGTTTAGGGTTTCCGGTTTAGGGTTTGGGACTTGTCCCGTATCCGGGACAACTTAATGTCAACCTTTGGGAATATATTGGGTTAGTATCCCAAAATGCGAAAAAGGTGTATATAAAGCTACCGACTCTACCATTATACGTGCTTGTTCAAGGAGATGCAGGTCGTACAACTGCAGCTGGGCAGGTCTGGTTTTTTTTGCGGCACGTGGTGGTTCTGCACCAAGCCGCCAGCATCTTGGCAAAACTGCACCAAGGTATCCTCGAATGCAGATGCTGCTATCTTCCCTCGATGATGCATGGCATCGAGGTCGTTTTCCTCGGTGGATGCAAGGCAAGTTTCTCAGGGACACTGTCTGGCTTCTTGTTAAAGGATGTAATTTAAGTTACAATAATGGTGGTAGCCTTAGTCTGGTTATTATAAACTAAACCCCGTAACGAGAACCCAGTTGCAAGCTATTGAAGGTTCGGAAGTTGTGGCTCGTCCTCCGTCCTCGTACTGGGCTCTCTTGGGAAACCTAGATTACATCCTAACCATAGCATCCGTCCTCCTCCTCACTTAGCAGAATAGACCTGGCCAACGCCCCACGTTGATTGCACCCCAACTAGTTGCTAGTGTAGCAAACGTCGGCGTGTGCCGTTGTCTGGAACCCAAAGGGGAGTTTCCACAAATAGGGAACACGAATATAGATAGTAGGATCCCTATTATAATATAGTATAAGGACCCCAAAATAAGCTTCCCCCAATTTTCGGAAACTCCCAAATCTCAGCCTGCGCAGCCCAAGATCCCTGTATATAGCATCATGTAGGGGCCTTCATATGCCAAGTTGGGTTTGGGGATATGTTATACTTATATACTTACAATAAGGAACCCCCAAAACCCTATTCTAATCATTAAGGCCCCTACATTAGGGCCCTTACTTCCTAAGTGGAGCTTATTGTAGTTGAGAACAGGGAACCCAAAGGGATCGTTCTGGTAAAACCCAATGCGTCGCGAGGCTCTACAGTCCAAAGCACTTCGCGCAGTAGCCAGGGGTCCAGGGGTGACGAGAGGGCCTCCTCTAGAATCGCTTGCCTGGGCCACCGGCTCTCGAATAATGCTGCACCAATTCACAGCTTTGTGTTCACACGATGTTTATGAGGATCGCTCTTGACACTACTGCCATGACATGATGACGGTGAGGATGCTGGGTGTTGACCTTCTCGTGCTACTCTGGCCTGGCAGACTTCGGAAGACCGGGGTGACAAATGTCTTGCCGTAGGATGTTCATGACTTGCGAGCTGAGCAGGCGAAGAAAAAAATCAAGCTATGACAAGGGGATGTCAGATATGATCAAGGTCCTCAGGGGTTGTTGAACACGACTTGAAAGAATACCCTTTTACAAAGGGCTTTCTCGGGTTCACATGTGCTCTCCAATGTGGTTCCGTCAAGATTCGGATACTACAGCGAACACACAGGCCAACAAACTCGAACCAAACTGGAAAATATAAACTGGCTTCGGCAACTGGTTTTAGCATTTTCCGTTACGAGCACCAAAACAGAATATGAAGATCCCTGATGACCGATCCGCCTCCCTGGGATCGTACGATCCTGGTCCTTAACAGAAGGTGTGTTCACTTGCTAGGGGTCTACATGAAAATTTGACCAACTCAAACCCAACCAAACAAACAACGACTGCTGAACCACGCAAATTATGGGCAAGCCACGCCTCATTCTCCCAAGAGTCCGTGAACGGCGTTTCGTCCCGTGCAGTGTCCAGCAGCTTGTACAATCGGGGTAGGGTCTTCTTCCTCGCGCTTTCGAACGGAGGGAGGTGAACATGTTCTGGGGTCACTTGGTGTGCAAGTTCGGGGTATGTGGCCTTTCTGGCTTATGACTCTTGATGTTTTTTAACCCAGGCTCTTGATGTTCCATAACCTACTCTTTCACATGATGCGGGCTGTTGCCACTGTTGATCTTTTGAAGCCGTCGCGATGAGCATCCTACGTCCTATAATTGCAGGTACAGGGCAACAACGGGCCGTTCTCGTTAACACTGCCTGGTTTGGGGCAATCAGGTTTATTGAAAAGCTCTAAAGGGGTGGGGTGCGGGGCTCTGCACTCGGCACCCTAACCCGATGAGTCCGAACCTGATTGAATCCAAGACGAGCAGACACCAGACAAAACTCCCAACCTCGAATCTTGCAAACCTTGCAAAAATCGAACTGCTAAGCCAGCAAACCTAAACCATACCCCCACGCGTGCTAAACGAATGATGGCCTCAACCCAACACTGAACCCAAGCGCTGAGCACAAGGATAAGCGGCAAGCCCTCTTCGGCCAGGATGTCTTTCAGAATCATGTTCGGAGGCAAGTTCAGCTTTCCTTCAAGCTGAAAGGTTTCGGGGCTGGAGCCTCTACCGACCCCGGACAGAACATATCCGCTTGTTAGAGTCAAAAAATTACCGTATTGCATTGCGGTTCTGGCTATGGGCACTTTGGCATTTCAACTGCAGGGTTCGCTGTTGTGCGACTTGCCTTCCCGGTTGTCCAGGCTGCGTCTTCCGAATGTATTGCACGGCATTCGTCCGAAAGTCATGGCAACGACTACTTGTAACTAGTGATATTTCTCCTTGGCTTGGCGTTGAGATTGCATCTTGTGTTGCGTTGCCCCTTCCTGTACATGCTCGTAAGGCTATCTGTCTGTGCTGTTACCGAATCATCAACTATGACTATAATCATCTTTCCCTGGCTGACCTTCAATTCGGGTTTCGCCCCTTCCGCACAATACTCTTCTTCCTCTCTGCCTTCATCGAACCAAGACAGTTGCCTGCCAGCTGCAACTGGCTCCAGCTCTTTCTCACGCCCGTCGTGTTGTAACATGTAGGGTATATAGAGCTTATTTTTGAAAGCTCTTCTGCGTTTGAACGAAATTTCGGTCTCTGCAAGCCTGAGCTTAAGTTAGCCCCCTTTCACAACTCCGCTTGCGGGCAGAAAAGCGACAGGAGGCCAATTTGTCCTCACCCGGCTCTTGTCAACATGCTCAGAGCATTTGACGACCATTGTAAGTGGGTCGCCCATCTTTGATGACTTTTGTTCACTTCTGGTGCGAACATGTGTGGAAACCACCCTTACTTAACGAATAATACCCATGCTCTCAGGTCGCAGGGCACATTAACGGCTCAAATATGGGGGTTTCCGAAAATACGGGACCCTAATGTAGTTAAATAGTAGGATCCTTCATAAAATGAGGTACCCCTAATTTTCGGAAACTCCCATATGACATGCAAAAAAACCGTTATTGGCCCTCCAGAGGCAACCTCGCTGTTGAGTCCGCACGGCTGGGACATACCTTTGAGTTGTGAAGACCAGCAAACATGAAGAACCGCCCCTCTGTCACGACCTACCCACGGAACCCAATAATCTGGTGACTTGGCACATCTATATATCTGTATATATCTATATATATATATATATATAGAGAGAGAGAGAGTTAACTTGTTTGTTTTGCGTATAGCTATATATATATATATATATATATATATATATATATAGACATTCTGATATGCATTTTGCATATTTACATACGCACACACATACACATATATGTGTATATACAACATACATGTAGAAACCCCTGCTCAATCCCAACGTACATAGAACCCCGAGCAAAAGAGAGCTTTTAATTTTTGGGTTTTCGAGGCAATGTTTTCGGTCAAGAGTGCGGCCAAGCTTCTGGACAGAACGGGCGCGCACAGCTCCTGTCAAGACGAAAAGGTTCACTTCAAAGGGATCTACGAGGGTTCCTTTAAAGTGATCTATACGGTTTTGGGGTTTAGGGTTTAGTTAGGGCTTATAAGTTCAGGATTAGCAGCCCCGGAGAAGAAACAAAGACCCCAAAGAAAGCGAAGCAGGGTTGTTCTTGTTCATCAGCAATGCGGAGGCCTGAGTAGTAATAGGCATAAGACAAGAGTAACGGAATGTCGGCTGTTATCCAGCAAGTATGCTTAGACTTGGGTTTGCGGGCACGTTGGGAGTAAGTCCGTAGTACGCATTATTATTCAAACGTCTATATAATAGCTGGCGTCCCCATGAAGCTTTGATTGAGGGATGCACAGCTTTCGCGGAAAACATGGGACACCGTGGCTGCAACTAGAATCTACAGCAGAAGTCTTCTCCAACTCCGATCTTTGAAGCTTGCAGGCTCCCAATTCGTTTACAGTCTAGCAATCCAAGAAAATCTGGACGACTTGCATTGCTTCCTTCCTTGCTAGGCTTCCTCTGAGTCTCATTTCCGAGGTGGCTTGCTGTGCTTTTTCCGCACGGAATTCAGAAAGCAATCTACAGCGTGGAAACACGCATGCATGCCTGCAATCATGCATACCTGTCAGCCAGACAGCGTGGTGAGCACAGAAACCACGCAAGTTTTCCATGGATGCTGGACATTCTGCGGACTACAAATGCTCCCAGTTCTGGCGATGACGAACCCAATATCCCTAAACCCTAAACCCGAACCCTGAAACCTTAAACCCCAAGCACCTCGCGATGTCGAAGGTCACGGCTGATCTTTGCCAGCTCCGCGGCCTCCTGCAAGAAGAGTCGGCACTAAACCCTTAGGGGCTGAATGCCCTAGCCCGAAAAAAGACAACCATTCTGATTATGGTTTAGGGCTTCGGGGCTCACACTCGGATAATCTTAAAGGTTACCTACCCAGGCTCTTTAGAGCCTTGATAAGCGAGGGCTCAAGCATTTTTGCTTTTGAACGTCCCTTTTCCGTCTCGCGAGATCCCGGAAGCGGATCAGGGTTTAAGGGTTTAGGATTATAGGCCTGCTAAAGTTAGTGGTTGGTTCTGTTGCTGTGCAGGAGCTGAAGCAACTGCAGCCGGGCGCCGTGCAGTAAACTGCTTCGAAAGAGAGGACTTGGAGCTGCCAATTCCAATGCTCGTGTTACGGCTTAGGGTTTAGGGTTATACGGTCTAGGGTTTAGGGTTTAGGGGTTCAGGGTTTAGGGTTTAGGGTTTAGGGGGTTTCCGAAAATAGGGATACCTTATGTTGAAGTCCTCATAATAAGGATCCTAGTATTTAGGGGCACTATATAAGGGTCCCGTTTTTTGGGAAACTCCCATGTCTACACAACGAGTAGGTCAGGTTTCTCACTTCGCTTGCAAACGCAGAAACACGATTTCCCAATCGATTTCCCAGTGGACCGAAGCAGGGCTTGGAAGAGCATGAAACCCGTTTAGCCCAGGTCTTTAATTCTGCTTCTGCCAAACCATCGCCGACACTAACCAGCTTCAACCCAAGGGCCGCGGAGGTCTGAACCCCAAGACCCAAAGCAGCTGCAAAACCTCACGACTGCTTGGAGGTAGAGTTGCGAAGTCCCAGTTAAAACAAGTTGCTGCGAATGCGTTGTAGGTGCTTCTTCGTAGCAATCTCTGGAAGGGCTCCGCATGATAGTGATGAGCTGATAATATATTCTTGTAATATACCTATAGTCTCCATTGTAGCTCCTTTTCTAGGATCCTGAATGTAACGTTGGTTAAACCCGAAAAAGAAACTACAATGGAGACTATAGGTAATGTGCAAAAAGAGCGGCATGGGCCACCTTACAGGGAGCCTACATGCCAGAAGGTACACACCAGTGCACACACCAGCAATATCTGCACTTCTGGACCATCCGGAAGATGAACCCCTCCCTTTTGAAACCGGACTTGATGACACTTCCCTAAACCCTAAACCCCTAAAACCCAAAACCCTAAATCTGTCCGTCTGGAGGCGGCTGCAGTTCAGAATCGTGGAATTGAACATCACTTGTCGCCTCATCGATTTGGCCATCCTCAGCAATTCAATCCCTGACGACGACACTGGGAGGTCGATGGGTAGGAAAAAGTGAGGTTGTGCGACCCCATAAATAGTGGATTATGAGACAGTTGGAGGTTCACCGGTAGTTGCAAGTGAGATGGCAATGATAAAAAGTCCCCTGATATGGGATAGAAGTTTAAGGTTTAGGTTTGGGGTGATAAGTGGGATTATACGTCCCATAATATGGATTATAACTTTAGTTTCCCTACTTACAACCCCACTCCTAACTACCCATACTTGGAGGATCACGGGACTTAGTAAGTAGGTTATAATTGGGGTTATAAGTCCCCTAAGTGGGGTTATCCTAATTATAACCTACTTCTTACCTTACTTACTAAGTCCCATGAGCCTTCAAGTAACCTCTAGGCCCCATAGTAGTTCCTTTTTGGGATTACCTTATAGGATTCTATATATGAACCCCTAAAAGGAACTACTTTGGGGCCTTTGGGTACCCATAACCTCTAAACACCGCCCAGCGCAGGTTACCCGAGCTCCGCAGGAAAGGCCAAGCTCGGAGGGTCATGAAGCCCACGGAACGCACCGGTTCAGCGTTTAGGGGTTTAGGGTTTAACGCTTAAGGGGTTTAAGGGGTTTAGGGTTTATAGGGTTCAGGGCTTTCTTTTGTATGGGTTTAGGACCAAGGCGCAACAACCGGCGCCGGCAGCACACTAATAAACCCGCAGCCCGAAAGCCAAGTGTTGGGAAGGGTTGTGGGACATGTAGCGACCCTTCAAGATATCTTGCTGGCAAGTTTCCCTGCTTGCTTCACTGCGCTCTCAGGCAGGGTCTCCTGCCTGGGTGACGCTTCCATGCCAGTTGTAAGAGGAATTCAGCCCAAAAATCGGCAAGCTTCAAGAAGTCAAGCTGTTTGACACAGGGAAGTGTAGCATTTTGGGCCCTAGATCCTAAATCCTCCGTGAGCCTTTGACTCGTCAACGGATTAAATGCAGTCGGCAAGCAGAGTCAGGAGAAAAACATCCATCTCGTCCGGCTCGAGCTTTCCAGGGGTCTTTATGGGGATTTTGTAGCTCCTTGCTGTTGGGTTATATCTGTATAGGATCGAACTGCTCTATTTGCGGCTCGGGTATAGGATTTAGGGGCAGCGCAGATACCGATCCAGTTACACAGATCAGTCAAACCACGTATGATTTTGCTAAGCTATACTCCATGGTTTGTGGGTGTTTGGGGCTTAGTTTCGGAAGGGATGGCAGCAACAAGCCTTGCTTTTGACTTGACACGCGCCAAGCACATTGGAGCCTGCTGAGAACGCGAGGTGACGTATGTTCGTAGGGGCCTTCATAATTGGAATGACTTCGGATTCGGGGTGTATTTTGTTGTATTTATTTACTATTATGGTTCTCTATAAAATAATAGTAAAAAAGATCCCAAAGGACAACCCAGTTATGTTACGAATAGTGACTACTGGGATCCTATCTCTGCTCCAACGTCGCCAAGCAGTGCGGGCAAACTAGAAGGCAGCTCGGAACAAGCAATGCCCGCTAGCTCTAGATCGTACTAAGTACGGTGGACCTTGAAAGAGGGGACTGCCAATACATGTCTGGGAGTTTCCGAAGATAGGGACCCTAATAATATAGTACCCTGATTTTCGATTTTCGGAAGCTCCCGTTTCGTGTTACGACCCTGCCTGGCGGAAGTTGAAGCAGGACTTCTGGATGATGTCCCAGACTTTCCGCTCCTCCTGCGAAAGCGTTCCACCCAAGATTTGAACGGAAGAGTGGCGTGCGGAGAAACTGTTCAGCAGCTGTAGATTTCGCAGTCTGGCTTTAAGCTTTTTGGAAGATGTCAGCAAGTTCAAGACGCTGAATGCCACGCTTTGATCTGCGGAGCCCCTGGAAGAAGAGGAGATGTAAGACCGAAGCTTGTGGCTGCGGCTCTGGGAAGTACAATTCTACACACGGCTCGACGGTTGTTGCTACAGCAAACACACACGCGCACACACACACGAGAGTGGACACACATAAGACATAAGTACCACATACGCACATGCAATTCCAAATTCTTCCCTAGCTCGCGAAGTGAACGCAACAGTGAATGACACACCCGCACGTACATACACACATATGTATGCATGTGTATATATATATACATGTTCATTTATGCTAACTTTTATAGACCTGCATATGTATATACATACACACACACATGCATACAGTGCTTTTGCTCCCTGCTTTGTGCGATAAATCTGCATGTCTGTGCAGACCCACATATGCACAAGCGACAAACAGAGACGCACAATCAATACCTTGTTGTACTCTACACAGGCTATGTATATGTGCACATGTTGCCACCTGCAAGCTGCCTGCACGCACGCTTGTATGTCTCTTGTACTGTATTTACGGGTACGAGATCGCAGGGACCCCCCTCAACCCTAACTCCTAAGCCCTAAAAGCCTAAACCCTCTTCAAATTTGTACGGCTCTCCTTTTTGGTAACGGGTGCAGGTTCCTCGGGCCACAAGAGTTCCTGCAGGCATTTGGGCTTGCTCCGGGCAAGGGTTTGGTGGCGTAGAGCCGAAGGCATGGGATGTGAAAGACAAGGGGAGACAGAGCGAGAGAGAGAGAGAGAGAGAGAGATATAGAGAGAGAGCCAGAGAGAGAGAGAGAGAGAGAGAGAGAGAGAGAGAGAGAGAGAGAGAGAGAGAGAGAGAGAGAAGAGAGAGAAGAGAGAGAAGAGAGAGACGAGAGAGAAGAGAGAGAAGAGAGAGAAGAGAGAGAAGAGAGAGAAGAGAGAGAAGAGAGAGAAGAGAGAGAAGAGAGAGAAGAGAGAGAAGAGAGAGAAGAGAGAGAAGAGAGAGAAGAGAGAGAAGAGAGAGAAGAGAGAGAAGAGAGAGAAGAGAGAAGAGAGAAGAGAGAGAAGAGAGAAGAGAGAAGAGAGAAGAGAGAGAAGAGAGAGAAGAGAGAGAAGAGAGAGAAGAGAGAGAAGAGAGAGAGAGAGAGCAGGGAGAGAAGGGAGAGAAGGGAGAGAAGGGAGAGAAGGGAGAGAAGGGAGAGAAGGGAGAGAAGGGAGAGAAGGGAGAGAAGGGAGAGAAGGGAGAGAAGGGAGAGAAGGGAGAGAAGGGAGAGAAGGGCGAGGGAGAGGGAGAGAAGGGAGAGAAGGGCGAGGGAGAGGGAGAGGAGGGGGAGGGGGAAAGGGGGGAGAGGGAGAGGGAGAGGGGGAGAGGGAGAGAAAGATCTTGCGGAGACACTTACTGTTGGTGTAGGTATTGACATCTGCCGAACCACAGAGATATTGCTGCCGCCAAGGTACATCTGCGCAAGCTAGCGGCATGAACGTGAAAAATCAATCTAGTCCTTAATGGCCTTAGCTTCATCGAAGAAGGACCATCAAATACCATGAAGGCTGGATGCATGCTTACAGTGAGCCAGCACAAATAATCAACAGGAAATCGCGCCGAGATCCTTCGCCGCCCCTTTCCGCACTGCTCCATGCCGTGATGCGGCCGCAGCACCGCAGGCAGCAACCAAGCCGAGGCCAGCATGCGTTCCTATGCAGAAGGAAACACTATCACCATCACCGCCACATCCGCTGCCGTCACCAGTCGCAAAATCATCACGATCATCCATCATCGACCCTATACCACCATTTCAAGACTCGTCGTCGTCGTAATGAGGCCAACGTCACCACGATCATGGTAGCATGATCACGACCCTCATGAACCATGAATATCACGACTGCCATCTGCATCGCCTCGCCATCATCGTCATCATCCTTATCGTCGTCATCATCTTCTTCACCAACATCTTCAACATTCCCTACCACTATGCTGAAAATCAAAACTTTCTTGTTTCGGTGCTCTCAGCCTTGCTGTGCTTCTTCTTCCTCTTGGGACGAGGACTGTATGGTGTTCGTGCACATGCTGCCGATTTTGGCTAGCCACTAGTCGTTTTTGTTCGCAGTACCACCCCTGAAATGCACCTGCTTGCCACGGCTTCGGTACCACTCTGGCACAGCGATTCGCCGATGCTGTCGCGGAAATCGGCGGGGCATGTCGTGGGACGGTTGGCTCGAGAAGCATTGCAAGATCTTCAGGCCCTGAAGCAACACTAGGGCTCAAAGGGTGATGGCTGGAGCCGTAGATGTCTGGCATAGTGACTTATCGTCTATGATCGTGATGGGTGGCGTCTGGATAACGCTGCTCACCTGCCCCTGCATCCGTTGCAGCTGGGAACCAGCACCGATGCGAACAACACTCACCGCACAACCAGCCGTACCGCCTTGCTCTCCCGATGTTCACGACGAAAGGGGAAATCAAAATCAACAAGATTCTGAGCACTAGGGTTTAATCAAGGTGGGTTCAAGTGCTTGGGTTCCGGAAACCCAAATCCAAGAAGCGATCCCGCGACGATGCCCGCAAAATCAACTCACCCCCTGTCTCTGAGACCTCAGCTTGAGGACCTACACCGAACATGGAGTCTGAAGCCTTTCTGCGATCCCGCTGCTCCCGAACGCCAAACCCCGCAAGTCGATCCAAAGCCCTAGCCTGCAATGACAAAATCAAGGCCCAAAGCCTAATACATGGTGCCCTTTTTAAAGCACTGCCTCTCCAGCCCCATAGTACTGGTCTCCAGGCCCCGGTACAGGGGCTGCGGCCTGCCCACTGCAAAAGGCGAAGGTAGCTACACATACACATGTACCTGCATGTAGTCCCATAAGTTGCCCATAAGTGCTGTACGAGTACTTAAGGTGCAGGAGCAGCTACATCCGCACATGTAACTGAATTTAGTCCAGTAAGTTCTTGACCTAAGGCGTAACTACTACCCTGACGTGACGTCTCCTGGTAACCTGACGTACAACAAGCACCGACGATGGTTGCATGTGACCTAATGATGCCCATGTGCAACCTTGCGACCGAGCCTTCATCTTTCAACTCTCAACTAGCACAAAAGCAACCGACGAGCCAGTGACTGGTCTCAGGTGACGGAATCATCGTTCTGCCAGGCTCCTTGTCTTACATGAAAGCACAGATTGAAGCTAAGTACAAGCTAACTCAAGTCCTGAGTCCATGGATGACTGAGCTGGAAAGTCCCTTCATATCACGGGTAGGCTTAGATTTGGCTATTCGGAACTATCTTCTTCCGGGCGTTTGTGCTGGAACAGGCATCGCATTCATCGCATGTCTCGCCCTGCGACCATCGCCTCAAGGGCGGTAGCTCCTCACCAAATCGAGCACCCTTCTCTCGCAGGGCGCGTTGTGCGCCGCGCATCGTCACGGAGGAGGGGTGCCTCGGAGTAGCATCTGCAATAAAGAAGTTATTCCTGACCTCAGGCCCCAAACCTGCATCAGGAACGAGTAGAGGAAGTTTGTGGGGTATTTGGAGCAGCATCTGCGACAAACTCTCGGTATGTATGCGTACGCTGTATGCATCTACATATGTGAACAAACAAGATGTGCGTGTGCATACATACATACATACAAACATATATACATACATACATACATACATACATACATACATACATACATACATACATATATATATATATATATATGTATGCACAAATGTGTGCGTGTAGGCGTGAGTAATGAATATGTATGCATGTGCGTATGTACGTACGTACATACGTACGTATGTGTGCACGCAGGTACATGTGTATGTAAATGTATATGTACATGTACAGATGCAGATGTATATGCAGATGTGGATGAAGATGTGTGAATGTATGCAAACATGCGTTTATGCATATACGTAGGCATGTACTTAGGCATGCATACATACATACATACACCTGTTGCTGAGACACCGCAGCCCTTGCCATGAAAGGCAGGAAACTGCGAGGAGTAAGGCTTAAAGGAAGATTCAAGACGATGTGCCGTGAGCAGAAGGCAGGAACTTGCCCAATCCCCGAAATCGAAGGACCCCCATTAAGAAACCGAACAAGAATCCGAGGGTTTTCGAAATCAGGTTCCTATACATTCTTTCACCATTCCCAAGCAAGAAGACCCCGGCCTAGCAGCAGTCGGGCTGATGTCGGCATCTTCGTCATCCGATGGCGGCGGGGCATCTGCCGGAGGCTGACAAGACTCTATACAAATTCGATAACAAGGATCCACAGGTGTAAGGGCTCTTTAGGGTTTAGGGTTTACGTTTTGGCTGCTGGGGTCGGGGGGAAGAGGCTGAGCGGTTCAGGAGTTGCGGGTTTTGATTGGTCTTAGGGTTCAGGGCTTCTCAGCCGCCTATTCCAAAAACTTGCCTGAGGCGAAACGACCCGATCAATCACCAGTCATTGAATCATGAGCCGCCACAGCGCAAGACGCCGCAAAACCTAAGTTGAACACAAGCAGACTAGGCCGCAATCCGGAAACCAGGTCCAAACAAGACCTTCAACAGCCATCATTCGTCAGCTCCTAAACCAACTTCAGCAGACACCCCGTAATTATGGTGCATGGCCCAAAACCTCAACACGCTCCGCGACTGGTAGAATCTAGCATCTACTAGAAGTATAAACCATGAACACTAGATCCTCACCCTCACCCGGATAATAACAAAACCCTCGGGCATGACTTCCGCTAACCTGTAATTAACCGCCTCTACCTCACTGGAAACTCTCGTCCCACTCGAGGTCGCGCACTCCAAACCCCACCCTGACACCCTTATCCTACGCCCAAACCTGATGGCCGTAATATCCCCCGACCCTGCACCCCAACCCAGACCCGGACCTGGTGGCCGTATTAGACCTTAAATCCAAACCTCAAACTCTTCAAACCCTAAAGCCTAAATTACATCCAAAAACCTTGGAAAACCCTTGCAAAAGATAAACCAAAAATGCACGGACAACTCGAACACACTTAAAACCGTTTTTGAAAAAAAAAAAGACAAACGGATACAAAAACACCCAAAACACAAGGCATCCGACAGGGCCTCGAGGGGGCCTCGGACTCCGCGATCGGACCTCCGCTGGGAGGACTTTCTTGGTGGTGGGACGTTTACCCCAAGGGTCCAAAGGACCCAATGATCAGGTACTCGGTTTTAGGATCGTAGTTATGTAGGTTAGGATTTGGGAAAGTATAGAGTTGAGGGTCTACTTGGAGGATCATGGGACTTAGTAAGTAAGGTCATAAGTACCTTTATTGGGGTTATAAGTATAGTTACCTTAATAATAACCGTACTTACTAAGTCCCATGATCCTTTAAGTAGTTTTAGAAATAACCCTCTATAGGGTGTAGGGTCTGGGTCTTCGTCCATTTAAGGTTTAGGGAGGGTCTAAATTCAACTTTCGGGCTTCTGATCTACTTTTTAACCGCTTCGGGGTTTAGGGTTTCGGGTTTCTGCGTTCACAACAAGGGCCGTCCAGGTGAGGCGAACGCCTATGTATGTATGTATGTATGTATGTATGTATGTGTGTGTGTGTGTATGTATGTATGTATGTATGTATGTACATATATATGTACTGGATATACATGCTCATATATACATATGTGTGTATATGTATATATATATACACATGTATGTACACAGATAGATAGATAGATAGGTCGGCTGAATGCAACCATGCAGATGACTGGCGACCCCCATAAAATGAACCCTGCTGCGAAGAGACGCCCAGTCCCAGCACGATTCCGGGCGGCACAACTGAACTAGTGGAAGACTTCTGCTATCGCAGCATACACTGCGGCGATCAGGTGCGCAAGGTTTTGGGTGAGCTTTGTAGCAGGACTGTATCTTACCGTTGATATGTGGAGACTACATAAAGACCGAGAAACAGAAAGAAAACGAGAAAGGGAGAGAGTTTGGGTTTGGGGGATATGTTGAACTACGGAGAGACAGAGAGTTTGGGGTTGGGGGTATGTTAGACTAGAATTTTTTTGGCGAAACATCCAGACCTACATATTATTGAGCCAGGGGTTTGAGTAGCCGGGGAGGTAAAGCTTAGTGTTCCAGGGCTTGAAGGGAGGCTGCATAGTCCCAAAGACGGCTTCGAAGTGGGAGTTTCCGAAAATAGGGGGCCCCAATATAGTACCTAATTTCGGAAACTCCCAAGTGGCCGGTAATAGGATGCAGTCAGGATTCAACAGCGGGGTGCCTGGGCCTGATGCACAAGGGCACAGGACCAATCCGGGAGTTTCCGAAAATGGAAAACCCTAATATGGCACCCAAAGTAGTAGGATTCTTATTGTAAGGACCCCAAAATAGGGTGCCCCCAATTTTCGGAAACTCCCATCCAAAGGCTAAAACTCAAGCCCGGCGATCGACAAAAGAGCCCCAACAACACCAGCCCTCATCTCTATAGAAACCTATTGCTTTAAATAAATCCCGGGCTCCTTGAAAAGGTAGCTCCGTTCGGGTTGGAGAGGGCCCCTCAACTTCTCTGAACCCGAGACATGCCTTCCGCGGCTTCTCCTTGGGGGGCGGCACTGGGGGCTCCTGCAGTTTAGGGTGTAGGGTTTCGGCACTCACACTGGGACAATCCAGGTGTAGGGTGTAGGGAGCGGTTTTTCAGGCTGTAGCCTGTGGGTTTCTGAAGCCGACTCCATCATTGCCCGTATTCCGCATTCCCAGCGTTATAGGTAAGCTCTGAGACCTGGCCAAAGCGACGCAGGCTCGCTTGATTCGCTGATCTGACCCACAGATGTCCGTGAATAGCTTGGGGCCCAGATAAGATTATCGTAGGGCCCCATCATTGCTTCATATAAGCATAATTGCCCATACTATTATTCTTGGGGGCTCCTTATTAAAATTACACATAGTATACTATTCCCCGAAACCCTAATACTCATCTGAGCGGAATGGTAAGGCGCCTTTGCCCAACCCCAGCCGTCCTCGGAGGGCCCAACCGAGGTTTGACGCAGCCCGGCCAGGCCCACCCAGTCGACGCTGGGCTTACCCTCCTCCTCGCGCCTATCAAGGTGCCGGGTTTCGGGTGTAGGGTTTAGGGTATCGGAGAATCTCGAGTTTATAGCTTCGACTGCCACACCTGCCACTGGCGGCAAGCCGGGTTTAGGATGCAAGAATGCCGGAAGCCTGCACGCAACCCTGCCTTTTGAGGCTGGACTTGCTGACTGCCCGCCCCCCTCAAACCCTAAACACTAAAGGGAACTCCAGAAAGTTGGAATATGGTTTCAGGGTAGGATACCTTATAATTTACCATAAAGGGTTTAGGATAATCATATTCCAACTTTCTGGCTTTTACTTTACGTCTTGATTGTTTGGAGCAAAAGGCAATCAGAAGGCGGCCTGGGGTCACCATCAAAGGCGTGCGCCAAAAGTAAATGGGGCAAGAGTGGATGTTGCTCTTTGCCATGGAGAGATGTCATGCGTCGTCGACAGCTCCCATCCCCGTCGCTGTGCAAAAATGTCTGTCTCTCTCTCTCTCTCTCTTTCTCTCTCTCTTTCTCTCTCTCTCTCTCTCTCTCTCTCTCTCTCTCTCTCTCTCTCTCTCTCCTGGGCTTGAGGGCCGGTCAAGGCCCCCGGGCTTCAAGCCCACCCGATTTTTTATCGGGGCGAGAGGCGTGACGAACGAGTGTAGGCTTGGACTCTCTCTCTCTCTCTCTCTCTCTCTCTCTGTGTCGATTGCAGCGAGACCCTCGCAAACCTTGATGTGTCCGCAGAAGCAGAAACTGCAACCAAAGGTCAAGCAAATAATCATATAGTGGCCGCAATAGTCAGGATAGGGTTTTGGGGCCCATTATACTGTACTTATATTGATTCAGGAACGCCAAAAATTAAAATAGCATTTGGCAATAGTACGACACCTTCCTGCTCCAAACCCCCAATACTCTGCAACCTCAATCAAGACTCCCAACTCTGCAATACAGAAAATCCGAGAATCCGCAAAGCACCCTAAAGCCCCGGATTACTTGGAGGTTCATTGCTAGTGATAAGTGGGGTTATAAGTCCCCTAATATGGCCATACTGATAGTTGTACCACATGTATCTCCACTTATAACTACCCACTCCACTTATAACACCCACGAACCTCCCAGTAGGCCCTAATAATTCTCAAAGAAGGCGACCTGTACTCAGCCAGCGTTGGGCTCCGCCGGATCCAGGGGGCGACCTCTCGGGGATCTCGCTACTTGGGTAGTTAGTAGGGTTCCTTAAAGGGCTCCTTAAAGGGTTTAGGGTTTAGGGTTCTATTATATAAGGGTTCTAATTATAATTAAGGGGTAGTTATGGGTACTTGAAGGCTCATGGGACTTAGTAAGTAAGGTTATAAGTAGGTTATAGTTAGGGTAACCCCAGTTAGGGGACTTATAATCCCGATTATAACCTACTTACTAAGTCCCCTGATCCTCTAAGTATCACGATGATGCTGGCTCGGGTTCAGAGTTTAAAGGGTGCAGCGTTTAGGGTTTAGGGTCGACATATCAGCAATGCTGGCTCATAGTGGGGCTGAGGTCATGACGATGGCACATGCTTCCGCGATGTTTTGGAATGCTTTGGGGTTTGGGGTTGTCGATGCAGGTCTGGGCCGCTACAGAAAACAGAAAATTGGGGAGGGAGGTACTATGACAAGGTGCAGTGGGATGTTACACGCTGGTCAAATGCACGCGAACTGCCCAGTCATTATCCATTTTGATGCTACACTTCGTGCATTCCCAATTCCCGCCCCTAAGCTACATGTAGCTTCCCAGCCGTTGGAGAACGAACATAGTTTCCATGCAGAGGGTTACATAGCACGTGACGCTCTCGCCTTGCGCCAATCTGCACCCTTCCTCATCGCGGCCTGGGACGGGCCACATCTCGGTACGTTGTCGCAGCAGGCACAGGCAGGGAAACGAGCCAAACGAGCTCAACACGAGTGGTACAAGCACCACTTACCCGAAACATCGTTCTACTACGTCTTGAACCCTAAACCCTAAACCCTAAACCCTGGGCAATTCCTCCCCACCCCTGGCCAAACCCAGTGGCCCAGGTCCCTGCAGATTCCAAAACCAACCTCTGCAACCATCGGCCGAAGCACCCCTTTTTGCATCCACTTAGAGGATCATGGGACTTAGTAAGTAGATTATAATTGGGGTTATAAGTCCCCTAAGTGGGGTTATCCTAATTATAACCTACTTATAACCTTACTTACTAAGTCCCATGAGCTTTCAAGCAGGCCTCTTGAAGTCTGCCCGGGGAACGGCGAAGCACCCTGCACCCCTGAACCCCTGAGCCCTGCACCCGGAATCCTCCGTACAGGCACATCATCCAAATCCTGTCACCCTCTTGCCACGAACGCAGAAGCCCAGCTTCACAAACCCAAAACCCAAAAAGCAACACCCTAAACCTGCCAAACATGTAAAGTTAGCAATGCATGACCCGTAAATTTTAACCCTAGTCGCAGGTTCACGTGCACTTACTAATTGAAGGTGTGTGTGCTTCGCGTAAGGTATCTATTGGTCCTCAAACCTTCATTTCCAAGCCCTCACCTCCACGAAAGCCCTAAACGGCCCCTTCAGCCTTGCATTATCCCTTACAAGACCATATAACCGTACACCTACTAAGCCCCTTACGCCCTAAACCCTAAACCAACCCTAAACCCTGAAGCCTACACCTACGAAGCCCCGTGAATCCTTTCAACCAGAGACCGGCCAACGTGTGCCTTGACCTCCTCCACCTCTTCGAGGGTTTTCGCCTTCCTCACTTGGTTTAGGGTCTTAGGGGTTTAGGGTTTAGGGCTTAGGGGTTTGACGGCTTAGGGGTTTAGGGCTCTAGGGTTTAGGTTTAGGGGTTAAGGGCTTAGGGGTGTAGGGTTTAGGGGCTTAAGGGTTTAGGGTTTAGGGGTTGAGGGCTTCGGGGTTAAGGCTTTAGGGGTTTCAGCACTCACACTCGGACATGCCTGGGCGAGGTTCTCCAGTCGGGTACAGGCACATGTGGCCAACGCCGCCACTCATTGATGACAGCAAAACATTAACAGCATCTCCACACACCCCGATATCCTACATCTTCCTTCGCACATCCTCGTCACGAACATGAGGCCACATCACAGTTCATAAGACCTTCCCACCGGCGTCACTGTCTCACACCGCCAGCAGCAGCCGTTTCATCATGCACGAAAGCAAAATGCTCTCACCGGTCTCACATCACATGCCATGCAGTTTCCAAATTCCAGACTTCCATGCAGCATCGACTTTGGCATCCCAAGCAAACTGCTCTCGCCTGTCTCACATCACATGCAATTCCAGAATTCTTGCATTCCATGCAACATGCAACATCTGCATTGGCATCTCCCAGGGGCATCCAAGAGAGACGCTCAACACAGGAAATGCAAGCAAGCTATGCCAGCTTCCAGGCGTTCTGCAGTATGCTACCACCGGTCGCACATCATATGCCATGCAGTTGACAAATTCCAGAATTCCATGCAGCATCGACTCTGGCATCTGGAGCAATGCTCCCACCAGTCTCACATCACATGCCATGCATTTCCAGAATTCCAGAATTCCATGCAACATCCACGTTGGCATCTCCCAAGGGGCATCCAAGAGAGATGCTCAACACAGGAAATGCAATTCGTGCCCGTTTCAGGCGTTCTGCAAGGAAGATACTGCCAGTCCACATGTGTGCTGAGTCCTTGTCCTGGGACCGAACAAACGGTTGAAAGCCGCCCTGCGCCTATGGGACCACCATTCTAGACCAGCAACGGCCGTCAAAGGCATCCAGATCACCGGACCTCTCGCCAAATGGTGGCGGAATTCCATGCAATCATAATCCCAAATCATGCAGACTCACCTCAGTGAAAGTGGTACTCATCAACTTTCCAGCTGTCTGCAGCCAGGGTCCATTCGTGCCTGCGAGCTTCTGCTATGTTGTTTCCAGCGCGGCCGCGTGGCCAGGGTCAGTTAGCATGTCCATTGTACGGGCAGGCAGCAGAGGACGAGCGTGCCATCGCACAGAGCAGCGCAGGTTAGGTTACCTACACTCTGACTGGGGAGGGTTTAGGCATGCATATAGCCCTGTCCGACGTACGCGGATACGTTGCTCGCAATGTGCGAGATTTCCTCCAAGCGCTGCTGGAGGGGGATTTCTGGAACCCCAGCAAACCAGAAACAGGCCTTTTTAAGGCCAAATTGGGAACCCAGGGCTCCTGCTATCCCTCCGTGAATCCGCTTCTCGTCGGGCTTTTTGGAGACGTGCGTCACCTCCACCTCAAGGTAAGGAACCCCGTTCTCTTCCTTGAAGACGACATCGTATGTTCGTCCGTTCGCCATGTTCGGAACATATCGAACACCAAGGCCTGCCACGGGTGCACAGGCATCGCGAATCTTCGTGAGAACGGTCCTCACGGTCGCCTTCAATGATGTAGCATCATTGATAATCCATGATGCGAATGCATCCTCGGCTCTGAGCCGTGTAATGACTTCTCGTCCAACGAGTAGTCCTCCGAATATGAAATCATCCTCGATGACTCCATATTCAAAAAACTCAAGGAGTCTCGTATGGTATTTGAGGAGAGTCTCCCCAAATTCACCATATCCGTTTTGTTGGATATGATCCACAACGGATTCTAGGAAGGCTCGCATCTGAGGCAGATCGAGTTTGTCCACTGTATTAGGGCGTCCCTGTATGGCGAAGCTGGTACACAAAGGGTTGGCAGCCACCCTCTTCCAGCCTAACAGCCGGAGCTGGGCACACTCTATGCTGTGCTCGCTGGCGATCTTAACGACGCCGGCAATAATCGTCCGAGCCAGGCTCGGCAATGCCTTCTCTGAAGTCAGCTGCGGTACTGCCAGATGCTGACTGTGGGCTACGAGCGCCACAAATTCGTACTGATATTCGCCCAGGGCGTCTTCGTACAGAGGGTTGGCCTCCTTCTCCATTGCGAAGGCAACGGACAGTGCCCGACGATCAGGCCAACGGTCCTCCTTCGCGGTTACCAAACTGGTAGCCTCTTGGATGCGGTTATCCCGCAATTCCAAGTATCCGTCAAGAGTGAGCTTCTCACTCTTGTACTTGAGGTAAGTAGCCTCACTCATGACCGTGGACCATGTCCAATCGATGTCATCGTTGAGGTCGGCGTGCAAAAGTAGCCGGGCCAACTCGTATCCGATTTTCGGATGATTTGACAAAGTGTGTACTGGCAGCCAGTACTCTCCATAGTTTTTCCGAGCTTCGGAATCTATGTTAGCCTGCAGGTCTGCTTCCAATGGAGTCAGACAGCAGTATTCAGCCAGGTTCATAACTTGGCTGTAGGGGTCACGGAGCATATACTCCTTGGTATAGAGGGACCAATCCTCGCATGCCCGCTGCCAGTCTGAGATGCTCAGACGAGAAACTATTACGGTAATGTACCGTGAAAGGCTGTCTATTGGAATTTCTGTCTCCTGGAGAACAGCCAATAGTTGTCCAAGAATCAAACTGATTTCAGCTTGGACTCTGTTGATGTGGTCATGAGAGCCATAGCTCGCATGAATCTCTAATTTCCGCATCGGAAATCTAGTCCGAAGTGCAATTCCTACTGCCTCGGATGTGAATTCGTTCCACTCTTCTGAGGGAACAACTGGTAGGTCTCCCTTGGAGGGTACCTCCATTGCTGGCAGTGCCAGCGTCCAAGGATGGGGTAGGACGCCTTTCCACTTGGAGTCAGGTGGCATGGCCACTCTGACGCCGATGAACCCCGGACCGTTCGTGGTTCCTCCACCAACTGAGATAGGATCACTTGTTTTCACGACTGCACCTTGAATAGTGATAAAGTATTCCACTTGGACCTGGTCTGCAGTGGATACACAGATTGCCTTGACCTTTGAGGTGGCATCTTCACAAACGTACACAGGCTCCCGGAGCAAGGTCACCTTGTGATCTGTGCACATCACCCATTCACCTTGAATGTTAAACACTGGCCTGGCCAGCGGGTTTGGATAGGAATAAGACAGTCCGACTGCTTTATTCCAGTAGGCATCATCCGGAGTAGGACTCCATCCTTCGCTTCCCTGGGGAGGCCTAGGAATGCTTCCAATGATAATCAGTGGAACATTGAAGTGCGTACCTGGTACGACTACGGGCATGGCCCTCATCAGAGACAGTGGCTAAGTTAGCCAACCACATCTGGTTCATTGCCCGGTCATTCACTGCTGCCATATCTGATATGCAGATAGTAGCGTCGCTCGTGATCGAGACCGCAGTCAATTTCAATCGGCCAAGGCCTTGAGCCGTAGCCAGGCTTTAGGGGTTTAGGGTTTAGGGGTTAAGGGCTTAGGGGTTTAGGGATTAGGGCTCACTTGGAGGTTCATGGGTAGATATAAGTAGGGCTGTAGGTAGGGCAACGAGTAACTCCCACTTATACTAGCTACTCGAACTACCCATGAACCTCTAAGCACGGATGGCTGCAAGTCGTGGTCTCTTGAGAGCTCTAATGGTGTGCAAACCACTAGCCCTCAACTCGAAATCGCAAGGACCACTGAACCCCGTAATATATGCCATATGTAACTGTATGTATAATAAATAAATAAATAAATATATATATATATATATATATATATATATGTGTGTGTGTATGTGTATATATATATATATATATATGTTTAAGAATGTTTGTTTATTTAAATTCATATTTACATTTATACTTCCTTCTACTTATCTATGTATTTATAAACTTTTTTTATGACACACGCTATCTACAAATCTCAAACCGGTCAGAGCTGTGGGCCGGCAGCACAGAGGGGGTCTTCTCAGAATTTGAGTGGCTCTCGGGGCTGTTGCGCCTGGTGGGGTTGTAAGTCCCCTCATATGGGACTTATAAGTATAGTTACCCTACGTATAACCCCACTTATAACTAGCCATGAACCTCCAAGTAGACCCTGGATCCCTTCAGCCAGGCTCCAGGAAGATTGAAATCCTCAGCGTGGGCTGAACGAGGATACTAAGTTACTAAGAAGAAGCAAACCCGTTACATCGAGTCCAAGTGGGGTAGATACGACTGAATCGTTGGGTCCTAAACTAAAGAAGAAGGCACTCATGATAAGAAAGCCGTCAACTTCGGGAGGAATAGGTAAGACCCGGCCAAGGCGCAGCACTGCTGACTTGATCTTGGACAGCCTCTCCTCAGGGCTTAGGGCTTGTAACAGTAACAATAGGCGGTGCAGGACGTATGATGTAGGGTGCAGGGCTGAGGGTTTGGGGTTTAGCAGAAGTGTATGCAGAGGGCCGGTGCTTTATAGCATTTCTAAGGGGAGTTTCAAAACACTGACGATTGACACTTCTGCGGCCCGAAGCTACACGGTTCCCAGTGCCGCCTCCATCTGTCTTGCAAATTCAAGAACTCGGTATACGAAAGGACAATCATAAGCTTCTAATGTGTGTGCGTCCTTGTCGCATCGTGCAATGGAGAGCACGCAGCTCTGAAACCCGATTCAAAGCATTTCAGCATCGTCCTACTGATGCAAGGAATCTTTCTGACACCGTTTCAGCACCCCCGGTTGGTTTACATGAACAGTGATGTATCGTGAGATAAGGACTGTCGTGACTACTACAGCTCCGACACACATGCTTTTCCACAGAAATGGATAGTCGCGCAAGAAAAGACTCGGGTTTCGCGACTTGAGAGTATAAACAGCGGTGTCTGAGTCTATCCCAGTAAGTATAAAGCCCAACATTTGTTGGGAACGAAATTGACATCGTGAGACTTAGTATAGAGGCCTGAAAATTAGAATAGGGTTTTGGGGCCCAGTATACTATAAATGTAATAAGGAATCCCCACAATAATATTGGTAATTATTTTTAAGCCCCTATATTAGACACGCCTTGGATTTGAACCAAGACCTCTCAAATGAAGAAAGTGTCGCCCATGTCGCCCTCAGCGATGCTCTCAGAGTCTTGCTCGCCTTTAGCAGAGCATGCCTCTATCAACCACGACGGTGCGAGCATCTGACGTGCCAGTTCGGATGCCGTTTTGTTGCGGTAGTTTCGGATATCTACTCGGGCTCTGGCTGAGAGCAAGGAGGACACAGAATCTAAAGAGCCACTCAGAATGCTAAACATCAGCGGCGTAGCATGGTGATGATGATATGCCAGCAGAGTCATTCGGGACGGCTTCACCCGATGCCGTAGAGCCATGACATTCATCAGAAGCCACCATCCGGGCTCCCGGAGGTGCACCCGGAACTGTTCATTTACATTTGCCCGAGCCTCGAGCAAAACCGAAACCAAGTCGGCAGAACTGCCTCCGGCCCCTACGAGTGCGATGTGTAGGCAGTGTCGCAAGCTCAAACCTGGATTCAGAGTGAGCATCTCCTTCAGCGCACGCACGCTTCCGCATGCACAGGAGAGCATGAAAGGGCTCAGCCCCGGCATGGACTGTTGATTCATGTTGGCACGAGCATGGCACAGTAGACGTACTCCAAGGGCATTGTCCCCTGCACATGCCGGATGGAGAGCTCCGCCTCCCCACGCATCCTTATAGTTTATGTGGGCTCTGGCACGGAGGAGAAGCTCAACAGCCTCGTTGTTGCGAAAACAGCAAGCCACTCCCAGAGGCGTCACTTTGGCAGGAAAACTAGGCTCTGCCTTGGGCTTGGTCGTTGCCTGGTTGATATCCACCTTTTGGTCCAGAAGCCACCCTAATATAGTACCCTGAATACTAGGATCCTTATTATAAGGTCCCCAAAACAAGGTACCCCTAACTTTCGGAAACTCTAAACCCTTATAGAGCTCTTTGAAGAAACCCTTATGTATTATAAGGACTCCACAATAAGGTGCCCCTAATTTTTGGAAACTCCCATATTCCACCTTTCGGTCTAGAAGCGCCTGCAAAACCATGAGGTTGTTGCTCATCGCTGCATAGCAAATTGGCGGCCACCCGGCAGCGTCCCGCTCGAAGATGTTCCTGACAGGTGGAGCAGAAATCACGCCTAAGGATCGTTATGGAGTGTTGACTTTCGCAAGTACCGTACTGGTATGAGGGCCCAGGATTCTTGGGCTTCCGCGCTCCTGAATCCGTTCTGGTGCAGGAAACGATCCAGCATAAAACCCTGGTGGTCAACGCAAGGATCGGTCCGAGTCTGAAAATCCGGAAGAAGGCTGTCAATGGGCTCCACGTCGAGAGCATGGAAATACACCGAAGCGTGTGAGTTCAGAAGGAATCGGTAGTTGTGAAATTCTCCTCGTTCGAGGTAGTGGAAGAGCTTGGACCAAACCATCTGGGTAACCATACGACCGATCTCCACTCTGTCAGAATCGAGCGTAAATTCTCCTTCACCAGGTGCGTCCCTCAATGTGTTTGTTGTCCACATCAGCCTTTGGTGCGTCGCGCTCTCTACAACAATGACACAGCCACCGCTGTGGATCGAAAGTTCCCGTGCTGCTCTCTCCGTGCGACACCACCTGGACGAAACTGTGGAATGTGGAATCTGCAAACCTATGCCGTGTGAACGAGCTTATATCGTCAAAGGAACAGGACACCATTGCAACTTAGGTGCCCTCTTTCGCCCCATGTTGCGAGGCTCAGAGTCCGCTGCTGGTCTTTGTGCTTCAAAGCCGGGCAAAGCACGACGAAGAGCTCGCATCTTGCCACATACTCTGGGATGCTTTGAATGGCATGCTGGCGTCCCCGAGATGCACGGCGACCGATGCTCTGTGGTATGCTGAAGTAGTCATACCAAATATGAAGCCCGCCGGGGGCGAAGTCGGAAGCAGTAGGGCATCTTCTGCTTTCAACCAGAAGTTCCGTGACCGCAGGTAGGGAAATCTTACTTGATCCAGCAGCAATGTTCTTGAGTGCATCTTGCAAGACTTGCAGCTGCTGGAAGTCTGGATCCGGGTGGTTGTTACTCAGCCACTGGTGCGACACGAACATCGCCTTTCCCAAGCTCTCATCGAACTCTGCGAGCACACCGGCGTCTGCGAGCTCCTCGTGCGTCCTGACTTCTGTCATCTGCAAGAAGGCATTGGCCGGCAGCGTGTACATGACAAAGTCCCTGCCGCCTTGGCTTGAGACGTTTTCTGCCTAGCTGAGACGGTATGTGCAGCAAGCCTAATTACGGCCTATGTTGTACGGGTGCTTCCGGGCAAGAGCCCCTGCACAGACGCAGCACCAAGTTTTGGCTAAAGTCACCTGTGAGCCCCTGTAAGCAGGCAGCCTGGACAGTACCAAGGCGCCTGAAACGCGTTCTGAAGACGTCTTGCTGCTTTGTCTTTGCAGCGTTGACGCAAACCGCCCAAGAGACAGGCTGTCCATGGCAACAAGCAAACAGCCAGGGTTTCGGATTTATTCTTTTATTTCAGATTTCAGGTTTTGGGGATTTATAAGGCCAAGGGCTGCTAGTGACTGCTAGTGGCTTCTGCTCCGGAAAGGTGACATCACGCCTACCTGCCAGGGCGGCTCGCTTGTCAAAAGGGGACACGGATCATGTGAACAGTGCGCAGCAGCATCTTTAATTTCTGTCCCAGCCATAACCCTAAACCCTAAACCGCCTGGGACTTTGGGTTGCACAGTACGTAGAAGCTCCGGCCGTAAGGACAGGAAAGGCCGGGCCGAAACCCGAAATCCTAATGTCAAAACTGCAGCCACGTGTCTGCAACCGGGGGTGGCGGCCTCGGATGGACCAGCAGAGCTGGTATTGATTGAGCGGTTCACGGTTTTGGGGGTTAGATACATGTCAAAAACAGAAATAGACAGAGTTATAGACGCAGGCACAGGTGTAGATACAGATACGGTACCATGCATCTACATGAAGCATATTGGGCAAAACACGTGCGTGTCTGCATATGTACATATATATATATATATGTAAACATATATATATATATATATACACACACACTTACACGTAGATAGGTACTTAGGTAGATAACCGGTAGGTAGATAGATTGAAAAATCACGGATTTAGACATACAGGGAGGGAGGGAGCCAGGGAGAGACAGAGAGAGAGAGAGAGAGAGCTTAGAAGAGACATCTAGAGACCGGAACCTATCGTTCAGCCTTCAGTGGCAGTACGCGGAGGTACTTACAAAGCACAGGCTCGGGCTATGCACATGTGCTCGTTTTATGTCTCTCGGATGCATCCCTACAGGACATACCACAGAGGTTCCCACTCGTTGATGCAACCAGCCCAAGCCGGATAAATCAAAAACAAATGTGTTTACTTAATTTGGACGGCTGCTACACAACTCAGGACCTTGATCACCATGTTTCCTGAGCAACTGATGCTGGTGATCATGTCTCGTCATGCAGTTACAGTAGCAGCAACACTCTCATAAAACTGTAGATCGGCACATCACTACATCAAGATGAAGGGAAGCCCATAAAGTCTCCTGTCTCTCAGGCCACTCACGGCCATGGACGCAGCGATTCAACCCGTACACCCCAAATCGCAGAAATCCTGGGCTGGGACTAGACTCCTAGTGAGCTTATTATACAGAGCCGGAGCATGCCACCAGAGCACCCATATTTCGCGTCGAAATCCTGCGGCAAACTGATCTCATTCTGAACAAGTCAGCATGTCCAAACAACATGCCCAGGGATTCGTCCAGCCAACCACAGGACGGATAGGGTCGGATCTGCAATGTAACATAACGCTACATTACATGACACAACATCCATGATGCATAGGTGCAGGCATGCATGCATCTGCACTCTTTCATGTCCGTCTTTCCATGTGCCTCAGTTTAACCACGGAATCATCAAAGCTGCTAACAAGAGAAGATAGGTGCACAAGTAAGTGCATCTCCGTGCACATATCTGCATCGAGTTCTGCACCGTGAGCATGTCGAAGTACAAAGTCAATACATTCAAAGGACCGGCCTTGCAGACAAACCAACAAACTGACACAAACACGCACACAGAAAGCAAACACTGTCACTGCCTCCAGTAATGTGGACTACGCATAATGCGGGATGGTGTCCATCAGTAGTATGCAAATCCATCGCCTCTTCATCGCTGGAGCTTTCCCCATCTTCGCCATTGCGGCTCTTGAAGTAGCGCTTCACCTCTTTTCTGGCCTCCGAACTAGATAGGAAGCAGCAGCGCTGCAGGAGGAGCACAGGAAAAAAGTACCTACCGTCAAGCAGAGCGCTGCCAGTCACAACACTCAATCACTGCAAGGACGGGGGAAGTGATGCTTGCCATCGGACAGAGGCAACAGGCATTGCAAGAAGCAGCCAGACCATGCTCGCGCGACAGTCCATCCGATCCGTGCTCCACCCTGGCCTCTTCCCACTGCGGGGGCGCGGGCTCCCCGAAACTCCTCCAAGTTGTTGCCCTAAGGCTCCATAGCAGTTCCTTTTTGGGATTCATATTTAGAACCCCAAAAGGTGACCCCAAAAAGGAACTACTTTGGAGCCTCTGGGTGTTGGGTCCCCATTCGGGAGTTCAGCTGAACTGGGTCCTGCTGTCCAGACCTTCTTGTGGGACTCGGCTTCAAAACTTTCTGAGCGACACTGCTCAAAAACCCAACCGAGGAAGTGAACAAGCGCACCGACTTGTCGATCCTACTCGAACTTGTCTCCCGAACGCAGCAAAACTTTCTAATTTGACGCTCAGCCGCCCTTTGCACTGTGCACTATGATAGCCCCAACCTCTCAACAGGAACGATTACCAATCCCAATGTCTGCCGTAAACCTAAACCCGACAAGACGAATATGTTGAGAATGGGTACTTGGGGGACGTTATACTACCTTACCAATAATCGGAACCCTAAGGAATGACTCGTCAGACTCCTATTTTTACAGCTCCCAGCACAACTCTACAACCTTCAGACCCAGCCAAAACACTCCCTAACTGTAGTCCAAAACACCTACCATTTAGGGAACCGCAAATAAAAACAATAATAAGGAAACCCCAAACATGCAGGTCTTTTCGGCTACAGGTAGACCCTAAACCCTAAACCCTAAACCCTAAAGAGAAATCCGAATCCGCTCAAACTGCGCGCATGCCTGCGCCTCTCGGCTTGCAGCTCCACGGCACGTGCTGGCCTGCTTGGCGCCCACATCCCGAGCCCGAGACCCCTGGGTTTGTAGGCTTTACTGTTTGAGCAGCGGTTTAGGGTCTAGGGTTTGAGTTTAGGGGTCTAATGATGTCCGGAACTTCGGGTCAGAAGCGACGTACGGTTTAAGGGTTTAGAGTTTATAGGGCTTCCCGCAGCTTTCAAGACCAACTCGCAACTGTGGTTCAGGGCCGTCTAGGCTTCTTGGGCTTGCGGTTCTTTTTGTCTTCTATTTTGTGTGGGCCCTTAAATTTACCCAGAGGCTCCAAAGCAGATCCATTTTTAAGGCTACCGCATAGGATTCAAGATATGAACCCCAAAGAGGAACTACTATGGAGCCTCGGGGTAGGGATGGGTCTTCCTTAAATAGACCTTGTTAAGCCTTGTTATAGGCAATACGGCCCCCTCCCCCCCTCCCCCCTAAGGGTCCTTATGATTTAGGGATTTGCTGTTTTATGGATTCTTAAAGCACGGCCCCGTGAAGTCTGTCAGCTTGGGAGCGCAAAGAGCTGCACTGGCATCCCATGGATCCACCCACAAGGCCCCCAAACCCTAAACCGGATTTAGGGTTAGGGTTCAGGGTTTACGCTCTCACAACTCGGGTTCAGGGTTTAGGACTTAGGGTTCCTAAACCCTAAACCTCACCTGAACCCCAAAAGGATGTAGAATAAGAGCCTTTCTCAATAGCTTTCGGTGCATGATTTTGCTCACTGCTGGGAGGTTAGGTAGGGTTTAGGGTACCTTACACTCTACACCCTGGGGATTCCGGACAGCATCACGATCTCCAGGAGCTCGCCATCCTCTTGGAGGCAGGGACTCCAAGCTGGAGCCCGGTTCTTCCTTTGATAAAGAACCCTACTATAGATCCCTTTTGGAGCCTTTTAAAGGAACCCCGGAAAGGAGACCTTTAAAGGAACCCTGCTATAACTTTTATGGCCGCCAAAGAAGCACAGCCCTAACTTGAGCTGACTACGTGCATCTGGGTTCTGAGCGGTAATCTCATACTACAGGGACCTTAGTAATCGGCTTTGGTGTGCTGTGCTAGATTTGGTGTCTATACTAGAGTTATAGGGACTACATTGCAAAACTATTGCGAGTTCTTCTAACCCCTATAACACCCTTCATCAACCGTGACAAAAAGCCCCCCAAACCCCACACCAAAGTAAAATTCCTCAGACCAAAGCCTTGAATTGTCCCTCAGACCCTTTGGCCCACATCCAGACTGCCTTTGCGTGAAATCTACCAGGTCTTCGGACGGGGCTGATCCGAAGCCACCTGGCGCACAGCAAGCCCGCACGGTAAGGTTACCTGGACCCCATAAGTATGTAGACGAATAGCCTTGTGTAGGTGTTGCACCAGGGTTTAGGAAGTTCAGGCGTTCCAGGTTCACAGAGCTTCGCTGTGTCCTACTTGGAGGTTCAGGGTAGTTATAAGTGGGCTTATATAAGTCCCCTTTAAGGTGGGTTATAAGTACATTTACCCTACTTATAGCCTCAGCCAAGGTTAGCTCCCTTGCTAGAGCCTCCGACTGCTCAAGTTCTGGCTTCAAGGGCTCGCGGTAGCAATGAAATGCCGAGACGCTTACATCGACCTATTTCATTGAGTACCGAGGCTGCAAGCTCTTTCATAGGGACCCTTGCGGGGGTAGGGGACTATACTTCAGTAAATAAGCCTTATGATACACCCTGTTTTCAGCCCAGAACACCCTTTGCACCATTCTCGAAGCAAAAGTTAAGGCCTTTGTAATCCGCAAACCCAAGAGTTCATGTAGGGGCCATAATAATTTAGAATAGGGTGTTGGGGGGGTATATTATAGTATAATTACAATAAGGAACTCCCCAAACCCTATTCTAATTAATTACTAAGGCCCCTAAACTATCCGGCACCTAGAGTCCTACAGGCCACGGCCCCGCCTCCCAAGTCGAAATGCCGCGCTGGAGAGGCCGACTGTGCCTCCAGTGGGAACGCAAAAGCGTACTTACTGATGCACTTATTTGGGGGTTTTCGAAAATAGGGGACCTAATATGATACCCTAAATAGCAGGATCCTTATTGTCAGGACCCCAAAATGCAGGGCCTATAGCCCCAAAACAATAGGATTCAGAAAAGGAATCCTAATAAAGGCCCAAGGTTTCTTGATCAGGTTCCTACATTAGTATGGTATCCTTATAGATCCCTGGTATATAACCCTTGTAGACCCCTTCAACGGAACCCTAATAAAGACCCAAGGTTTCCGAATCAGGTTCCTACATTACATCTTTCAAGGAAGGTTCGGAGCCTGTAGGAGCTGCCAAGATACCGAAATCGTAAACTCCAAACGAAAAGAAACCGAGCCATGGTCCAAGATTCCCAAATCCCAAGACAACGTACCTCCAAAAACCCCTAACCCTAAACCCCACCCCCCAAGCTCTACATCCCAAGCCCCTATGATATAGGGGCCATAATAATGAGAATAAGGTTTTGGGGCTCTTTGTACCGTACTTATAACAAGGAACCCCCAAAATAGAATTGGTAATTATTTAGGCCTTTGATTATAGAACCCTACTATAGACCCGCTTCAGGATCCTTTTTCAAGCAAACCTATTCAAATTATTTAAGGCCCCGATATTACGGAAGAGTTCCGCAGAATTGAAATTCCAGGGCCCCGAGGCGAACCTTGGCTGCTGCTCTGAGCAGCGGCTTTCGCGTGCTCAGTCGAGCCTCACGAGCACCCAGAGGCTCCAAAGTAGTTCCTTCGTGGGGTTAGGGTTTAGGGCTTGCCTTAACCGACCAAACCCTACTTTTTGTAGGCTCTTATTATAAACCCTAATATGGGATTCATAGGGACCCTACAAAAAAGTAGGTTTTGGTAGGTTAAGGTGGTTCTAAATATGAACCCCAAAAAGGAACTACTATGGAGTCTTCGAGCAGGGCCGTCGTGGCCAAACTTTGGAAACAGCGAGGGTTGTCCTTTAAAGGGCTCCTTCAATGGGGTGTAGAAGGGATCTATAGTAGGATTCCATAATATAGGGGCCTTAATCATGGGAAAGGGTTCCTTTAATGGGGTGTAGAAGGGATCTATAGTAGGAATTTATTATATAGGGGCCTTAATAATGGGAACAGGGTGTTGGGGCCCATTATGCCATAAGTATAATAAGGAAACCCCCAAATAGTTTAGGACATGATTAAGGCCCCTATATTACAGGTGTCCCTTGAAAGGGTCTATAAGGGCTACGGCTGAGGAGGTTTAGGGTTTGGCTTTGCTGAATGGCCACGTCTGAAACAGTTGACTGGGCAGCTCGGACATTAATCTCACAGGAACAGTGTACACAAGTAAACAAGTAAAACGTCCTTGGTCCCATCCGACACCCAACGCGTCCTCTTCGCTGGGTTGCAATCTCAGCTCTTTTTGATGCGATGCTGGACGAAACGAAACTGCGCTCTGAATGACGTGCCAGATTCCGTCCCGAACGAACGCATGGTGGACACGTCTTCGATTTAGAGCATTCAAACAAAATTCGGGCTGGCGCCGTCAGGTACAGCAAGCTGTACCGTGGATTCGCTCACCCGTGACATGATGGCTTCGACTGTGCATGTGACCGTCTTGAGAAGCCGACGGATCAAAAAGGTGACACTCGCAAGCTATTGCTGACGGGAACAATTCTTCGCAGTAATATCCTCTCCTTCTACAGAGAGAGATTGCTGATGGAGGCAGCTTAGATTTAGATGAAAGGGGAGACCTTCCGCACGACACCTCGGCCCTGGCTGTAGTGGTAGAGGGTGGTGTAGCCCAGGTGAAAGGGCAGCCACGCATACTGCAACATCTTCCCCAGCACCTTGTGGGCGTCGATGGACTGCTTGGCCAGGCGGTCATTCCTGAGTTGTCATTTGAGCCCTTTGAAAACTATTTACTATTCTGGTTCTCTACAAAATAGCAGGGGAAATCAAAAAAAGATCCCAAAAGACAACCCAGATTCCTGCGATCGTCCTCTGCCTTGCCGGTCTTGTCGGAGCCTGGAGCCCACTTGAGGAAGTACTCGTTGGCGATGCCGGATACCTAGTTCATTGTTGGGATAGGATTAAGAGTATACATGTCTATTCCCTAATTGGGTTTAAGCACCCATAGAATTGTAAAATGTTACACAACTATGACCAAGATACAGGCAGGAGCAGGGCGAAGGCGTAGAAGGCCCGGAGACTCTGGGTCTCGATCATCTGCATGATGGGGTGTCCCGGGAAGCGTGGTGGGATGCCGCTCTGCATTCGGAACATCACACGGAAGACCAGCGCCACCAGCATTAGGATGCCTGTCTGCTTGTGCCACCAGAGCATCTGCTTCTTAGCCTGGCCTTCCGAAAAGGATGCGGCCTGAGCAGTGCCCACAGCGCCGAAGATGCCCACTGCCATGATGAGGTGCAGATGCCGCAAGGCACGGCTGTAGGTGAACTGCGACAAGGGCTTGCGATTCTGGAAAGTCTTGAAGAGGTACCAAGCCAGTGCAGCAACTGCCACGTCCGTGACCTTGTACTTCAAGTAACGCCCAATCTCCGAAGTCTCCTCGCCGACGACCTGCTGCACTGCAGCCGTCTCCGACCAGTCCGTGTTCTCTGCTGGTACCAGCTGACCTACCAGCATGTCCCGGTCCCGCTGCACCCGAGCCTTCTCAGAATGCTCGAAGACCTCGAAATCCTTGGTGCAATCCGTGCCTGCCTTGGACATCAGGATGTCGTCGCCGCCAGGGTGGCTGCCCAGTAGGGGCTTCAGGTTGTAGACACGGTTGTGGATGATCATGTACGGCTCCTCGGCAGTGTTGTGCTTGGCCACCTGGCAGTTTCCGGAAATTAGGGGTGCCTTATGTTGGGGTCCTTATAACAAGGGTCCTACTACTTAGGGTACTATATTAGGGTCCGCTATTTTCGGGAACCCCCAGAATAGTGCGAATGTCAAACCCCTAGAAACCGTAAACCCTAAACACCAAACTCTAAACCATTTTTCAGCACGGGCTTCGGTTGTATGCCGGCAAGCTGGGCTCTCAAGGTCTTCCTGAGATACCTGCCAACTTGAAACTACCCTAAACCCTAAAACCCCACCTCTGCGCGGGAGAAGAAGGGGAGGTCCTTCCCAGCCGAGATCTCCGCCAACTTCGGGAAGCGGCTCTCCTCGGACAGCGTCGGTGCGTCCTGGGTTCTTGTGAAGGATTTAATTTTCTACTATATGTCCCTAATAATGGTAACTTTAATCTAATGTTAATTATTTACTGTATATCCCTACTAAGGTATATAACGTTAATATTATTTACTATATACCCTATTATGGTAACCTCAATACTGTTTACTATAAATCCCCATTATGGTAACTCTAATATTATTTACTATAGATCCCTGTTATGGTAACTTAACCTGAAACCCTTAACCTCTAAACCCCTTGTAGAACACCTATAAACGAACCCGTATAGATCCCCTGAAAAGGAACCCCTATTATATTAACTTAAGTTGAATCCCTTAAGAAGAACTTCAGAACCCAGCATCCGTCTTGCCCGGCACCTTCACGGCCGTCTTCACCGCCTCGATCTCCTCCTTGGAGGGGCCCTCCAAGCGCCGCAGCTCGTCGTGCAGCTCCTGCAGCCTGGGTTCTTGTTGAGGAAGTTACCATAATTTACGGTCCCACTAAGGGTTCTATAAGGGTTTAGGGGTTAGAGTTTATATAACGTAAGGTACCATTATAGGCTAAAATAAAATGTAGGGACCAAAAAAAGGTAATATGGCTTCCATATTATGGTAACTTAAATTGAACCCTCTTACCAAGAGCCCAGTAGCTCCATGATGATGGAGTCCACTGGCTTCTCTGGGCCGACTTTACCCGTCTTGAACTCCGGGCGCATGTAGTACTCCATCCACTGCTTGCTGGGGAACCGGCCGGGTATTTTGTCGAACATGCGAGTCGCATCACGACCTGCCCAAGCCAGGATGGAGTTGCGCTGCTCCTGGTGGTGCTGGAGGAAGTCCGTCAGGTCGTAGACCTCGCCACAGATGGCGATCCAGCAGTCGTGCGGCTTGTTGTGCCGGGCCACCTCCGACAATGGGATGTCGCTGCTCGACCATCCCGTGGGTACCTCGTGCTTGTGTGCGTGGTCCTCGTGCGACAGCAGCTCCTCCACTGATACAGGGGTCTTAGTAATTCGAATAGGGTTTTGGGGCCCATTATACTATAACAAAAATCAGGAACCCCCCCAAATTGTATAGGTCGTACCTATACTATTAGGTAATTAGGAGCTCCTCCATGGCCCGCTTCACCTCAGCCGCCTTCGCGAAGTCCTCGGCATCCAAGGCAGCCCGCTCTTGAGTCTTCAGGCGCTGGAGCTTCTTCTTCAACTCCGGGTCCACGGTTTTGTCCTGGTGTAGTATATTCTACCATAGTATACTGTAGTATGTTACAGTATAGCATCTTCTTCAACTCCGGGTCCACCGTTCCTAGTACGGTATATTATACTGTAGTATAGAATAGTATACTGTAGTAGAGTATGTTATAGTATAGCAGTATAGCATAGTATAGTATAGTATCTTCTTCAACTCCGGATCCACACTCTCGTCCTGGAGGAGCCTTGGGATGCTGTCAGCCTTGTGCGTCTTCGTGCACCGATCCAGCAAGCGATCCACCTCCTGGCGGATCTCCACGATGCCTAGTTCATGGTTGGGATAAGATTAACAAATGTAAATTTCTATTCCTTCTTGGTATTAAACAACCATAAAAATGTAAAATGTAAAATGTACATTGTTATTCCTTATTGGGCTTAAATACCCCATAAAAGCATAAAATGTTACCCAACGATGACCAAGATGCGGGCCTCGCGCAAAGTGTGCCAGAAATGCTCGGACATCAGGTTCCTGGGCTTTGAAGTAACCAGGGAGAAAAAAGTACCAGGACCCTCCCTGTACCCTCAAATAGGGGTATATGGGCCCAAAGAAGGGGCATTTAGGGTCTAATAGAGGGTAGCTGGAGGGTCTAGGTATAGCCTTTTATTTCATAATGGTTCCTTTTCAGTAACACGTCCCGAAAAAAAGTATTAAGGTATGGTACTCCAAAGCCCAGGTTCTCATCCACCCCCAGGTCGCCTAAGAAGGCCTCGGGCCGCAAGTAGGCGTCGATCTTCACGCCCTTGTGGATCTCATTGAAGAACTTCGAGGCGTCCTTCCCCGCCCAGGCGAGGATGGTCGTGGGACCGCCGGGATGTCGATCCATGAACTCCTAAGTCTTTAAGTTCATGTTACCAGGGACTTAATTAGCACAATAAGTTACCATCATATTGTTTAGGCAGCTTAAAACTCTTATTAACCTCCTGGGATCATGTCTGTTCAGAAAATATTGTCTGTAGATCCCTGTAGTTGTGGAAACTTAAGCTAGACGCCTTAACAACAAGAACCCAGTCTCCGAGAGATCATAGACCTTGCCATTCAGCGCCACCCAGCAGTTCTCAGGCGTGCAGTGACGGTTCACCTGTGGGATTTCAGAGGTTACGGAGCCCGAGCATACCAAAAAACCCTATACCCTAAACCCTACACCCTATAACCTAAACCCTATACCCGAAACCCTATACCATAAACCCCCGCAGTAGCAAGATCCATTGTTTTTTTCATATTCGCCCAACTATAATTTCTCTTACTGTGGTAATCTAAAGAAACTCCTAGACGAGGCAGACCTACTCTTCAGAGGTCCCCCCGGCCCCCCCCCAACCTCGGAGAGCGGGATGTTCTTGGAGATGGCGGAGGTTCCCGGCTCGTGGATGACTTTCTGCTGGAACTCCGGGACCTAACGTCTCGGGGCTTAGTCGAGAAGGGGCCTTAACAATCAGAGGCTCGGGCCATCTTTACGGGTTGATGGGCCGTTTTGTCCAAGGTCTATTTAGGGGCTTCACAGTTGGACTTGGGCTATCGTTTAGGGGTTCATGAGTGCTTTCGTCCGAGGTCTGCTTAAGGCCTTTGGGTTCTGTGAGGGTTTTATGGAAGTTCAGGGCACGCTGGCCGGATGCTCGTCGGTGTACTGAGAAGCCATGGCTCCAGAGGTCGAAGGAAGGCGGCGACAGAGGCTCGGAGAGGCAAAAGATGCGATTTTCCGTGCGTGTTTCTACAGAGATCTATGAATTTCTATGTGAACGATGGTGCGATGCTTGCTGCTTGAGCCGTAGCATGCCGTCGCCGTAGCCAGCTGTTTCGGGTTTGGCGTTCAGGAGGCATAGGCCCGAGTTTGGGGTTGAGAGGGCGACAAGTACCACCAGAGGATGGAATTATGGTCTGTCGGATGCCGGGTTTAGTTCGGGTTGTTAAGTAAGGGATCGTGGTCTGCAGGCAAGACAATTAGAACCTGCAGGGTTCAGAATCGTTATTTCTATGCAACTGGTTGCCACGAGCTCTTGAACCCCTGGTCAACTTGAGCTGATGCACCCCTGGCCGGAGCCTGGTTGCGGCATGTGCGGGGCATTGGCAGAAGAGCCTGCAATGCTGAGAGGCTTCTGAGCACACCAGGCCCAGGCTTGTGCTGCCAAACTATGAGCCTGACCTGGACATAAGATCATATCAAATAGTTTTGCCCAGTGTAGCTCTCTCTGAAGACTTCTGTTTGAGGAACCGCAGTCCCGGCAGATGCCCGGGGCCGGAACGAGTAGAAGCACTTGGCAGGGTAAGAGCTCTCTCACCCTTCGTCTCGGTTCCCGGTTTTGGGGTTTGGGGTTTGGATGTTTAGCTCGCTCTCGGGACATGCCCAGCGAGGTTCTTGGTGCTTAGTCGGACGGAAATGATAACTGGTCCTGAGGTTACTCAACATATGCTTCTAGTCCAACGTTCGTGTCAAACATACCAGGCCATATGAGGCTTTAGTAACAGGAACCAGTGTTTCGGTGCTCAACGCGCTCAACTCGGACAGTCCAGTTTAGGGTTTCGAGGCTTCGTGTACGAGAGGTGAGAAGCTCCGACATTGCAAGAAGGGATCCGCGAAGCTTTCCTTAGATCACAAAGCTGTGCCACACCCCGTCCCATGCCTGGCTGCAACCTCCGGTGCAGCTGCCATGTCACTACAACGCCATGTTGCTGTCGCCCGCTAGAATTGGATTGCACTGGCATGTCCACGTGAGAAGCTGGGCAGTTGTGTTAAGGCATTTATATCTGGTGCTTGTGCAGGTGACCGTTTCGTCTTTCATGAGCGACTAATACGGACCCTCTGCATGTTGATGACCATGAAGCTGCAACGGCAAGCGGCAAGATTCCATCAAGCACCACTCGAATCGCAATGCCTCCTGGCGCAGGGACCGGGGCGACTGCATGAAGCCTCTACCCTGAACCTCTGCCACACACAGCTCTTCGACCGCCCGGGACCGTGGCCGTGGCTCTGTGTCTAGCCTGCTCCTCAGGATTATTGCGAGCTCAATGCGACCGACGGGAATGCTCGATGCACTAGAGCCAGGCGCGACGCAGTGCAGGGAGGGCCAGCCAATCTGACAGCCAAGGGTCGTTCGCGCTGCCACGGCGCGTAGTACATCCAAAGCCTGGCCAGGGTGAAGCTTCCAACTGAAGCAGGAAATCAAAACACGTAAGGGTCACCCACAGTGCTGCATGCACGGGAAGGTGATATAGCTGTCTTCTAATCCCAGCCTCAAGTTTCAACTGCCATTTTTCCAGCACTGGAGACCCCTTCGCCGCATGTACAAAGCTTCGTCCTATGCCGCGAACCATCCGTCGTCAAGCTCACCAACCCGTCAAGCTGAAGAGCAAATCCCAACAACCGAAACCACCACCTTAACCTACAGACGATGAACCCTGACATCCCAAAGAGGGAACCCTATGCACCGAAACTCTAAACTCCAAACCCGTAAGGACCCCGACAGCCACGAGAGGCGGCCGGGAGCCCGGGCGGGGTAGCACCCTGCGAGGCGCCCTCGTAGAGCTGCGTGGTGGCCACTTGGAAGCACCTCCCCGACAGTACGAAAGGGGCCCTTGATACTTGTAACAGGGCTTTGGGGCATATTAGTCTAGGATCGTTTTCTAGGGCCCTATGTCCCTATGTGTAATGAACAGCTACAAAGATTTTGGGAACTTGAATCTGGAGCTTGTTGCTCGCAGTGGGACGATCCGGCCGAGGTCAAGGTCGCTTGAGGATTGGGGGTGACGGGTTCTACAGCGTCGCTGGTGTGCTGGTAGACCAGGGCAGGTCCGACAACCATTCCATGTCGGGGACTCTCTCATATGGGCCTGAACTGAAACCTCCATTATGCGAGCACTCGAAAAACTCGCCAGGGCAACTTTTCTGCATTCTCCTCGACGATGAAGGCCCAAAGCTGATCGAAACATTGCCTCAGGGAGGATCCTTTGGGATTTTTGCCTTTTTTGGGACCTATAGGTGTAGGGCATACAGGAATGGAATGCGACTAGACAAAGCAAAACCAACCAGAAACCACGGCTCACGGCTTTTGGGGCTCTATGTAGGAATCGAAAGCACCAGAAGGATCAATGGTAGTCCTGGGTGATTCTGCCTAGAAGCAGACCTAAACGCATTCATCCCACCACTGTTCATTCGGAACCGTGGGATCTTGCAGCACCGTTTCGGACTTCATGGTGTGATTGAGGCTTGAACTGTGTAGGGGTTGGAGGGCTGAGGTCTTAACAAACACACAAAGAAGTTGCTCTTCACCACTGCGGGCTCTTTCCAGATTCAAAACTAGATCTGGCCGACTCGTTTGTCTATCGCACCTGGGGGGCTAGTACCTGAACGGCCGGACAAGAGTCGAAGACATATGCCCGACCCGATGAAAGCCTGCAATACTGAGTGCCTGGCTCGTTGGTAAACTGCACGTGGGTCCACGTATCCAAAAACTGTGACAGCAAAGTACGCCGAACGCAGTATTGCACAGCGTGTCTGGCCTGAGCACCGAGCTTGGGCAGCACTTTATCTACTATTGGGCTACTGCGGTTTGGTTGGGTGCCCACGCATCGCCGGCGGTGCTGCTAGGCCGCTAGGCACTCAAGAATTGTCGCACCTCTGGTTTCAACCATTGCACCTCCTCCATGACCTCTACATCGCCATCGGGGAGCTGAAGGCGCCTCCAGAAGGGGTCAAAGACCGCGACTGGCAAACACGCATGATTGAACCACCCGAAAGGGGACTCGTACTAAGTTGCCTCTCTTCGAGTATCTTCCTCAAACTGCAAGTTGCGGAAAGCAAAACACGTGGCCCTGCAGCCGCCGCAAGTCGACGCGGCCTGTTCACTTCGACTGCAGATCGCAGGAGCGGCACGGCCTGCCCAGTGGATGTCGAACTCTGGCGTTGGAGTGTTGTGTTCTTGGGCTCTTGGAATCATGCATTGGAAATTTGTCGGTTGGAGCTTAACGAAAGAAGATTGAATCGCAACACGAATGCAGATTGGACAAGGAGTGGGCAAGTACTGAAAGAGCGTCACATCTTGCATGTCCTCCACCTTTGATCCGGAGGCGGGCTAGGAGGCTGGTGTGTTTGCACAATACCTTGCAGCATTTGTAGGTTCAGTGTGGTGCACACCGCTCCAGCCCTAAGCATGCTGTAGGCATGAGGGGATCACTGGCCTGTACAGGTCGCACGATGAGCGGCGCGACTGTGGAGGTGCACTTCCGCTTCCCTGGAACCTGTGCCCGGAACAAACGTCTCACAGCACAGGAAGAGATTCGTGTTTGCACAGCTTTGTGTGTGCATGACGGCTTCACTGCACTGTGGCTGTCCTAGCTCTACCTTGCGGCATTGTGCGGGTGAGGCAGACAAACAAGCTGAAGTCGAAATAGTTATTTTCCTGTGGCCGGAACAAAGTGAACGCCAGGCATGGTATCCTAAGACTTTCGGTGCAACGGCAGAGCCCACTGGCAAGCTTGGTGATACACTCCCTTACCTTGGTGACCTTGCTCCCTCTAGAATCACATTGCGCCACTCCTCGCCATCTTGCGATTCGTCCTCTGCAAACCTGAAGCTCCATGGCAAGCTGTCTGTGCCCAGTCCGTCGCAGGCTCTTCGGACAGTGGATCGCGGCAAACCAGTGTGTTCAGCGGCTGCACGGATAGACATGCAGTGCATCCAACTGTCGTCGGATGCAGCAAGCTTAGTCAGTACCGTCCTGCCTCGTCTTCCTTTTGTTGTGGCACTTCTCTGTCGTTGAAAGAAATGCAGCAAGTTCTGGGATGCAGTCACGAACTCAAGGTTTTGTACGTAGTTGTTTCGGCGATCTCCGTCCTTATGATTAACTTGCATGATCGGAGACTCAGGCTGCCCTAGAAATGTCGCGGCTACGGAACGGTGCACCAAGCGATTCAAGCCGCGTGCCTGGAAGCCATAGTATCCGGTGTGCGTGAGAGTGCCCCGAGTCACACCGATGCGCATTGATAAATTCCAAAACAGCCGTCCATGGTCGCTAACCATCAAACCTCGAATGGCAGTATCTTGGCCAGGATACCGTGCAGGCTGCCAAGCTTCATCGGCTCTCCGAGGTGGCTCCGTGAGCGCGGCGCATTCCAACTCGAACCAGACTCCCTTCTCCTTGCTATAGCATCGCGATATACCTCCGTGACGGCAGCTTTGAAGCGAAGACTTCGAAAGACCCAGTAAACGACCGGCCTCTGCCCGTGTCGGGCAAGTGTTCCAAATAGAAGCTCCTTCCTCTCGCCAACGAACTGGTTTGCCGTGCTTGGCCCGAACAGGGCTTGTGATGTAAGAGTGCAGAATGTTTTCCTGAGGAGTCACGTAGCGCAGATTGTCGACACGGTTGTTGCTGCTATCTCCATCCAGGTGGTTCACTTGGTACGGCCCCTGACCTGTTGGCTGCTCGAGAAACGCTCTTGCAACCAAGCGGTGCACCTTGAACACTTGCCCTGCGATGCTGACCTGTCGGTACGCGCCATTAATATTCCCAAGGGTCACCCATCCCATAGATGACCTCATCCGCCCGTGAGAACTCACTTGCCACACATTTGTACTCCACCGGACCTGCACAGGAGACACTCCGCAAACTTTAGCAGAGAGGACACACAGGCTTGCCCCTCGAGACCAACTTGCCGGCAACATGACAGCGGGAAATTGCAGACGCAGCGAGAAGGCTGAGTTCTGCAGCAAAAGGTTGCGGGCTGCAGACAAAGCGATCATGTCGCCAACACCATAAGATGCACAGCAGCCTGGGTAGCACATACCCATGCTACTAAATCCTTGATGTACTTGCTTGTCGGTTTCTCACACTTGACGCGTGCGAAACGCACCAGCCGTGTCAGGCTTCCACCTAATCACGAGATGCCATGCTTTGCGTCCAGAGCCCCGTCCAGCCTGGCGTGTGAAATTCCGGAAGAAGCCGCTGCGCCTTAGCTTGCTCAGGAGCATAAAGCCCCTGCCGTATGAAGACTAACAGTAAACCGTTACGATTCCAGCACTGCTCTTCACCCTCAGCCTCGAACCCCGGATGCCAAATACCGCCGGGAGCAGAAAAAAGTATCCAGCCTTAGCGGGTTTGATGATCCGGGTCGTCACATGCCGTGGAAGGTTCACGGTGGCAGCCAGGAGTCTTGAGGCCTCATGTGCCTAAAGTGCCAATGAACAACCAATTGTGTATGACACCGAGCATGATCCTTCTGAAAATGGTGTTTCGCCTGAGAGGTGCATCAGAACTGCCTGAATGAAGTCTTTGAGCCGCCAGCTGTTATCTCCCTCTGGCACAACTTGCAACCTCAGCACCCGTTCAAGACGACATCTCCGATCCCTTATAGAGGATAGAGGAACTTAAAGCTTCTCAGCCAAGCCAAGTACTGAACATGGTTAGGTGGAACTACATGTGGCTCAAGAAGGATCCCGAAGCTCGGGCACTGCCGGGCTTTCAAGCTTTCCACGGCAGGTGTGCCACATTGCGCCACTGCAGCTACAAGCTTCAGCCAACTTACCTGCAAGTCCTGTCAGAGAGACCCTGGCAGATGTCGCAGCTGCTCACCCTCGCATGCAGGACAATCGAGCTCGACCACGTAGACCTGGCCACTTTCGACCCACGGGCAGTGCACGGTCAGGGGCCTGAGTTGGAAAGGAAACGGCTTTTGAAAGTTGCCGCATGTCTTATGGTGACCTGCAACATCTGAAGCAGAAGCCTGGCCAATAGCTCATCACTGTTGATCTGTTGGCTTTCATAGCCGTGGCAACTTCGTACAGCTCCTGGCCACAGAGTAACCTAGCACCCTGAAGCTGCAGACCCCAAGTTGCCTCAATCTCCTGGTCTATACCTGAGCAAATCACGCCGCTCCAGTCCGCAAACCTGCGAGCCATGGCGATGGCGGCGCCCTCAAATCCAAACACAAGAGCCGGAACTCCACGAATGCCGATTGTTTATTTCACATCAACATAAGCCCTGAATGCACCTGCTCGCCACACAAACCCCAAAGCCGCGTCCCTAACAATAGCAATTCCTGAACATGCCTGAGCCCCTAAACAAAGCCCACACCCCCAACAACCCCCCAAGTCCACCCAAACCCCCCCCCCCCCTTCCCAAAACGGGGCCTGGCAAAGAACCGCCTTGGCGAGGCCCTCGCTGAAGGCCAACCGAGGGCCAGGTGCCTCGATGGCCTGGCCGACACGACGGAAACTCCTACTTAGAGGATCATGGGACTTAGTAAATAAGTTATAATTGGGGTTATGAGTCCCCTAAGTGGGGTTATCCTAATTATAACCTACTTTTACCCTTACTAAGGCCTACGAGCGTCCAAGTAGAATCCGAGAAGGGGACTCTACCAAGGTTTGATACGCTTTGGGGGTATACTGTAGTACAACAAGTATATACAAGTATGAAAGGAGACATCCTAGAAGAGGACTCTGCCAAGGCGTCATCCACCCGATGATCTTAACACGACGTCACGGATTTTGGGTAGACTGTGACTGTAATGCACTAACTAAGTAATTATGAAAGGACTGCAAGGGCATGGCAGAATTCAGAACAGCTCTATCCCAGATTCTTTGCAGTACTTCGTAGGGTGGCTTTCAACGTCCGACATGCTCCCAGGCCTGAGCACTCCGCATGATAGCTGGGACTGACAGCGCCGCAGCTACGATATTTTCATTTTGGTTTCGCAGTCAGGTCTGCTGCTCCACTCAGACTTTCTTGAATCGTGCCCAGAAATGCAAGCTGGAGTGGCAACAAGCTCAGCTACCGACCTCGCTGACCGGGCAAGCTCGAGAGACATTCAAAGGCTCGAAAGAGGGTGACTTGGAAAGTCATTGCCTAAGCCTTTGCGTCTCCATCGTTACATTCCTTTCAAGAAATCCTCTTCGATTGAAGGCCATGGAAGGCTGTTGTTTCAACCCCCTTCTGGCATCCCTGTCTTAGTCTTCCTTGATGGAACATGCCATCTTTGGCAGCTGTACACGGCACCGTTGCGGCGGCAGTCCAGGGAGCTCTGTGGCTTTGCCCAAGACACACGTATAGGGACAGAAAAAACATCGATAATTTCAGTAATGGGCTGATAGGTAAAACTCTGCTCTGCGCTTTCGTGGAGTTTGGACTGCAGGTCTGCTGATACACTGCAGGCAGAAGAAAGAATAAAGACAAACGGTAAAGGAGGGAAAGCCGTCCCATGGCGTTGTGCAAGAAAGCCAAGGCACAGAGGGCCTCTGTACACGAACGACTGCGCAGGGCAAAGGAGCGCGGTTGAAACAAAAGTTGCAAGGCAGAAGTGTGCGAAGAAATCGCTCCTAGCTACTGTGATTGTTCATTCAAAACGGCGCAACATCGGGTGTTGCACCTGATCGTGTCATGGTCCGACACTGGAAAGCTGCTGCTTCGACCAAAGAAACTGTGCACGCATCAACTCCCTGAAGCCCCAAACCCTGCAAAGACCGGGGTTTATATAGTTTAGGTCTCTGCCAATCCTAAACTTTTTTAGCATTCGCGCTCGACCAATCCTACATTACTTCCACCCATTTCTCCTCTTCCAGTCAAACGGACACTGTCGCTTGCACGGGGCGGCTGCACTCAGGACAGGCACGATGGCTTCGGGTACAGCTGTACTTCTCCAAGCAGTCCTTCACTGGCTCCACATCTAAATTAGGGCCCCCTGTTAGATCCCCAACATCATGCGGAACTTTTGTAAGAAGTATCCTCAAAGGGACCCTAATTTGGATAACTACCCATATGTCGATGTTACACTTGTTACGAGAGTCACGAACACGCTAACCGTGGTGATGTTATTCGGCATCATGCTTCAAATCCGGGTCCCTGCTTGGAGGCCTAGAAAAGTGTATACATCCCTCTTAAAGCACAATGAAACCAAGGATACCGGAACCTGGCCCAGTTTCTGGAACAACCCACGTGACAGTCATCGTGGGAGCGCTGCAACAAAATGGCGGACCACATGCCAAAACCTTGTCTAACATCGGCGTGTGAATACTTTGAACGGGGTTCGGGTGGTATGACCACATATTGAGACTTCTTTATTCACTGCATCAGGACCCTGAGAACCCTCTCCTCGTGAACGAGGTGGCTGCAAGGAATCAGCACCACAGTCTCGCGGCGAAAAAGCATGTCCTTGAAGCACCCACTGGTACGAGGCAGTTGGCCTACGAAAGTTGGACAGGATACTGGCCACCCTACAAAAGCTTGGAATTGAAGCCATTGCTGCAATTTCCATACATTTCGTATGCGCCGGACTGCGAACCGGCTGGAGTCCCTTCCTTCTTGTCTTACACTGTCTTGCAAAACGGGTCCTGTTACAGCGTTGAGCCTCCAGGTGGCCTTGAATGGGTCGAAACCCTAAACCCTAAACGGCTAGAATGGCTCGAAACCCTAAACCCTTCTTCTTCTTATGCCCTGAACCCTAAACCCTCTCTCTCTCTCGGTCTCTCTCTCTCTCTCTCTCTCTCTCTCTCTCTCTCTCGCTCTCTCTCCCAGGCATTCGAAACGTCAAGCCCGAACCCTAAACCCTAAACCCCTAAACCCCAAGGAAAAGGCCCAAAGCACAACATCCACAGACAGCCACAGTGCAGCAAAGTCCTCCAGGCCCATGAGGTCTTCGAGGCAGACGGGGCACCAGCCATACCTGATATGGGGGCCTTAACAATTACTAAGAATAGGGTTAAAGAGGGCTCCTTTGAGTCCTTGAAAGGGGTTAGTATAAGGGCCACTGTAAAGGTTCTAACTATTATAGGGGCCTTAATAGTTAGAATAGGGTTTTGGAGCCCAGTCTAAACAAGGACCCCGCAAAATAGATTATGTAATTATTGAGGCCCCTAAATTACGTCGTTTTCCATCTCCGCCGGACCCAGGAGGTGCGAGGTCCCAAAACCGAAGCTACAGCAATGGAGTCTGTCTTGTGCTCCCGGTACCTTGCCTGCGCGACATCCTGGACATAGCCTGGCCGAGCTGCAAGAGTTTTAACGCTTCGGGCTTGGAGCTTGTGCAGCATTGGTCAATTCTGTCTAGCCGTCACCAAGAGCTCATATACTTTTCTGCCTACAACGGAAACCCTAAAGCTTCATGCAACCCTGAACCTTAAACCATCTTAATCCTGCACCTCAAACCCTAAACCATAAAAACACTTGCAATCCGGAACTTTTCGCCGGAGTGGCCTGGTGGTACCTGGGCTTCTGTTTAAAGGTCTTTGTGCCATGAGGGGTTTGAAGGGCTCAGGAACCTTCGGATTTGTTTCTGTAGGGTTTTGGATTTAGGGAGGGGTTCGTTCCATGAAGGGTTTCTGATTCGGGTTCAGGGACTTCATGAGGGGTTTGCAGGGCTTAGGAAGTTTACGATTCCGGCCCAAAGGACTATGGCAGGCCTTCGGAGGCATCTTGCAGGAATGAATTGCATGTATACTACGGAAATGACTCAGAAGTTCTGCATATGTCACGGCTACGTCGTGCATAAAGGGTCTATGGCTTCCGATCGGAAGCGAATTTCACATCGACATCAGGTGTAGAGGCATTCAAATCCGTCGACGCCAGAAGCACCGGAACTCGCACATACAGTCTGAACATCCTCTATGACTCTGTCACCCGCAGCCTCCATCAACCTCCCCAAACCCTGCGTACGACCCCGGCGACCTCAGAAAAACACGCAGTTGATGATCTAGTCTCTGACAAAGAGCTTCCTTGCCAAAGAGGCAATGACCCCTTCAGCGGCCGCTGGGACCTGGCTAATATTCTCCAAAGTCATGTTCAACGGGGGCTATGGGCACGGGGTCTAGGGCTTTTAGAATTTTGGGTCTTTCGGATTTAACTAAGGCATACAGGCGTACAGAAACAGTAGAGATGGAGTCACCCTTGTTGTCTCGGGCGGTCCGGTGCAGCTGTCTCTTAATAGCGACAGAGTGTACGATTTCCCGGCCGGTTGAGCTCATGATAGAATGTACACAGCCCTAGCAGACATCAACCTTGCAAGCTGCCTCGTCAGGGGGAGCACCCTTCTTGAACAGGTAGGCGGCCACGCGCAAGGGCAACTGGAACTGAGGCAGCGATGGCCTTGACAGGACGCAAAAGGCAGGGTTTCGGCGCCCACGCTCGGACAGACCAGGCAAGCCTTGTGGTTCGAGGCCTGATTTGGTTGTGAAACAGTCTACTGACAGCCTGACCAAATGCAACCCTTGATTTTCGGGGCACAGCTAGTCGTACCAATGTTCATCCGGCTGCATCAGTTGCCAGGATAAGTTTAGTGGAACGTCAGCCGGTGATCAACATCTGTCAAACAGCGGTGGCAGCGGCAACAACCGTACCGTGGAAGATCATTGAAGCCATAGCACTGATACCCGGTTTCGTTCAAGGGGTGCTTGGTTGGGGCCCTGGCAACTTCAGGGTCACCGCTCGGCCAGCATCCGCTGCCGCAACCACCCGTGCTGGCTCCATCTGCAGGGGCTCAGGAGTTCTCAATTTCTGGATGGAAACATACGGTTCATGGGCAGAGGAGCCGGCACAGGTTTTGCGACCTGTCCTGCATCATGGCCTTGCAACTACTTGCAAGTATACATGAAGCTCCACTCGACGCAACAATGCTGAACCACTAAACCTTTGTCAAGCCCTGATGAACCAACCCCAAAAAAACCCAAAGCCTCAAACCTCAAAACTCCGCCAGCACAGCCCCGCACCCCGAACACCTCAAGGAGAACCTCACATCCTCAACATGCTCCGACCTTGGTAGGAGCGCGGCCCCCATTCCTGCCCACATGAAGAAGGACCTCCTTCCCGACCAGCTCCTGGTGGATCCAGGGTGCAAGCCCGATGACGAGTTATGTCTGCTTTTGGAATTTGGTGGATCGGGGTTCAGGGTTGAGGGTGTGAGGATAGATTTGTGTTGGCTTTCCGTGGTTTTTGGACTTAGGCTGACCTAGGTTTCGGGATGAAAGAGGATATTGCCGAAGAGAGTTTCCGTTTCCGCAGGGCTCTGCCGCAGGCGGTAAACCCGCAGCTTCAGCACTGCGGGGTTGGAGCAAAGTTTAAAGTCGAGGGGGTGTCTTCGAGGTTTCGGGTTTGACAAATCGCAGCAGACATGCCAGATTGAGCTCTCCTTGGAAATCAGGGTCGCAGTGCACATGCGACGGCGACCGCGACAAGCGGGTGCTCCCACCTCTGTGCGTCGTTCGGGCCCCTGCGGTTGTGCAAAGGGCGAAGCCTCCCCAAAGCCTCGTTACTTTATGACGAATGCTTTGTGAAAGCTGCAAATTAAACTTAACGGTCTTCACAATCCAGGAAAGGTGAGAATGGCTACCCTCCAGTCATCCCTCCATTCACTAGTTGTAACAATCACACAAACCCATGCAGTAGTCGGAACGATTAGGACAGCTCCGGAGACTACCTGGTGGATTTCTCTCAAGGTTCATGCTGGTCGTCGGAGGGACCTCTGCAGAGTATTTCCCTTTTGACTACCGTACCGACTCCGGACAGGACATTAGGGGGTAGGCAACAACTCAGCAGCATTTAGTATCGCCGCAGACGTACATGCATACATGTGTATACATAGATATCTGCAGAAGGAGACACAGGTCAGTGTTGCGACGTCATTGTTGCATGCTTCCGTAACTTATCCGGGAACCCGTGACCCTCCGCCCGTTCTAGCCCTGTGGCCTCTTCCGGGCAGGAGCCGCTCTCGGCCTCACTTTGCCGTGGCGATGACGTCTCGCGGCGGACGCACTTTGCCTCGCCAGTGTTTGACTTGGGTCCGGGGAATTTAGAGCAAGGTGCGCCTTAGAGGAGGTTCGGTCTTTGGACAACCGTTTACGGTCAGTATGTACACAAGAAAACAGCGCCTGGTGCATTGACCGGCGGAATCCACTAGAACTGGCTAGGGCGGCTTGTAAGGTGTTGTGCTAAGATGTACATCTGCAAGAACTTTGAGGGAAGCCTCTGAACCTTCTGCTCTTGATCCACGAACTCCAGGTCCTAAGCTCGGAAATACCAGCAAAAGCCTCCATCCCAACCCCACCAATCCCTGGCTGGGCCAGCCTGCACGCCCGGGAGCATCATGTGGTTGACTGGTGCATGCATCGCGGTCAACCTGCCTACGGGCCTTCACAGAGGATGCCTCCTGTGAGCCGAGAGCTTCGGACGGACCAAAGTGCTTCAGCTCTTCCTAGACCCTCCATCTACCCTCTATTAGACCCTAAATGCCACTATTTGGGACCATATACCCCTATTTGAGGATACAAGGAGGGTCCTGGTTATAGCAATTTGAAAGTTTAAGGCTTTAATGCTTCAGGGAACTTACTAGTAGGGTGTGGGGCAACTGTTTTGGCTTGCTAGGGGTAGACACCCGCAGAATTCCGACAAATCTTACGGAGGTAACTCCAGCATCCAAAGAGGGCCATGCCGAACGCGAAGTTGGCTCGAGGCAGGCTTGGCCAAGGACTAGTCTTGTGCCACCTCCTCCGAACTTTCAGTTCAAAATTCGAGTCTGTCAAGTGAGCCTAAAATTCGAACATTCAACTGCTTAAACAAGTCCCACACTCCATAGCAAACAGCAAAACTGCACAGAAACCTCCTGCAAAACGCCCCCAAACCCCACGAAGCCCGCGCCTCCTTGAAGTCCGAAAGCAGCTTGTTCGTCTGCTCCCGGAGGTCCTCTGAAGGATCGCATCGCGCGTTTCTGGCGGCCAAATATGGAAGTTTCCGAAAAGCGGGGACCCGAATATAGTACCCTAAATAGTAGGATCCTTATTAGAAGCACCCCGAACAAGGTACCCCTAATTTTCGGAAACTGCCATATAGCAGGTAGCGTTCATCTAGATGGTCAGTAAACAAAATAATTTAATCAATACGTTCCCATATAGAAACGGAAAGTTGGTGCTAAGTTGTGTGGAGCTTTTAGATCTTCGCAGCGCGGCTCACAACTAGAACAAAGGCTGGTTTCGGGGGTGTCCAGTAGTTCATGCAGCGAAGGGCGCCTAGTTCTTTAATCAAGATCCGAGGCGGGCTGGAAGGTCCCAAATTCAAGACCCACCAAAATCACTCTGATGCCCGGCTGCCCCTTTGTCAACGCCGGAGTCCTCCGATGCCACAAAGATAGAGATTGCAGTGCCTGGTATTTGTCATGGCTTGACTTGGCTCAGACATTCCGAACTAGTCTTGCATGCTCATGGACGGCGGCAGGCATCTTCACCCCGCGCAACCAAGGCCGGATACTGACAGCTTACCGAACGAAACCGCCAATATGCAGCAACAAAAAGCCTGATCGGGGGTCAAAGAGTTGTCTGCTCTGGAGACTAAGAAACCCATGACCCCGAGGTCAACGAGGTCCCAGGAACCAAAGAAAGACATGTCGCTTCCCTCTGTCGCTGTCGCTGACTTCGACGTGATTCCCAAACGCCAACCGGCAAACAGATCAACTTCAGTGCCCAAGCCTTGGGCACAAACTCGACTGTTATGAACTGCCTGGCACTGAACCCCCCGAAACTCCCTTCAATCAGAAGCCGGGAGAGCAGTCTGGCCTTGGAAGACGAGCCGGAAGGGCTTTGGAGTGGAAGCTCTGGGTATCTTTTCCGTTAAGTTTCGGGTTTAGGACCTGGGGGCTTCAACAGACGGGAACTCGCGAAGATCCAGCAATCGAAGCATCGCAGCACGATGAGTGAAATGCGACACCGAAGCAAGCACAGATACTGTAGCCTCTGGGCCGGCGGCGGGGCACGCCACTGTTGCCTTCCGCATGTTTCACAGTTCTACCGAAGCACATCTTGCAATCTGCTGTCATGGCATCGGAACCGCACCCGTGAGATTCAAAAGCGCCGCATGCCGGGCCCCCACGCTCTCAAGCATCCCCCACTGCCGCCACAATGCACCCAAGCATCGATGCAATGTTGTTGCAGATGCATGTGTCGTCGACAGATAGGTGCACATGTCGAGATAACATACAACTCGGCCGTCAAACGCAGAACACATCTGGAGGCCCACCATTGCACACTCATACATATCAATACATACATACATGCATTACATACATGCATGCATGCAGGTGGCCAAAGGCTTCGACCTACTTAGAACCCACCACCATGCAAGGCAGAGGCAACCTGAGACCTCAACACTTGCCGTAAACCCTAAAACCCCAAATGCCTGAATTCCACAGCCCGAAACCCGAAGACCCTAAACCACAAATCCCGAAACCAGAAAGCTTTTGATGCCCTAAAATCCTAAAACTGGAACCCTTCCGCATGACATAACCAGAACCGGCCTAATTGAGGACAGTGTCGCGGCCAGCCGCATGAGGTCCTCATCATCCCACACCTTGTTTTGCACAGTTCTGCTTACAGGATCGAGGGAGCTTGTAAGCAGGTTAAGGATTTCGGCTGTACGGTTTAGATCTTGTAGGGTTTATTTAGAAGCATAAGTCGAACCGTGACACGCCGTCAACCCGAACCCTAAAAGCCGCAAACCCCAACCCTTGAAACCCGCACACCCTAATCACCCAAAAAAACGAAACCCTGACCCCCAATATCCCAAGCTCAAACCCAAAAACCTGAAAGCCTAAACCCCTTTGCACCTCTAGGCTCCCTGAGTCGCTTTCAAGGCACCTGCGCCAGGAGCAGCGCTGAGAGGTGCGGTCGGAAGGAGGCCGCAGCTTTCGCTTCGCCTGATTCCTGCAGCTTTCGGCTTTGGTTTTTTCAGGTGTGTGGACCAGTGACCAGGACCCTGCCTGTACAATCAAACAGGGGTATATGGTCCCAAATAAGGGGCATTTAGGCTCTAATAGAGGGTAGATGGAGGGTCTAGGGAAAGGGTTCTGAAAGGGGCCGTAAGAACCAGAATGCGGCTTTGAGGCATATTGCAGCCTCTGTAGGAGGGATGGGAACATGTTCCAAGACGGATAGAAATGTCGCTCAGGCAATAGCCCCAAGTAAGGCAGTGAGGCTCTCGTACGAAGCATGTTCTGGCCTGAAACAGAAGTGAACTACTACCCCACCCAGCACGCACCCGAGGAGTCAACAAACCTTGAGCAGCCAAGAAGAACCACGCAGATCTTTCTAAACTCAGTGCACACACTGCGCTTGAGGGTTTTAGTAGAGGGGCCTTACCAATTGGAACACAGTTTTGTGGTGGTTGTAGATTCTTGGAGGATTGAGAGTCTGAAGGATCAAGAGGTTCCAAGGACCAAGGTTAGGTTTAGGATTTTGGTGTACGGAACAGCACGACTGTATAGCTAGAGTAAAAACCAGGCATGAAAAATAGACTAGGGTTTTGCGGGCTCCAAAGCACTCGAGCCTGCGCTTCCCAGTGCTCCTGGGCGATGCACTGCTGCCTGGCTGGGTTCAGTTTTGGGAGCTTCAGAGTTTAGGGTCGAGGGATTAGAGTGCGTTTGTTCAAAGCAGGGCTTTTTGTTAAAGCAAGGCAGGTGCTCAAGCTACCCTTCTTAGAGTCTTAGATCCTCTTTGTGTAGGATCTTACTGGGTTTAGAGTGGGTTTAGAGTTGAAAGCTTTATCGTTTATAAGGGTCAGGAGTCAGCTTTTCTGTAACCAGCATCGTGAAATCCACCGCCGCCGAACCGATTGCCGAAGCCACTTTGCGAAAGACCTCAAACCTTTTTTCCCAACCAGAAGCCTTACAACTGAGATCTGAAGGACACCAGCCAAATGTCCGCAAACTGAACTTTGGGCAGGTGGCGAGAGGCTCATCAGGGACTTGAGTCCAGGCCCTGTGCGGAGGCTTCTAGCTGAAACTTCTGCTTTTACTTAGTTGCTGAGTTCATAAGCCCCCAAACATGGGGCCAAATATGTACACTTTCAGTTTCATAGTGGGTAATATTACCCCAAAAAGTGTACAGTGTATCCACTCAGCTACTAAGTTTAGGGAGTGGTGGCAAACCTTGACACCAGGTGAAAAGGAGCTGAGTCTGAGGCTCAATTGAAATGGTCAGAGATCAAACTCTCCTGAAGATGCCCAGCAATTTAGGGCGGGTATTCGCCGTTATGATACGATGCTTCTGCAGGTGTGCTGCCAGAACCCTCGAACCCAACGCACTGAAGTCCAAAAGGTGGTGGAGCATCGTCGGCCAAGCGATGTGTGGATCTCTCAGCGTCACCAACGTTTCGTGACTTCGGGTCTTCAGGCGCGTGGTGTGTACGATCACCAGCACTGTAGTGATCAGCGCGGCGAAATTGCAGCAAACGATGATCGCACAAGAGCCGAAGCCGCCCCTGCCCGACAGAAGCCCTGCATCGACTCCTCAAGCCATCAACTGCAAAGCTTCCGAATCTTATTTCAGCAAGAACAAGGGAAAGACAACTTCCTGAGGCCTCCAAAACCCGGCTCAAGAGCACGAGCAGACCCTTCTCCAAAACACCGGGGAGAAGAGTTTGCCCGGCCTAGGGGTAGATGCATGTGTGAAGTCCGGGTGCCTGCCAGACGGCTCAGGTTTCCGTGCCAGGCGGCTGAAAGGGCTTCGTTACAGACAGAGGTGTACCGCTTAGGGGGTTTACGCAGCTGCATGGCGAAATTTATCATCCTGAGGCCAAATCAACAGACAACGAGCAGCCTTTCTTATCTCGGTTTGTGTCCGAATGATTGCTTGCCCTGGTAGAGAAACCCAAGGAATAGGATGTATATACATACAATACAGATACATATGTATATGTACTTACGCAGTAAGGGGTTTAGGCCTCAGGGCTTTAGGGTTCAGGGTGTAATTATGGGGTTTCGGGCTTAGGGTCTAGGGGGTTTCGGGGTTTACCTGTGGATCCAAAACCCTACCGTTTTCAGGGTCAGACCCTCTAATTAAGGGGTCATAACCTACTATTTTGTAGGGTTTGGAGTCACAGGTATGGTTTATAGGGCCTAGGGTTTCACATTCAGGGCCTTCAGTATAACCCCAAGGAGGCGATGACGCGATCCGTCCGATACCTCCTTACCTAAAACCCCCTCCAAAGGTAGAAAAAAAGGCCCAATGCCTGTAAAAGGCGAAGGCTATGATTCCACATACTTCCAGGGTCCAGGTAACAACTTTCGAAAGCCTGAGTCCGCAGCAATAGCCGATCATTACAGCAGGTTCTGATTGCCATGTATACACCTTTCTTTCGGCCCCATTGCTACTGGGTCTTAAGGGCATGATTTCCGGCGAGAAAGAGAGAGAGAGAGAGAGAGAGAGAGAGAGAGAGAGAGAGAGACAGAACAAAAACCAGCGTTGAAGAAGAAGAGGCTGGTGGCAACCCTGAACCCCTTTTACAATCGTGCATGGCATTGCCATACTCCGAGAGTGACAACCAATACCCCCAAAGGTCCGACATAGCCCAAATCAGTGCATGCAGGTTTTCACTTGTGCGACCAAGCCCTTCGCCATAAGTTTTGGGCAAGCCACGGTCATAGTTGTCATGGTTATATAAGTTATGTAGGCATCTGGACCTTTGGTGTTGCACAAATTGCTGCTGGTTCGCCGCATTGCGAAACGGAAGTGCTTTTCCAGCAAGTTACTCTAGTCTCGTGGAAAGACACCCTCATCAACTCGACAAGCCGCAACTTGCACTGTCATATGGGAGCTGCTGCAGGGTCCTGCTTAGCTTACACACCCTTTTGTAGAGGCTCTGCCGTTCCGGCGCCTTAACCCTACATCGATATTCCACTAAACCTTCGGGTACACCGTGAAGCACCGCTCTGTCAACTTGCCCAGTTGATGGGGCCGCACTGTTGCAGAAAAAGCAAACTGGCGAGTAGTCTCCCATGACTGCAGCTCCGACGAAACATCTCTATTTCTGGATACACAGGCTCTTACAAACCTCGATCAACATTACCACGACATGTCAGAACAGTCATCCAGTCATTGCTTGATCAAAGTCGCCGCGAAACAGAGGACACTAAGGAACAAGCTTTACGCTCTCACAACTCGGACTCAGGATTTCGGGTTAAGGCCTGTCCCTAAATTCTATCGCAAATAGAACCAAGAAAAAGACTCCCTTACCTCTCAGCAGCCTCATGTCACACACGTAGCGACAAGTCTTCTGGAGAGGTAATTGAGGGCTTAGGCCCTTAGGCGGCGACCCTGCTTCATACTTGTTGTAAGGCCCCGATCCTGCAAGTTGTCCTACGATAACTCGCACCACTCAAGACGGCCACAAATCCCAAGGCAAGGTTTCGGCGCTCGCACGGTGAAGGTTTAGGGTTTTTTTTTTTGTTGAACGCCTTTTTCCGTCCGCCAAAATAGGAGTCTGGAATCTGCATTGCAGAAGGCACTTTAGCCGACATATCTCCACGAACCCTCAGATGTCACTTGTCACCGTACTCCGCACCCTCATCAGCTGTGTCATCCATACACGTTGCTACGACATCTGCTGGCAACATAGGTGCACCTTGTGGTTCAACCTCAGACCCCGGAATCGCGACCACATCCTCCAAACTATCCTCCGGCGGTGTAGGAGCCAACAGGTCTTCCACATACCACTCGACCTTGTCATGCAACAGATGCCGAACCGCTGCCAAGCCCTCCGCTCGCAACAACCGAAAGAGCCGCAACCATTCTGCTCCGTAGATCGTCTGAACTGTGCTGTTCCTCATAAGGTCACGCTGCCATCGGTGGTAGACTTGCCGAACGACACTGAACGGAACCCTCATCGTCGTCCTCCTGGAAGGCCCTGTGGAAGCTGACATCCCCGTCCCATTCGGCTCTCGATCTCGATCTCGACTCATGTCCAGGATGGCGGGCAACAGGGAGTAGATAGAGTCCAAGCCATGTTCCCTCCACCTTTCAAAGAGAGCCAGCCATTGGGGCCCAAAACTGGCTTCTATGTTGCCATTAGTACGGAGACCCTGTTTCCACTGGCCGTACATCGACTCAAAGAAACTGAAGGGTGGGAGAGGCCCTTCAGGATCCACCATAGCCGATGGTTCTCGTCCGTCATATGGCGGGAATGGTGACGTACAGGCATCCGGCACGCCCGCAATGGCAGCGATCGAGTCATCCTCCGCCTGTGCCACAGCAAACTGTGCCTGCACCAACTCTGCCACTGTCGACCCATATTTCTCGGCGACCTCCTCCAGCCCCAACTTGCCCGCTCGCCATGCTTGGTAGACATGTTGGTACTCCTGGAACTCCAACACCGGCATCTCCTCATTGGTGGCCCCCTTTGAGTCCTCAGTAGCCCTGCCTGGCAAAGACAATGTCGGCGAGAGATCCTTATGTTTCCAAACACAAACCGTGCTTAAAGTTTCTCGCGCAGATATAAACTCAATTCCAATGGTATTTATGTCTGTGAGATCCAGACGTCGCTCTTTTTTCTTCACACAAAAGCTTGGTTGCGAGAAGGGGAAACCTTCGTCGAGCCTCCCGGCCGCCTCAAACGGCCGGGGTAGGCGCAAAAACGGCTCCACGGTGCCCACAGCACCATGCGAGCGCAACCCCACGACCTTCAAGAGGTACAAAAGGGGCGGGAGGGCGGGCAAAAACTTCCACCAGCGACGAGCCAGTGCTTCAGCGGCTCACAAATTCAAGGCAACCGCAAGCACGACTCCTACACATGCACTGTAAAACAAGCGACATGTGTGTGAAAAGTGTAAAGTAGGAAAAGAAGAAACTTTCGCAAGCACTATTTCAAAACCAAAAGGTTTTGAAATTTTGTGTTTGGAAAAATAAGGTGATTGTCACCTCCGGTGAAATAGCACTTATGTTTCCAAACACAAACCGTGCTTAAAGTTTCTCGCGCAGATATAAACTCAATTCCAATGGTATTTATGGCAAACGTGATAATCACAATCGCAATCTGTGAGATCCAGACGTCGCTCTTTTTTCTTCACACAAAAGCTTGGTTGCGAGAAGGGGAAACCTTCGTCGAGCCTCCCGGCCGCCTCACCCCGCTTCCAAAACGAGGCTCGCGACCCAGCTTTCGTCAAGCAGAACTCTCGCAGCACCGAGCTTGTGAAGACGTTCAAAGTAAAAGCGACTCGGATCATCAGCGATGTTGGAATGCGATGGAACACGAGCGTACCAAGCGTGCTGGCCTAGCTCACACTCAAGTGCACTAGCTTTGGAAATGATAAGGTCCGCGATGGCAGTGCCACCCGCCCGCTTGATCATCCCAATTCGTGCTGGCTCGTTGTCAAGATAGTAAACTGTTTGCTGGTGAGAGGACAGTCTTCCCCAAACCTGCATCGCGATAAGCACTGGCAGCAGCTCAAGCTCATAGATAGGATGAGTGGACGAGGCAAGTAAATGATGCATCGCCTCACGACTCACTTCTCCCGCGAAGTAAGAAACACACCTGCCGTGAGGAGAGACCAGAACTCCTCCAAAAGAGCCTCGACCTTGCTCGAAAGCGCCGTCGGTGAAGACATAAGTGGTTTGCAGTGCCTTTGCCGATATAGTCACTGGCAGGGCATGACAGATTCGCCTTTTAATCATACCCAGAGCCCACTTGACATCAGCAGATAACTTCACAGAACCACTCGAGCCTTGAGCGTGGCGACCCACGTGCTTGACAGCCACTTGAGCGACTCTACCGAAAGTGAATCCTTCAAAGAAGACGAGTCGTCCCCTCAGCTTCTCTGCTTCCTTCGAGGTCATGCTGCCGTCCGCGAGAATGGACTCGATGCAAGTGGTCAGCTCCTCTTTCCGAGCGCTAGTGTGCCCGATAATAATCGAGCCGGACTGAGCTCGCTGCAGATCGACCTGAACTCCAAGTGCCGCGAAACAGCTCGCAAACTGTGGAGCTTTCTTGCCCTCGGTAGCATAGTCAAGCCCGATGAGTCTGAACAAGCGGTCAACACACGAGCTCGTATTCTCAAGAAGCGGCTCACTGGTGACAGTCGGAAAGTCATCGTAGTAAGCGGACCAGCACAGCTCCAGCCCCACCAGGCCGAGTGTCCAAATAGCCATTGACAGCCTGAGGAAGCCAGCAACTGAACCCACTGCACCGAACGGAAGACTGTTGGCCCCAAGGAGAATAGGCTGTTCCGCCCCAGGCTTGTTGACGACAATCCTCAAGAGTTCCCGAGCTGCAGAGCTTATGCCGAACTGACGATAGGCCACCTGAAGATCGTACGTGCGGCCTAGCCAGCCACAGGTGGCCTTGCCGCCGCAAAGCTCCACGCCGTAACATGGATGCGAGAATATCTATAGAATGGACTCGCATCTTCTCCGGAAGTCCAACAGTGCAGTTGAGACCCCCAACACTGCAGTCGTCGATCGTGCGAAGTTTGAGTTTCTGAAGAAGGCCGAACCGGTGTGCAATGATCTTTCCTTCCCAGCAGCCAGACTCATCAACCCAAAACCATCCCTTAGCAATCTCCTCCTCTGTCTCAAGCCAAGTCTTCTGCTCGACGTCGTGATCCTGCCTCTTGGAGAGGCGCCTTTTGACCAGAGCGTGAAAGCCCCTGTTCATAGCGACGACGGTCTCAACAGACATTGTAGGCGGTTTCGGGTTGCTCGCGAAAACCTGTGATTCAGCCATCCACCCAGTGAGAGGCAGGCCCTGCTCAACCTCGTCGAGGATCTTGACATCCGGGTAGCCTATCTCGCATATCCACAGGAGAATGCGCTTGCCCTTGAGCAGTGTCTGTATGTGGTGTGGCCTCCGGCAGTTCGCCTCCGCTTCAAGAGGATCCAGTACAGCAGCCCGACTCTCCCAGCGTTCGAGTGTGCTCAGCCGTCGCTGGATGACTAATTCAGGAGGGTCGCAGAAGTTGGCCTTGATCGCCCGGTCCACAGCTGGGCACACGTGCCTGCCCATGTCCATTGGGTGCCCCGCTTCCACTGCTTTTCGTATGAACTCCTCGGGATCGCTGGGAACCCCAACAAAGACAGTTTCGGCAGAAGAACGGTTCACTCCAGCAGCATTGTGTATGCGATCCCCAGCGGCGCCGACGTCAAGAACAAAGCCAAGCTCGGTACATCTCCGCTGATCTGCGCAACTCATAGATGTCGCACCCTGAACATGGAAAGCCACAAGAAGAATCCGATCACCCGACCAGTCGTCAGTAGAATGCACCAGCGCCGCATCAAGCTTGGCCGGGTGTTGCGACACTTCAAGCACAAGCTCCTGCTCCTGTGGATCCGCTGGGCGAACTCTGACGGCCCCTGCTTTAAAGTCAGAGCAAGGGATCAGAAGGTTAGGCACTCCGGGAGTGTTATTGACATCACGGTGGGGGCAGGTCTTAAGGTTCCTAAACAACCCAACCGAGGAAAAGGAACACCTAGGGAAAACAGCCCTAACAACAGCCGTAAGCAAAGCAGTGGTCCTCGGATATGCCACAGTGTTGGACCTGAGGCCGGCTTGGCCGGAGAAGTGAAAAAACCCTGACGTCCATGTCTTAGTGGAATCGAGGCAATCACCTCTGCTCTTTGCGAATTTTCGATCAGTGGGCAATACATCAAGCAGCATGCTCAGCTCAGCCTTCGTGATGAAACCTTTCTGGAAACATCGCTCGCTCAGGCACTCAGCTTTACATCCTTTGTGAAGAGGTGCATTGTCAGCAAATGGACTACGGCCGAAACAGGCAAGAGAGACATCCTGAATGTCAAATGAGCCCTGCCTAAGCTGGCGTGTGAGATCCACTGTATCGAGATAGTCGCCAACATGGGAGACTTCGCAGGCATTTGTTCCCCCACTCAGAAAACGCGAAGTGACCTTGGCACCCTTGGGAAGGCTACGCATGAAGCGCAGCAAGGCACCCGTCTCAGGATACGTCAGCACCTTGAGGTAGCGACCGAACTCGGGCACTAGCGGCTTAAGGACCTTCCCGCGAGGAAGAGCGCCAAGCACAAGGCGCGATGCCTGAGTATTGGGATCCTGCAGCTGAGAGCGTAAGCTAACATGTAACCGAGCTCCCTGCGCAGAGGCAAACAGCAACAAGCATGAGACTGCCCTTTCAAGAAAAAGAGGTGGCAGCGAGACATCCTGGTGATTCCTGCGACGCAACTCTCCATCGGCTACCTTGGGGAGCCAAGCATCATGAAAATGACATCCATCGCCTCAAGCTGCAAGGATTGCATAATGTCATGAGACGCAAACACAATGGTCCTTTTAGGAAGAGAGCCGCCGTGCATACATGCGTCGAAGCAAAAACGGAAAGAGAGACAATCAGTGGCTTGCTTGATCACGGGTGCACTCCAAAGATGACTGTGGGCAGGGTTGCACACGAAGCATGGGATCCCATGCTCTGAGGCCCAGCGAGCAAGCCTAGCAGTAGACTCGATGGCCTGGTTGGCCAATTCAGTGCGACGTTTGAGGCCGAACGCCAAACCCGGAAGCCCCATCGGATGATTGGCAGACCTAAGTTGTTTCGGCCCACCTGAGCGCAGTGCCTTGAGACGACGATCCCTAGCACGAGAAGTGGTGCTGGCATCAGGCACAATCCACAAGCAGAGTATGCGCTTCCGCACAGAGTGCAAAAGCCGTAGGAAGTCTACGATCTGTGCTTCATCGGCAAGGTCAAGAGGGCAAGAAGGCACACCCGAGGCCTTAATAGCACGCGAGCCAACAGGCAAAATGCCTAAAGAATGTTTGCGAGCGACACCGCAAAGCTGCGCTCCATGTTCCGAAATTTCGACAACGAGAAGATCCGTTAAGCAAAATTGTTCAAAAAGTCGCAAATTCGAGGCCTTCCGACATGGGGCCTCCCATGCAGCTCCAACTTCAGAGGCATGAACGACATCGGACTCTAGTCATTCCTTCGAACGACAAGAAGTCAAGCCGTGGTTAGCACGAAAGCATTTGCAACACACATGCAAGCCTTTGTTACATCCGGGGAGCCCTGGAGCAGCGTTGTTGTTGACATCTCGATTGCAGCCCTCGGCGCAATTGAAAGCCCAACAAATTGGCTTGCCAGACGAATGCTTGCACGAGAAGTTCTTAAGCGAAGCGGGCTTGCTAGCTTTCTTAGGCTGTGGTTTGGCCTTCTTTTTGGGGCGAACAACCGGCTTCGAAGGGGCACCACCCAGCTCAACCTGCAATGCACCTGACGAAGGCCGAGACATGTCAGGTTTCGAACTGGATCCAGCACCTCGCAGCGGCAGTAAAAACTGAGCGATTCGAGGATGTGTGGTGAGGCGTTCGAAGACCGCATCACAAGGCGAGACACCCATGGTATTGACCTTATAAGGCCCCGGGAAGTCCCGGGCCAATAAGGTCCACAGCTCCCGATCAGCTCGTACAACCTGAGCAGCGCCAATGGCTGAATAGCCCGGGGGAGGCGCCTCGCACATAGCCTCCATGAGGATTGTGACCCATTTCTGGTGAATTTCCCATGACAACAACCGACATTGGTCAAAGGCGACTCCGCGCCTCATGAGCGCCCACTGCAAGCGAAGTTCAGTGCTAGTATCAGCTTTGGCAGGCTCATGCGGCACAACAACAAGAGACTGTTTCTCAAGCGATATAGCAGATTTGGCCTCGACTTTCGAAACAGACTGAATCTCAGCATCCCGCTTAGAGCACTTGCTGGGTGATATCCAAGTCATGACTGAAGTCTCATAGATTGTGTTCGCCATGTCGCACAATGCATGGCTGGGGCACAACTCACCTGTCAGATCCAAACCTCTTAGACGCCTTTGTTGAGCCGCCAACCGGGCCCGGCGCTCAGCGGGAGGAATCCGCCTCAGGGCCCTCCGTTCCTGTGACATGCTCCTTAAGTACTGCGACAACAAAAGCAGTGGCTTCGAAGTGCAAAGTGCGAAGATCTGCAACCTGAGACAGTGACGGCGCTCCAACAAACACTTCTGAAGCAAAAGCCTGAAAATCAGCTTCACTAGGGGCAGTCTGTGGCGTGCCGATGGCGAAGGCCAGCTTGCGGAATGATTTGATGTTCTTTGCCTCGAGAAGAGACCGAAGTCCAGGCGCGATTTCATCGCACCGCTGGAAAAAGGCAGCTTCAGACTCGACAAGCGACATGCTGCAAGATTCTTCGCATCACTCAACTCGAGCCCAGAGCTGAAAATCGAGCGATCGCTCGAGCATTCTTGCAGTCGCTACCCGTGCATGCCGGATCCACCAACTTCTTTTCCAAGAAGCTCGCCCAATACGCCTGTATGCGACATTGGCAGCAGCAGAAGAAAACGGTGGCAGCCAGACTCCCAAGGTCCGGATCCCGACGTGGGGCCCACCCTCAGGCCCAGCAGCACGGCCAAGAAAAACTCACCACAGCTTGCATTTGGCCTGCACTCCCGCTAAAGTGACACCATACGCAAGCGCCAGGCGATCACAAGAAAATCGGCACGACTTGCTAAAGGGCCCACGCCTCTGCTGAGGCGACTCCCTTAGCACGCCCTCTGCCTGGACACTGAAGCCCCCAGGCCTGTGATGTGTAACACATCAGATCCGCAGGGCAACTCCTGTCCATCACATCAATCACCTCCTGTGCGAGCCTCCTCTCCAGTGGTCCTTCGACACTGAGAGCAGACCGAGGTGTCGAAACGTACAGTCGTGGGCCTGATGTGCAAAGGTCCGACCATACGACCACATTCCAGCACTCTTTCGTTGCCCTGCTTGATGAGATGCAACATGCGAGTCTTTTTATGCTGGAGGAAACGATAACCTTCAAGGGCACATGGAACTGTCAGCCTACGAACTTGAGGCACTTCCAAATCCGAAGATTCGCTACCGGAGCTGTCTGTGGTGACATGTTCGGAATCCGCAGCTCGCTCGGTAGCAGCCGCCTCCTGTTCATCTTCTGATCCCAGGATTTCAACAGCTCCATCCCCGAAATCACTGGTGAGCTCAGCCTTGACAGCCTCTGGCCCAACCCTAGCGCGAGGGTGCCCCGTTTCAGGTCGATTCTCTCCTGCGAGAGATGCATGCTCCAGAATCTCACGTGCCGGACCCCTGAGACGCCCAGACCGCGTGCTGTCAGGGAGGTAGAAACCACTCCGGATTTCCTCAAGCATCACTTCTAGCAGTCGCAAGCTCCTCGCAGCACCATCCCGAGAGTACACAAGTGCCATGCGCCCTGGCACTGAGCCCAAGGCAATGGATACCATTGGTAAAAACTGGAATCGGTGCTGAGATGAATGCATCGTTTTATGACTCGCCACGGTAATTTCCAAGTATGCGATGTCACCTAGGGTGTCATAATCCAGGGGCGTAGACCACACAAAGTGTGGCGCCACAGAACAATCTGTTCCACAGGTCCTCGCCCTCGCTGTCAAGCCTCCTGTGGAGCTCCAACAGCGCTGGACTGTAAGCGGTTGGGCCTGCTTCCTGTCCCTAGGCTCGTCCGATTTAGTGGCGCCCAAACAACGACGGCAAGCAGTAGCAAGCTCAAGACCTGCCACACCCAGCACGAATCTCGAAAAGACAATGGCTTCGTGATAGCCTTTCAACCTGGAGGCAGGAGCACCTAGGGCCCTTTCTGCTCGAAGGAATTCGTAGAAAAGTTTCTCACTGATAGGATAGGCCGGCGCGCCTTTCTCCTGCAACCAGTTGGCAACTTTCGCCAAAGCTCGGGCCCTCTTGAGCAAAGTCGATGGTGCACGACCCCGGAAGAAGTCTTCCAGCAATCCAATCTGCCCTTGCACGGAGTCCTCCTCACACAGCATCTGTCTTACCTCGCAGTCGACATCCCAACGAAGAATCGTATGGAGCCACAGCTTAACAGATCTGTCGAAATCAAGAGTCCTCTGCTCTTCCCACGAGACATCCAAAGACTGCGACACAACAGCCATGAATACTCTGTCTTGCCGAGGCTTCGAAGAAAGAGAAAACAAACCCGAAGAAGCAGGCACTAAGGACTCCTCTGGTTGGCCACTAGTCGGCTGCACAGGTCTGTTGAATGCAGGAGTCACCTGCTGCAACCAGTCACCGGAAGCAGAAGCACCAAACAGCGCACTCCAGACTCCTGATTCCCAGGGAAGTGACAGCGTAGCCTTCGCCGGAACTGCATGAAAAGCAGCAGTCTGATACCCTTCAGCAGTGACCCGAGGCGAGGCTGCAGGCACTGAAGGATGCTGTTCAACCAGACTCCACTGAGATTGCTTATGATGGCTCTCGACATCAGATGACAGGAAATCTTCGGCAACTTGCTTGTACCATTGCACTTCAGCACTGGCATCGTCCTCAGAAGCAGCAGCCTCAACTCCATGTTGAGAAGCATCCTCAGACACTGCCTGGAAGTCCTCGCCCGAGTCCAGCAGAAGCCAAGGATTGAGAGGTCGCCTTTCAGCCGTATCACAATCCTGATTGGCATGACTAAGCTGATCACCGAAGTCTCCCCCATCAATCTGAAGATCAGCGGAAAGTTCGTGCTGCAAGGCAGCTAGGTCAGCGTCCTCCAACACGGAGGGGTCCATTGTCGGACAGGCAGACAAGAGAGTGTCAGCAGTGGCACTCACACAATTGCACATAAGCCAAAGCAGAGCGTAATGGCCTGCAGAAGACCTTCACTGCACGAAGCATGAGCCTTTCAAGAAAACAGAGTCCTGCAAATTTCACGATGCACAGCACAGAAGTCTCAGGTGCGTGTGACACAGCCTATGCGTGATCAGCAGTGCTGAAAATTGCAGAAACTCAGCTGGCAGGATCGATCCCCAAGAGGCGCTCAAGAGCGCCAACACGGCGCATGAGGCTTGTGCGGAACCGAGGTCCCGCAATGTTGCCAGTCGCATCCTCTAACATGTCGATTCTGCCACCAAGTGCCACACATGTAGATTCGAGACTGCGAAGTCGCTTGGAAACTGCAGGGTCATCATGAGAAAAGGAGCCTCGTGAGACAAAACAGGCTCCAACGGCATGAAAGCAAAAGCTCTTGTGGATGCATCGGCGCTGAATGGCCCACAGAGTGCGCGCCGCTGGTTGGGAGTCAAAGAATTGAAGACCTCCAACCACGGGCGCTCGACGCCTAAGTCACCGGTTGAACTGCCAACGATGGAAATATCCTCGCAGGAGTCAGAGCGCTCCCACAAGAAGCTGTTAGCCAACTCTGCGTACGGTTCCTGACAGCCTTGCATATCGCAGTCAAAGCGGGCTTGAGCATTCTGGTAAACGAGAGACCTGGTGCGATCAGCCTAAGGATGCAAAGCAGCATGCTTCCAAAGATTGGTCCGAGTCAACGGACAAGAAGAAGCAGCCACACTAGCCCCACCAAGATCAGCAGAAGCGGTGGCCATTCTGATGTCACGGGCACGAAGCGGGTTTAGACTGAGCAAAGGCTTGAGCCAAAATGGCTACGGAACCAGCGACGAGCCAGTGCTTCAGCGGCTCACAAATTCAAGGCAACCGCAAGCACGACTCCTACACATGTACTGTAAAACAAGCGACATGTGTGTGAAGAGTGTAAAGTAGGAAAAGAAGAAACTTTCGCAAGCACTATTTCAAAACCAAAATTGAAATTTTGTGTTTGGAAAAATAAAGTGATTGTCACCTCCGGTGAAATAGCACATGGTTGCTTGCTCTGGACAGCCCTCGGCTGGGGCAACCACCGGTTGAGTGGACACTTCTTCGGGGTCCGGTTCCATGCGGGCCGTGATCGTCAAGGTGACGGCCTCGCCTGTGGTAGGAACATCCAGTGCCATTGTGTGCACCCTTCGCGGTTGGTCCATGGACCCGGAAGCTGCCTCCATGGTGAGAACACAACGTCTTTTGTTGGGTCCTTCAGACCTCACCATAGCTCCCCGGACTTGCTCCAGCTCCCATTGGCGGTACGCCTCGGCATCCCGCTGAAGAGAGTTGCATTCATGCTGTGCGAGTCGGTCTCGTTCCTCGGCCTCTTCCCTTTCTCGTTGTGCTTGCCACTCCCTTTCACTTTCTTCGTCAGCCACAAGCCGTGCGAGGTCGGCTTCCATCGCATCTGCAGCTGTCGTCTGCGACTCCACCTGGACAGGTTGTGTCTGCACCGTGTACCCTGGGATGAAGGCGGAGAACTCGTTCACCCATTGCCGAATCCACTCCACATCAACCCCTTCAGCCTGAGCCACATCTCCCTGCAGATCCGACTCGATCGCCACAAAGAGAGCCTCCAGCTGGTCGAACCATTCCCGAGCCCCATCTTCGGCCAGAGTGCGTGGCATCCCCATTCGAAGCATCCGTAGATGCAGAAGACGAACTCCTCGTTGTTGCTGCAGCAGCTCCTTGTGGAGCCGGTTCACCGCGCGGGTCCACCGCTGTTCTACCGTACCCTTCCCGTCGGTGAGCATGTACGACTGCATCAACAGGTGGTCTTCATCTTCCACCTCCACTTCAACTGTGTCTCCTTGACCCTGCTGGGTAGTCCGAGCTACAGCTTGTGCCGTATCCAACGTCTGTGCCAGTTCACTCATGAGATAGCGGAGCACTGTGAACAGTGCACAGGTCGAAATCATACGATTGTACTCTGACATCTGCTCGTGAGTGGAGCTGACTTCTCGTAGGAGATGTCGAGGGAGGAAGCTCTCCGGGACCCTTGAGTTGCCCTCGAGCTGGGGCCCAAAACGAGTGCGGTCGAAGAGGAGGTAGTGCCAAAGGTGCACGGCCTGAGTCGTCGACATTGGGTCAGCCAAGTTAGGAAACCCTGGCAGCACAGGTGTTAGTACCAGACTTGTGGGTGGTGGATCTCTGGAACCAGAAGCTGGCTCACGGGCTGCCTCCCTTCGTGGTCGTGTGCCCGCGGTCGGGCGAGGTTCTCTGCGACCTCGTTCTGAGCCAGTGGCATTGCTACGTCTTCCTGGTCGAGCCGCCCCAGGGGATGCCGGGCAAGCTCGATCTGAATCTCGGGCTCGTCTTGGCGTCCTGGAATCACGGATTCTCCTTCTGCCATACTGGTAGCGGTCACCCATGAGACTTACTGACTCTCCACTCGGAGGGGGCACCAATGGAGTAGCAGCTTCTTCCTCTTCATCTTCTTCTTCCGGAGGGGCGTCTCGCTCCCCTTGATAAACCCCAAATAGGTATTCCTCAACTTCCACCGACCACTGGAAGAAAACCTGAGGATGGTGCGACGGATCCAAGCCGTCACTGTTGGGAAGACCAGCTGCAAGAGTGGTGATTGGGGTGTGGACCCATGCTGCAAAGGACGCGTCCCCTCGGTCCTGCACCCTGCTTCAGCATACAGATGGCCATCCCCACTGCTCTGTCCTCGTCAAACCATGTCCACAACGTCTCCACCAACCTTTCCCACCTCTGTTGCCATCCTTCCGGCCTCTGGAACAGGGAGGTCGTATCCAACTCGTACTCCACGGGAGGGCGTCTCCACTGTTCGCGCCCTCGAAAGTGAGGCGATCGGGACCGCGATAGTGTGTCTCGTTCCCGTCGTTCTTTGGCATACCTGGCATCTGACACTCGTACATCGGGAAAACCATGCTCCGCCAAGTTGTGCTCGATCTCCCAGTTCTCCATCGCCACCGGGCAGGTAGTTCGCAACCAGTGGTACCTGACCAGCTCCACTGCCCACGCAACCTTGTCCTGCACATCCTCGGCCGTGGGAACTCCCATGGAGCGAATAACCGGGTCGTCTCTCACTGGCTCATACTGGGACAGCTGGCGAAAGGTCTCACTGAGGATCTCGCCCGACTCCAGCACAAACCGGTCATCCCTGTGAGCCCTCAGTACATCTTGAAAGCGACCTCCAATCAGCCTCGGGTCAGACCCTCTATCAGCTAGCAGCTGCAACCTCTCAACCATGTCTGTGAACCAGTGCGGCTCACCGTTTGGCCAGGGCCTGTCCACCCCCGGTGCCAGCGGAAGTCTTCCCAGTATCCCGACCACAATGGAGAGCGAGATCATGCTGGCATCTTCGGAGTCCTCCTCCAACGAGTCAGGCCGCGGTACATCCGGAGCTGGCTCTGACGGGTCCTGAGTACCCGGTGGCCCCCATTCACCTGTTGTGGGGTTTACCCATACTGCGTGGAAGATGCCATACGGGAGGTTAGGGTCCATAGGAGTTTCCTGCGGCGTGTCGGCCAGAACCTGCCCATCCTTACTGTGGAGGTGTATTCGCCATGGTCGATGCGTCGCCAGAGGTCTCTGGGTTGTGAAGAAGTCCTGCGCTGCAGCGTGTTCCACCTGTACAAGCGTTGTGCACGCACACTCTATGGTGAGACGCCGGCTCGCTCGCGCAAGCAGCAATTCAAAACCGTGATGAGCTCAAGCTAAAGTCTGCAGCCTGCAAGCATGCACGATTTCGTGGGTCATCCCACTCTGATGCAGCCCGATCAGGCTAGGGCTTGATGTCGATGTTCGGCAAACGATGTGCTTCCCGGACTTTCAGTCAATCCTCTGGTCGCACGCTTGCAGGGGCCCATCACGGAATTCCGCTTCAGCCCGTCGAAAAGGCTCAGGTGGCTTCATGAGGAACTCTGCCTTAGTAGAAGCAGCCACACTCCTCTTCTTCTGAGGATGAAAATTCGCTTTGCAGTGATGTGCGTCGTTGACGACCCTGGAGCTGCTGTGACATCGCCACCGGCGCTGCCTGCGCAACTTGTGGCCAAGCCTGCGGCATTGCCATGGCGGCAGCTTGCGGAACAGCTGGCCATGCCGACGCTAGCCGTGGCAGCGAATGGGTGGTGGAGGCGGTGGATCGGCCCTGGACGGCTGGCGTCGCGACGAATGGCATTGGAGCCTGCTCGGCAAGCTGCTGCTCTCTGCGAAGCTGCAGCACCTCTTCATGGATGCTGGCTGCATTTCCCATACTGTGAACGAAGGCAGCGGCTGGTCTACCGGACGGATCCGATGCTGGACCTCCGGGCTGGAGCTGGTACCGTGGCAGCAGGGGTGCAGCTGTCTCGGGCAGTACCCGGACGGTGTTGCCATACGCACCCTCCTGCAGGCGGTATTTCGCATCGTCCAGCTCCTCTCGAATTGTAGTCGGCATCGAGCCTCGGCGGCGCCGAGGAGGCGTAGATATTTGGCGGTCCTCGCGACCAGGCGTAGATCGCTCCAGGATGTTTAGTGAAAACAGCATCGGCACCACTTTGTCCTTTACAGCGGCCACGCACCTCAAGGACTTGAACTCATCGCACACCTCCGTCTTGATTTCCTCTGCTGCCGTTTTGGTAAAGGGAGTGTTTGTAGAGTTCATCGCATCGGTCAAAGCCAGCAGCCGTGCCAATGCACGCTCGGCCTCTTCAACCTCGCGGCCATTTGATCCTAGAAGGTACAGCTTCTTCGATCGCTCGCAGACCACCGTCGCCAGCTGCGAAGCAGATGTGCTGGAAGAATCGCACATCATTTCCAGCCGGCGGATAGACTCTGAAGCCACCACGATCTCGCCGGTCGAGATGCGTCGAATGTAGCCTTCAACGGCGGACTCAGAAGAGCTCTCACCGGAGCCTTGCATCGTTCGGATCGAAGTACCAGACGCCAGAAGAGTCCACGGAAAGCGCACCTTGTTGAGATCAGCAGTATCCGAGCGAGGCGCCGGAACGAGAATTATGAGAAACTAAAATTGAAACCCAGTGGCTGCTGTCATAGTGGCTTAAGATATTTCCCCCGTGCCGTCATAGTGGCTTAATGGTTACGTATACAAATACATTGCCATAGCAAACTAAAACCCACTGCCAAAGTTAAAGAGGTGGCTTGCTAACTCCCCCGTGCCGTCATAGTGGCTTCACTTACATATTTACGTTGCTATAGTAGCTAGAGGAAACTAAACAGCCTCTGCTCGTTCAAAAAGCCGCTCGACACTGGCTCATGCTGGCTCATGTTTGCTCACGCCGTGCCGACTACGAATACCTTGAGCCAAAATGGCTACGGTTAGGGTTTAGGGTTTAGGGTTCAGGGCATGCTAAACGGTTGGCTGGACCCTGACATAGGCACCTTAATCTGCCAAGCCACAGCCAACAACTGTATCCCAAACCCCAGGCCCAAACAGAAGCACACCAAAAGGAAAAGTAAAAAAAACGAATCGCGAAAGTCGCGACCTGAGTCTTTGGGAGCCTTCCGATCTGAACTAAACTCGGACCTCACGACTTCGAAGCCGACGGTTGATGTGAGGAGGACTGAAGCTGTGGTGGTGGTAGCAAGGTCCTCTATGATTGGAAACGGGACGGTTTGGGCATACATTATATCAAGTATACCAGAACAGTATATAGGGAATGTAGCGGGACGTTCTTAATGGATATTCAGACCCGTGCATTGTGGCTCTGTAAGTCTCTCAGGAAACAAGGGTTGCAGAGCTTGAGCGCTCGGATACTGGCTTTGTTTTTTCAGGGCTCCGAAACTTTGCAAGCAAGCCAGGGCCGTGGTGGACGCAACCTTGTTTTGGTACCTACATGCTTGGGGATGGCGCAGGAATTCTGCCATCAACCGCCGGGATCTGCGCAAGGACATGTCGCTGTATGTCTTCCTAACAAGTAGACGGATCTCCCCACTCTTGCCCTTAGGGCTCAGGGTCCAGGGCTCGATCGAGGCATCCCAGCCAGCGTGAGCGGGGATGGAGGAATTTGGATCCTGGTTCGGGGTTTAGTAAGTTTAGTACTCCAAGCGTCTCTGAAAGAAGGGTTGAATAGAAGCACATTATGGAGAAAGGCGTGCATGTGCATATTGATTCGAAAACTTCGCATAAGATTTCAGGAAAGCAGTGGTTGACACATAAACCAGGTTCTCCAGTAACCCTTCGATAACGACGAGTACCGTCATGCTTATTTCTCAGCTTTCGCAAGTAAACCTCAAACATAAAAAGGATAAAGGGTGGGGCCAAGGAAATGCCTCAAGCCCATTGTCAAACTCTCTATGGGAAGCGGTGCTGCCATGCCGTGCTTTGGGATTCGGCATGCACCTCCTTTCAAACTCGGATCCTCAGGGGGTTAGCCTTGAGAGTTCGGTCGCCCTTGGTCGCACTGGTCACGTGGTCTCCTGTGCGTCCTGAAACTCTCACATGACATGTGGCCAGACATGGGCAGGAGTTTATGCAAGGTCCGAACCACAGGGTGACACCAGCATCACCATCACGGCAGCCAGCTGCTGCCACCACCACCACCACCATTGTCACATCACCACCAGCACAACAAAAACAACGACAGCCACGAGGACAGTTTCCAGACTTGGAGTTGCCTTAGGCCAGCGCGTACGTCAGTGGAGTTTGCAGAGGTTGCTCTTGCAGTCCGGCACCAATCCGAAGTACTCTGACCTGAATGAAGGTTCTGCGTGCGATCGGGCGTACGAGGGAAGACGGGGTGGAGGATTGAAGGTCTTCGAATTGGGGCTCTGTGATGTTGACGAGTCGCATGCCGTCGGTTCAATGACAGTAGGTTTCTGGCTCGAGGCGAGAATGAAGTTGCAACATATCTTCGGGTTATTGACTCTATTCACGCTCTGCTACATAGTGCCCTCCGAAGCGAATTGAGACCTCGAGTGTGTGTGTGTGTGTCTCTTGCATCATCTCAGCAGCCTAAACCCACCCCAGACGCACTAAAAACAACACCTAGGCTGAACCACTTACCCTTTCCAGCGCAATGAAGCCCTGAACCGAAAGGAGCCAACACGCATCTCCAAGGCCACGGCATCTGCCAGTTGATCGAGTCGCGCATGGTGAAAAAGAATACCTTGCAAAGGCTTCATGTAGGGCTTGTTCTTCGGGTTTACCTCTTGTCTTCAATAACCGGGGCCAAAAAAGTTCAAACTTTCTGAGGTAGTCTATATACATAATGCCAAAAAGTTTAAAGTTCTCCCATTGGCTAGTACAGGGCAATGCAATGGCTGGAAAAGATGAAAGCCCGGCGACTGGTTCGGGCCGAGATTTCTCCTAAAAAGCTTGGCAATGCCATGCACCACCACCGCCCCCACCTCAACCCCCAATCCCGCCCTTGGCAGCAGCATCAGGAGCGGCAGCAATGAAAAGCTGAGCTGGTCACCACCACCACCAGCACCGAAATACCGATTGATCTTCACAGTGAAAGTTACCATGTGATTGGGGAGTGGCAAGATCAACCATAGGCAAGGGTATGTAGGAGTGATGAGACCCGAGCCGCCTGCCATCGGATTCAGCTAAAATAAACACCCCAACCAATCACCTCTAAGCCTGGGGGTGAAAAGTAGGCACACATGGCAAAAAGATGGGCCCCGAAATGAAAGGCTTAGGCTTTAGGGTTTCGGTTTAGGGTTTCGGGTCTACGGATTTTTATGAGGATTTATGTCGCCGACCCATAGTCCACCCCTCCGAATGCCAGCAACAGCCGGGTGACATGGTTGATGGGATGCGCTCCTTGTCCAAGCGACAGATCCCAATTCATGAAATTCCTCGGCTTCGGCTGGTAAAGTTCACGGGTAGTAATGGATGGGTAACTATACCTCTGGTATATGATAAGCTATACTATTTCGGTAGCTGCTTATTGTGATTATTATAACATAATATACCGCAACAAGCCTATCCGGCCCCTATAATAGTTAGGGTCTAGGCCCTAGGCTTGGGCGAATATAATCCCAACTCCCCTTTCTTGAGATCTGGTCTTCGACTACAAGTGGGATGGTTACAGCTATGCGCATGTACAGCCGTATAGATATTCGTAAACAAACATCAGAGTATCATAGCCCTACTTCAAGTGACTCAGGTCAGGTCGAGCCGTCAGAATTATGGGTGAGAGCTTGCCTAGGTGAGTTTAGGGTCTTTGGGTCGACGAGTTTGGGGGTTGTTCCAACTCCAACCTTGGGCTGAAACAAATACGGTTCTGCCATGAAAACAGTCTCGGACCCTGAAAGGGAAGTGGATAAAATGTGAATTTAGGCTTTGCTCGACCGTGGGACAACCTGAGACAGCCTTCCATTTCCACGGAGCTTGAGGCTGCCATGGCTGGGATTTGGAAGTGGAAATCAGTGTCCGTGCGCTTCATGGCACTTCCGGTAGGTAGCGTTGGACGTCGGATTCGTTACGGGTCGGGACTCGCAGCCAGGAATACTCTACGCAAAATCCACAAAAGCCCTTCGCCCACACCTGTGAAGCGCATGGAAGTCATACCTTCAAAACCTCACCAAATCTCGGCTGAGTCTTTAAGGGAGCCCCAACAAAAAAGCCGGGGAGCTGGTAGTACTTCAGGAAGTTCTCCGGCCCAGAGAAGCCCTGAAGCCGAGAAACACGGATGAAATGCTCAGGCGTGACGCAATTCGCTGAGCGGTGTCGGTAAGGGTCCCAAGGGCCGCAACGCGCAGGAGGAGAGCCCAGAATTCTCCAAGTTATTGGGGGTTCCGAAAAGAGTATGGCTTTGCAGGTGTTGACTTGCAAAGTTGAGAAGGCTGAGTTCAGGGATAGGTTTACATACCAGGACTTCGCGAACCTTCCCAGCCGACTGGAGGCTTCTTGAATATTAGGGATTGGGTGCACGATGTCAGTTCTGATTCAGTTCTGGACACGACTGGCATGTAACATGGCGTGGCACCCTACGAGAACTCGAATAAACTGTTATCATAGAGCCTCTCCCCGAAATCCGAGTGTCCGCCCCCTAGTGCTGAGCGAGCGGCCGGACATGCAGACATTGGGGTGTGCAACCTGGCCGGAAGGTTTAGGAATTTGGTCAGACTTCGGATAACCGGTCCAGAGTTTAGGCAGCAACTATGACTGTGATGGGTCCCCTTCTACCCCAAACCCAAAGCCGGCGCATTGAATACCCTAGTCTATATTCTGTCCCTTCTGCAACTCTTCTGCAACTCTAAACTGCAAGCTGCCAACCCCACCAAAGGCAACATCCCGCAGCCAACTTCCCAACGCCACAACACTCATGTTTCTTTGAACCAAAAGACCAAAAGGAACCCTAGAGCCGAACCCCAACCCTGACAGAGAAATCCCCAACTGTAGAGGGCCTCCGTAAGGGAGTTGGGAGAGGTCTGATGCTTTGCAAGTCCAAGGGTGAAGGTTACGGGTGTGTGAGCTTGGGTTTAGGCTCGCAGCACCGATCGGTTTCCAAAACCTTATGCACCAGTTCTAATCCTCGTCTACCCGATTTCATCCAGGAGGCGTAGTCGCTTGTGGGAAAGACCAGCCCGTCTCGCCGAGCCAGGTGACATCCTTGGAACCCCCGGCATGGCACTCATGATTTAGAGTTTATTTGGGGTTTCTTGTTTTAAAGGCTTCGGGCTCAGGCTCAAGATATGACAAGTTGATGCTGATAATGCGTCTCATGGTTACCTGCAAAAGCGCGTGCTGAAACGTGCTTGCACTGGTGGTTTCTTCTGGCCATTCAGGGTTACCTGGAAGTATTGACCTGCTAAGGTCCTATGTTTGACTCCGGTTCTGGCCACAGGGAACATTGAAGTGACCATATCCATGATAAGAGGGTCGTGTCGTCTATCGCATGATCTGCTTGTTATGGTAACTTGTACTAGAACATGTCCGAGTCGTTTCGGGTAAGTGGTAGTTCTACGGGACTTCAGGGGCCGACAGGTGCAAAAAGGGCCCCAAAGCGATTGCTTTTCCAATGACCCAGAGACTTGTCATCTGGAGTCCACGCTTAGCTCTAGGACTCTGCTAAGGGTTCTGGTGTTCGTCCATAGCTGAGGCTCTGCTGGGCTTTACCCTTTTGAGCACGGGCTTTGGTTGTATAAAGCCCTTTTTCCACAGGCTTGATTAGTGCTCGCCCGGCCAGGATCCCCAAAAGCCCTAAACCCTAAACCGTTCTATCTTGGGAACAGTAGGTACTCGGCTCATGCCGTGATGCTCTGCTGGAATGCGTTTTGAAGCCTGAAGCAGAAAGTCCGAGGGTCGTCCCAGCGCCCCGTGACAGCCTGCGTGCTTGCTCGGAGCCTTGGTACAGCAAAAGAATAAGCATATTAAAATAGCTAATAATAGCCATATTCATAATAATAACATTACATACCATAGTAGAGCATCATATGATAAAGTATATAATATGATAAAAGTATATAATACACTACCTCATGATCGGATTTCTGGTGGAGCTTTATGGTTAAGTTCTCGGACGCCATACCGCAGACCTGCACTTAATCCTCGAACCTCCAGCAAATGAATCTCAGGCTTAGGCTTTGGAGTTTGCTCTGCCGAGAGAGTTGGGGAGTTCCCGAAAGTAGGGTTGTGGTTCCGAATCACCTTGTAGTCGCCACTTCCCAATCCAGCAAAGGAGCCGATACATGCAGTTTGGGGTAAGTTTAGTATGAGGAGGCTTTACGGTTTAGGGAGGGTCTCGAAGTAGAATGCTCCAACTTGACCAAAAACATAGCTCTCCATATCCAGAAGTTATCCATACATAATTGCCTCTTGACCCCAACGCCCTTGCACAAGAGTCCGACACGCTGGTTCCTCAGACGTGCCATGTCACGATCGCAGCTGAGTGGTGATCATGCCATCGACAGCGAAGCTTTGCGCGGCGTACAGCACTCTCCCACACGCCTCAGACGTCTGGGGGTGCGCTGCATGCTTCACGTGTACTGACAGCTAGCTTCATTCACAGGTTACTGTGGCGCGGGCTGTCGGTAGCTATGCTCGCAGTTCCCCCTGCTTAGCCCAGAACGAAACGAACCATGATCACCCACGATCTGTCAGGCAAAGCATCACCTGCCTCAACCACAAGCATCTGGTGTGTCGCCCTGCATACTAAACGCCCGTGAGAACAGCAGAAACTTCCCAGCACCGAACTTTACCCCAAAGGCTGCCGGCGCAGGATGGTTAGCTCCAGTCAGAAAGCGGCCTTCAAACTCCTAAATATGAAGACATGTGAGGGCGATGTGTCTCGCACCTGTCGACCGGATCATCCCGGGTCTGAGCGTGCGAGGAGACACGGAATGCTAAAACATCCATCTAACCTTTAACGACGGATAAATCTCACAAAGGGCCCAGCTGCCATCAATATGTAAAACCTCAAGACTGCTGGTTACCGTGTCAAAGACGCGCTGACATAGAAAGAAGCAGCTGCAACAGCTGAACCCTACACCACTCTCAGACCAGCAACTGCGGGATCGGCAGGATTGACCTGGACGTTGGGGTCGAAGTAGGGATAGACGTTCCACGTGTACACCTGCAGCTGCAGGGCACAAGGTTGCTGTCCATGGCGGGGTTCAGGGTCTCGGAAATTTCAAAACATAGCAGCTTGCTTCCTTCAAAGTCGAAGGCTTGGGCGTGGGGCTTGCTCCATAGTTTTATTGTAAGGCTTGGATGTCAACGGCGACGCCTCCCGAAACGACACTTGCTATACTCCGATAAACACCTCGCTGATTATGCATACCGATGATACTGGTAGTCGTCGCCGTTGCTGCAATGCATGGCACTCCTTCAGTAGATACACTGAAAAGCATTGCTGCTTAGTGTGGCCGGTCACCATTCCATCAGAAGGGCACAAAGCATCAAAAGTTCCACATACGAGCCTGCGTTCTGCTCATCAAATCCAATGTGGGCTGTGAAGTCACAGAACCAATCCGAAAATTCACCTCGCTTGAAGCCTTGCAGCACGAAGAAACCTTGCATAGCTGGCCTAGTTTCTGAGTCCCCAGGCCCGAACAAGTCAGCCTTCTGCGATAGGATTCCATCCATCCCGAAAAAGTTAAAAAAGCTGCCTGTACGTAGCTTAGCTGCTTAGCTGTCCAGCAAAGCCCTGAACACTCTTAACCCTGAGGCCGACGCCTCAAACTCCCCAAGCCCCTCAACCAAGGCCTCAAATTAAAAATCCAAACGATCAACTGACTAAACCCACGAAATCCCAAAGCCCAAACCTTGAAACCCACTCCTCTGTCCCGAACCCATCATTGAAAGCCGCAGCGGCCCAGCGTCGTCCGTAACGTCCACTCACGTAGCGAAAGAAGTCGGCTACGCCGGCCTAAACATGACCGTGACCGCAACGGTCAGGGCTTCAGAGTTGGGGCTCAGAGGTAAAGATCCCTTTGACGTGCTCCCATTATAAGGAAACTTTGACCTGGTGTAAAGCTTTTTCCCACCCGCCGGGCTGACAGAGTCGCACCACAGGGAAATTTGAAGACCGAGGGATTTATATAGGTCCAGCTGATGTAAGGCTTCGGGATGAGGTTTCGAGGGCTTCAGCTCCAGGGTTCACCGGGTTCGGACTTCAAGTAAAGACGGCTGTCCTGTAAACCAGAGAAAGCCATGACCTTGAGAATTGGGGTGGTTGCATCCACCCTCTGGGGGGCACCTGGACTGCGGCCCTCATCCCTTGCCGAGGGTAGACCAAGCAAAGTAGCTGCATTCCAGTTGTCTCCTCTCTAACAAACAACCCTGCTTCAAAGCCGGGTCGGCACTAGATTCTGCAAGACGGAAGCCAGAGTGCGCCGTTGGCCGAACACCCTGAACACTTGCATGCTGCTCCAGTGGCAAAGGGTGTGTTGATGAAGGGTGCTCCGGAAAGAACAAAGCCTCCCATGACCTTCGACAGGAGAAAACGGTCTCTATATAGTTTGGGATCAGAGCGAAATCTTATCCCATGCCACTACCATGGAAGTGTCAGCATGACAAGCATATATATATATATATATATAGGACACCAGCACAACACAACCAGTGATTATTCTAGCTGTGTATTGTGCTCCCTTCCGACACATCGCTGTAGTGGCTGCACGTCGGCTGCTCATGTGGATTACATCACCCCTTGCTACTACACCTTCTGCACCCAGTGCTTCGCAGCCAAGACTGAACGGGCAAAGCTGCCCAAGCTTGTAGCTACACTTTGATCGAAGCTGTCGCTTCGGCCTGCGAAACACAGAGGCCTCTCCGTCTCTCCAATATACATGTTGCCGACTCTGTAGTCTGCCACACAAAGAGCCCATGATAAGCAGCCTGGAACCGTAACTGTGCCTCTTTAGTGCCTTGGGCATGTTCCCTCAAAGCCGGTAGAAAATGAAAGGGACATGTCATCGACTGTCTCTCTCTCTCTCTCTCTCTCTCTCTCTCTCTCTCTCTCTCTCTCTCTCTCCGAAGCTCATTCTGAGGCGGAACAATAAGAGGAAACGGCTACAGTGTTCATAGGCTGTTGGATCTGGACGTCATGCTGTTAGGGCTGATTTTGAGGTGGTTTGAGATCTAGACTCCCAGCGTGGGGGGTAAGCATTGGGGTCGGGGCATAGCTTGGCTTTAGGATCGGTGAGTTTGGCTTGTTTCTTGTGTTGACCGCTCAAGGCAGCCACAAAATTGAATTGACGGAAGCAGGCGGTGTCTAGTCATCACAGAATCGGCGCAGTTTCAAAGCTCCACCCTCAACTCTAAACTTGTAAGCCACCCAACCCTTAAACACTAAGTCTGAGAGTTTAAACACCCATGGCCTGCCTAAACCCCTAAAATGTAAGTAAAGCAGCGGCAAAAAACTGCAAAAAAGCCATCATTCTGCATGATTTCGGGGTGCAGGTATGGCCTACAGGTTAAAGAATCGATTCCCCAAACCCTTGGCCCTTGGCTGAGCCGACTCACATCTGCCCTCCTTACAACGAACCAGCGGAAGGCCCCCCGATTTAGGGTTCAGGGCGATACCATACCAGGGTGTAGGGCAACTTCTTCCGAAATGCCCAACCCAACAAGTCTGGGCATTCAATAAGTGCTCAGCGTAATTATGGCTGAATGTAGAGATCTGGTTCAAAAGCACCGCCCCTCTACAGTTTGTGCTTTAAAACTAAGGCTTATACCATTCGGGGTCAGGGCTGAGGATCAAAAGTCTTGCCAACCGAGGCTCCGTGGTCAAAGGCACGGAAGAGAAGCCTTCCATCTGGTCCATGTCCTTGCGATGCGGGGAACTGCAAGCCCTAAAACGGAAACCCTTACGAATCCCCCGAACCCCCGCCCCAGCTGCAGGAGCTCCTGAATGCGCGCGTCCACCTTGTTCTGAAAGTACTTCCCCTGGAAGAGCCGAGCGTTGCCTCGGAGCGGAGGAGAGAGTTCGTGTTGGGCGCCCTCGGACATGCCGCATAGAGCGATCGACCGAGTTGGCAGATACGAAATCCCGCTGCATCACAGCCGGAACTGCGCTTAAAACGAAGCCACATACAGCTAAAGGCTCGAAGGCCTCATTCCGTCCCAACTTAAGGGCTGTGATACCTGGCAAGCAGTGTAAGCCCAAAAGCAAACTATCTCAGCCCCAAACAAACCCCAAACCTCAGCCAAGCGACAAGCTGGAGAGCTAGAGGGATGCTTATGGATGAGCTCCACCTCGTTGCCGATCGCTAGTCCTGGGTGATTTCACGGAGCTAGCCTTCTCTATGCACCGGAGGCCTGCTATGCTTAAAATATGGAGTACTACATATCTGTACATGTATGTAAACGGTCTCTATGGGGGGATGGCTGGCTGGCTGGATGGGTGGAAATGCAATGCTTAGACATGTGCGTGTACTATTGCACGTGTATGCCTGTGGAGCTAAAAGGCGTTGGTGACCTTGTACAGCAGACAAACATGACGTCTCGTCCCAGCGGAGCTGTGGGCCCAGTCTTGAATTCGTTAAGGGGGGCTTTCGGGTTGGCGAGGGTTGCGATCCGGGGCTTGGGGGCTGGAGGGGATTGCCTGCATGGGCCGGACTTCCCATTGCTGCTAACTTGGAGGCCTAATGACCGCTTAGCAACCTCGAATCTGAAGTCTGGATCTGCTTCCCAGGCGCACGCGTGACCCTCTTTGCAGCCTACACCCTGAACTCTCAAGACCCCCTTCCGTCATTTCTGGAAATTCTTAGTTCTCGATTGCCTGCACATCTCAGGTCCAAGGGAATACTGGAGGGCCGTTGTTGGGCTTTCGGCTGGGTGATCTGCCCAGCTGCCCATGGTGTAGTACCATCCGATATACCCCATCAGCTCCTTCACCTCGCAGCGGTCTTCATCACATTCGAGAATTCATTCAAACGGCTTGCTCCCCACACTGGATTGCCATTTCAAAACTGCAAAAAACCAGCCACCTTCGGCTTGAGCTTTCCTGCGCCAGTTTCTCGGCACGAGAAGTCTGGAAGTGTCAGTTGGGCTAGGAACTTTCGTATCTCTCGACGAGGCCCTCAAGAGCTTCCACCATGTTTATGAACACCGCATGCCAGGATCGTAAAATGAGATTCGGGTTTTTTTTGACACTCACTCTCGGACAAGCCTGGCAAGGTCTGCAGAAGTAGGTTCGACGTCATTATAGGGTTTAGGGCTTAGGGTTCTTTTCTCTTTTGCGTAAGGCCCCGGCATAAGCCCAATCTGCATCGTCGGCTGTCTCGTTGCACGAGATCAGTGTGCCAAAGAGCACTTTGATGTTGTTCTCCCTTGGCAGCATCGGGGATTTCATTCTTGTGAAAGCACTTTCGGAAACTTTCGGTAAGGCCGGACACCTGCAAGTACATAGAGCTGCCCAAGCATTCCTCATTAGATGTAGCTATGCAACTATTATAGAGCTTAAAGGTTTGGGAAGCTTGGGTCGTATAGGTCTTGAGTTTGGGTTGAAGGCTCGGGCAAAACCTTCAGCAAGGAAACCTACAACTGCCCCTGAATTGCCTATGCTTAGCTGCTCTTCCACAGTTTTCATAGCCATTCGAGCACACAAAGCTGAAGAGCAAACCTAGAAGGGCGCCTCACAAGCCTTCTGCACAGCCCGAGCCTGCCCCTTGTACTATCCTAAGGAGGAACCATTTTACTGAAAACTTGGCAGGCGGCCAGATGTACTCGCGCAGCGCGAACCAAATTGCCTCAAACAGGCCCAAAGCATGCGCATGTCGTTTCGTAGGAGCTTTTTTCGGGCTGTAGAGTCTCAGCAACTGTCATGGAGATGCAAGCAGAATAGTTTCAGCCAGCTTCCTGACTTCATGATTAGAACTCATGGCCTTTACATTCCAAGCCATGTATCTCAGGCTTCAAGCCGGATTCCTGACTTCCGTTCCTTGTCATTGTCCTCAAAACTACCCATGGTCAGGTGATCGAAATCGTCGTTTCTCCATAGATTCGTCCCGTCTTGACAGTAACCTCCAAACCTGGATCACGACAAGAGCGTTGCTCTAATGCAGGGGCTTTGATAAGTATTTACTCAAATTCTGGGGATCGGGTGTCCCATCGACACAAGCAGCAGGAGGTAGTGTTGTGTTAGGACGGTCAGGGAAACTTAGAACAAAGCCAAATAGACGTTGCTCCAGCGAAGGTTCCCAATGTCTGACAGAATCTACAAGATCTGTGTGCGAAGTGGTTCACGTGGATCGCCGGTAGCACTATAGTGTCGCTATTGCAATCTGTTTGAAAGTCAAGCACCCTCGGCTACGCTGCCTGATATTCGCAAAAAGACCCTGACCACGTCAAGCCAAAACCCCAACGTTGGGGTCCTGAAGATGCTGTTCCCCCTATTCAGGATCCTAGTCTTCTAGTCTGCATGGAGGTCCCCTAGCTTCTGAACCTTCCTAACACTAATTGAAACTTCAGCTCTCAACTCAAAACACATAAAGCATGAACGCTCCCAGGCGCCAGCCCCTGCACGCGTATGAAACTCCGCAAGGCCCTGAGAAAGCCAAGCCACGACCTGCCTAACCTTTTGCATCTATGTAGACCCTCCAATATTTGCCATAGAACCCGCCAGACAAGACATGTAAAACATCTACAACACTACGACTACGACACATATCGGCCCCCATCTCATGCTGGTCCTGAATATCTCACATCGAGCCAGCCTTGCGATCGTACTTGGCATCCCAGCTTGAATCCTCGAAGGGGGAGGGTAAAAGTAGCTTGGGGGTCCTAAACAGGAGACCTTGCTCACAAGGGATCCTTGCGTTCAGGGCCTTCTTGGCCCAGAGCTGTCTGAAGACGAAGTTAAGTCAGGTGCTCCGATGGCAGCTTAATTCAGCGAAGTACTTGCGTAAATGTATATGATGTACATGTTGTGCTGGTAGATATCAGACGTCCCTGATCATGGACTGGGGGTTCCGAACATTGTTTATACCTTGACGATGGCTTGGCTCACGGCCTAGCACGTTTCAGCACATCAGTCGCTAAAACCTGACCGAACGTAGGAACTAGGAACCTCCGCAGCGTTACACGTGGATAAGATATGGCGAGACTCACTCGTTCGGAAATTCTTACAAGCGGTAAGGGGTTGGCACTACTTTGGACCTAAATCGTCAAAGCTCTTGACAGCAAAGGCACAGCTTCGAGTTCATGTACTGCCGAACTGGTCATGCCAAGACTCCCAAGCTTTGAACAAGCGCACTGATGAGATGCGGTTGTGGGTGTTGGGCCACTTCCTCAGGCCATCTCATGCCAATCTTGCTACTGTGCTTTCGCAGGGTTCCGGAACGGGATACGAGGTCATACATCTCGCTATGCTTCGCTATGGTCTTGATCTTAGGTTTAGTAAACCCTAAACCCTCAAGGATTGAGGGTTTTTTGGATTTAGGGGCTTAGGGTTTAGCATCTGGCAGCAAGTCGTTGAACGCCTGCGCTCCGCACGCCTCTCCGCCTCTGAGTTTCTGACACAACTTGAAGGCTCATGGGACTAAGTAAGTAAGGTCATAAGTAGGTTATAATTCGGATAACCCCACTTAGGGGACTTATAACCCCAATGATGACCTAATTACGAAGTCCCATGATCCTCTAAGTAGGCCCTGAACCCTAAACCCTATAGGTCCCTCTAAGGAAGCCGATAGATCCCTTTAAGAAGCCCTTCAAGGAACCTTACTTACGAAGTCCCATGATCCTCTACATATGCCGAGGCTGGAGCAGGACGTCTCTGTACTCTCAAAGTGGAAAAGGAGGGACCCTTAATGGGGACCCCTACTTAAAGGATCATGGGACTTAGTAATTACGGTCATTATTAAGGTAACTATACTTATATCCCCAATTAAGGTACATATAACCATACCTACTAAGTCCCATGATCCTCCAAGTATCCTATAATGGGGCTATAGAATGGGTATATAATGGCTATATTAAGGGTAGGGGTCCTACTCTACCCAGAGGTCCCAAATCCTTTTTTGGGGGAATTACCTTATAGAACCCCCAAAAGGAACTACTTTGGGGCCTTAGGGTATCCTAACGTCGGAAGGGATTCGAAGCCATAAGTGTACTTATACATGTCCTCGGCCGGTTGCTTTTGCAGGTGCTGGAGTCTGCTATAGCTCCAGTAGCAACGATCCAACAATGACCCGAAGACACGCGCCACAAACAACGGTGCACCAAGATGCTCGCTTGGCAACAGACTCGCCCGCCCTTCTGCCGATCTAGAGTGCAAGTGCGTGCATTGGTCTGAGTTTCCAAAATCTCTGAATCGTTGTAGCCATGTTGGCTTCAAAGCGTCCTGGCTCTCGGACCGATAACTGCATCGAAGTCAGAACAAACCCGGGTCATCTGACCAAAGCTGGGTTTGTGAGACGGTGCATCTGCCAGAGTACTTTAGGTTTACGATAGGACCCCGATGTTGTTGGCCTGGGCCCCAGACTGTCATACAACCGTTCTGGGTCATCGCATCAACTTCGATTCTCTGAGCCAGGCATCGTCAAGGCTAGGGAAGGGCACTGCGAGAAAGTCGTGTCGTCGATTGCCAGCCCCTTGGAATCCGCAGCTGTCATATTCCTCAGCAGACAGCAAGATATATAGCATAAGTTCCAGGCATGCCACTCATTCACATTGACGTAGTTTTGCCTGTGTGCTACTGCTTGCGATTCTTTCTAATGAGGGAGATTGACTTGGATACATGGGTACATAGGTACATAGATGTGCCAGCAGCTGCTGTCAAAGCGCGAGTGCATTAAGGCATTAATGAATTGCAACCCGGCCAACCTGCTGCATGTTGGAATACAAAGAAGGAAGGAGGAAGAGAGAGAGAGAGAGAGAGAGAAAGATGAAACAACATTCCCCATGAAACGAACGAGCACCCGTGCATCTGCATCCGCACGGGTATGTGACTTTGGATGGCGTATCTGCATAAAAACTTAAGGTGCCCAGTTCTGGATCCCAAAAAATCCGGTATCCTTATAAACTGGACCTCAAAAGAAACACTATTTAGAGAACCGCCCACGATTTAAATTTCTCTCTGCACCCAGCTTCCCGAGCATCACGGGCGTCGTGCACGTGAAGGTCGGCTCCACGACCTGCTCTTCAAATCATCCACCGAAACGGTTTAGGCCATTTTCTCCTTAAGATTATAAGGTTTCCCCTCTCGCAGGGCAGGGGCCGGGGTTTAGGGTTTAAGGAGTTTAAGGTTTAGGATTGGGGTTTGCAGGGCTTTTGGGCGTCCGAGATTGGGGGCAGCTGGGTTTGTAAAGGCTTGGAGACGGTGGGTACTTGAAGGCTCATGGGACTTAGTAAGTAAGGTTATAAGTAGGCTATAATTAGGAGAACCCCACTTAGGGGACTTATAACCCCGATTATAACCTACTTACTAAGTCCCATGATCCTCTAAGTAGGAAACAAACACTTCCACGGCCGCATTGGTCCCGGGAATCTACCACACAAATTCCGAAGCTTTCGGGTCGATGGGGCATCGATTGGTCTTTGAGTTTGGGCTGAGGTCTGGCTACGGTCCAGGGGGGTGCGCATGAGAAGGGTGATGATACGTAGCTTTGGATGATGCCCAAGCTGAAGGGCTACAATGATTACACTGCGAGTAAGGGCCTACTACTACCTGTTTCTGCACAATGAAGGCCCAAAATGTGCACTCACCAACACCCAAATTCAAATGCTCACTTCGTTTCTCCCGGCTCTTGCACTGAATTCTTGGGCTGTTGGGCGTTGAAACCCTGACACGGCATGCCTGGGTCGTCGTAGGAGCTGTAGTTGTGGTCGTCGAGGTGGTGGCGTTGGAGTCCTCACTGCTCGAACTGTTCGTCCGTGAAGCCACAGGTGCATTAGCACCGTCGGTGCCCGTGACGGTGGTGGCGTCCGACGAATCCTGGCGGTCTGCATTCGGGTTTGGGAGGCGACTGTTCGTAGCGAAAGCATCTTCAAATCGCTCGGTGCTCAAACTCACACACAACGAGGACCCACGCGACCAATGCCCCTCCCCCCTCCCCGAAGCAGAAGGTACTGTAGTCCTCGGGCCCATCGTCCACGACGAAGATGGATGAGACAGTCTCCTGTGGCATTTCTTCAAGTTTCGGCTTGCAGCGTCCGGCTTGAGGTTTGGGGTGGCCCGGCTTCTAAAGCCAGCTTCGGCTTATATAGTCGAAAGAGCTGTGCCCGACGAGGAGGAGGAATTGAAGGTGTGCATCTTTTTGGGAATGCTAGGATCGATGCTTACTGGCAAGGTCTCTTTGGATAGGAGGAATAGAAGGTCCAAGCTCTAGGGCTTCACTTCATTTCACTATCTGGCTTTGATGATGTCTGGGGAGCAAGCCCAAAAAAAATCCAAGGGAATCCAAACCCGCATCCACTGGAAGCTAGCCGAAATTCAGGGTTTTGCCCAGATTTTCGTTCAAAGTTCGGAAAATATCCGGCATATGCCTCAAACCAGATCTCATGGAAGCATTCATCCACAAACAGACTAAGCCACTAGGGTCTTAAATCCGTAAGCAAATCCGAAACCCTACATAACCAAAACGCTAAACCCTGAAGCCCTAAGCCCCTAACCACTTAACCCAAGTTACTAGTTGAACCAGAGCCTTCTTGGCTTCGTGTTTGGCTCTCGTGTCCACGACCTGCCGCGTCTCACTGCGGCTCAGGGGGGGTCTCGCTGTAGGCAGGCTCGGGACCAATAGCACGCCCTACGGTTTTGCAGAAACCTTATGGGGTTTGTACGGATGTCTCTGTAACTATGAAACCTTTCGGGGGTAGAAGTATACACGGGCTGCATCTATAGTTAGGCTACTTAGAAGGCTTGGGGCCGAGGGCGTCTGGCATCTGGGCTTGGGCTTGGAGGTTCAGTCTCCAGACCTCAAGGTTGATGAGGGAACCTCCCGTTTAACACAGGGCAATAGTAACTACAATAGGGTTTCAACGAATATCATACTATAATTATAATGAGGAGCCCCCCAAAAAGGAAACGAAATTAGGTTATGAAAGGACCCCAACCCCTAAACCCATCCCACCTCAACCCCTTCTCGAAACCCCTATACGAGCCTGCGAATCCAGTCAAACTTAATCGCACACTCCCTATAGACCTTTGTAAACGAGGGGGCGCTGAATAATGGGGAAGGCTACTCTCTCCATAAATCTTCGCACTATGCACGTTTCTTATTATGAAGTCACTACACTAACCCTTTCAAACCCTCACAACCTCTTATAAGCCCCTATGAAAACCCAAACTTAACCCTAGGCTTCCCCCAAAAGATCCCAGGACCATAACTAACCCCTAAACCCCTTGTTTGAGAAGGGACTGCAATGCACTAAGCCCGAAACCGAAACCCTCTCTCTCTCTCTCTCTCTCTCTCTCTCTCTCTCTCTCCCAGGCATTCCCACTAGGCCCTAAACCCCGAAACCCCAAAGCCCCCAAAGCCACAAAACCCTAAGAAAGCTGAGGACCTGGGCCGCCGCCCTGGTTGCTGAACGCGCCAGGTCCTGCGGCGGAAGTCGGGCGCGCGTGCGCGCACGAGCCCCCAAACCCGCTAAACTCCTGAAACTCCCCTAGAGAGTTTGGAGAGTTTTAGGGAGTTTGGGGAGTTTAGAGTTTGGGGAGGGCTCTGGGAGGCCATGATGAATCGTGTTTTAAGGGCTCCTCTATAGGCTGCTGATTTGATGGTCTTCTTTTCCAGGGCTCCTTCATGGGTTCCTGTTCTGGTCATGTGTGGGCTCCTGTCAGGGCTTTCTTTCAAAGGCGAGTCTTTCGGGTGTTCCGGATGTAGGGCTCCCCAGTTTTGGGTCTGCAGGGGTTTCAGGCTTGAGGGTGACGGTTCGAGTGTTTAGGATTTTGGGGCTGCAGACGAAGGTCAGGGATTAAGGTAAGCCCCTATACAAACCGTCGCAAAAACCTCATACAACCCGCAGAAACTGAAACGCCGTATAACACCCTTTTCGAAGCTCATTGTGGTATCATCGTGGGCCCCAGACGAACAAAATCTCGATCCGAGGCTGAGAGTGAAACTGCCATGGCTGATTTCTTTCAAAGTTTATAGGGCCTCTGGGATTTAGGTTTTAGGGCTTGTGGGATTCACTTAAGGTTTAGGCAGGTTTGCCCTGCAGTGAAACCAATCCTAAACCTCCACAGCACTTTTGGCTCAAGCTCTGAGTTACATTACTCCTAAACCCGCTTCACAACCACCTTGCAGAGGGCGGCCGGGCCACTTGTTGAGCTTACCAGCCCTCACGCTGAGAAAAGGGCCACCGGAAAAAGCAGTTTAAAAGCAGGAGTAGCCAAAAATTAAGTCAGCTTGCGTACTACATTGAAGTCGTTATGTGCCTGGGTTGTCGGCGCTTGCAACAACCAAACCCTAAAATCTGAACCCTGAACCCTAAACCCTCTGAGCCCTAAACCCAATACTTAGAGGATCATGGGACTTAGTAAGTAGGTTATAATTGGGGTTATAAGTCCCCTAAGTGGGGTTACCCTAATTATAACCTACTTATAACCTTACTTACTAAGTCCCATGAGCCTTCAAGTATTATAAGCCCGCAGAAACCCACGACAAAGCCGGCCTCGGACTGAATGTGGTGCACCCGATTAAGGAAGCTGGCACTGTTCTCGAAGTACGCCGACTCCTGAAGCACTGCAGGGGTTAAATGGCTCTTAAAAAGGATCCGATAAGGGTTACTAGAAGGGGTATTATGGGGGTTTACAGGCTCGAAGTACGCTGACTCCTGCAGCAAAGATTGCGGCTGCTGCGCCAGATGAGGATCAGTTCTGTACGTAAGGGTTGCATAAAGTATCTATGCTTCTACAATGCAAACCACATGTCCGAAATCCATTGGCTGGCAAACCCGCCAAAAGAGCGGCAAGAACCAAACACGTCGATGAAAGCGTTGCCGCGTAGTCAATGCGAAACACCACCCAACCCACCAGGAGTCTCGACGGATGCGGCTCCAAACAAATGCCCACATGGAAGTAGAGATGCCTGAAGACATCGAATCCCGCCGTACTCTAGCCAGAAAACAACATGAAAACCCCGAACCCTAAAGCCCTAAACCGTTGAACCCTGAACCCCGCGGTGCGGCAAAGGCACGGTCTCTGATTTGACATCCGCGTGTGCATTTGCAGTCTGTTGGTCTGGTTGCCCTGCGAAGATTTACAGCGGAATTTAATTGCTGAGTTTAGGGTTTAGGGTTTAGGGCTGAGTTCATACGCCCCCCAAAAGTGTGCACTTCCAGTTTTATAGTGGGTAAGGTTATCCCAAATAGTGTCAAGTGTATCCACTCAGCTACTAAGAGTACTGAATGTAGTGGCTTTTACAATAAGACTAGGGCTTCGGGGCTGGGTGCTAGTATACATAATACAACCAATCTCGCAGGGACTATAAGGGAATACCCTGAATCCCGCTAGCGGCTAAGTGACCTTTCTCATTATGGCACTATGGCAAGACTAGCATATTCATCGTAAACACCAAAAGACTCAGGATGAGAACACGAAAAAAGGAAGCCCTAAATACCCTGAAGGGGACGCTGCAATCTCGACAAAGCCCTTGCAAGGCCACTTCCAAGACCACAAAACGGACCGATTGCAAACATCGATGCAACTTCCCTAGGAGCACCTGGTAAAGTGTCCGCTCGCAGCAGGCAGGCCACCCTCAGTGTGCGATTGGGCTCACTGCAGTCCTATACAAGGCCTTCGTTCAGGCTTCTGATCAAATCAAGTACAGGCGGAAGCTCAACGGACACCTGTGAGGCTGAGGGAGCAAGGATTAAATAGAAATTGAGGTTTGGGAATTAGGCACCCTTTAGCACAGACTCGTATTATAATTAGGAACCCTAGGCCCTGAACTGGCCATAAACCCTAAAACCCAAAACCGGAAGCCCTAAACCCCCAAACCCACACCGATGGGTCGGGTTGCCAGGAGGAGCTCTCAGGGTATCCTTTAGACAGTGGAGGTTTCAGCAGCTTCGGTGCAGCAGCGAAGAGGGAACACGCCAAGTCTACCGCTGAAACACCCGGGAAGATTTTGGATGAGGTTGTTTGTCAGGCTTCAGTAAGGGGTTTAGGGTTTAGGGCTATTCAGGGTTCAGGGTTTCGGGCTATGTGCCTCGGACCTTTAGGGTCTATTTGGGGATTGGCTTTTGGCACCATTGTAAGTATCCTTGGATGATACTCTCGGGCTATTCTGTATTGCGGCTCGTTTCCTGTAGTTTCCCGCTAGTCAGTCTAAGTCTTTGGTGAGTTTTCGAGCCAACTCGACTGCTCGCAGCTTGGCTGCAGAATTGCCACGCCCAGTGCTGCAAACAGCAGCTTGATGGCAAAGCGATGCCTAGGCATGTTCACGGGTTTCGAGAGCGCAAGGTTTGAGTGTGAGCTTGAGTTCCTGCAACTTTGGGAGTTAGAATTAGGGGGACCCTTGGGGATAAAGACCCTCTCAATAAGGTCCCTTTTGAGAGAGCCAGAAGTAGGGTTCAGAAGGGGTACCCTTTAAGGGGTCTCTCAAATAATACTACCTAAACTTCATGAAACACTTTAGTAATTTAGGAACCGGAGCAGAACCCAAAGCCTCTCCAAGACTAAGCTATTGGCTTTAAGGATCATGGGTAAACATAAGCACAAAGGGTTGCTAGCATCTTGCTCGGTGGGGTTGGCGGTACATAATCGTGGTACCTGATGAAGGAACTTATTTTAGACTACTCACTGTCTCCAGTACACTCACAACACAAGCAAGGCAGGGCACAAGCGCCGTGGCAGGGGGACTATTTCGCTAAAGCTACTGCTGTAGCATAAGGTGCAAGGCTACTGGGGATGATGTTATTCCTTTTTGAGGCTCTCGTTTCAATGACATCAGGCCCTCAACGACCCTCTTCTTGTAGTCACGCTTTGTCCGCATGCTGCCTTAGCTCTACAATATGAGGGGCCTTAATAATCAGAATAGTGTTTCGGGGCCATTGTACTATAACTATAATAGGGAACCCCCACAATAGTATTGGCACTTTATTTAGGCCCCTATAGTAATCTGTCAGGGTCTGGAAAGTACGCTCTCGCAACTCGGACATGCCAGACGAAGCCTCTCGGTTCGGCTGGGGGGGTGAAGACTACTGAGGGCTCGAATCTGTGTCTGGAAATTACTGGGTTGAGTTTCGGGGCCCTTACAAGTATTTCTGAGTAGGTACCTCTATAGGAACCATAAGGGAACTTACATCTTTTCCCAAAGTGCCACCTATGCAAGACTATGATTTTGGCATGTGGGAACTTAGAGCGCTCAGGATGTGCGTCGGATTCAGCCCGAAGGAAGCAACATTCTCCGTACAGGGTTTAGGGCTTTGCTCCGCACCGGACTAGGGTTTCGGGTTTAGGGCTCCACTAAGAAGGGACCTGAATGATGCTTTTCGACTCTCTTTATAACCCCGCAGTCGAAGGCTCCCAAGCTCACACGGAAAATCCACGGGCCGAGACCCCAAACACCAATTTTCCAGAATCAAACCGATAATGATAAAGATGGGTTTAAGGTTTAGGGGTCCTTCAAGCTTGAGCCGAAATCCACTATGTAACTGATTCTGGGGAGTCGCATGAAATGCCCCAGTAATACCGCACTAAAGCCTCCTGTGGCGCCACCATACAAGCATACGTCACAGAACCCTAATGTAGGAGCCTAGATACTTACCAATACTATTCTGGTGTTTCCTTATTATAGTTCCAGTACAATATACCCCAAAAGCCTATTCCAATTATGAAGGCCCCTACTTATAGTACCCTCATAGATCCCCTTTTGGTCGCCATTACAGACCCCTTTTAAAGGGACCCTATTCTAATTCTTAAGGCCCCTACACTAATTACTCCAAGAATGATTTGAATCCCCAGCCGCCTGCTGAGGGCCGCTTCCGCGGCCTGGCCTATTGCCGGGCAGTCCCGGGCATTCCTTGGCAGGCTACTTGAAGGCTCATGGGACTTAGTAAGTAAGGTAATAAGCAGGCTATAATTAGGATAACCCCACTTAGGGGACTTATAACCCCAAGCAAAATTGATCCACTAAGTAGGGCTGCTCTTTCGGATTGCAGGCCTTTGGGTTGGGGTGGGGGTTAAGGCTTCAGGGTGCTCAGCTTTGAAGTCGGGGAGATCATGTTTGACTTTGTTTCTTCGATTTCGGTTTCAGGAGCGAAGCCTTTTCTGCAACCACCGCGTACCTCCAGATTTCAAGGTTGCAAAGCAAACGATGCGTGAGTAGGACCCTTATTGAAGCCTGTAGCTGATAGAATCATTAGAGCAACCTGGAAAGGAGGTAACTTCAAGGGAGAGGGTGAGTACGTAGGGCGAGTTTATTTGAACGAAAATTAATTCCTAAGGGGACTATAGCTACTAAACATGGGCAAATGGGAAAATGCGTGACAAGCGTCGGGCCGCCCCGGAGGAGGGCGTTGTCTGCCTGGGCTGCATTTTTCAGCTCGCCGAACTCAAGTACCGGTGTCTTCCGCCGAAATAGTTTCTTTTTTGCCGAATCTAGCCTAGAACGGGCGGGGCCTCAGACGCAACGTGCAGCAAAAAATTAATTTCCCTTTTTGTATCCTTTTTATAAGGGTGCCGGACTATATTGGGGAGCTGAAAAGGGACCCTGTTTTAGAGAATTGCCCACCCGTTAGCACCCATAGGCCTTCAAGGCTCGACTAATGTAGGGCTTCAATCATTAGAATAGGGTTTGGGGGAGTTCCTTATTATAGATGCCCTCAGTCCCAAGACCCCCAGGGCTCAAACCGATGGTTTGGGGATTTTGGACCAGTTGCTGGGGCGAGATTTGATCTTGTATGCTATCGGAAAGGCATCTTTGGAGGGCACCAATTCTGAAGCTCGCGACTGTTGTGGACTTAGGTGACGGACAGAGAGGAACTCCTTGCTTCAAATGCTATGAGACTTCTGATACATTCCTTAAGCCGCATAGATTCGGAGGCTCTTCAGTAAAGGCTTCAGTGCTTGGAGCCTGAAACCGCAAGTTAACTCCAGGACTTTCGGGGGGGAGAAACTGTAGCAGAAAACCCAATCAACATGACTCAACCCTGACTGCCAAGCTCGAACCCCGGACCTAACTGCCACCATGTTGCAAAAGAAGCTTCAACTTTTCTGAGAACCATGCAAAATCTTGCAAAGGAAGCTTCAACTTTTCTGAAAATCACGCACCATCATGCCAAGGAAGCCTCAACTTTTCTGACAACCGCGCACCATCTTGCAAAGGAAGCTTAGCAAGCTTTAACTTTTCTGACAATCACACACCATCTTGCAAAGGAAGCTCAGCAAGCTTCAACTTTTCTGACAGTCATGTACAATTTTGCAAAGGAGCCTTTCAACTACTCGGCTCTCGAACCTGAAGCCTAAATCCTGAAGACCTGCTGGAGTCGGCCAGCTGCGCCGTCGTCGCTGGACAGCACCTCTACGTCCAACCTCGCCATCTCCACGTGCTCCTGGACATAAGTCAAAGTAGTAGAGGCGCCCTGGGACAGTGTTGCGGGGTGTATCTTCTATGACTACAGCAAAGGACTATAAGGGGATGTTATTCAGTCCCGATATTACACCCCGAGTCCTACTCTTCTTCCTCACCCCTACACTGTTCAAAACATGCTTTGCCTCAGCCCTCCACCTGCAGCCGTCAACTCCCTAGTTTTGTTTTCGAATGTCTGACGCTCTGGAACACACACCACGCTATGCGATTTCAAGCTTTGGGCATCCACCACCTTAAAGTTTCAGGTGGAGAGCTATACTTTCGGTGCTGCTGCTTCCGAGTCGTGGCTCGAGATTTCGGATACTTTTATTGACTCTAAACACTAAACAATAAAACCCTAAACCCTAAACAATAAAACCCTAAACCCTAAGCCGCAAGCCGGAATCTCCTCCAGGACCATGGCTCCCTGCCGGCCGCCCGCACTTTCGGCTGGCGGCCGTCTCGGCTAAATGACGACGAAAGAGTCGGTCGGAAGACTCGATGGAGACAGTATTCATAAGACTAAGAAGAATCATCAGTATCATAGGTAGCAAAAATATCAAGCAGACAATGCAGGCACAAGTCGAGAATGCCTGACGAAAAGTTGTGGCATATGGCATCTAGGATATCTAGCAGTGGGAAGATTTGGGAGACTCTATACTGCACTTGGTGTAACAATTTCAGTTACACACATCGCACAGGACCTCTTTGGCACTGTGGACATCACTGTTTGAGCCAGTGAGTTCCGGCAGCGGGCGTGAAATGTGCTTACGGTGGGGTTGTTTCAGAGAGGCGATGCTTAAGTCAGCACAACTTCGACAAATCATCTTCCACAGTCTCTTCCTCCGAGATTCCTCCGAACTTCAGGGTTCAGATGTGTTCGAACTGGATTCGGAGGATTCCGCGCAATCACCAAGATTCCGCTTTCACCCGACAGAACCCGATAACTGCAGGAGCAACGTCCCGTCTGAGGCCGTACCACCGGAAATATTCCATGGACCCTCAACCTTAAACCCCAAAACCCACAAGATAATTCCGATATAGTTATTCCATAGACAAGGCTCGAAGATGCCGCACTAACCTTTCTTGAGCAGGGACTGCATGCATCAAACCTGAACCCCAAAATTCAAGCCCGCAGCCCGAAACTCTGAACCCTAAAAACCCTAAAAACCCCGAAACACTAAACACTAAACTTCTAAACCCTAACCCTAAGCCCTAAACCCGAAATCTTCAATGGTAGGCAGAACGTGAAGCCCGAAACTTCCGCTGTGCACCTGAGCAGACTTCTCCATGCCCGGATGGGAGCAAAGCCTCAGAAGGTCGATGTCCACTGTCGGATGTGGGGTCTTTTTTTTTAAGTTGATGTGCACCCTTTCTCCAAAGCAACGCTGGCATTCTGCCCTCAACTTAGGGAGGTGGGGTCTAGGGCTGCAGATTTTAGGATTTAAGGCGGAGGATCGGATGCTGGGTTTCGGGTTCAGGCTTCGGCCGTAGGAGAGGAGTTGCTAATTATAAGGGTTTCTAGAAGCCCCTTTGCACAGACTTGCACATGTTACTGTAAGCCCAAACCCTAAACCCCTAAATTCCCTGAACCCCAAATTCCCTAAACCCTAACAAGGGGCTACGATGAGGGCTCTTGCCTGGCGCGTCCTTTTAGAAGGGTTTCAGCTACCATCTTCATGCAGGCACGTTCTTCTAATAAAGGGGGCCTTAATAATCAGAATGGGGCTCCTTTAAAGGTCTGTAAGGGCTACTAGAAGGGATCTATAAGGGTACTATAGTACAGAATAATTAGACTAGGGCTTTAGGGGTATATTCTACCGTAGCTATAATCAGGAACTCCCAGAATGGTGATAATAGGTAATTGTTGAGGCCCCCATAGTACCCCGAGGTGGATGGTCCGACTATGCAGAGCCCTATCCCGTGGGCTGTCTCGTTCGGGCTTCCGGGTCTAGCATCTACCTGTTGCCCTAAAGGCCTACCCTTTGAGGGACCAAAAAAATGTGTGTATATATATATATATATAATTTATATATATATATATAATTTATATATATATATATATAATTTATATATATATATAGACACATAGATAGAAACCATGATAAGGAAGGCTAACAAAATAGGTCTTTTCGGCTACGGAGACTTTGGGAGGCTTTGGGGCTTAGAGTTCAGGGCTCAAGCTCTTAAGGCAGCCTTGGGGGCGAGGGCTCGGCGAGGACTCAAAGGTTTCTATAAGGGACCCTTAAATATCTATCTAGCTATCTGTCTTGCTATCTATCTATAAAAACAGACAGACCATCCAGTCGGCCAGTCCGCATCAGTCAGTGAGATACACAGACCGAAAGACAGGCAAACATTTACACTCTCACACACGCATTTATATGCGAGTGCATGCACAAACACATAAACATGAACACATATGCACATATTCACAAAGAGTCACATACACCCAAGCATGTATGCAAGTAGTGATACACAAACCGCCAATGCCATAGCTGTCTTTAATCCGTCGGCTCTTTCATGCTTCATTCTGTGGGTCTAGAGGGGCCTCTCTGTCTCTCTCTCTCTCTCTCTCTCTCTCTCTCTCTCTCTCTCTCCATATATGAATATATAAACAGATAGACTCTATATATATATATATGTATAATATGTATGTATATATATAACATATATATATATATATATATGTGTGTGTGTGTGTGTACACACACATATATATATATATATATGTATGTATATGTGAACCTGTGTATATGTCTATACACATAGACGCGCACACGCACAAACACACAATTACCCTCTTTACGATAGTTTAGGCTCTGTCGCAATGATTGGGCCACTAGCTAAAAGAAGCTTGACGACATAATCCAGGCCGTTATGCTGAACCCGTGAACCAATGACACTTAGCGACACTATCCTTCCTTTTGATGCTGGCATAGGCAGAGGCAACCTTTGGCTTCAAGTCCGGGCCTAAGATCTGTGCGTCGTCTGATGCGCTCGTCGTCGGCCTTGACATCTTCGCCCTCTCATTCGCGACCCACGCTGAGGTCCATGGACAAAGGAGCGTAGCCTGACACCCCGTAGACGAACCAGACCACACCATCTGTCGGAACCCCTTCGAAGGTCATGATGCCCTTCTTGTGGGACGGTCCATCATCAACGTCCTCGTCGACTTCCAAACGCACGCTCTCTGGTCGAACAAACCTGGAGGCGTCCAACAAGCAAAGATACCATTGGAGATAAGGATCGCGCTTAATGATGTGCTTATATTATAGGGTGGGGCCCTTTTGCACCACTTCGCCCGGGGTTGGAGCAAGCAGCCCTAGCAGCGTCACTGCGGAGCCAGCTTTCGCATCCGGCGATCAACGGCATCTCAAACTATGTTGAACAGGATGTTCGAACCCTCTCTCTCTCTCTCTCTCCCAGGCATTCGGCACATGTTCGAACCCTAAACTCCTAAACCCACGCCCAAGGCGTTTTTGTCAAGCTCCCACCTCTTAGGACTCTTTTTTTTGCCGGCCGTGGTATCAATGAAGCTGAGCTTGGAGTGATTGGGCGTCTGCAGCCTTCCCAGCGATCCTAGTTCATGGTTGGGGTAAGATTAAAAATGTACATGTTTGTTCCTTGTAGGGTTTACATCAAAAATGTACACTTTTATTCCTTGTTGGGCTTAAGTACCCATGAAAATGTAAAGTGTTGCCCAACTATGACACAGGATCCATCGCACCGAACGCTGAACTCGACCTCAATCGTGTTCCACCCGGCTTGTCGAACTTGAAGCACGGAGCAACAGTAATCTGCGTTGTAGCGGCTCTCTCCAGGGTTCTCTAGAAAACAGCCCCTACAGCGAAGAGCCATGAGTTCGGTCTCCTCCTTGATGCCCAAATCCTGGGTTCTTGTTAATTTGAAGTATACCAGAATAGGGATCTATACAAAAAATGGGTTCCTTATCGTGAAACTTAAAATAAGCCTTGTAAGAACCCAGAAGCTTCCAAACTCGGTCCATCCGTGGCCACATCCAAGAACGTGGTACCGGCAGTGAGGCGCAGAGTCCACGGATCGACGTCTAGGACGTTTGCAACAGCCTCGTAGAGCTCTAAGAGGCTGTTTCCGGACTCAACGGAGACTGGATGCACGTCCCCATTGACCGTCTGAACTTTGAGTTCCATAGGGTCTCCTTTTGGAGCAGGTGATGACATGTTTCGCTTCGAGCTGAACCGCTGGCCCATGCCCAGCGCGGGCTACACAGGGCAGCTAAGCTTGGGCCTCAGCAGGTCGTTGCGAGTGATACTGAACTTCTGCGGGGCCCTTCCGTGTGCACGGACCCGTTCCCCTTTAATGTTGGGCGGTTGCCTCATGTTGGACCCAGAGAGCCCAATACCCTTAAATAAGGAATATAGCGTAAATCATAATATGAAGCCTTATATAATTCAAGCCATATTCCTCAATTAAGGGGTATTGAGGGCTCTCTGGAGAACCAAGCACAAGGCAAACGAGCTTCAAAATCGGAGCAAAGCTGCATTTCAGAAGTTTTCAGGGACAAGATGAAATCTTACCCAGTCCTAAGGAGCAAAAACAGGAAAACCGAGCTTCGTTTGCCGAAACATCGCGCATGCCATGACAGCACTCTGAAACGAGGTACAGCAAAAGCTAATGAATAGCAGAAGTCACTACGAGTTCTGCATCGCCTTACAGGCTTCTGTGGTCAAGGTTCAGTCGAGTGGGTTTAGGGTTTAAGTTTACGGGCAAAAAACAATCATGCCAGGTCCCCAGCAGACAGCTTGGGACGCGAAGCCTGCTTGGTCCCGCAAAGGGCCTGGGAAATCAAAGGTAGTGGGACTGACATTTTCTGGGGGTTCGCACTTGGCGAAAAAGGTACTCTTTTGATTGAACCCAGACTGCCGATCAGCTGAGAAGCAGCAAACCCTAAACCATAAACCCTTGAGAAGGTAGTGATACTCGACATCTTTCGCCAGCGACACCCGATACTGAATCCCCGTGATGCTTAACTGGCTGGCGCAGGCTTTCAATTCCCGGCTTAAGTTTCGGTGCTTTTGCCCACCCACTTTGCTGACGGCCGCGCTGACGGATGTTAGGACTGAGGCTACAAGCACAAGCTCAGACGCCAGTACGTCCCTTAAGGTCTGGGGCTTAAGAAGTGTTTAGGTTCTGAATCTGGCATCCTAATCGTAATTTCGATAACATGATAATTTCTAGGCTTTGAAGCCATGTGCTAAACATAATCCCTGAAGTCGCAAAACTCCCAAACCCCGTTTCAGCATGGGCTTGCATTGTGTGCCAGCGAACACTCCTCAGCGGCAGGGCCTTATCGTTGGACGAGGGATGATAATGTGTGGGTGAGAGAAACACTCCCAAACCCCTAATTACACTCTAAACCTAAACCCTCTACTCCGGTATCCACAGGGTTTCAAACCCTAAATCAGCAAACCTCCTCACCTCGCCAAACTTAACGCAAAGCCCTCAACTTTCAAATATCCTCAACCCTAAACCCTAAACCCCCAAAATTCTCCAAATCTTGGTGGCCCCGGGCCGAAACAGGGCCCAAGGGCCCGGCTTTGTGGACCTCAGCCAGGGAAGGCCGCATGTTAATATAGGGGCCTTAATACTTAGAAGAGATTTTTTTGTGAGAGAGAGGGGGGGTTATAATATGATGACAACAAGGAACCCCCAAAATAGTATAGGGAATGGTTGAGGACCCTATATGGCATGAGTTTTTGCGACTTGAGATTTACAGGGCTTGGGGTTCAGCTCTGCGTTCGAAGCAGTTGGGGCCTTAGTGCGAGGACCAGGGCTTATGCTGCCTACCTGCAAGCTTGACCATTAGGCGAGTGATGTCGGAATTGAGTGCCCGGAATACGGGATGTGAATCACACAGCTGGGCCTAGCTGGTAAGAACTAAGTCGGCTCTGTTTTGATTTTATTGCTTGGGGGGTTGGGGTTTGGGCTTCTAAGGCTCTGGGTACCTTGATAGGGAGTTTGCGAAAGCTGGCTGTTCCAAACTGGTGGCGTGTCCATACTTAAAGGATCATGAGACTTAGTAATTACGGTGATTATTAAGGTAACTATACTTTTAAACCCAATTAAGCTGCTTATAACCATACTTACCAAGTCCCATGATCCTCCAAGTAATCATGACCTCCACCGTCTACCGGAGAGAACTGCATGTGGTGCGTTATGAGGCTCAGACAGGCCAGTGAGCGCGCTGGCACTCGGGGGTGCAATATTTCCTTGGCCGAGAACCGCTTGGATGCTTGGGGCTTCAGGTTTTCGGATGTATTACTTGAAGGCTCATGAGACTTAGTAAGTAAGGCTATAAGTAGGTTATAATTAGGATAACCCCACTTAGGGGACTTATAACCCCAATTATAACCTACTTACTAAGTCCCATGATCCTCTAAGTAGGGGGACTTTGTAGGGCATGAGGCTTGGGGGCCTTATCCTTCAGGATTCAATTCTTGGCTGGGTTGGGGCTTCGGGCTATGCAAGATCGCAGTGTGAAGCTGTTGGCGACTATAATCGGTCAGGGGAGAGGCAAGGAACAATTACTAGTCTCTAGGCTTCGGGTTCCGTGGATTCTTTTGCATCCGCCGGCCCACATCGTGCTAACTTGCTGGCAGCTGGCAGTTGCGACGTGTCCCGCCTAGCTTTAAGACGCTCCCAGTGCTGTATAATGCACTATATAGCGATACACTATAACACACTACAGTGTAGTATTAATAGAAGTTCCTATCAGCGCTCCCTAAAGTCCTTCAGCGTTACAAGCGCCTCAAAAGGTAGCCCCGTCGGAGGTCTCGCATGTTCTCCTTGAGTTCATCCGGTGGCGAACATCTACGCTGCAGCTGCCGGCGGGCAGCATGGCGCACCCAATCTCTAATCTTCAAGCTCACCCAATCGGGTCTTCGATCCACTCGTGTGTTGAAATCCAGAGAAACCCTCTTCTCCGGAGTCTCTACATTATGATTACTTTCTCATATATCCCTTGAAGGAACCCCTCATAGATCCCTTTCAGGACTCCCTGTAGGCCTCTACATCATGAAAATTTTAGCACCTGTATAGTCATATCGGGAGATGTCATGCTTCGGGGTTTGTTGGTGCCAATCTGCCCCGTGCCTTTTTGCCGTGCCTTCATCTCTCATGTCCTGGCTTAAGATGTCATACTGAGTCATACTATAGCATGTTATGCTTGATTATGAGATGCTTTATATTTCATCTAGTATATTACAGCTTATTGTTTTTTGTTGAAATAAGTTTTTGTACAGTATAGTTTCTGCCTGACGCAGTCGAACAGCGGAAGCCCGGCTGGGAGCGCTTTTCAGACAGGAAGCCCATGCTCCATGGGAAATCCCGGTAAATCGAAACTCGCCACTTCTCCAGCTCGAAGAACGACCGGCTTCGGTGTTTAGGGTTTGGGATTTCAGCAGTATGTCCTGGCCCAGGGTTTTGGTTGGGTGCATGGACGTAGATTAAGGGCATGGTTTTGACTAGGTTCGCGCTCGGGTATCAGTTTTCGGGGAGTGAGGCCCTGGCTTGGAGGAACACCGCGCGGATGCTGACTGTGCAAACAACCGGGTTGGCCAGATGAAAGAGGAGTCGACACGAGCCTGAAGCGGAGCCCTACGGTTGAGCGCATGTCTGTCCACTGCACCAACACGGACTGTTCTGCTTTGACAGCTAAAAACAGGAGATATGGCAGCCTTGATACTGTGATAATTGGGAGTTGTAGGGCTATTGGTGCTATTGCAAGGCCATGGCAGGTTTTGCTTGTATCGCCGTTGCTAAATGATGTCGCACAACAGCAGAAGGCGAAGTAAATGCTGTTGAATATATACAAGCAAGCCGTGTTCGCAACTCTTGCTGCTGTGGCTGTCCTCTTGGGCTTTTGCGGCTACAGGAACGCCCCCTTCAGCGCAATGGATGGTGGCCAGGAGAGATTTCTTGTCGCGGTGCCACAGCTCTAGTCTAGGCAGGCTGTGGATGGCTGTACAGGACATCCACGGATCTACGGGCTTGAAGGCTGCGCGACCTAGTTTCTGTGGGACTGACTGCTCTTCTGGCCACGACCCTCATGCAGAGTATGCATGTGCAGACTTCCCAATGCCGCACCTCTGCACACACGCACGAGGACCTGCCTACTATACCCTGATTTGATGGTCAGGGTTTCGACCTCGGACCTTACATACAAGACCTTGTAATAACGGCAAACTCTAACTCAATACATTCAGCGGCGCCTACAGTTGGATGCGGCCCGGCCCTCGGCAACAATTGAAAATCTCTGTGGCGGCTAACTGCGCCAAGCTCTGTTTTTCCAAGAGCGAATTGTGGACTTTCTCGGAATGCAGAATCCCCAACAAAGGGGTCCGGGTCGTAGATTCTTATGATTAGGGTCGTAGATTCTGATGATTATGTAACCCTGCACGAGAGCATCAAAAGCATGGAAACCTGAACTGTAAACATCCCTCAAGCCTAACAGTTCAGGGAACCCTGCATTCGGGATCCGGAATTCTGAGACATTCCAGTGCCTTGCAAAACTCACGCCGTCGGTGTCCCAGCCGACAAGGATCGTTTGATCTCCTTGGCCGAGCGTAATCTGTGGTCTCAACAACGCCGCGTTAGTTGGCAAGATCATGCGAGGTCCTGCTTTGGAGTGGCTTTGCCAGCCAGAAAAACCTGTTTCCCCTAAGTTAATGCAGAGATTGTCACACTGCTGCACATAAGCAATCCCAATGGCCAAACATACTCTTGATCCCAAAGCTTTACTAACCCCGCTGGCTGAGCAAGCACACACATCCCTGCTTGCCAGAACGGCTTCCTGGCGTCTAGTGGCTCATGTAGGACGCTTGCCACCCCAACCGATAAAACTCACAAACTTTCACCGGGGAAAATTTAGGTGCTGCATGGTGCTGCCATCGTGGCGTTTGTCTCGCTACCAAGTCAAGCATACGAGAACTACTGCTAGATTTGTCGTGTTGTCCCCTTCATCGTCACTCATGTCAGTGTGGTCATCGTTATCATCACCATCGCAAGTCCTACACTTACCAGAAGAAGGAGTAGTTTCAAACCCAGCAGCAGTAGTACTGCAAAACGATTGCTGTTCGAGTCGTTTCGACGCTCCAAGGGACAAGGTATGCCTCGTTGGAGGGATCGAGGAGCAGGGCCTTTGAGATGTGCTCCTGCAAACATTGGCTAGTTTCCTGAGTAGTCCCTTTGTAGTAAGTAAGGGTACCCTTCTTCCTATTATTCGGTTTTCACAAGGAGGCCCCAAAATAATACGGGCAAAAGGGTACGACTCGGGGACCTAGTTGGGGAGGCCTTCGGAATGGACTTTGAGGGATCGGAGCTGCAGATTGCAGCTCTGGAACTGAACTCCTGCATTTGCGCCCGGTAGCGCAATGATCTCTGCGCTGAATGTCTAGACTCAGGTGGTCATGGATTTTCACAATCCAAAAGCTATGACAGAGAGTCAGAGGGCTCCCATTGCATGCTACGTTATTTAAAAACTCTGAACCTACACACGGAAGCGCCGAGCATTCTACTCCTGGGCTTTCTGGCCGTCTTCCAGGTACATGTACAACGTCGCCAGGTTGGCAAAGCAGACATGTAGCCTCCACAAGGCTGGGGGATGACAGAGATACAAGCAGCTCGACTGTCCTGCATGGAAGCCCATGATCTGGTCCAAGGCCGGGAGAGTATTTAACATGATCATTTCTAGATTCTAGTCCGTCTTGGGCTTAAGTACCCATACTATGACAAAGTAAGGAAAAGGGGCCTCAGTAATTAGAATAGGGTTTTGGGGCCATAATACTATAATAATAAAGAACCCCCAAGACAGTATTGCTAATTGTTAAGGCCCACACATTACAAGCATGAGACATTCCACAAGCCTCGCGTATCGTGGAACATACACTTCTCTATCGCAAGTAGTATACAAAGGTTTGGAGCTCTCGAGCTCGGAGGAGTAGAAGCTGTCATGCATTGTAACATGGTAGGATCCTTGTTATAAGGACCAGAAATGAGCTACCCACACTTTTCGGAAACTCCCATGTATCAGATGCAAAGCTTGCCGAGCTGCGAGGAACCTTCGGTTCACTGCCATGGATCACTAAATGTGCGACCAGTCTAGACGAGGGCATCGGCATGAGGCCAAACAAGAATACATGGTCGGCTGCAATATCACGGAACGTTGCCCTGCCATGACCTTTCTTTGCCCAGGGACGAGGGGTCCAGGCGCACAGCCTGGCAATAGCTCTCGATGGCCGCCGCGATGTCATCCAGCGACCTGGTCCGAGTCTGAAGCATAAAAATTCAAATCTGCCGAGGTTCAGGGTTAAAGGGCTGGGGACATTAAGATTCTTAGGGTCCCCAGACTGGGTCCAGGTGTAGACACATACCTACTTGAAGGCTCTTGAGACTTAGTAAGTAATGTTATAAGTAGGTTATAATTAGGATAACCCAACTTAGGGGACTTATAACCCCAATTATAACCTACTTACTAAGTCCCATGATCCTCTAAGTAACCTCAACTACCCTTTGTAGAACCCTTTTATTATAGATCCCTAGACCCTAAACCCTTTAAGGAGCCCTTTAAGGAACCCTAAGTCCCATGATCCTCTAAGTACCCCCGCGATCTCGTGGAAAATGTCGGACCTAAACCCCATAGATCCCTTTAAGGAACCCTATAGATCCCTTTAAGGAGCCCTTTAAGGAACCCTACCCCCGCGATCTCGTAGAAAGTTTCGGAGTTTCCGAGCGTGCGCGCGAGCGGCTGCATCGCCACTCCCAGGTGAGCCCAGACTTCAGCCTGGCTATGCAGGGGAGGGGCTCCTTAAAAGGGGCTCCTTAAAGGGATCTATAGGGTTCCTTATTGGGATCTATAGGGTTCCTTATTGGGATCTATAGGGTTTAGGGTTGGGATCAGGCTGGCAAAGGAGGCGGGTTTAAGGGTTTAAGGGGCTTAGGGGTTTTAGGGTTTAGGGGTTCAGGGTTTAGGGCTTAAGGGTTTAAGGGTTTAAGGGTTTAGGGTTTAAGGGTTCAGGGTTTAGCCAAAGGCCCCAAAGTAGTTCCTTTTTGGGGTTCATATATAGAATCCTATACAGGGAACTCCAGAAAGTTGGAATATGGTTTCCCACTTGTCGGGTTAGGGTTCCTTTAAAGGGGTCTATAAGGGATACTATTAGGGATCTATAAAGGGAACTCCAGAAAGTTGGAATATGGTTTCATGGTAGGATCCCCGAAAATTTACCTTTAAAGGGGCTAGGATTCTCATACTCCAACTTTCTGGCTTCTACTGTAAGGGTTCAGGTTGGGTACTGCCCCCATACAGTAACAGTCTATAATAGGCCTACTACTAAGGTCCTAATATGTCTATATTGTGAGTATTATCCAACTGTTACTGAGTGGGGGCAGTATCCAAGGTTCAGGGTTCTTTTGTAAGCGCCTCTTTGAAAAAACCAGAGGCGCGTAAAAAAGGGTGTAGGGTTTCGGGGTTTAGGGCGCTTTAAGTGTGTGCAGGTTTGTTACGGCGTGTTAGGTTTATTAAGGGCCCGAGGAAATTGAATCTAAGGTTTCAAGGGGTAGGCTTTACAGATTTGGACTCTCGAGACGGAGACTCTCAAGGCGAGGCTGGTGGGCGGCGAGGCTTTGAGACATAGGGTTGCAAATGAGCTTGACTATCTGGGATTAAGAATAGAGTAGGTGCCAAGTTGGCGAGTGAAATGGCCATGGCTCAAACCGGAAACCATGCAATCCGAAACGCCCACATCCGACCTAGCCAATATAGCGTGGCTCAAATTCCCTCCCCTACCCATGCCCTTCTACCTAAACCCACCCTCACCCATGTCCCGACTATATCTTAAACCCAGGCACCTCCACGGCCCGGAGCGAGTGTCGTTCAGAGCTCGTCCTTAGCGCCGCCAAGACGCACCTCGGTAGCTCAGTATACAAAAGGAGTGCTCAGAAAAACAGAGCTCCGGTTTCTCATGGTGCTTGAGGTCTCGAAGAGTTTTTGTACTTCCCACATCGCCCTCCAAAAGCCTCCAAGCTTGCAGGCCGAAACTCACACTGAGCACCGAAGCTCAGGCTTGAGAAACACCAGAACCATCCCACACCTTCTCCGCATTAGCCCATCAAGCTACGCCTAAACCCAACCCTGCATTTGAATCCATTGCCTTATTCAATCTCTCTCTCTCGCTCTCTCTCTCTCTCTCTCTCTCTCTCTCTCTCTCTCTCTCTCTCTCTCTCTCCAAGGCATTCGAACTAAACCCTAAAACCTCCTCACGAGAAAAAGGGACGAAGCCCCAGGCACCTGAAAAGCTCTGCCGCCTCGGCAAAGCGCTGTGCTTCGCAGAGCGCCTCCGGCAGGTATGGGAGGCGCCCTCTGTTTTTTACGAAGAAAAGTTGAAAATGATAGTAATAAAATATAGCAGTAATATGGTTTTAAAAACCATATACTTGTATAATGGTACTATGATAATATATCGCCCATGCTTGACAGGTTTGGGCTTTCGGCGCTCACACGCGGACGAAGCAGGCGAGGCATTCCTTGGGCGGGTAAATTCTGCGTGCAGGATAGGTCCAGGGATTAAGGTATAGGTTCGTTGCCGACACTGAGCCCTTACACATGGACATGCCAGAGAAGGTTTTCGAGGTTATCGAAGAACAGGGCTTGAGGTTGACTTGTGCGTTCCGAGAGCTCCGATGTTGACTACCTCCTATGCACAAGGTGTGGCATTCGGAATGCCACGCGAGAACACGGATTTCAAGCTGCCTCTGCCCGCGCAAACACATCTGCGGCGCTCTCACCACCACCAAGGTACCTTAGAGTTTAAATTGCATGGCCCCCTTCATGATCAGATGACTTCTGCAAGCCACTCACCACCCTAGCAGCAGCAGTAATTACACATAGCAACGTGGAATGAAATGCTGCATCGGGACATGCTGGTATCTAATCGCTAGTCACGAGTCGGCATTTCTATATTCCCGGCACATCTGGCTGTGATACTTGAAGGCTCATGGGACTTAGTAATGTTATAAGTAGGTTATAATGAGGATAACCCCACTTAGGGGACTTATAACCCCAATTATAACCTACTTACTAAGTCCCCTGATCCTCTAAGTACAGTTGCTTCGGAATCGGAATCTTGCGGAGCTTTGAATGACTCTTGAGGTCTCGAAACAGAAAATTCTGTGACAATCCGAAAACCCCTGAGCTTCAAGGCCGAAAGTGCGGGCATCCTCCCAGGTCACCCTCCACCCTACCATGATTTGCAAGCTCTATCAGGAATCAATGAGCCTTGATTAATAGAGAGCTTTGCCAGTTTCTGACGCTTTTGCAGCCAAGCGGCCGCATCGCCCTTGCCCGGCTGTCCCTGTCATGTTCCTTCTCCTCGCCATGCGCCCGTCCACCAACCCCAGCGGCCCGTGCGTTCTGCCGCGCTTGCCTAGGATGTTTTCACAGCAGGGCCCGGTAGCATGGCACTACCTACAGGCCCCATAGTAGTTCCTTTTGAGGATTACCTCAGGGGATTCTACATATGAACCAAGAAAAGGAACTACTATGGAGATTATGGGTAACAGCCTCGACCTGACACTTATTCCGACCGTATACAACCTCACAGTGTGTTTCCGATACGACCTGTGAACCGATGTAAGCCGTAAGTGCAGGACTTGCATCGACAAATCGCAGCCCAAACGACTTCAAGAAATGGGGAGACTAATGTAGGGGCCTTAAGAATTAGAACAGGGTTTTGGTGCCCACTATGCTATAATTACACTGAGGAACCCCCAAAATAGTACAGTATTGGAAATTATTGAGGCCCCTATATTAAGTCCTTATAGTAGTCCTTACAGTAAGCCCTTATATACACCCCTTTAAGGGAGCCCTTAAAGTAGTACAGGTACTTAGGGTAGATACATTACTTCAATCAGCCGGGCCGCTGCAACGCACTGCGAGGCGATGTCTTCTGGCTGCCCTTGGCCCTGGGCTTGCTTTAATTTCTGCATCTCCAGAGCACTGGTAGGAAATACAGTAAAACTCAAAAATCTGGAAACCGGATTAAGAACAAGTAGTGCTGGGATTCCTTATGTACTACTCTTAAGGACTGAGGCTGTCGGGTCTCCAACTTTTGGGCTTCTACTCTAAGTGGATGAAGCTGAACAATACGTCTAAAGCCGACCGTCTCAACTGAAATTGTGCTGAGGAAGGAAGTGTCAAGGATGGAATTTCGAAGCGTGCAAAGCCAATTCCAACAAGTTCGAATATGTCGGGCACACCGCAGTGCTTCTCTAACTCGAATCCTCGTCCAAGTACTCCGGCAAAGGCTTGAAGTGTGCCAAGGGTCGGCTCAATGCTGCTCCCGCCTTGTGGCAGACGTATTCCCGGGTCCCGTGTGTGCATTTCAAAGCCATGCCGTTTGAAGGAGCGACATCGCTTTCTGGCTATTCTTACATCAGCGGGTGAGAGACTTATACGTTTACGCTCTCGCAACTCGGACAAGCCAGACGAGGTTCTTGGTTCGCGTCGACAAACTAGGTCGGTGCACTCGAGTCCGCTTTACTTATACGTTTGGGATGTCGGGTTCAGGTTCAGGGCTTAGGCCTGGGCTGAGTTGTCGCGCAGGTTTCGCGGCTCTCCCTTGCTCTGCCTTGTGAGCTTGCCTAAGCTTTCAGTCACTTTGGCCACTGATTCTTGCATTATCGTGAAGCTCAGCTGGAAGCTGAACTGGTTCGGGTTCTACCGGGGGATACTGTCACTCCGACGCCCACGGGCCTGCTGCTCCCGACGCCGGTGCCTTGCTGAAGGAGGGAAAGGTGTTATCAGCGCACAAACGTCAAAGAGATCGCTCAGATCCGCGGTAGTTGCACCAACAATTTCTGGTATGCCCTCCCAATCCTTCGCACCTCGCCGTCCCGTGGCGTTGGTGGCTTGTCGCCCTCCACGGGCCGAAATTGGGCGGTCCTGGCGAAAAACGGAACATTGCCCCGAGTTCTCGCATTTCGCGTGATATGGTGCAGCAGGTTGGGGTTGAGACCTCCGTTGCAAGAGTCAGAGTCAGTCCAGCGCGCATTCGGCGGATCTGGGCTGGAGTTTTCTGGACCTGAGGCTTAAACAGGCCAAGCAGGTAGGTCTGACAACTTTCCCGTCCAGACTGTGGTTTTCAGAGCAGTGGTTGAGCCTGGGCATGCTACTGTTGATGATATAAATGCTGCATGACCTTAAGGACCCTAAACTATGGAAATTATGGTATATTCCTTATTATGGGTAATGCAGGATTTATATCATCAACCGTAGGACAGCAAGTACCAGTAGTTAGTAATTGGTAACTCATCTAATCACAGGGAAAGCTGGCACCCTTCCAAAGGCCGAGCTTGGAGGATATGCATCCCGCCGTGGACGGCTGCCGCTGCCGCTGCTGCTGTCACCTGAAGAGCGAGATTGCAATGCGAAATCATCGAGAAGCTGTGCAAACCGGAGCACCTTCCGACTCGTGTTGGGCTGGAGGGAAAACCGACGACAAGAGATTCACGGCGGCTCGAGCGCCCAAACCATTCGGAGCAGTTTGCAGTCCAGCGGCTGTTGTACAAGCAGCTGCTGGGGATACCTCCTTAGCCATTGGCACACGTGATTGGGCTGTGGTTCGCCTAAAATCGGTAGGAGGCGAGGCTCCTCTGGGTTCTCTGAAGTCCGGACTCATGTGCAACTGTGTATACTTGAGAAGAGGGCACGAAAGTTAGGGCAAAACAAAGGAAGCAGAGTCGATAGAGGTCGGTCGTTATCGCGTGCATGCCCGATGCAAGCGCATCAACCCCAAGATGACAGCAGTCTTCTGCTTTAAACTGGCCCACACAAAGATACACCCTTGTCGCACCGTGAGACCTTGACCGACCTCACAGACTTCCGGAATGTCCCTGCGCACGCAATAACTCGGCCATCTACGAGCAGCTTGGACCTGTCCTCGTGGCAGCTTAGCGAATTACTGAGGCGGCGGACTTGAAACCTGCTACGTAGATGCACTTGACCGCGTAACGACACAATGCAAGTTGCCATGTTGCGAAAACAGATGGACCTGAAGATGGGGGAGGACCAAAGGAGACGGGGGGGGGCCCTCCTGGCTTGTACGATACTGCTACACTGCTGCCACCTTGGGTGGGAGGCCCTCCTTCTTGGCTCTGAACCGATCATTTGCATCGTCGTAACCCCCGTTCACTACTGAGAGAGAGAGCAGATAAAAGGTCCTGTAAGCAATTTTTACCTATAGTTTCCTAGTACCTCATGAATGATAAACGACAACTCCCACAAGCTCCGCAGAGCTGGCTTTCGTGATTTGTCTAAAGGACCGAAAAATGGCAGATTCGAAGTTCCTCGCGGCTGGGATGCTGCGTTCGTGTAGTTCAAGAGATGTCAGCATCAACCGAGGACGACATCTCGCCATTCCTCCCCAAGGATCTCGTCAGCAGGAGCCATCCGAAAACTCCAGCCGTCCGAAGTAGTCTTCTTGCCACTGCAAGCTTGGTGCACGGAAAGTCTGGAAACGTTTGCCACCCGGGCTGCCTCCGAGATTGAGGAAAACTGCATCCAAGAAGACTCACCGCTACGGCACCCCAAAACGGACCAGCCACTGCGTCCACGCTTGCCTTCTTGTCTTAGGGAATGGGCATGTATCATGTTTCCCGAAGGCGTCACGTACTCCAAGTTGCTGCGGCTGTTATTGCTGCTATTGCCATCAATGTGGTTGACTTGCAAGCGCAAAGATGGTGGAGGTCCCAAGAATGTTGCTGCAATCAGCCTGTGTACAGAATCGTGACCTTCATAGCAGCCGCGCAACGTCACCCCGACAGCCCGCGAACACCTCCTCATTGTCTGCAGAAGCTCGGCTCGACGGCTTGAGCCAAGTGCACTCACAGAGCACCACCTCACGGCCCTACCTACAGTAGTTACCTACAGTGCACACAGTACATACCAAACCATAACCCAATTGCCGACATCTGGACAAGTAGAATGGCCGTGGGCTCGCAGGCAAGCCACGCTCGGCGGGCTCGGCTTTGAGGGACAAGGTCTCCAGTGCCTAAGTTGCACATCTGGCTGGTCATGTGGGCGCCAACAAAAGGAGAGCAAGCTCTTTGTAAACTCCACCTAGCCGCGGGAATGGCAGCCGCGCCCTTGCGTCCATCGGCCACAGGTGCCGTGCCGCTGCATTTTTCGCTGCCCCGGCCCTGCCTCAGTGGCACATCAATGAATCAAGGAAGCAGCCCGAATGTCAAAGAAGGCTAGACCAGCTACTAGGATGCTACTGCAAAGAGAAAGCTAGCAATGTCGACCAGCAGTGCCTGTCACCGAGGTGAAGATGACGAACAAGACGATACTGATGATGCTGGGCCTGGTGGTGCGGAGGATGGTCTTGATGATGATGGTGATGGTGATGGTGGTGATTATGATGAGGATGCGAACTCTTACGAGCATGATGGCTGTCGTTGTGATGGTGCCCATGCAGACAACATGACTCTCCTGCTGTTGCTGATGTCGGCGATGATCATAGTGATAATGGTAATTATGACCGGCTGATGCCGCTCTCGATGAAGTGGGTGATGAGGTACAGATTTGGCATGAACGTACGCTGGGTAGCTGCTGGCGTCCATGAAAGTATATGAACGCAGCTAGCAAATCACGACGATCAGCGTTGCAGGCTCAGCCATGGACGCACGGAGCACATGAGGAGACACCGAAAACCAACACGGGCCCTGTCGTGGACGGGGTTGTTTCAAAATCCTGCTCGCAAGGCTCACACGCTCCTCACGTAATCCCCGGCCTGCAATGTGCCATGAAACACTGTGCTCTTTCACGGATCTTGCATCTCCTCGAAACGACTTCGACGATCCTACGCATGGCATCGAGCTCTGCCCCTCCCGAAGGACAATCAAGGCCTCAGAAACCTGAGGATACTGGATAGTTCATGTCTTCCTCCACTACCAGCACCAAACGAAGCCAAAGGCAGTAGCATCGTGGCACTCTGCACTCCAAATAGGCAAACACTGGGTTGGCCTGTAATTAACACCCTGAAAAATGTATGTATATATATATATATATATATATATATATATATAGAGTCCCTTATAAACACAAATAAGGAAAATAGAAAATGTCCCAAAATCAAAATCCAACCTAGAACAGTACGCTGCTCTGACCCAGCTACGCCCGTGGGCTCCGCTGCCGGCCCTGGGAGGCTGCGGCGCTTTTTCCCTGCTCGGCCGAGCGTGGCGAGGGCTTCGGCGAGCGGGGCGAAGCAGAGGCCTCGGAGAAGCTTTAGGGTTTAGGGTTTAGGATTTAGGGTTTAGGGTTTAGGATTTAGGGTTTAGGATTATGGCCAGGAAGGGCGAATAACGCCTAAAGTCTGTATAAGCCCTAAACGGAACCCTTCACCCAGGCCTACTGTTATGTATGACTATGATTATTTGGCAGTGCGCTTGTAGGTATCTTCGCTTCGGGAATAAGCTGCGAGCGGATAGGTACATAGAACTATTACATATGTAGTAGTGATTTGCAGAATTCGATAAGATTTTGGGGCACACATACTGCTTGTCTTCAAAAACCCCACACGAGGACTAAACAAAACTCCACCAGACTCCAAAACCAATCCCAAAACCTGATCCCTGAACCCTAAACCCCACATCCCTAGAGCAAAGCCCCTGTCCTGGCCTTGGGCGGAGAGGCTGATGCCTGAGAAGCAGCGGCAGAGCTCTCTGAGGCCACGGAGCTGTCCTTGGTGATTTCTCCCGGATGCTCGTCCCAACTCTGGCCAAAGACCGCTTGTTTGGCTTTCAACCCCATAACTTGCGGTACGGTAGCCTTGCACGAATTCTCGTATCAAGAGTAATCCAGCAGGGGGCTCCCCCCAATAGAAACTCGGAAATATTAGGATGTAGTTTTTGTCTCTACTGGCACTTTAGACTGTTGAGGGGTCGTGCTCTTGCTCCTGCGCTCGGGCTGCCAAATCCCTTCTGTGCATCACTCAAGTCTCGGGGGTGCCGGCGCTGCGCACTTTTGGAACACCCAACGTTCGCTTCTCGTCCATAATCCTCCGGAATGCTGACGCTCAAGGGCTTGTTGTGTTAGTTCAGCAGACTTCTCGTCGTACAATTGAACATCTGAAGCTGTTGCTTCGATGAACTGTGAGAGCAGCGAACAAGAAGTCCGTCCTCTGAGAAAGCTCCTTCTTGGCGGCCGGCACCGACTGCTTGGACCCAGTTCGCATGGACCCCTGCACTAAGCATGCCATCACAAACTGCAACAAGGAGGAGGTTGGAAGGGTCCTACCCAGCTTTGAGGGCTGATCTCGCAGCTGTAGACTTGGCCGTCGCAGACTCTTTGGCGCAAGTGCAACTGACATGTGTACATGTCTATTTTTCATATGGCAATACAAAGTGCGGACATAACTGCAACACAACATGGGAGGATATGCAGGGAAGAACCGAGATACCGAGAGGCATCTGAAGGCTGCTTATTAAGGCTTATTGGCAGCTGAACGTAGAGATGATAGACAGCATGTACACACATTGACAAGACATGCATGGCACAGCACAGCAGAGTAATAAAATACAAAAATGTAAACAAACACGCAAAGATGTCATCATATGTCATGCAATATGAATATGACAGCATTTCATGCCATGTCATACCATACCGCCCATACCAAGATAGAACAGACCATGACACAACATAACACACCTACGCATGTGCATACATACGTAACTACATACATACATGCATACATACATACATACATGCATACGTACCTAAACCCACGCAGGCATGCATGCATGCATACACACATGCACCCATACAAATGCACACATCTTTGCGGGTTGTACAAATGCACAGACACCGTACATGCATAATGTCCATGCCTAATGTCCGGGCACGATGCTGATTTATTCATAGTCCTTGGCATGCGCCATTGGCCAAAAAGAGTGTTCACTGTGGTTCTAGCTGCTTCATTCTTCAGCGCACCTCGGCTTTCGTTAAGCGCATCTCGATGGCCTTCAGCCGTGCCTGACACAGCAGAAAATGAAAGAAACTAACACCTTGGAACATGCCAGCAGCCAGCACATCCCTGCTTTGCATAATTGGACGTCTTTTTACGGTAGCTTGGTAAACGTGCGGAGACTCTGCACAATGTTAAACCCAGCGACACTGACATCTTCTTCTGGCCCAGCCCTAAACCTGCCACTTCGGCGAGCCTCGCCCTTGGGCTTGTCCTCCAGCTTGGCTCCTGTCTTCGACTATAGGCCCATAAGAAAATCGGCATTCCAACACTCCTTGACTAGGGAGGCAGTTGGCAGTTAATGTGGTTTTTCGATGCTCCGAAACTCAGAACACACTTACACTTGAACCGCAACATGTATTATCTATCAACCAAATCCTAAAGTGCTACTTTTCACGAAACCCTCTAAACCCCCAAAAAGCCCTCAAGAGCAGAGCCCCGAAACCCCACAGCAATAAACGCGCCTTCCGCCGCTGCCAAAGCTGCAGCGGCCTCAGGAAAAGCTGAGGAACGGGTTGGACGAATACAGAGGCTTTACGGGGTGGACTGAATGTCGTACATAAGCGTTTAATATTACATTTTTTCACCCGCCCAGCTTTTAATATGGATATAGTAGCAAAGCCTTGCGAACCGAAATTGGCTTTTGGCGATTTCGTTTTATCTTTTGCGACATTTAGGACAAGGAAACCCAGATTATAGTATTACTTCAATTTCTACCGCTTTCCCGTTTGTACTAGAAGCTTCAACTTGCCTCGGCCAAGGATTTTTCTTGGGTGTCGTAGAATTTCAATGGGTTTTGGTGGGTTGCATTGAAAATCTGTCGGGCCTTACGCTTTCGCAACTGTCGACCCTTCAGACTTCGCAGCACTTGCATTGCGGAGCATTGTAAGGTCGGAGCATACGGGAACGAGAACTAGGAACTAGATTGCACGTTTATGCTTTCGTGGGCCCAAGGGAGCTGCATGAGACTTCGTCAATATTTCTTTCTATTTCAGACCACTGCAAACAGCAAACTTGGTCATATTTAAAGAAGAGAAAGCACAGCGAGCGAGCAAGACCCCAGCCAGCCTCTTCATCGCGGCCTAGCCGGTGCGAGGGCCAGTATTCTGGTCGGCTTCGATTTGTACGGAGAGCAAGAGTGCGGGAAGTAACGATAGCAATGAAACAGACCACACCTGACATCCCACGTGGCCTCATGCTGCATTTATTTCTCATTTCTGGGTTGATTTGCTCGGCCTCGGCTGAAGGCCTCCAAACACATGTTCAGCTGCCGCCGCGCCACGTTGACACTGCGACCACCAGCCTGTAAGCCACAAGCTGACGAAGCCAGGACTGCGTACGCAGTTCATGACTCTCACTTTCACCAGTCGGTCAACAGCTCAAAGCAAGATTCTGACGTCAGTGCCTTAGCGCTCATTATTATCCTTCCATTCTCGAATCTATTCCCCAAGCCCTACTCGTACTTTAGCCCACCCGAAGGTCTCAAGCGCTCGGCTGTCCTCGTCTGCTGAGGCCGGCGGCTCCAGAATGGCCCTGAGTGCAGCTTTGGTCTGGGGTGCACACGGACACACGCACGCACACGCACACGGTGCATATAGACATATAACTACACACATACATGCGCACAAATATGTATGATGTGGATATGCATGCTTGTATATGTATATGTCCATGCAAACGTATATGTGAGTATATGCGAAAGTACATGTACATGTCTATGTATCGGTATATGGTATATGGTATATGGTATATGTATATGTATATGCATGTGCATATGTACGTGTATGTGTACGCGTATATGATCCGTATATGTATTTGTATATGCATGTGCATGTACACATGTACGTATGTACGTCGTAACGTATGTATGTAGTGTGTATTTGTATACAACCCCCTGTTTTATGACACGCACACGTTCCTGACGAATGTATGTTTATCGAGAGATAGGGGTATGTGTGTATACACGTTACTGATGAATATGTGTTTATCAAGAGATAGGTAGGTGTGTGTGTGTGTGTATGCGTACATATATACATACATATATACATATGTTTACATACATTCATCTACATATATGTTGAGATAGATAGGTAGATAGATAGTTAGTTAGATATATGTACGTACACCTTCGTGTGTGGCGATGGTTGCATTGAAGAATTTCTCGGTTTAACGCATAAGAACACAGGCTTGCGAATATAGCGCTTTGGGGGCTTGAGGTTCTGAGGATCAAAAGCTGAAGCTCTAACTTGGTCGCTCGCCATGCAGTCGAAGGCGAAAATCGGAACCCATCGCGAGATGTAACTCATCCCGGAAAGCGTCGGCGGAATACGAAGCTCTGCTTTAAGGTGCCTTGTTACGATTACGTACTGCGCTGACCAGAGGGGACTGCCTTTGTTCTGCAACAGGAACCAAACCAAAACCCCGAAACAGGCCGCGACTGACCTAACATAAAAGAATCATACTCAGAGGGTCTGAACAGCGGGCAACGGGAGCTGTGTCTGCTCGACATGGCGCTGCCGTAACCTCGCGTTCTCCTCTGCAGCTACCGGAGTCGTGTCGGGCTAGCGGGGATCTATAGGATGTAGGTGGGGCAAGCTGAAGGGTTAGGTGGGTGAGTAGGGTTTTCAGGTTTCACATAGGATATTTGTCTCAGTGCAGGGCTTTCAACATCTAAGGCTTAACCATGGCAGGATACAACGCCAAATCGATGCACAAATGTGCATCGCATTTCCCAACCCTAAATCGTAAACAACCCCACTCGGTACATGTTGCTAGTACTATTATGGTTATTGTTGCGGTTATTGTTAGTATTACTTTTCAGTCTACTTTTATTAGCATTAAATATCATTCTTCTTGTTTTTCATTAAGTATTCTTGTTGTTTTTTTGATTGTTACTATTCTTATTACCATTATTATCATTGTACAATCAGTATTACTACCATTATTACTATTGTGATTAGTAACACAGAGACAGCACTCCTGCAGCATCGACGCAGCGAAGCCGGAGAGCTTTCGGATCGTCGCGGAGCACCACTCGGAGTGCTGCCTGGAGGCGACAGCTGTTGCGAAATCTTGAAGCTAGTATAGTATATAGTACAGCATGGTTTTATTTGACTTTTCATCTCACCAGATTTTGAATAGACGGAAAACTGCGTTAGTGTTGCCTTTGAATCGCAGCCCCTAGAACCCAAGCCCCAAACCTGTCCTGAAACCCCCAAGACAGAACCCCGAACTGTTCGGTGAGCCTGATCTCTGCATCCAGGCTGGCCGGGGAGTTGTAACCACGATCGTGGCCACGATCCGGCATCCTCGGCAAAACTAAACGTCTTGTGGCTTTCTGAAAGACTTGAGGACCTCTTTTCGGTGTCTTTGCAAGGCCGGCCCACTTTCGTGTCCGTCTAGCTGCTGCCCTGCTGGCCAGACCACGGACCCCAAGCAAAGCCAACAAGCTCCCAAACCCGTCCCCGAAAGCTCGTGCAAGGGTTGGACTTATGCAGCCCAGCGGCAGCGATTCTACTTCGTCCTCGCCGAAGGCTCTGTAGTTGGGCTTTGGGCAGTTTAGGATGCGGGGTTCAGCTTCTGAACTGCAGGGTTCCGGGCAGCACCAAGCTACTGTCGAGCACTGGAGATGCAAACGACGGTGGATGATAAAAGCTCGAAACCCAACACAGGGGTTCCACCGCAAATTCGTGCTGGGAATGCTTTTGGTGCCTCCAGATACCGGAGGAACGTGGTGAAGGGACAGACTTAAACGAGTCAAACCTTGCTCCAGAAGATGCAACAGCTACTCCTCCTGACAAGCCCTGCTCCATGAAGGGGGCTAGGCTATATTCACTATCTTGCCCCAAGAGACGTCCGTCTCCTGGAAGGACTTCGGCAGGTCTTTCAGACTCTGCCGGCAGGTCTGCTCCCAATCGCCGAAGCCGGCAATGGTCTGCTCCAGGGGTCGAAGGCACCCGGAGAGATTGGCCACCTCGGCGTATCAACGAAGTATAGGGTTTAGGGTTTGGGGCTAAGGTTTACGGTTTATAGGGCTTAGGGATCAAGTTCGTAGGTCAGGGGGGAGGGGGGGCGGGGGCAAAATACAACCCTGGGCGATGGGTTTTGGCGACAGCTTCTGATGAGACTAGAAACAATGGTTCTGTCAGGCACCGTTTACTTTCAGAAGCATTGCACAGGCCATATTGGAAACAACAAACACCTCAGCCGAAATCTCAGACCCCAAATCTCCAAAGCAACCATTTTTAAGTAAAATCAAAGAACACCTCCCCAATAAACCCTAAGCTCCCAAACACCAGTTTTTTGTTCTGCCTCCTGCCTGGCTAGGACGAACAGCTTAGGGTTTCGACGCTCACACTCGCACAAGGCAGGCAAGGCTCCAAACAGTTTAGGGTTTAGGGTTTAAGGTTTAAGGTTTAGGGTTTAGGGTTTAGGGTTTAAGGTTTAGGGTTTAAGGTTTCGGGTTTAAGGTTTAGGGTTTAGGCAGCTTTTTTGGCCCGCCTCCGCCCTGAGCGCGCCGGCCGCGTCGGCCTCGGCGCTGCGGCGGAGGCTCCGGGATTGCTCGGCCTGGAGCTCCTGGTGGAGAGGCGGGAAGGTTAGGGCTTATAGGTTAGATGCTGCCCCCACCCTGTAATAGTGGTACTAGTATAATAGGAATAGTATAGGGCCCTACTATATATAATCCTTATAGTCTATGTATGTAAAAGGAATCCTATGAGGCGGGAAGGTTAGGGCTTATCGGGTTTAGGGGTTTGATAACAGGAACCCAATGAAATCCTATGTGTTACCCTTTCAAAGCTCCTGGTGGAAAGGGAAGACTAGGGTTTATAGGGTTTGATTAAAGGAACCCTATGCAACCCTATATGTTACCCTTTCAAGGCTCCGAACCTTCCTTGAAATATGTAATGTCGGAACCTGATTGAGAAACACTTGGGTCTTTACTAGGGCTCGTTATATGAATCCTTCATAAATTGGGGTTAATAGGCCCAGGGTTTCTTAATCAGGTTCCTGCATTAAAAAACTTTATAGGGTTTGATGAAAGGACCCCTCTGGACCTTTAAATATTCAAAATAGGACGTGAGGGCTGTGTGCGTTTGCGACAGTCGCGTTTGGGATGAGTTTTGGTGATCCGGAGTATTCTTACGTCAGATTCACCCCTTTCAAGGAATGGAATTCTTATAGGACCCTTGAGAGGTACTTGTATCTGTGGGGGGCTTAAGAGGATTTCGACCCACACACTCGCTCTTAAGGGGATTTAGGGCTTAAGGCCTTTCAGGGGATTCAATGGCTGTTGTCTTGAACCGACATCTGTAAATACAGATCTATAAGTAGATACACATGCACATGCTTTAAGATGTATATACACGTCGTACAAATCTACACTTTGTGGTGCGAGTCTCCAACTCTGAAAGTCCTCGTGCAGGAATGCTGTCTGCTTCCTCTGCCTGGTCAGTCAAACGGAACTCTGAACTCTAGCAAGTGCGACAAAAGAGACACAAATTCGGGGCAGCCAGGCGGGGCGAAGTTTCTTGGAGCTTTGCTCCAGTTGGGCTTCGTTCATAAAGCCATGCCACAAGCCACCAAAGCCAGCTTGAAGCCCCTTGCCTGAAGGCGTACAATAACTATAAAGCTTGTACCACATGGCTAGCAATGCACAGTAGTAATAGCAATAGCGACAACAACAATCTCTATGCAAAGTATGGCGATAATTATGGCTACAGTACAGCTTAAGAATAAACAAAAGAGCCCGTAGTAAAAAACCCGAGAGCGCTGCGCCTCTCCACTTCCTCGAGCTCGTGCTGGTAGGCGTTTTGGAGGCTCCAGAATGCTCTCAGAGCTTCGTCTTGCTCTTTCCTCGGCTTTGGGTTCAATATATTAAAGACATTCATATACCAATAACAATAACAGTAGCGCTAAAAATGATGCAAAACATGACAATGATGATTAATTAACACTAATAATGAAAATGCAATCACTATATTATATATATATATATACATATACATATACACATATATATATATATATAGTGTACACATACACTTGCTCCTTCCTCCGCTGGGGTTTAAGGCTTACAGGGAGGGAGTTCGGCATAATTTAGTGACCTTCATGACTAGAATAAGAATCGAGGGGCCCATTCATTTTACTATAAGAAAATCAGGAACCCCCACAATACTATTGGTAATTACTGAGGCCCCCATATTGAGGCTTATGGGGGAGAGTTCGGCGTTCCTGCTTAGGCGTTTTGGGTGTTTGGTGGTCTCGGGTTTACGCAAGCTCGAAGGCGCTTCTGTGCTCGAGCGTAGGGTGAAAATTACTGGGTCTGGGGTTAAGTGATAAAGATTGTTAATCAATGTCGGGCTTGAGGTGCTTGAAGTATACAGGTGTTAGGATTTCCGGCTGTGTGCAAGACTCGCCTGTGAACTATGCTGGTATGAACAAGCAGGCAACTCGGCAAAACGTAATTGCTCAACTCTCGGAGCCCTCCTCATGATGGATGCCGCCCTGGAGACCGTTATTGCTTCAGACCCAAATCCCCAACCTTGACAGCCTGTATTCTCAAGTCCAGACACCTGCAGACGAGATCCTGGAAGCCCGAAACTCTCAGACACCCATCCTATGATCCTCAAGCATTCGACAACCTCAACACCTCAAGCCACGAACCAACATGCCCTCCGAAAGAACCCACCGAATGCTCAAGATCTCAACAGGACCTCAACCCAAACCCTCCTAGGCCTAAACCCTCCACCCTAAAGCCCTAAACCCAAGAGCACCCTCCGAGACCTGAACACAACATCCCAGGTCACTATACTAGACGATCACATACCCCAAAATATCCTGATCTAATTCATTCTCGAGGCCCATAATTACTTTCAACCCTTTCCCACACCTTCGAGTACCCATTTTTAAGTCCCTAAATCAAGCATAATCAAGGCCACAGGGACACGGCGTGCCGCGCCTTTCCAAGCTCCATTTCCGCCTGCACCAACTCTGCCTTCAAAGCCTCGCTTTCGGGATACCAGGGTTTAGGGTTTAGGGGTTTAGGGGTTTAGGGTTTAGGGTTTGGGTTCAGAATGTAGGGGTTTTCATCATAGAGATTCGGGTTGAAGCTCATCTTATAAAGCGTAAAATTGGGGATTCTGAGCTTCTTTGATCTTTGAACTTTTCACTTGAGTTTGAGGGTTTGGGCCTGCTTCTCCATATTATACGTCAGCGTATGATCCATGTCTGAGAGGCATCTTAGGCAGCGGCTGGCTGAGGGTTCTATCGGGTCTCTGTGTACGCTAGGTCTTGCAAGCCGCCGGTCCAGGGCTCCAACTTGCAACCCTAAACCCTGTTGTACTAGCCCTCCCTAAACCCAAAAGCTAAATCCTAAACCCTAAATCCTAAACCCTAAATCCTAAAGCCTAAAGGCTAAACCCTAACCCCTAAGCCAAGCCCTGCCATGCTTGAAGTCCTCACCTCCTCGCGGGAGGGCGCTTGCAGGAGCTGCTCCTCGCCAGGGCCAGGTTGCTACTTGACCGCTACTAGACCCAAGAGTAACCTAGGAAGAAAAAGGGTGCCCTTTTTGGTTTAAAGGGGGTTATAAGGGAACCTAAACCCTTAAAAAAGGGAATAAGGGCCTACTCTGGGTCCTAGGCTAATTGTCGTCATCAGTAGGACCACATTTGTATAGTTCTACCACAATCCTCATGCGCCGTTGTTGCACACATGCAACACATGTGGTCCAAGAGGCTTCTAAATTAGACTCTGAAGTACCCCAGACCGCTGCAGAACCATGCACAACAAATGGACGCCGTACTTGCAGTGCGTGTCTGCCGAGACCAAAGAGGGATGACCTGCAGAGGTAAATACTCCAAACCAAGAACGTCAGATCTGTCAGGACCCGTTTACGGCCTGTCGGGTTTAGGATTTCTGCCGAGGATTCAGCGGGTCCCCCATGTTCGGAAACCACCATCTCAATAATTTTCACAGATACAGTACCGTAAATCAGTCCTAGAGTTTAAGTTACGGTTCAGGGTTCGGTTTGCTATGAGAGCCGTGAAGTTCAGGGTCTTCGAACCCGGCTAGGGTTGCTGGTGACCCAGCAAAACTTGAAAAGCGGGTCTTGTACCCCGTACCCTATAAGACTTACATAACAACCCTGACACCCCAAAAAGAACCCTAAATAGTAGGATCCTTATTGTAAGGACCCCCAAATAAGGCACCTCCAATTTCCGGAAACTCTCAGCCTAAGCCCTTATAGAGCCCTTTAAAGTTCAAGGAACCCTTATAGTACCCTTTTGCAACCCTATAGTTTAAAGGAGCCTTAAGGTACCCCCAATTTTCGGAAACTCCCAGATCTTCACCACCGCAGACCCCGAGCCGGTCGCCTGTGCCAGGGCGAGCTCGGAGAGGGCCTGGCGCTTCTCCAGGCGCTGCGCCTGCTGCGAGACGTGGGTTTAGGGTTTAGGGTAAAGGGCTTGGGATTTAAGGTTTAGCGTTTAGGATTAAAGGTTTCGGGTTTAGGATTTAAGGTTTCAGCACTCACACTCGGACATGCCTAGGCAGGATTTAAGGTTTAGAAAAAAAGGTTTAGGGTTGGATGTAGACCCCAGATTAGTTAACGCTAAGCCCGACCATTCAAAGGGATGAGAAGGGCGCTCCGAGTGTCAGGCCCTTCGTTTATGAGGGACTCAGGATGCTCATGGGTGCCTATACCCAAAGGCCCCATAGTAGCTCCTTCTTGGGGGTTAATATTTAGAATTCTATAAGGTAATCCCAAAAAGGAACTACTGTGGCGCCTATGGGTAAGGCCTAACGTTTCTGGAATGTTACACTTGAAGGCTCATGGGACTTAGTAAGTAAGGTTGTAAGCAGGTTGTAATTAGGATAACGCCACTTAGGGGACTTATCACCCCAACTATAACCTACTTACTGAGTCCCATGATCCTCCAAGTCCTAAGCCCTTTTTTAAGCACGGACTTGGAGTGTAGTCCTAAGCCCTAAACCCTAAACCCCAAAGGAACCCTTTTAAGGAAATTACTTACTAAGCCCCATGATCCTCTAAGTACCCTGGGTCCTAGGACAATCCGAATCGGCCTCGAGCTCGTCAGCACACGTCACCCGGAGTTCGGCCAGGGTCTCATTGAGCTCCAGCACCTGAGGCCAAGGCTAAACCCTAAACCCTAAACTCTACTATGGGCCTAAACCCTAAACCCTAAACTCTACTATGGGCCTAAACCCTAAACCCTAAACTCTACTATGGGCCTAAACCCTAAACCCTACTATGGGGGCCAAGGCTATTAACCCTAAACTCTACTATGGGCCTAAACCCTAAACCCTACTATGGGGGCCAAGGCTACTAACCCTAAACCCTAAACTCTACTATGGGCCTAAACCCTAAACCCTACTATGGGGGCCAAGGCTACTAACCCTAAACCCTAAGTTACTATGCGGGGGCCTAAATAATTGCCTATACTATTTTGGGGGGTTCCTAAGCAGGTTCCCTTAAAGGGATCCTTAAAGGGATCTATCAGGGATCTATAGTAGGGCTCTATAATATAGGGGGTCTGAATAAATACTATACTATTCTGGGGGTTCCTTATTGTAGTTATAGTAGAATGGGCCCCAAAACCCTATTCTAATTACTGTATAAGACCCCTATATTAAGGTTTCAGCTTCAGCTTTACCTAGCTCGTGCGCAAGCCCGCTTGCTCGTTGACAGGGGCCCTCTGACGGACTCAAGACTCAGTGCAAACGTAAGCTCGACTGTCTGCCGGGCGTAGGATGCAACTCGACACTTTGAGAAAGGCTTCCTGCAATGCCCCTGAGAACGGACATGTTCAACTTCTCTCCCTCTCTGCGCCTCAGCATGCAGTGCCTCGTTGGCTTGAGAGCGCTTGCGCTCGCGCTCCTGTGGACCATCTTGCCATCTTGTGCTTGCATGGGGTCTCAATTGAAGCGAATTGGGTGGCCCGTCGCCCTTGCGATCGTTCAGCCAAGCCCTTGGTGTTGCGGAGATTGAGGTTCTGCATATGCACGGCTCGCTTCGGCCGTCTTACGTTCAGTTACGACATATAAGTTACAGAAATGGTAGAAGGTGTGTGAGTCTGTGGGCCTTTACAGATGCAAGTGCCTCCATATTTCTTCCCGTAGCAAACCTGTCGATACTTGCGGCCGGTATGACCGACGGGGCTTCGGCTTCGGCCGTTGCAGTCCAAGGTCCTGCGCATTTCCGAATATTGACTGAGGCGTCTCTTTAATCATCTCCTCGAAGATATCTAATTACATGTTTCATGCATATCGACTCCGAACAGAGGTCCTCTGCCAGAAGATTCTGTCGACTCTGACTCCTGGCAACTGGGCCGCAGTTCAGGGTTTTGTAGACGGTGCGCGCAGGGCAAGGCATCGTTCACCATCTTGAAACGGAGCATCACATCCGAAGCGAACGTTTCCCTCTCTTCCTACGTATATGCGAACAAGCAAAGCAATACAATAATGCGTAAAGAAAAAATATATGTACATATATATATATATATATATGCATGTCAGCACACGGTACGTAAGTACGTAGATACGCAGGTTACCTGCATGTGAATGTGTATACATACACCCACACACATCTGTATATGATTAAACGTACATACATACGAACGCACGTACGTACATGTGTACAGACATACAAGAGTACCCTAACACCTATACACCATGATCTCTGCCCTCTCTACCCCACAGCCTGGTGGGGTGTCGCTCCAGCGTCGCTAGGCTCGGCGAGGAGGGGCAGGGCGAGAAGGACTTGAGGTCCTCGCTGATGCACATGCGGGTAAGAAATAGAGGGGTCTCGAGACGAGCTTTTTTGGTATCAGCAAGACCCTAGAATTTCTTAAGTCTTGCCATAAGGCAGCAAAAGTACTACCTTTCCAATCAGCAGAGCCCCATGACCCCTTAACCCAACAATCTGTTGTCCCTGAAACACGGCAACCACTCTTCCCGCTGCGGTCCTCGATCTCCCGCAATACTCGCTCCTGGCAAGCTGAAGTGGCACATTTCGAAGCTAGCTGAACAACCAGCAAGGCTTTTCGGGTTTACCACCTGGGACTGAATTGCTATGCAACTAGCAGGCATCGTCATGCCTCTAAAGACACCTTGAAACATGGCAGACTACTTGGATCGCCTGGCCTCCAGCTGACTGCGGTGGAGCCGCTCTTCCTGCGCAATCTTCTAGTTTCCTAGAAGAAGCGACACATCAGTGGCTTCCAAGTTGTGAGAGGTGGGGGTAAAGAGTGAGAGAGAGAGAGAGAGAGAGAGAGAGAGAGAGAGACAGACAGACAGACAGACAGACAGACAGACAGACAGACAGACAGACAGACAGACAGACAGACAGACAGACAGACAGACAGACAGACACAGACAGACAGACAGACAGACAGACAGACAGACAGACAGACAGACAGACAGACAGACAGACAGACAGACAGACAGACAGACAGACAGACAGACAGACAGACAGACAGACAGACAGACAGACAGACAGACAGACAGACAGACAGACAGAGACAGACAGACAGACAGAGAGAGACAGAGAGAGACAGAGAGAGAGAGAGAGAGCGCAGGAGAGCGAGAAGTCTAGTACAGGGGCCTTCATAACTAGAATTGGGTTCTACCGTGGAACTCCCATGCACAAAACAAACCCCGAAACCCTAAACCCCTAGACCCCTAAACCCCTTCTCTCCCAAGCATTCGAAAAAAAAACCCTACACCCTATGCCGAAGCCTCATGGCCGCCAGCTCTCTCCCCCACGGGACCCGATCCAGCCTCCCCACCCCGCCGGAGCTCTTCCAAAGCAGCCTTCACCTGGGGCTTAGAATCTCTTTCTTCTTTTTTGTTCGCTCTCGTATTGCTTGGAAGTCGATGCCCGCTCGGGAGGTCTGACATACGGGACACTTGAGAAAACAGCGGGTTTACACTCAGGGTTTTGACACTTGGTACACTTCTCGATTTGTGCGTGTCATCCGTTCGCAGGGGCCATGTTCTTCTTGTCTGTATCGTTCCAATTTTATCGGAGGGTTTAAGGTTTAGGGTTTAGGGTTTGCCGTAAAGTGGCGCATAAGCGGTAGTATCTTGCCACAGTGTATCGTCGAGTGCGTCGTAAAATGACGGACAGGTCGTTGGAGCCTGATTGTGCATTGTGGATGGCTCTTTTCATTTACCCACACCGTCTAAGGCGGCCGAACCACCCAAACCTATTCCGTTTAGGGTTTAGGCCTAAACTCATTCATTCCATGGTATGTTTTCTATTTCTTTTGTTAGCTGCGGCGGGGCAAGCAAGGAAGGGCAGGGCAGGGCAGAACACGGCAGGGGGAAATCCTGATTAGGAGGAGGTGTTAGAGTGCTTTCCTACTACACAAACCCAACCTAAACCCTTAAACCCCTTTGCTCTGGACTTTTTGGAGCTTCCCTGAACCCTAAACCCCTATATAAACCCTAACCGGGCCTGCTCCAGGTCATCCACCGTGGCGCCATCGGAGCGCCGCGTGCGCAGCGCCTCCTCCAAGACCGGCCCAGTGCCCCAGGCCTCTGGGAGGTGACCTCAGGGGCAGGGGTTTAGGGTTTAGGGTTTTTTCCCTCTCGCATTGCTGTGGAGTCTATGCCCGCTCGCGAGGTCTGACTTTGGGGATGTACAGAGACTTGAGGGTTTAGGGTTTTGGGGGGGGGGGGGGGGGTTGTAGCGAAGGGGGGGGTTAGGATTAGCATCTGGCGGGTTTTGGGCTTCAGTGTTTTAGGGCTTACGGGCTTTGGACTTCAGAGTTTTTGAGTTTCAGGTTTTCAGGGGTGCATGAACGCAGGCGGTTCCACGGCTTAGGCATAGGGGTTTAGGGTGTTTCGAAAGCCTCGGATTCAATGTTTTGCTTCAGATGTAGGCTGGGTCGAGTCGAAAATCGACACGCACACTCGCACACCGCAGGCACTTCTTCATGAGGCAAGGCTTTTCACCGTTACATCCCTAGGTGAAGCGATCTCACAAACTTGCTGCAGGTAGTGAACCCTACACGTAAGTATGCAAGTATTGCCAAATCACCAGGTCAGATTCTGGGCAAGCAGGACTTCCATTGAACAACACTTCTCCGGGCCTTCATTCGCGCGAGCCTGTGCCGTCTGCAGCTGATGCAGCCTGCGGATGTGTTCCAACATCAAGAAGGTGTGCTCTCAACCCAAGCACAGCCGAACACTGACAAGCATGAGACGTGAGGAACTAAGGAACTAACTGTTCTACTCCTCGCGCCCCACACTGCTCCGAATATCAAACATCCACCCAAGCATGCGGAAGCCGACAAGTTCGAACACCATGTTCCTTCTGCCCTTGCAGGTTATACTTCATCCGTGTTCTACTGTTAAAGCCAAACCCCAAACCCAGACTAAAGGTGCCTAAATGCTTAAACCATGGAACCCTAAACCCTGAATTGAACCACAAAATCCTGAACCCTAAATGCCTGAACAACAAAATCCGAAACCCTAAAGGCCCTAAATGCACAAACCATAGAATCCTAAACCCCAAGTGCCTGAACCGCAAAATCCTAAACACTAAATGAACCGTAAGAACCTAAATCCTGAATGCCTAAACCATAAAGTCCTAAACCCTACATGCCTCAACCATACAATCCCAACATGCCTAAACCCCTAACCCTAAAACCCAAAAGCCTAACCCCTATAAACCCCTGAACTTAGAACCCTAACAAAAATCTTAGCTGTTTCTTAGAGATTATAATAACCAAACATTTAAAAATATTTCTAAGTACCCCCTAAGCTAAGCCTCAACCCCAGGCAAATCTCTCCCCAGCAGAGCCCGGCCTCCGCCTTACGGCGAAGTGCTCCCGGCAGTGCCAGCCTTCCTCGGAAGCCAGGGCCTTTTGGAGGCCTCAGAGCAAGGCGGGTTACTTAGAGGATCCTTAAAGGGCTCCTTAAAGGGATCTATAGGGTTCCTTAAAGGGATCTATAGGGTTTAGGATTTAGGGCCTACTTAGAGGAACTTAGTAAGTAGGTTACTATTGGGGTTATAAGTCCCCTAAGTGGGGCTATCCTAATTGTAACCTACTTATAACCTTGCTTACTAAATCCCATGAGCGTTCAAGTACGGTTTAGGGTTTACGCTCTCGCAACTCGCACATGCCTGACGAGGTCTCTGGTGCGCGTGTGCTGTGACGGTCGGATCTACATGCTGTCTATCAGGTTACGGTTTAGGGTTTAAGGTTTAGCGTTTCGGCGCTTACACTCGGACAATCCAGGCGAGGCATGTGGTTTGGAGTCTGCAAGGTGAGACTACACTAACGGGAGAGTCACGACGATAGGAATCAACAAAGAAATATCCAACGGGTTTAGGGTATGGGCTTTAGGGTGACTGTATTGGCACTCAGGCAAGCTTCTACGAGTACTCTATGTGTATATATATATATATGTATGTATGTTCACAACAAGGACCCCCAAAAAATATGATCATGGATAGTTATGACTAGGAGTTCTTTTGCCTGAGCATTGCGGGACTGGGCCCTTGTTAAGGAGTTTAGTATGTCATTAGGGTTTCGGCGCTCACACTCGGACAATCCAGGCGAGGCGTGCGGTTCGAGGTCTGATGAGTGTAACTACCACTAGACGGGGTGTAAGGTTTGGGGCGTAAGCTTTAAGTGGCCAGACTGGGGATCTATAGTAGATTATTTGGAGTTCTTATTTATTTGTGGTAACTTATTAAAGAAAACTCTTTGACAAGAACCCAGAAAAGAGGACTCAGGCAGTTGGGCGTCACAGGGGGAATAGGGGCTTGGGGGAGCTTTTGGGATCGAAGGATGTCGAAGGGAGAAGGATGCATTTAAGTTTGAAGGGCAAAGGGTTGCGGAACCCTTGAAGGCCTTCGATCTCCGCCAGGCGAAGCTCAGTGCTGGGTCGTCGCTCGGGGATCGGCGCAGATCCTTAGCACCGGGTTGAAGGGTGTGTATATATATATATATATATACATATGTATATATATATATATGCACATATATATGCACATATATATATATATATATACATACATAATATATAGATATATATATATATATATGTATACATACAGATATTGATTTATTCTTTGGTTTGTTTATATTTATTTACTTATTTGTTTATTTGTTTATCTATTTAGGGCTTAAGGTTCCTATGCTGAGCTTTAGGGTTAGGATTTACGGACCTTGGGTTTTAGGTTCAGGGCTTGGGGTTCACGCGTTTTGTGTTCAGCCGCCCTTTCCTCAGCTTCTACGGGTTTGGAGCTTAAGTAGTAAGCGTCTGGTGGCCGACTCCTGTAAACGCGTGGTGCTTTGCTGCTGCAGCCTTGTAGCTGACAGTAACCAGCGTGTCCTCGCTCACGCTTGACTCCAGATCCACCTGTGCGCGGAAGCGGCTTCCAATATCTTCGAATGCAAGGCTTCAGGATCCCTAAACCCTACCTTAACCTGCCAAACCCTACTTTTTTGTAGGTTCTTATTGTAGACCCTGATATGGAATTTGTAGGGACCCTATTTGGTAGGTTAAGGTAAGCACTAAACCCTTTTGAACTTCAAAAACTCTTCACCCTAGACCCGAAACCCTAAACCGAACGTCAGGCGCCATGTTCAATTTCGGTAGGAAAGGGTTCGGGGCCGAAGCTTCTGTTCAAGGTATTTCAAGGGGCAAAAGACGATGCACGTAACACCTCGCTTGTCTACGCCCGACAAGCAAGGCGAAGCGTAATTTGTGCAGCCTTGCTGCGGCAAACTGCACACACTAGGAGTGGTTGACGAGGCAAGCGAAGAAACAGCAAGAGTAGTAGAAGAAGAAGCAGCAGCAGCTGGGGTAGCCCGCCGCCAAGCACCCCCATCGGCATTCCTGTCATTGGCATCAGTTACAAAGCCCCACACAACACCCATAAACATAAACGACCAGAAAACCCAAAAGTGGCCTCATCGCTGGGATCTGAGTAGGGCCGCCAGCCCCTGGATGCGGTGAGAGGCGACCTCCTCGGCCTTGGCAGCGAGGCATTCGGCGCAGGGTTTCCAGAGACTCCAATATCTCAAAATTAAGGAATCTACCTTAAATTATAGTAGGATCCTTAATATGATTTAAGGAATATTCCCTAATTAAGGGGTATTGGAGTCTCTGGGTTTCGGGATCAGGGACCTGATCGCCCCTTCAACGACAGGCCCTTTGGTGCTTTAGAGAGCTTGGGAAAAAACTTCGAAGAATTTCAAGCTGTCAAAAGCTTCAGATAAAGGATTCAAGAGGGCTGATGTGGCTGCTGAAGGGCTTTTGGGGCCGCAGGCCTTTCGGATTCTTGAGCTGGTTCACGGAGACTCTAAGGCATCTTTGCTAAGGGCGAGGAGGCTTCAAACTTGAAGCTGATAACTTCCCTTGGGCAAAAACCGTGGTGCTACAGCCCACACAGCCAGTAAGAATTCAAACTAACTCTGCCTGAAGATCCACACTCAAACAGCCCCGAAGCTAGCACCCAAACTTCCAAAACGAAGCCGGAAATCTCTAACCGCCCGAAACAGTCGCGATGAAGCCCTACGCACACCCCTAACTGCAAATACCTGCAACCCCCAAAGCCCTACAGCGTCTTACTGTTGGGTCCGTGCTGCGGCTGGAAAGTAGGACCGGGTCGAAGGCGCTGCAGCGGCGAGAAGGCCGGCGAGCCGGTCAGGTCCTCCGAATGATCTTTGGGGCCATGTCTTTGATGGACAAAAGGGTGAAATAATCTAGTACAAGACCTCGACGTTTCGGGGTATACATTACGGTAGAAATCAAACACTTCGGAATATTTAGCACTTATTGGGGTCCAGGTTGCACAAATTTCACGTTCGTAGGGCTTCAGAGTTCCAAGGTTTGCAGGGCTTTCGACCGAGTTAGTTCATCAAGGGGCAAAGGCGTGAGTTAGGACTTTGCAGCCGGGGCTTACTTGGAGGCGCAGGAGACTTAGTAAGTAGGTTATAAATAGGGTTATAAGTACCTTAAGTGGAGTTTTCCCGAACAAGACCCGACTTATAACCTACTTACTATAAGTCCTTACTATAAGTCCCCTGGGCCATTAAGTAGGCTCTCGATTGCCCGGCGGATCTTGCCTTCGCACTTTTTCGGTTCCTTTCGGAGTGACTTCGCCTTGTTGGGAATTTGGCTTTTGGATGGCACGGAGATCCGCAACTGCAGGCTTAGTAATTAGACTAGAGTTTTGGGGCCCACTATACTATAAATATAATAGGGAGCCCTTAAAGAATAGTGGGAATGTCTTGCTTGGGAAAGCTGCATGCGGAGGAGCTGGCCTTGGGTTTGGGTGCTGGCGAGTACGGTGCCCTCGTTTCGGGATCTCGTTGATGGTTTCGGCCCTCACACTCGCGTGGTTTAGGGTTCAGGGTTTAGGGATCTTGTGAAGTAGTGACGACAGCCTGACGGAAAACTCTTCTGCCCAGCTCTACAGCCTTTCACAGCTCAGACTCGTTGTTGACGTCAAGCCCAGCAGCCCCACATAGCCCGACAAGCTCTCTATATAAGCCCTATACCTGGTTGGGCAATGCAATACACAATTATGCTCGGTCAGCTATGTGAAAATCCTTGCAACTGTTTTGAACATCCTTGCCTGGTCCAGCCCCATCGTGCGTGGTCCGGCATCGCTGCGGCGCCGCCCTGGCGTCCTCCGCATATGATACTTACCGTTGGTTAGTAGGGAATGGAGGAATGGGGTACAGTTATAACTACTTCTACTGCTACTACTACTACTACTACTACTACTACTACTACTACTACTACCACCATTCTTGCATTCCGTACTAACCAAAGGTAAGGATATTTGCGGGCTGCGGGTGCTACGTTTTTGGATGTACGTAAGGTTAGGGACGCTGCCGGGACAAGATGAGTGCTACCATCGCTACCGTGGGTCTAGCCAGCAAGATCCGGTGGCTTTGGGGTGGATCTCAAGCTCACCTGACTACCTTTGAACCGGAATTTCGGGTCTCTCTCCCAGACCTGTGATATGGCGACTTGTGACCCAACACCAGGGTGGTTGTCAAAATGATGGTCCCTTTTTGGGTGCCGTATGATATTAGGGACCCAAAAAGGGACCATAATTTTGACAACCACCCACCAGGTGTTCCAAGGCGATACCTTCACGGATGACGGGTGAAGGCTTACCGATTTCAAAACTTCTCGAGCCCTGGGTCCCAACAGCCCATCCTGCGCCAACAATGCCCACCAAACACTTACATAACTTACATACAGGGAACTCCAGAAAGTTGAAATGTGGTTCCATGGTAGGATACCCTATAATTTACCATAGAAGGGTTAGGATAATCATATTCCAACTTTCTGGCTTCTACCTTATGATAACAATTGAAGCCAACGGTATGATAACAGTTGAGGCCAACGGTATTTTGGGCACTCTTTGAATGATACCAACTCAAGCCCAAACCCCTGGTTGAACGATACGATATGAGCACTTCGGCTTACGTACCTGTGCGGGCCGAAATCTTCCGCTCATCAACAACACCAGACATGAGAAATCTAAAAACAGATCCCGACAGGCCCATGGTCTAAACCCCTGCAAAAGCACGAAAATAGCCCAAAAACCCAAAAGCCCCTAAACCCTGAACCCTGAACCCCAAACCCTAAACCAAAAGCCCAAGAGCCCAAAAGCCCCCAAGCACCCTGGTTGTCAAAACTAGGGTCCCTTTTTGGGTCCTAAATTATAATACGGCACCTAATATTTAGGGTACCCAAAAACGGACCCTAATTTTGAGAACTACCCAGGGGCTCCATAGTAGTTCCTTTCTGGGATTACCATATAGGATTCTAAATATGAACCCAAAAAGGATCTACTATGGAGCCTTTGGGTACTTGAAGTCTCACTGGACTTAGTAAGGTTATAAGTAGGTAATAATTAGGATAACCCCACTTAGGGGACTTATAACCCCAATTATAACCTACTTACTAAGTCCCATGATCCTCTAAGTATGGAGCCTTTGGGTACCCACAAGAACAAGAGGGGGTCTCGGTGCTAGGGCTGCTCTCGAGGCTGGCCATGGCGTCCGGAGGTTTTTCTTGTATCTGTAGAATAGGATTTAAGGCTTTTTTTGAGGATTTAGGATTTAGGGTTTAGGGATGTAGCGTTTACGGTTTAAGGTTTTAGGGTTTAGGGCTTTAGGGTTTAATTCGGGTTTAGCGTTTAGGGTTTCGGTGCTCACACTCGGACAATCCAGGCGAGGCATGTAAGGTTTTCGGCGCCCACACAGGCTTTAGGTTTTAGGGTTTCGACTCGCACACTGGCACAGTTTAGGGTTAGGGCTGGAGTTCAGGATTTCTGGTTTGTCCGATCTTGGAACTCTACCGAGTTTACCCGGCAGGGGCAGAGAGTTGCACGGGCTGAGGTTCCACCATCTGCAAGTGCTCGCCAGTACCCCGGGGAGACAACGATGATACCAGTGTTGTGAGCTGTTTTGCCGGTAGAGCCTGATACCGACTCTTTGCTAGAGGAGATGTCTGTGGCCGGTATCAGCGCCTCAAAGCTAACTAATGGTCTGCGTCGGCATATGAACCCCCCAGCATCGAGTGAGCAGGCAGGCGAGATCTACTGATCACCACCGAGTAGCAGCGAGCCAAACGCATCCTGAACACCGAAACCCTTTGGAACACAGACTTCCGACCTGTCAGCCGCGACCTCATCAAACCTAAACCATAAATCCGCAGGTTCCACGCGTAAACCGAATCTAGCCGAGGACGTGGCGTCACCTCGCATCGCCCACACAGATTGGCCGCCTGGCACTTCTCAAGCAAGGAGAATTCGCGGCAAGCAAATATGCCGAGCTTAATTCAGCTATGGTTTACCTAGACCTACTAAACCCTAATTTTTGTAGGTTATTATTATAAACCCTAATATGGGATTTATAGGGGCCCTACAACAAAGTAGGTTCTGGCAGGTTAAGGTATTGCTTGGAATTTCAACCATGGGGGGCGGAGGTTTTGGTACATGAAGCCTCTGGAATCGGCTGCCAGGCAGGGGAACCTGCCCTTCGTTGTTGGAAGCTTCAACCGCAACTCGAATCTTCCGGGAATCAAACTGTCGGGACCATGCTGTTGTGGGCTTGGGCTAGCGAACTTATGGGGTGGGGGGTGGAAGGGTTTAGATCATTGGTTTGGGCTGTAAGTGTTCGGGTTGTAAGCTGCTTGAGGCAACTTTCAACCTGCAGGAGCCGTTTAGTGGCAAAGCAGTGCTGCGAGGGCATGAAACGCGAAACCGGAGACTTCGCTTTTTCCTCAGACTCTGCAATCCGGCAGTATGTAGCTTGAAAAAACAATGCACGAGGAACTGCCGCGCTCTTGAGAAATTGGGTGCTCTCAGGTGGTCAGGATCCGCTGTAGCAGATCACGAAGTCTAAGATGTGCTGCACAAAAGTACATAATCACCTAACTGTTGGGCCCTAATTATCATCTTATTTTTATTATGAAGAAAGGGGCAACTGAGTTTCGAAACTGAACCGTGGAAGTCCCCACTGCGGGACTCCCTTTCTACAGACGCTTCTCCCGAGAGCTTGTGCAATCTTTCCCCAGTCGCGAGGGGCTGCACGTATCATCAGGGCGAGCGCGCCAGGTGGCACACGATGCGGTATGGGTGTTACAAATTTTGTGAACTAGTACTAGATTCTACCATACTCTGCTAGATCATACAGTAATATATACTGCATTGCACCATAGAACAGAATATGACATCAGTAATGATAGAAACACTCTTTGCTTTCACTAAGATCTTGCTGCACAGTATTAGTCGTATCTTGTATCATTGAGCGAGCTTCGGCCTCGCCTCTGAGCTTATCGTTTTCGACAAATTCCCAAAACCCTGAGAATGCTACGGTAGTTTGGGTAGAGTGGTCTTGAATTGTTTGGGTCAAAAAAATGGATGGCGGCCACGAGGTTAGAATGCTGCAGCTGTGACATCAAAGTGCAGATATCCTCTACTTCAGCACTTCCATGACTGGGACATGTCAGGCGAGGGGGCCGTGCAAGCAAACACATGACAAAGCTTCTTCTGCAAAGGATGCCCGAAGAACCGACAACACAGGCTTTAGGGTATAGTTTCACGTTCATCAAATTCCAGAGTTCTAGCCTCGCACCCACACCGCGGAGAACCTGCGCAGGTGGAACCCCTGCCCCCACTTGGGCCCGACCAGGTAAACCCGGCTGCAGCCATGTTGCGGATACTGTGCTTCAAGCATCGGAGGACTTCCCAAGTAGACTTCTTGGGAATGCCAATGTAACCCTGAATTTTGAAACTCTCTGGAGTAATTAGCCACCTGACCCCTCAAGGAGGCCGCGTTTCGGGGCTTCTGGGTTGGATTTTGTCTGTTTGATTCGCCAGCTTAGGGTTCGGAGCATGGCTAGGTTTAGCAGGCTCATTGTCCAGAGCTGCAGGAATTCGACAGGCAAAACAAAGCTGCCTTAGTTCCGAGTTGAAACTGGGGGGCAAGGGTAGCTTATGAACTGCTACTGGTACTGATCAGAGTTACTGAAGGGATTCTGCTTCTACGTTCTTGCCGCAATGCTCGCCGTGGCGCAGATGGGCTCAATGTTTGTTGGGGGCTTGGGGGTGTCCTGCTCTGAGCTGCTCACGCGGCCTTCCAGCCTTCAATGCAGGAAGGCCAAACGTGGGTGAACTGTACGAGCCTGCGTGCCAAAGACCGGAAGGCTGTGAGCTACAATGCCATTTTGGAGCCTAGCTGCCTCCAATGGTATTACAGTTCTTACTATGATTGTTCTTATGACTCTTGTTATTGTTATGATTGCGGTTCTCGTTGTTGCTATTACTACTACTACTACTACTACTACTACTACTACTACTACTACTACTACTACTACTACTACTACTACTACTATTACTACTACTGCTCCTGCTACTGCTACTGCTACTGCTACTGCTACTGCTACTGCTACTGCTACTGCTACTACTACTACTACTACTACTTTTTGGCTCCCACTTGTCGGACTCTCGCGAACCCGCGCTGCAGGCAACAAGTCTCACTTGGCTACATAGTCCTGTGAAGTCCACCACATGGAGCCCCCAGCACTACTAATCCGACTTCACTCCCAGGACTGTGGGGACCCGCACAGTACTATGTGTGTTGAGGGTGAAGCAACAGCCATCTTCGACCCTAGTGCAAGGCAGTACCACAAGGGAAAGTTCGGTTCAACTACAGACTACAGCAGGAATCACTGAGCAAGAAAGCCTTGCACATCGTTCGTGCTAACCTACGGCTGCCATTGAACAGCAACCCGAACACTGATAAACGTCCCCGCATGCGCTACCAGTACAATATACCAGGCTCGACTGCTCTCACTGCTCGCTCTCACTGCCGACACAGCAATCTCACGCGTGGTCGTCCATCACTGGCATGGTGCAGCAAAATGCGACTAGCCATCCACTTGGCCAGAGCCCAGTTCACGCAGCAGTTCCCCCGGGGTTGCAGTGCGTCCAGGTCTTTCAGGGGAGTCCTAGGGTGCAGCAAAATGCGACTAGCCATCCCCTTGACCAGAGCTCAGTCCACGTAGCTCTTCCCTCGAGGTTGCGGTGTGTCCAGGTCGCATCAAAAGGCGGCTAGCTATCCTCATGGCCAGAGCCCAGTCCACGCAGCTATTCCCACGGGGCTGTGGTGTTCCCAGGTCGTCTCATGTGAGCCTCAGGGTGCACAGGTTTTCCACGTGTTCGCTTTCTCGAAGACAGTCCAGCGCTCGGTGTGTCTTCCATGTTGCACGCATTGCTGGGTGGTCCACTTTATCCACTGCATCCAGAATCCCAGCATGAACGAGCCTGTTCATGTCCCTCGTACCAAAGGTCGGAGGGATGGCAGCTGTAGCATGGGCATTGCTCCGTATTCAGTCGTCCCAAGACGCGTTTCGGGTGGCGCTGCGCCGACTTGCACGCGCAGTTCCAGATCGACATCAACTGTATCCAGTATCGCCGGCGCGGTCCACAGCATTCCAGAGGACTGGGGCAGCGTGGCCCACTTTTCACCAGTTTATTCTCTGAAAACCAGAGCAAGGCGGCCAGTATCACTGCAGCCATGGCGGCGTGGTAGACTGGTTAGTGGTTGCTTAGGGGGGGTTACAAGGAAATGTAATCACATGGGGGTCTAGGTATCCGGAGACCGTGCACTCGACCAGCAGACCAGAGTGAAGTGGTGAGGGCTCGGGAGGGAGGGACAGACCACGAGAGCAGCACAGGCCGGGAAGGCAGTCAGGGAGTGCAGTAGCAACAGCAAGGGCGTCAGTGCAGGCAGTGCAGTGAGACAAGGAGGCAGGAAAACAGTGCAAGGGAAAGCAGTGCCGAAAGGTTTTTTTTTTCAAAAGTCTTGCAGCCAAGTTGCCAGTCCTTAGTGGGCCCCGCATTTTGCACGCCGGGCCACTTTCTCTTGTGCGTTCCGGTTCAGGCGCTCTGGGTTTCTTCCACTACAACGACGTCATGTAGGTCCACTGTATGCTTGTGCTTACCAAAAAACGCATGGAGACTCTGCTGCCGAAGACGTGGTAGGGACCCATGCAAAGCAACATGAAGCTCCAAATGGGACGGGAGAGGGAACCTGAGGTTGCGGAGGTGTTCCTGAACTCCTACAGTCAGAACCGAGGCTTGAAGTACGGAAAAGGCAACAAGAATGAGGCGTTCCTGAGACCTGTCGGGGTTCGCAACATGACCTGCATGTAGTACTTTGCGGGCATTAAACACAAGAGGCTTACGCAGGCTTTCGACTCTACCCCAAAGCTGGGTCCCTTGGTGTTCTTTGGGAATAGTCCCTCGGGGATCCTGTATCCAAAGGCCATCACTGTGCCAGTCGGGAGTATCAAGGGCAACAACGAGGGAGGGCGTAGGGGCATTCCGGGTATCACGATGCACACGATCAACACAACCCCGTCGAATAACGTAAGTAGTGTAGTTATGCAATGGAGCTACCCATTTGAGATGCTGGTTAATGACGAGGTTAAACAACGGCATGTCAAGTGAGTGTGTTAAAACCGAGTCACGGCATCTGGGGCTAGCCCCCCCTACTACATAGGAGCCCGGTCCACGCTCGGCGCGTTTGCGAAAGCTGGATGGTATCATATTAAACATGCGAATGATGTCAAGTTGGCAGGGTGGTCTATCCAGTTGAAGAACTCGCAGGGCCTCCTCTTCTACATGTCGGATTCTATGATCACTGTGGTCGGGATGCAACGACGGGGGCGGGGGACTGACACATGCATGACGAGATGTTGTCGGTTGGTCCTTTTCATGGGGGGGCCTCGTGCCTGGTTCATTACATGGCCTCGGAGTCCTCAAGTCTATAACCTGCTCTAGGGGCGGTTGGAGGCTGGGGAAGGTCATGTGACTGCGCTGCATCCGGAATGGTGACTTCGCCTTTGAACCGACAAGTCTGAAATACAAAGCATTGCACATGTGCTCATCTCGGCCAATGTCGACTGTTGGTCCTTAAGTGCATGAAGCAGCGCTCGGACGGTCGTTCTTTTTGCTGTGGGCAGTTGGCAAGGAGTCGCACAGTGCAAGCGGCGGCAAGGAAAAGGAAAGCAGGCAGTGCAAGTAAAGTACAAGGCAAGGAGGGCAGTGCTAAGGCAGTGGCAGGCAGCAGCAGTGCAGTGGCAGCATGGGTCAGCCCAAGGCACTAAGGGGGACAGCTGCAGGGCACTTAAGTAGGGAAGCATCAGGGGCCGCACCAGCTGCTACAGCAATCTGCTGAAAATGGCACTGCGATTTCTGGCCATGGCTCCACCGTGGCAGCTAATGTACAGCATCAGACTACATGTGTTGCGAGTGCTGCTGCAAAGCCGTGGCCAGAGTGTCCATACTGGTGACGATCACTGGTGCCGGTCTCGCACTAGATGAGGGCCGGTCCCACTCCGTGTAGACTGTCGGCGTGTGGGAGGGAGCTGGTGGCGGGCCTCTCTGCACCCAGCCATGCGGGCCCATGTGAGGGGCCGGCTGCATAGGGGTAGTTGATCCCTGATTCGGCCGGGGTGGAAGGGCACTCAGCACTCTCTCAACACCGCCTTGCACTTCGTTGAGGAGGCGGAGTCGTTGCCCCATCACCGAGCTGTGGTTCTCCAGGGCGGTGGACACGTCGGTGAGCTGATCCACCATCCCCGTGCACATACTTTCGATCTTCTGGGCCCGGTCCGCCAGGGCTTCTTCCTGCCCGGCGACCCACCTGAGGAGCTTCTCCGACTCCTCGACCACGTTCTTGAGCTCTGTCTCCCACGGGCTAGGGTTGCCTTTCTTTGGCGATGACGTTCAGGGCCTTCTCGCTGAAATCCGAGGCCTGCGTGCAGGTCTTCTCCAGGTTGCGCGCCAAAGCCACGATATTCCGTATGTCTCCCTGGAGGGCGGCCTTGTGTTTCTCACCGTCGTTCTTGGTCTCTTCGAGCTTGTCTTTGATGCGGACGATCAGAGCGTGGTCATCTCGCATATACCCGTTGGCCTGGTCGATCTTGGCAAGCAGGGAGGCCAGCTGGTCCTTGACACCGTCGAACTGCTCCTTGAAGGGCGCTATGTCCACCGTCACCCGGCGGGTCTTCAAGGCCGTGGCGGAGGTGCTTAGTTCCATGAGCGTGTCCTGCAGCGTCTTCATTCGCGTTTCCAGGGCCCCTTTGACATCCTTCACGAACTGAGTCGTCGCAGCCGGAGTCAACTGCTGGAGGGACCCGATCAGTGAACCTAGTTCCTTGAGGAGCGAGGAGATCTCGGTGCCTGAGACGCTGCCGATATCTTTGACCCCTTGGTCCAGTTGCTGCAGCAGGGAGTCGTGGCTGGTTGTCGTACTTGTCAACGAAGTCACGTCTTGCTGCAGTTGCCCCAGCAGGGAGCCGTGGTTTGTGACCACTCCTGAAAGGGCGGTCATGGATTCCTGGAGGGCGGTCAAGAGGCTTGGGACCGTGTCGTCCAGGGCTTGCAGGCTTTGTTGGATAGCCAAAATTGCCGGCGTCGAATCCCCAGTCGGGTGGGGCCCCATCCCTGTCATCTGCTGCACGTCATGACAGAGCGCCTGGCTCAGGCTGCGGCGTAGAAAGTAGTAGAAGAGCAGCACTGACAAGGCAGCCATCATGAACGTCAGGAGCAGTTGTTGCGGCGTCAGAATCGAGTGCAGGCTAAGCACGGGTACGGCCTGGGCGCGTTCCAAGAAGTCTTGGACCTGCTCCGTCACTGGTTCCATGTCGCACAGGAGGGAGCACGAGTAGGGAGGCTGGGGATACTTGGGCCTGAGTCACTACGGAGCTGCTGCTTAGGCACCAGGGTTCGACAAGTTTGCAGGGGGCTAGTGGTGTGGTTTGGGGGCTTTTCGTGACCGCCCTGCCCCCCCCTTGTTTTTTTTTTTCCTTCGTGCCGTGGCATGAAGGTTACGGCTTCAGGAGCGGGGTCCACAGTAGGGGTGCGGAGCAAACCGATGGTGGAACGATGGCATGAGGGTTTCCGTAGTGAGGCAAAATCACGATGATGCTGTGGCATGAAGGTTACGGCTTCAGGATCGGGGTCCACAGTAGACGTGTGTAGGGGTGCTTACGATGTAGTGATGGCATGAAGGGCTTGAGGGAGAAGTTCGGGGCAAACCGATGGTGAGACGATGGCATGAGGGTTTCCGTAGTGAGGCAAAATCACGATGCTGCTGTGGCATGAAGGTTACGGCTTCAGGAGCGGGGTCCACAATAGAGGTGTGTAAGGGTTCTCACGGTGTAGTGATGGCATGAAGGGCTTGAGGGAGGAGTTCGGGGCAAACCGATGGTGGAACGATGGCATGAAGGTTTCCGTAGTCCTGGCGGCGTAGTTTCTTTTTTTTAACCGCTGCCCTAGGAAACACAGATGTGGCGATGGCATGAGGGTATCATGGGAGAGGTTCGGTTCGGGGCCAACTCGACAATGGAACGGTGGCCTGAGGGTTTCGGCTTGTCGGTACTGGTTGTGTTTCCTGTTGCCCTAGGAAGAACACAGATGCAGCGATGGCATGAAGGTGTCACTGAAGGAGCGCGGGCCAAACTCGACAATGTCACGATGGCATGAGGGTTTCGGCTTGTCACTGCGGTGCTTTTTTTTTGGGTTTGACACATTGAAGGCAGAGACAAGGAGGTCTCGCGGGACAGTTCAGCAGGCAAGGACAGACAGTGCAAAGGCAGCGCAGGCAAGGACTGCAAGGGCAGGTGAAACTTAGACAGTGCAAGGAAACAAGGGACAAGGGAACAACATTCATGATAGCCATGACAGAAAGCCACCAGAGTCGGATTTATCTGTCATGAAAGCCTGGCTGAAATTCAAACGGCAAAAAACCTTCCGAGAATGTCCTAGGGTACATGCAAGCTTGGCGAAATGATCTGCTACTTCGTTGAGCACAATCCCCTGGTGTGCTCGTACGTGGTGGACCTCCACAGTCAGGCAAAGCTCCTTCCAGAGATGGATGAGCATATTCGTGACTGAAGCGTGGTGTGTCCCTAAAAAGGACCCCTCGAGCACCTGGACCACATACTGCGAATCCGTGAAGAGCTGTACCGGCACATGTGGAAAGTGCTGTCGGATTCGGCGCACCATCTGGAGGGCTTGGACAGCGGCATGCAGCTCGGCTTGTATGTTAGTGCAGGGCTGTGGGACCTTAAAATAGCAAACCGTAGCCTCCTCCACGAGCGAGTATGGTGCAAGAACGACTACGGAGCTGCCCCCAACCTGAGGATGGCCTCTGCGGCCCTGTTGGGCACTGCCATCCGTATACACACGAAGGATATGCTCCTGTTGCCCGTGGTCCTGGACCTGGCTGTCCAGGGGGTTGCTGAGGTGCATGAATGAAGTGCTGTACGGGGCCTGTACGGGGACGTGCCTAGTGGGGAGCAGTGTAAAGCGGTCCTCGCTCTGCACAAGCTGGCATCCGAGTAGGTCGACACTTTCTGGGGGGCCTGCGTAAAAGACCGTCGGGTCCGCATCGTGGGTGCGTCCTGGGAGAAAGCTTTCCAAAGGTCTCGATCCGCTGCTCCTTCAAGCCACGAGGTTGGGGGCGATCTGCCCTGCCTAAGTAGGAATTTCTCCCAAGCTATCTGCAGGAACCTAGAGGTGTTGGCCCATTTACCCGGCAAGCGTTTATGCCAGTCTCGATTTGCGAAATACCAGGTAGGACCTCGCACCTGCAACATCAATGCTATGGGTATGTAGTCGCCCGCGGCGTAGCGGGCGGCGTGGCCCCAAAAGCTGAAAAATTGGCGGGAGTGCTCGCCCGGCCACGCACGATGGTTGACTTGCTGGGCAGCCAGTCGAGCAGCCCTGCGTCGCGCCACCCACGACTCCACCGCCCCCTGGAACGGATCCCGGGCAAAACGAAGCATGGCTGTGAGGAAGGAGGTATGGATGGTGCGCAGAAACCTGTGAACTGTGCTGATGGGCCTAATGGCCGGGCTAATCCACCTCCAACGAGGTGTGATGAAACAGTCGAACACTCTGAGCCTTCTCGTCAAGCCGACCTCTGTGCGCCTCAGTATGCTGTAATACGCCCAAAAGGCGCTCGAGACCTTGGCCATACGTGCCTGCAAGATCATGAGGCAAGTCAACTGAAAACCCATGAGGATACCCAGAAAAAGGAACGTCGACTCATACTTTACTTTACCTCACCTGCCGAAAGGGTAAGGGGTTCCTCCGGAAATCCAGGCGTTTGCAGGTATTTGCACTTCTTGGCATTGAACCTCAGGCCAATGGCTTGAAGTGTGGCTTCACTGTCGCTAAGAAGCCGTTGTGCTTGTGCCCTCGAAGTCGCCAACAAAACCAGGTCATCAGCAAAGGGAGTGAGAAAGAGTTTGCGCCCGCTAGGGTCCTTCAGCCAGGATTCCTCAAGCTCCTGCCACCTGGCATTAGTGGGGGTAAGGAAGTAGTCAATGCAGCGCGCGAACAGTTCCGCGCTATAACTACTGCCCTGCAATATGCCTTGGCGTAATTGTTGCTCCCACGCTGTGCCCTGAAGACCAAGTTCCACCCGACTCTCTAGCACGATCTGGAGCAGCAACTCAGCTTCCCGGGAGCCCTGTGCAGTTGCCAGCAGTGCAGCTACTGCTTCGTGCGACAGCGAGTCAAACGCTGCCGCCACATCTAGCTTGATGATGATCAGCGGTTTCCCGTATTCCTCGGCGAGCCTGATTGCGTGTTGGACCGCACAAGCAGCGTCAAGGGTTTGCCGCATGGGCAAGCCCCCCACCTGGAAAGCCCGCATCCTCGGCAGCTTGGGCCTCAGGCGAAGCATCAGCGCCTTGGTGAATACCTTGGCAGCAGTACTCGACAGTACGATAGGCCTCAGATCTCCTGGCGCCGATGGGTGCGTGGTTTTCGGGAGGAAGCACACGTGGCTAGTGAGCCAACTGGGTGGGGGGGGGCGCAGTCCCTGTAACACACTGTTGAACATGTCCATGATGTGATGACTGAGGTCGGATTGCAGTAACATCTGAAGGGCTTCGTATGATATGCCGTCGGCACCCGTGCTTTTGTTGTGCTTGCACTGAAAGGCCACTTCCTGTATCTCCTGCAGGGTAAACGGTTCAGGGTTCATGATGGGTCCAGCTCTGCAATGAAAGGTGGCCATTGGCAGTCCCGGTTGCGGTGGTTCAAGGGGAGTGTACTTTCTCTGATAGAAGAATCGTAAGTCGCTGATGGCCTTGGCTTTCCCTCCTGCTCTCATACAGTATGATCCTTGCACGAACATGGTAGACTGTCTCTTGCGAAAGTATGCAGCCGCCCGGAAGTCTCCCGCGGCACTCTGCTCAAGTAGACGGACTAGCCACTCTCTCTTGTCTGTCTTCCTCGCGTCAGCAATGCTCTTGGCCATTTGCTGGGCTTCCCTGCCGCGAAGCTTCCTGCGGGCCTTGATCATGTCTTTGATGGCAGGCGAGTCTACGTATCTGCAGCTTGTCACTCGCTTGGAGGTCGCTTCACAAAGACCCTCGAGGTCCTGCATAGAAAGGTCATTCATGCTCAGGTCTAGCTTCTCAGCAAGCTGTTCTGCTTTGGTTTGCAGGGCCGGACCGTCAGTCCACCACTTTCCACATTTGGAGGGCTTAAAAGAGGCGCGTCCTCTGCTAGGAAGGCACGATCGTAAAGCAATGCTGACTGCACAGTGATCCGAGCCCACGACCTCATCCGAGCCCGACACCACTCGGTCGTCTCGACTTTCAAGCGATGGCATGGCAAAGAGGATGAAATCGATCCTAGAAGCGGAACCTGTGGTGTTTCGCCATGTCGGCTCTAAAGGCCGCGTGTGTTCGAGGTTCAGCGTCCTCAGGAGCTGTCCCAGAGGTACGCCTCGCTCATCGACGTTAACGATATCCAAGATATCATAATTAAGATCACAGCACAAACAAATGGTGTCGTGATATCTCCGATTCTCACAAAACTGCAAAAGTTCTTCGGTCTGTTGCTGCCAAACGGGCATGTGGTCCTTGCGGAACGAGTGGGGCATGTGGGCAGTCGCAAAAAATTTACGGGTGCCTTGGTCACGGAGCATCACTCCTAGACCAGTGCAAAAGGATTTCGTCTTCTCGACTTGGCCAAGCCAGCTAGTGGGGATGCCTAAGGCAGCCCCTCTCCACGAGTGCGAGGGATCACAAAAGAAGAAGGTGTAGGATTGTCCGGCTAGTTTGAGTTCGTAGTGTAGTACAGTGTCGTGTGTGGTGCATGGCTGCGGAAGCGATCCCACCTCTTGCAAGCCAATTACATGGGATCCCTGAAAACCAAGAACATCCCAAGTGCGGGCAACATCCTCAAGACTTTTACCCCTCAAATTCCAAGAAATAGCATGCAGGTCTGCTCGTCCTCCCGTCCTTCGCGTCGCTGCGGTTTGTCAAGCGCGGGCCCCCATGGGTGTAGCACTCGGTCGAAAGTCCTGCCACATCTGCTGAAGGGACTCCTTGTCGCGTCCCGTGATCTTGGCGTACGATTCGGCACAGAGGAACCATACAGTATGGTTGCCCTTTACATCTTCTATGATTTGGTCATAGGCTGCAGGTTCATGGCCGTCGTCCATGTTCTTAAGGGTTCGAACCTGCCCAACAAACAGCTGGCCTCGCCACACTATTTCCGGGTCAGGCCACCTGGTTTGCTTATCATCCTTCAGAGGCAGGGCGTTGTAGAAGTTTTTGGCCAGTACGATAGCTCGGATGCGAAGTCGTTCTTCCACTGAGCGGTCACGCTGGACCCACAAGTTGGCATCTTCTTGTCCTACAATGCCACTCCTGGCTTTAAGGGCTTTGAGCTTGTTCACATTCTGGGTTTGGTACACTCGTTTCTTACCAAGTTCCGTGATGCCCAAGCCTTGAAAGTCAAGCGAAATTCTCAAGAAATTAGTGCGCCCCGAGGGTCCTGAAAAATCAAGAATCGCCCCTTGGAAGCCTGCTTCGGTGAACAAGTTCTGAACCTCTCTTTCCGCTTCGGTCACCCTCGCGTCGGTCCATCCCCGAATAACCAAACCTAGGTCCTGAGCCGGGTCACGAAAAACGTCCAATGGAGGGCCTCCCCCGCGGGGGCTGCGAGGGCTGATGTTGCCTGCTCTGGAGCCTCGTGGTGTGTCGGCACCCCCCCGTGGGGGGGTAAGCGATCTGGCCTTTCTTTCAAGGTCCCCTACAACTTTCTCGAGGGCGGAGATCCTGGCATCTGTGGCTTCGTGCTGTTCCGTGTGTGTCTTCGTCGTGCTTTCCAGAGCCTCAAGCCTGACATCGTGTTGTCCTACGGTGGCCCCAAGGTCAAGGCAATAGCGGTGAGTTTGATCGCTCTTCATGTGTAGCCCTTTTAAGCTCTCAACAATGTCCTGGATCCATGCCGGTGGTGGGGGCACCTGCTCCGTAAGTGCTGCAAAAGGCCTGGTGGGTTCCGGGTTAGATGCAGCGCCTCCTCCCTGACCTGGTAACTCAGGGGACCTGCTTGTGTTGAGCTCGTCGTCGTCACCTGAAGTGAGATCAAACGTTTCATGGGGTCGGAAGACCGAGCTGTGGTCAAGCCTGAGAAAAGGATGGACCACGGTCGCTTGATCGGGCATCTCTGAGTCGGGTTGGGTGTCGGCTTGCTCTTTCGGTTCAAGCTTGATTTTCTTGTTGTCGGGAGATCTTCGGGCTCCGGGGTCAGAACTAGGAGGCCTCGCGGCTTCAGTCGTGGGGCCATGCTCCAAAATGTTATGGTGGCTTCCGACTGTGGGTCCTACCCTGGGTAGTTGAGTCCGCTCGTTAACTCGCTCAGCCCTATCCTCTCCTCGATTCCCACGACTCCTCTCTCTCCCCCGTCCTCTTTCTTTAGCATCAGCGGTTTCCGTTCGAGGCATGGCAAGGCAAGGACAGACAGTGCAAGGAAAGGAAACAGGCAGTGCGCAAGGCAAGGAAGCAGACAGTGCAAGGAAGGACAGTGCAGGAGGAAAAGAGAGGAAGGGGAGGACGATGGAGAGAATGGTAGGAGGGACGACCCGGTCTCCTTGTTGCGATCAGTCTCCAGAACGACACGGTGTAGCAAAGTCAGTAGAGGCTCGAGCCCAAACTTTCCTCTTGAGCCGTAGCCATTTACTACTACTACTACTACTACTACTACTACTACTACTACTACTACTACTACTACTACTACTACTACTACTACTACTACTACTACTACTACTACTGTCCTGTATGTTCCTCATTTTTGTTATTAGTTTAGTTACTATTATGGTTCTTATTATGGTTGTTTGGGGCCCGGACTGTAAAGATGCCTCCTGGCAAGGGTCACTCTACAGAGAAACATGCCTCGGAGAGTAACTTCGAGCATGGGCGCTTACGCTCGGATGGAGCACTTGGAGGTTCATGGGCAGTTATGCCTGGTGGTATAAGTAGGGTAACTGCACTTATAAGCCATATTAGGGGACTTATAACCCCACTTGTAACTACCCATGAACCTCCAAGCAGAAGACTCAGCAAACAGGTATCCTGTTGCGATTTTCTTCTGGCAGGGCTCTAGCTAGGCCTGTAAGCAGTACTTGATCCGTAGTGCCTTAAAACAACGACGGAATACGACGAAGCTCGCGATCGAGGAATGGGTTGCTAGAGCTCAATGGGCAATCCCCGCGATATGAGGCACACGCAGCTCACACGCCCTCCGACCCGTTATAGCCGCGCCGGCGCGGCAAAATTGAAGGACGGTACAGCCGGCCGACCGGGGACGGCAAGAGTGATGGGCACTTGCAATCAACAAAGGCCAAAATTCTTCTGGAGCCGGGCGCTGTTTGGCTCAGCGGGTATGGTCCTCAACTTTATGGAATCTCTGATGAAACCGTCGGGGTTGCGGCCCTCGGCTTCAGAAGCGGTATCACCTTTACCGCCCCTGGCGATCCCTGGCGTACGCTGGCCCTTTTGGGGCCAACGCCACCGGCCGCCCGCACTACCCAAAGCTCAAGGCTGGGTGGCTGCTTTCATGAACCCAGATGGAAGAACTCAGGTGTTGTAACAAAGTTGAACATGCGATATGTCCAAGAGAGATATCAACATGCGCACACGCGCGCATGATATGGATGTGTATAGGCAAAGATGTGTAAATACAGACGTGCACAGAGAGAGAGAGAGAGACGCATAGCTGCATGCATGCATACATATGCTTGTATGTACATATACGCACAAAGGCCAACAACAAGAAAGGAGAATGCGGCTCCATTTTCGGTTCTGGTCACGTTTGACAGTATGAGCGAGGCCCATGCGTGGACCTCGGCCTGCAGCTGCGCTGGCTTCTGGATCAGAATTAAGTTAACCCTAAACCCTAAACCCTATCCATAGTAGCTGTGGCAGCTGTTACAACTAGTGTAGCTGGACCCGGGCTCCCCGGCACAAGAAGTCAACAGCATAGCAACTTAGTCAAGCTTTTCCAAGGCCTGACTGCTCCTGGCACATTAGACATCGACTTCCAAAAGCCTCTTCTTGGGGTGCCTATAATGGGAATCTCAAGTGTAACCCACGCAGCGACCCATGTCAGGTTTGCAGGGAAGAGACTGCAGGCTCCTTGGTCCCCGGCGAGATCCCTTTCGGCTTCTACGTCCTTTGGACCTACGACCCTCACTGGGAAATTATGAGCAGCATGCCTAAAAACATACTTAGATACATACATACGTAAGTACGCAGGTAAATGCATGCCCAGAATGTTATCTTTCTTTATGTCTGTGTAGAAAGCTAAAATGCAATGGGTGATGCCACCACCTTCGACACTCTTGCATGTACCCGCTGTGGGATCTTGCCGGGGCTCACAAGACATGTTTTTACCGCCTGCACGTTGGCATATGCGGACATCGAACGTGACGCACGTCATCCGCAAGCTTACTGGGAGCAATGCCAGTGCAAGCAGCCTAAGCATGATTCCCTTGATGTACGCTCCCTCGTGCAGTCAGGAAGAAAGCAAACCCCGTGGCCAAGCCAAGATTCGGCCTTTTGGACAAAATGCGATTTCAGCCCTCGCGGTCAAACAATTTCAGGCTGTTGAGGTTTGAAGCTTGAACGGGGCTGTGGAAGCCTCCGCCCTAGAAACAAACCAAGCCAAGCCAAGCACTACGGAGCCCTTGATTTTGGCATCCGGGTCTCTGACTGTAGCCGGATGAGCCAGAAGAGCCAACCCCGTAGAGCCTACGACATCCCCAAACATAGCAACCCGCAAAATTCATTAGCACATAATCCTTCTAGTATCTTGCGGTAGCTTATCGTAACCCTTACTGTAGACCTTTTGCGGTAAACCCTCAGCTCACTGGCACTCCCGGGATCCGCCCGCTGCTCAGTGCGTGACCTGCTGTGCGTAGATCCTGCCCGACACGACGGCTTGCGCTCTCGCAACTCGGATATTGCAGGCGAGGGTGGTTCGGGGGTCGGAAGGGCAGCACGTTGGCTGCAGGGCAGCGGAGTATGCAAAGTCGCAAAGCAACTCCACGAAGACACGACGGCTTACGGGCTAGGGCTTCAGCACTCACATTGGGACAAGCCAGGGTTTAGGGTTGGGTTTAGTCTTCTTTTCCTTCGTCTTGTATTCTTCAATCTTCTTAGTCTTAGTGATTGTCTTCTGGGCTTCTTCTTCGTCTTCTTCGTAAACCTCTGTACTTTGAGAGCGTATGCTCTTGGCCGGGTGCTATACTGTAGTCTAAACTGCATCGTGTGACTGCAGTGCATGCTGAAGCGCTAGGCCTTGACTACATGGCACTTCTCTTCCGGTTGCAGGTTAATAGCAACGAGAAACACACTGAGTTTTCGGATTGGACTGTTGGGGTCGCAACCTGTTCCCCGGTGTCCTGCACACGTCCTCTCTGGACAAGCAAAACCTCGGTCTCCAGGAACTCAAGATGCAGAACCAGTAGCTAGTACTCGGTCAGTCACATACTTTGACGAGATGCGGCTTGCTGGAGTTAATCTTGGACGAAAGATGGGCCGACAATCTGCGAGCATGAATGTGAGAAAAGATTCTGCTGCCCAGGTGCTCAGCGACGCGGGGTGGTATCACGCTCAGCTCTCCTGCACAGCTCCGGTTTCTTCTGCTTGTTTGGGGAGACGTGTAGGAATCAGAAATCGAGGCTGGATGGGTTGATGACCGCTCAAGTGGAAGGATGCCGCTTCTCCGTGGGTGATTGGCACAGCTACAGAACCAGCAGCACTACCTGTGTACCATTCTCCAGCTACAGCATGCCGAACCCCGATCTATTGTATCCCCAGCTCCAACCCTGAACCCAAAACCATCAGATGAAGCTGGACGTGGTCCAGATTTCTCTCCGGCTCTATCACGGACCAGAGCAGCACGGGCCTGTGGCGTCAAGGCAGGAAAGATGAGCTTCGGATTCTCATACAGTAGAGTGCAGTCACGGAATCATACCTCACAACTTGGCTGAGTCGGCCAGGTGGGAACCCTAGGCTGCTGCTTGCACGGACTTCCATAGCTTCTGTTCAGGAGATGGCGCAAGCAAGTGCTGCAACCCCCATGCCCTCCACCAAAAGATCTGCCAGGACTTATCAGAGAATTGAAGTCCGGCAGACTGTAGCAGAATCAGCTGCCTGGGAAAATTCGGAACGTGCCCGTACCGACATCAGAAACAACATTCCGGCTCGATGTGGTGACGATGAGAGCTGCTGGCTTGAGCTTACAATGCCTATCTCCCTCCACGTCGGGCGACAATATCGAGCTTGCCCAACACGCAGCCTTCACTTCAACTCCTCACCGTAACTGGCGAAACAGTATACTCTTATCCCTCTCGTTGGGCCATAAATACTTCGAGCCTTTGGTAGCGTATTCCACCCATGTTGACTGACCCTGCTGCGCCAAAACTCAGTGCTCCCAGGTTTCCGAGTGACCCAAACTCTGACTGCTTCCACGGCCTGCTGGCTGGACACAGAGAGCAAGTGATCCGGCATAGGGATGACCGAGACCTGCATGCAAAGGCATATACAAGTCACAAAATGTACCACGCGAGGCTCACACCGGCTCGCACTTCTTCTTCAATGAAGGTACTAGCGTTGCTGAAAGTCTCCTCATGAAAGCCCAACAGCAACAGTGCAGCTGGGCATCGGGCATGGCATGGTGCATCGCCGATTACCTGCCGAGTGATGGAGTGCCACGGAAAGCCAGACTTGTATCTGTCCAGTTCGGGGTTGCACATCCATCACGAGTGACCAAGCGGGGTGCCGATACAAGTACTCCTTGCACTGTCTTGCCTACCAACTTATGCCTTGCAACTCCGACACAGTCTGTTGCTTGCAGAAGCACGGCCCTTCAAGCAATGTGCAAGGAACCTGCATTCCAGCTGCTAGGCGCTCGTGCGACCAGTCCTGGCTTTAGCAGAGGGTTAGAGCCTGTCCGGGCCCTGAACCCTAAGCCTAAACCGATTGCATGGCAGGATTGTAGGCACCAGATTTCAGACGATTCTCGTTCTTGAATCTCCCTGCTACATCAATCCAAGCAATGCGAAGATAAGACAAGTGTAAGACTGTGTCTGCGTCTCGATTTCTAGCTCCTTACGTCGTGCCCTGTAGATGATGTTCCGGATCGGGCAACTGTGCGCAGAGGAAACGCTGAGTGCAAAAGATACCTGTGCGTGACGGAGCCTCTCGAGTGAAAAGGAGGAGCTCATCACAGGTGTCTCCAGGCTGAAGACAAGCGCGGGCCTAGGTATCTTGGCAAAAGTCAGTCGGATACCTTGCTACGCCCTCTTGCCTCAACCGGGGATGGAGGATCACTTCAAGTTAACGGATTCGTGTCCTGTATGGCGCACTCAAACGCTGCAACTGCCGCATGCAGAAAAATCTCAGCCCTGAGCTTTACTGGCCCAGTGCTTCATACCTTCGAATACGTCAGCGCCTGGCAACACGTGCGGCGTACGAGCACGACACTCTCGACGCGTCTCACTCTCCCTGGTTCGATATGTTCGATCTCCTCGTCTTCGCCTTAACCACAACTGCCAGACACACGTCTACATCGGTTAGTCTCGCTACTGGGCATGGCTTCTATAATGGACGTGTTGTGTATAGGCGGAGCTTTTCTGTGAAACATGGCTCATCCGAGCAGGTTGTAATCGGTTTGCAGCCTGCCTCTCCTTCCTCTACCCGTGCGTGATCGACCAGGTTCTACGAAAACAAACGAGATCAACTGCAAACCAACAGCAGCATACGACTGAATCTTCTGACAGGCACCGGGCATCATTTTCACATGGTGATTGCAGCTTCAGCCCTTGCGAGCGCCATCCAATACCACGGGATGCCACTCTTCATCTGAAACGGCTTCTTCAACTGTGTAGCGAAATTGCCAAGCTACACCACGGCCGCTGGTTTGGAGCCAGTTGCAAAGACACGAGATCGAGGTGCATCGAGTGTGAGCTGCGGCCTCCTTCATGGAGCGGCAATCCAGCCAGGCGCTGTCAGACACGATGTGTTGAACCTGCACGTGTTTGGCCTGGGTCGCCTTGCTCTCTACGTCTTTCCTCTGTGCCAAATAACGCCTCGCGTTCTGCGATGGTGTGGCATAATCCAAGTTCTCCGCCCAATTGTTTCCACGGGTTGACTTGCATGTGAAGCGAGGCTGGTGGACTCAGAAAAGTCCCTGCAACCCAAAGGCGAAACGTGTAATCCCGACCTGCCTTCCTCGCGACATGGTAACCCCTTCGACTGCATAGCCATTCGAAACAACTTTGCGAGATCCAAACACTGACAGAACTGTTCCGGAAACGCTGCCGCTGAGATCAGGAATGTCAATGTCTTCGCCGGCATGTCTTGCAGGCTTCCAGATCTCATCAACAGTAGTCTCCGAGGGCGAGTGCCCACATGCCTGATCTGATACCGAATGCCACTGCTGTGACTCGCTTCGCATATTTTCGGCTTATGCCCAAAGTTAAAACAACTGCGTTCAGCGACAATGCGACCACGAAGAATGTCCACATTCTCGCCATGCAACTGCTCTGCCGCAAAACGGGTGCTGACGAGCGCTAAGCCAGGAATGCTTGACATTCTCAAGTGGTGTCGCATACTGCAGCTTCCATACATGGTGGCTCAGTTGGTGGCAGTCCGAGAAAAGCAGCCGCAACAAGTCGAAGGACACAGAAAACACGCCCGGTGATTTGCATGCGGCGATATCCGCTGGAGTGCAAAGCCTTCCTGGCTCACCACCCCAATGGATGACCTCACACGTCCATTCGAGCTCACGAGTCAGGAACTGCTGCCCCGGTCCACTTGCAGGCTCGCAAAGGCCTGCCTTTCCATGGAAAGCAGAACCTGTGACCGCAGCGTCAACTGCCGCCCAAACAAGGCCCAGCGGAGCATCACTGTGAACTTGGGCAATGAGCAGTTCATGGAGCCACAATAAAAGAAGTCGGAGCCGGGCAAGATTTGCTCCCTAAAGGAAGACCTTAAGCCTGCATTCTGAATCCCCAGCAGTGTCGCAGCTCATCTTGCCGAGCACATCCTCGAGTCCATAATGAGCGCGGTGTTGAACGGTCAATCCGCAAAGCAGGGCTTCAACAACTGCGATGTGTCGGCAGACTCAAGCTGTTTCGGTCTGCTCACGCGAGCACCATGAAAGACTGCTGGGCGCCACTCTTCGTTTGGAAGGCAAGGCCATTCCTCTGCCGGCAAGCGAAACTCCCAAGCTCCAACACGACAGTGACCCAACTGGCCAATCAACGTCTTGGAGATGGCATCCTTAGAAATTCCAGTATGTGACGCACATGACCTTACAGAGCTGAACTCCAGCCATGTGCTGTCTGATGAATGCCGACGTGCCCGCACAGCTTTGCCAGTCGTTCTTCCGGCCGCCTTCGCAAGTGCATATGCATGGTGCATGCTCTGAGATCGTGTCACGTACTCGAGATTCTGCACATGGTTGTTGGATCGATTAGCATCTATGTGGTTCACTTCCATCACAGGAAGCTCGGGCTCACCAAGGAAAGTACCAGCAACTAGCCGATGCACGAGGTAGTGCCGACCTGCTTTTTTCACACGGCAGTAGCCCTGCGGCGACACGTACCCTCGCGAAAGCAATCGATGGTAGCTAGAAGTCGCCAGGATACGGCCATGATCACTAACCATCAGTCCCGGAATATTGTGCTGGTCTCCCGGGTATCTCGCATTCATCCACACTTCGCCCGGCAGAATGTCGGGCTCGGCACCATCTGCCGGCGCAAATTCATACCTCCCTTCAGATCCCCGACAGCTTGCAGTCAGACCTCGCCGACAGCGAGAAACACATGATACATCCACACCCAACTTCCTGGCTGCCTCGATTTGTGATGAGCAAGCAGACCAAGAATTGTGACCACAGGCTCGCCACAACACAGCTTTGCTCATTTTTGCAGCATTAGATCTTCGGTCGCAATTCGTATCCCAAGAGTGCTGCAAATTCTCGGTTGGGCTCACATACTGGAGATTTGCAACACTATTGTTAGAACCGTTGTTGTCAATGTGATTCACCTGCCACTGCTTTAGAGATGGCGGTGGGCCGAGGAAGGTGGCGGCTACAAGTCTGTGCACATAGTACTCACGCCGTAAAATCATGACGCGCCGGTAGCCAGCAGACGTCAGCGAACCAGCAGTAACTTCGCCTTTCGCAGATTTTACGCGGCCGCAGGAGCTCACCTGCCAACAACTCGCCATCCACCGGACCGCGCCCCAGCTCCGACGCTCCACCCGGCCCAAGCAGGACGGCAGAAGCCACCGGCCAGGGGCTACCCATGGCATGGGCGCTGCCACTTGCAACCCTTAGGGCGAAAGAAGGTTCAGGTCACCGATCTGGTTGCATAAGCTGCCTGGGCACGAATGTGCCAGCGATTCGGACACCCTGAACCTCATACCCATCCATTACAAATGTGGTGGGACCCTAACATCGGACATTGACCTGCCCTGAAACCTACGTTACAATATGCTGAAAGGCAACTACAAATGGCGCAACTACACCTCAACTCTAACTATATCCAAAAACCGAACCCGGTTTTCTGTCACCGGCCTAGTGCCCAAGTCAGTTTGCCCCGGCCAGGGCCGCCCAGCAGTGCCCTCAGCCTGCAGCTTTCTCAATGGTTTCGGGCTCAGGGGCCCTCCTGAAATCTCTGCCAGATTTTGAGAATGACTGAGGCCACTCATTGCTGAGTACTGGCGCAGAAGCGCGTGATTGCAATGGCTTTCAGCTCAGTCGGCAGGCACTCGGGCCGGCACACTCGAAAGAGCTCTACCTGAGCAACATGGTGAGCACAAGCGCAATAACATGGCATTCTGTCGGAGCAAGTGTCACAAGGATGTTCGAAAGCGCTGCAGATGCCGGATCAGTTGAACGCAAAAGCTCAGCAAGCTCAAATAAGCATCGCAAAACAAGCAGCAGCACCAACAACCCAAAGCTGAAGCTCCCTGGACCGCCACCGGCTACTCAGGAATCTGAGGTCCTCAGGAAGGTCTTCAGAGCCCTGGTAGGCACTAAACAGCCTGAAGCCCAAACATCCTTAGTCCGAAAAAGCACCTAAACCTTGGTAGGTCTCAGCCCCAGTTGAGACCCGGGCCGAAGTTCCGAGCTCGGGGCCCAGGTCTCGTCTGAGGCAGCCAACGCCTGTAGGCTTAGGGGGGTTCGGGTTGCATTGAACTTTATGTTTGGGTTCGTGTGTATTAGTGTGTATTTGGGTGCACTGCTCGCTTGCTGCGATTTCGGCTGTCCCAGGTCATGCACACTAAACAGACACCTGGGCCTTGTCTACCTCCTTCCCTAGTTGAAGGTTTAAGGGAATTAGAGTTGCTGCAGATCGTCTGGGGCAGTTCAGGGTCTGTAGGGCACATGTGGCGACGCTGCGATCAGCCTATCTGGTGTTGCTACTTGGATCTGGTTGCCTCCCTCGTTGGCGAAAAAGCTTCCGTTCCCAGTGCGGGCACACTACTAGAGACGGTAGACTTCTGCATACTCAAGCATGGGGGTAGACATGCTCTCTACTCTACATGCTGACCTGAACTAGATGGGTTGCCGCTATACGTCAGCCTGCTCGACCGCGAAGTGGCGGCTCCTGTGTGACTAGCTCACACATCTCGATTCGTGCCTTGGCAAGGGACATGGTACGACGAGCATGATGTCCAATCTTTCGCTCTAACTCAGCTCTGCCTCCATGGTCTCGTTCTGAAATCCTTGGCGATGGATGCGAGGGGAATTGCGCGGCTGTGATGCATTAATGAACGTGGAGAAGTGCTGAGAATTTGCTGTACGCACCCGTGAACAACCCAAAACTCCTGAACTCATGACAATATCAGCAGTCGTCCACATCTGACCCAAGCCCTAATACTACATTCCCCAAACAGATCCTAACTCCTACCAGAACTTGACTGACAGTATAAGAGAACCTTAGGGCTATGGAGCTTGGGTCGAGACCCCACGCCTTATCGGTTTTTTTTGCCTCCTTGGCCTGGTATAAGGGTTAGGCTCTCAGATTTGGGAGACCTACTCTCCTTGCTGGTCAAGCGTCTCTCCTTTCCCGGCTTGGCCGGCTCTGGATCCAACCAAAGAGCTGGGCCCTGGCTCTCTCTGACGTACTCTTGGTTAGTCGGGAATGGAGGAATGGGGTACAATTATAACTAATATTGCTACTGATGATGGCAGCAAAAGTGGTGTTTGCAGTAGGAACAACACAAACCGACCAAGACAGTGGCATGAAAGATGATAACAACAATGACAAAAATCAGTAAGAACAGGAATAATAGTAATCGTAATAGTAGAAGGGGTAATATCCACAAATGGCGACCATAACACCGATCAGAATAGCAACGGCAATCAACATGATCAGCCCTAGCAAGAATAGCAAGCATGATGGCATGCGGCATGCATGTAGACGTGGATATAACGCGAAACCATGTTCCGTATTGTAACGGACGTTGCATCAAGAAGTGGGTCGTACTGCGTCCCTACACCAAAACCCCAAACATACAAACCAGGCCGGCCTTGGGATCTTTGCAGATGGTCTCTGCGATATGCGCATGGGCACACCTGAGCTTCCGGGAGCAACCGAAAACATGGCCGAGATTGGCTGACGAGGCCCGGAGGTGCTTAGCCGAAGGCGTCGGAGGGGAGAAGGCTCCGTTGAAGAAGACCTTGACAGCGTGGGCACGTGCCATAAAATTCCCATGCGAGAGTATGGTCGACCCTAAAAAAACGAAGGCGTGGTTTGGGATACACCGAGACCGAAAGTGCAGCCAAGCTCCAGAAGCCTTCTAACACCAAACATCAACGGAAACCTGATAAGGGCCCGAACTAGGTGTTGGTCTCGGAGAGCTGCAGCGGCCGCCGGCATCTGCATCGGGGCAGCTGTTCTTATTTCGGGCTTGGATTTTACAAAGTTCGCAAGCTCCAGGCTCCCTCAAAGAAACCGAAGAGCAACCCCAAAAGTTGTGCAGAAGTCTGTCTAAAACTATCGAGCATGATTCTCTGTTGCTTTCCATTGGGATTCAAGCCTGACCCCAAACTGGCGTGTCGTACTCAAGCCTTTCGAACTCCCCCATGCAACCCGCCCACCCCAAAAAAAAATCCCTCCACCCCCGACATCCCCGAGCCCCTTAAGCTCCCTTACTTAAGCCCCGAACCCCTGAAACCCTTAAAAGCCCCTCAAACCCCAAACCCTAAACCCCTCAACCCCTAGCTCCTCAACCCCCAAACCCGTAAAAAATACACCCCTACACCCCCGGACACCTCCTTAAAAACGCCATTCAAGGCGACGGCCTCCCGGGCCCAGGCCGCCACCGAGGCCACGTCCGAGAGCCGGCCGCGGGTGGCCGCGATGGCCTCGCAGGTGGCTTTCAGGGTTTATAGGGTTTATAGGGTTTATAGGGTTTAAGGGGTTTAGGGGGTTTCGGGGGTTTGGGGGGTTTATAGTTATATAAGGTTTATAGGGTTTATAGAGCCCTTATGTTCTTCAGCCATTAGGGCTTAGGGTTGAGGGGTTTAGGGTTTAGGGTTCCAAGAGGGCGTGATGGTGGCATTGTAGTTGTACTGTCAATGTTCGAGTGGGAAACTTCAAAACCCGCAGGCCTGGCCCTAGAAAGCGCCGGAGGCTAGGGCTCTGGGGATTTTGGGGTTCGTGTTCCTCCCCCTAGTCGATATGAGTTGAAGGCGCGAAGAAACAGATCAAGAGGAGGGCGTAAGCCTTGAGAACTGCAATGGGCCATGAACTCAGAGTCTCGAAGGTCTGGAAGGCTTTCAATGTTCCTGAAGATCCCCCTAATCTTTTGTCATCTTGTCATCGGCAAAACATAGGCACCACGATAGCACATGTGCCAAATGGTTGGTGTCGAGCCCCGCACTTGCGCCACTGACATTGCAGGCGTATCTGCAATCAGTGGCGCATCCTTGGCAGAACAAGGCAGGGCATACATGTAATTCGAGACTCGTGCTCCGTTCCTGTAAAGCTCCTAGCCACTCCTCGCGGATCACTGGAGGTAGACTCGACCGTTCCAAGTTCTGTCGTTTGATTGTCCTAGTTGCGGTTTGTCTTCTGCCACGGGCGATATTTTGGTTGGTGGCCTGTGACAGATCCAAAGATACAAAGGATAGTGGGGAGAAATCCAAGACATGATCACACCTTAAGCAACTATACCAAGAGGTGTTGTTGGCAGTGTGGTCCCTCACTACCTGAAGCAGCGAGACACAGGACTTGGTGTCACCTTCTGTAAATCACAGGCTCCAAAAAACTTGGCTGAGGCCCCCTGCAGCACGGTCCTCAATCTCTGGGAAGCACATCGCGGCGGCGCAGAAGGACAACCAAAGGCAGCAAGAGAGAACTGCTTGTGCAGTCTGCAGTTCGGGCTAAGCTCTCTTCTGGGACAACATATACTCAAGGCTCGCTACAATATGATCTCTGTTTCAAAAACTGCCCCAAACGTAGGCTAGTCGAGAATCACCTTCCTCGGGTGTCTCTGTGCTCCAAATCACATGTAGGGGCAACAGGCTGTCCTACCTGAAGCTACGCAGATCAGGGGTGCGGCGGCAAACCGTAGGAGTGCAAGTGGGTGACTGCCACGCAACAAAATCCTCCATTGTCAAGTCTTTGGGTGCTTTATGTGCCCGGTCTGGGCTTGGTACTACTGCCTGGCATTTCCGGGCGCGGAGGGTTTCGGGCTTGGGGCTCATCCCTGATGCCTGGCACCCCGAAACATTAACAACCGGAAATATGGTTGCGATGCAGAGGTACCCTGGCAACCCCTAGAGCAGAGTCCCACAGCCTCCTCTAAACCACGTAAATAAATCCGAAGCCATGACTTCCGAATCTCAGATTCACAAAACCTGAACGTCAAGAACTCCCTCATTCGACGTCAAGCCTGTGTGAGATGCACCTGTAGCCACACCAATAATCAAATGCCGTAAGCCTAACATCGGAGATGTTGAATCCCAATGTCCTGAGTTCCCCAAGGACTCCTGGCATCATGAACACCTGCAAGGCGGAACCTCCCAGCAGTCCAAACACCGGCACGACCTTGAACACACAAAGATCGAAGAAATACTCACTAAGCTTCAATGCACTGCAGCCGCACCGCTGCGGCAAAATGGAAAGACGATCCGTCGTCCGACTGAGGATGGCGAAAGTGACCAAAGCAAAAGAGTACAGCTGTCGACTTTAGGGTGTAGGCTGCAGGAAGGCATAATGACGTCGATAGTTCTGCAATGCCCTGGGAGCTTAGCTCTCGCCAAGACGTCTGGTGCTCAGGAGCTGCAGAGGTGGATGAACAACCGCTCTGAACTTGAACCCGGCGCTGGAAATACAAAGCGAAAGCAAATCACCCTGAGTACCCTTATGAGTTTAAAAGAATGATGTCACTCTCGTCACCCCTGGCACATGCTGACCCTGTTGAGGCCAGTCGCACCAGTCGACCATGGAATCGAAAGTGTGAGACCGGGCGGCACTCGATTAAAGCATTGCTTGAATGAACTAATGGCTAAATGAGCAGTAGCAGTAGTGGTAGTGGCCGCGGTGGTGGCAGTGGCATTGGTAATGATATTGGTAGTGGTAGTGGTAGTAGTGGTAGTAGTGGTAGTAGTGGTAGTAGTGGTAGTAGTGGTAGTAGTGGTAGTAGTGGTAGTAGTGGTAGTAGTAGTAGTAGTAGTAGTAGTAGTAGTAGTAGTTTTGTAACCCACCTGGCACACCTGTGTAGTAGTGGTAGTAGTAGTAGTAGTAGTAGTAGTAGTAGTTGTTGTTGTTGCAGTCGTCGCCGTAGCCGAAGCAGCAGCAGTATCCTTGCCATCGTCGTCATCATCATCATCATGATCCGTATTGTACTTTACCCTTGCGACTAGGGTCTTCAACACTGCTATTGGTGATCCTTGTTAGTGCTGGCAGTACTGCTTTTAGATGTTTCTCCGTTTGCGGTGTTATGACCTGTTCGGTATTCTGGTGTGATGATGAGCGAATCTTGCTTGAGCTCGATACAAAAACTGCCTGTGGTGAAAACCGTGACAAACATTGCCATTCCTTAAGACTGTAAAAAACTCTTTTCTAATGATGCGTGGCAGCACGAAATAAGTGCAGGCCCTGGAACATCAACCTCAGAAGACTAGGTTCGGCTTACACACTGTAGCCACCCAGAAGTATGATTGAAGGTGCTGGGCAGCAGAATCCTTATCCTTACCCCTCACACGGCGGCGCAGGCTTCCTACTTTCTGATTGCAAACAGCTTGTGATTTCTTAGAGGCAGCATATGATCAAGTGGCCACTTAACAGATGCTGAATGTCCACACGCTTTCGTTGCGAGGGGTGGCAGGACGTCTTGACTGCCTGCACCCGGGCCGGAGGCATGCTAACACGCACCCCGCCTGCCATGTGCTGACATCGAACGTGTCGCACGGCGTCTACATAAAGACATGGAAGAAACAGCGGCTGGCTGAGATTGGCTACGGCGGCGTTCGCCCTCTGAGCTGCTATCTGCTATACATATTTCCTCAAGCAAGTCAAGTTTATATGGCAGAGAACCAGGCCCTATGGGTTCCAGAGGATGGCACAGGATTTGACACCGGCTGCTATGGGCATTTAGGGCATTTTAAGGCCTGGGTGTGCATAACCACCCCACTAAACCCAAAGCCTAAACACAAAACCTAAAGCCTAGATCCTACATACCCCCACATCATAAACCCTAAAACCAAAGCATACCACAGCCCAAACCCCAGACCCAAAGCCCAAGCACATTCGAAGCACATGTCCTTACTGCCACTTCAGAGTCTCAGCTTCCGCTCTCCTACACCCCAGCGCTGCTCACAAGCGTGCAACCTGCTGCGCATAGATCCTGCAGGACACAGCGCCTTCGAAGATCCAGAGGCAGAGGCTTTGTTGATGAATATTGGGCTTTCGCGTTCGGGCTTGCGGTCTGAGATTTGGGGTCTCTGTAGACCAGCTGTCCGTGCGAAGTGCTGCTCGTCGCTGGGGGCATCTATGAAGAACCATCTGCACTGCAAACAACCGACTGCAAACCTGCTTCCACTTTCCAAACTAAACAACCGACCAAATCCCAAAGCGCGACATGGCTCGTCCTGCACACGTCCTCTCTGGACAAGCAAAACCTTGGGCTCGTCGCTTGCGGCGCGGTTTCAGCGCATTCACTTCTCACGTGAGGGCTTCATGATATCAGGGTGGGATTTCGCGATACCTCTACCGCATGACATGTGGTGGGGGTTCAGGGGCATGTATGACCAGAGGAAATTTTAAAGGTTCATGGTCGTTCGGCTGATGACATCGAGCCCTCTTACAGAAGCACCAGCTCATGTCGGGGTTTGAGGCATCGTTTGCGACACGAACTTCCAGAAATAAACAGTAATTATAACAAATCGGACTCTGAGTTGGTCTTCGGACCACACAAGAGACTTCTTTGCTGGCGCCACCCGTCCAGCCTTCGTCATGGCACGTGCTCTTCACTGTTTCTACAAAGAGGGAAACCATTCAAGAGTGGCATATCGGATGCCGCCTCAACTTGGCCTCAACACAAGTGACCACCCAACATCTCATCAGATTTTGTAGCCATCTGTCAGCCCAAGGCTCCAAAGCTGTCCAGCCGAGGGGCTCAGCGACACGGGGTGGTATCATGCCAAGCTCTCCTGCGCTCTCTAGCGAACTCTTACTCGCGATGGAGGCTACAGGTTTCTATGCTCTGTGGGCACATAGCAACTAAAGCTACCTCTCGAATAATTTACGGTCCTAACGGTTGAAACAGACACGTGTGCCTGCGGCTATGAAGGTGTGTATTTGCTCGGCAGATTCCTCATCATTTGCCCAGGGCCTTGCCACGTTTGCCAGTTCCGGCTTGGAGCGACTTGGAGCTATGCCAAACTTCCATCAATCAACCAACATGTCTCGCGCGGTCCGGGATACTCGGGAAAAGAGCTCTCGCGGACGAGGGCCGCACGCGCCTGTGAGATGACGGGGTGGCGGAAAGTTGAAAAAGTCTGCGACTTGGGGTTGATGGCCGAGGGCTCCTCTCTATCATCTCACACTCCGGCAACAGACTAGAAAGACCCAAGTACACAGCAACCCTGAGAGAGGCTGACCCGTCGTTTCAAGCGATGACCCGGGAAAATGCCGAGGAAGGTGATCAGAGTTTCCATGCTTTCAACCGTTTCCAAGTCTGTCACGGAGAGTCGCCCTGGAAGCCTGATGGCTGGACACGGAGAGAAGGTGTTCTGGCATCGGGATGACTGAGACCTCAGCATCAGCTCCCACATCAAAGGATACGTGCAAAAGTTGAGGGCTTTTAGTTTCGGGGAACCGAATTTTCGATCTTGCATGGATCTGCGCAAACGTAGGTAGGCCGACTGACGATATCTGAACTCCAGGCTCCAGGTGTGACAGAACTATCAACACTCTGAGCTTCCTGCATGGCATGGGGCATGGCCGACAGCCTCGTCGAAGGAATGAGAAACATGGTCAAGTGCTTTTCTACACACTTCGTTCATGAGCATCTGCCATGCCAAGAGCAGTGGCTACAGGAGTAGTGCTCAAGTCCCAGAGCAACAGGCAAACACAAAGCATATGCTCCTATTCTCCACATGTGCAATTGCATTTCCCGGTGCTGTTTCATAGTTGCAAGTACACCGTTTGATGCTGCTGCCCCTTGACAGATACAATACTCTGCCCTCGAAATCCCTGACTGTCCCACCTGCGTTGCCTCTGCTAAGCGCTCGTGGGTCCAGCCCTGCAGCAGGCATCAACACTGACTCGGAGATGCAACCAGAAAAACAGAATCCATGTACATGCATGTCTGGCACGAGAGTGGGTTGCTTCGCCGCAAAGAAGTGGCAGCCATCCCTTTCGTTGTTGTGGATGCTCGCCTTTGCCTTTCGCCCTGCCCCAATCCATTGAGTGGTTTGACCTTGCTGCGCTCTGCCTCACGGGTGAAAAGCAGCAGCTCGTCACAGGTGTCACCGGGCTGGAGGCAGGCGCGCGCCTCGGAGTTCCGAACTGTGGAATGTTCTCTGGAAGCGGTCGAGTTTCCCTCCAAAACTTGAGCGATTGGTACTTTTAGGCTAACAGGAATGGACTACCGCTCGCAAGTCGCTTGGGAAAGCAAACTCCTACTTTTACATGTAATATCTTTTTTACTCAATGCCAGCAAAACTGGGCTGCTCAGGTACCGGCTTTGCTTGCCCAATGCTTCATGCCCTCGAACACATCAGCACCTGTCAGGTCAGCCGGCAATCTTGAGGCATGCGAAACCACGATTGCGCGGACTGCAACTGTTTCATATTCCTCGTTGCATACGGTTATGAACCTTGATGCTTCTGCTTTGCACGTCGATGCGTGGATGATGCAGGCATCACCATGGGGATGCCTCACCGGCTTTTATTGACCCGCGTCAGATGGTCTCTGACAGAGTGAGACAGATTCAGTCCATGGATGTAATGTAATTGCGGCATAATTCATCCACATGTCGGCAAAAAGCCAAGCCCCGCCGGAATGTCCATCGCGCGCATTCACTTTTCGGGAACTTTGCCTCCGAATCACATCACTTTACGGTTAACTTCATTGGAATTCGAGCTCCTTCTAGCACTACTGGGCGCCATTCTTCACCTTCGAGTTTCTCTGCCTCCTTGCGCCGAAACTCCCAGCTCGCACCGCCTCTAGCAGGCCCGTTGCAAAGCCGACTGATCTTCTCGCGGCTGAGACCGGTGTGCAAACTGGCTTCTCGGATACTTTCGAAATCGAGCCAAGGCCCATCAGGCACCAGCATGCGTGCCTGCACTAGCTTCGGGCAGCCTCTGCTTGCGCGTCCTTGGCTGTATGAGTGCTTCACGTTCTGCGACCTGGTGACGTACTCCAAGTTCTGCAAGTGGTTGTTTGCGCGGTCGGAGTCGATGTGGTTGACCTCGAGCTCGGGTAACCAGGGCTGACCCAGAAAGGCTGCAGCCACCAATCGGTGCACGTAGTGTTTTCGTCCTCCTTTGGCCACGACACAGTACCCATGGTGATTCCAGCTTCCGCGAGTAACATAGCTGTGCCGCCATGACTTCGACCAAACCCTTCCGTGGTTGCTGACCTTGAGATCAGGGATCTCGCATGTGCTGCCTGGAATTACCGCCGGCTTCCAATCTTCGTACACCTGCACATCTGGCTCCAGATTTGCATGCCGCATCTCATAGCGAATTCCACGTCCAAAAGCGTGCCCCTGCTTTCCCAAGCAGCAAGAAGAAATGCTGTTGTTTGATACACCCAATTTCCATGCGGCTTCTGCTTGTGTCAAGCACAGCGACCACTCGCTGTCTCCGAGACACCGCCATTCAACTGCTTTGCCCTGTTTTGTTTCAGGCCTCTTGCGGTCCAAATTGTGGCTATACGAATGACGGATGTTTTCCGTATGAGACACGTACTCCAAGTTAGCAACGTGATTGTTGCTGCAATCTCTGTCGATATGGTTCACCAGCCATCTTTCTGCAGTGGCAGGACCAATAAAGGTCGCTGCCACTAGCCTGTGCACGTAATAGCGCCTTTTCTCGATTGTAACACATCTGTAAGCGCCTGCTGGCGACCCATGGCCGACATTGCCCGTGGAGGTTTGCACACGGCCGTGTGAGCTCACGAGCCAAGCACTCACGCTCCAGCGTGCTTGCGTTGACCGAAGTCTTCCAAGTTCAATCAGATAGCTGCGCCCACAAACTGTTGGAGAGAAGTGAATCGCTCCAAGTAAGCTCATGACGGATACCCTGGCGGCCACCCGCCGAGGCTGCGGCGCCGCAACACGAGGTTTGGAGACTTGGGACTGTATGTAGCCTTGCGCCTGATTCGTTGTCGGGCGGAGTTTCGTCTCTCCGGTGCGGTTCATGTGGCTCTTTTCGATTGCCTGCTTGAACCAATCGATTCAACCACTGCAACATGCTGTTGTCACAGATGCTTGCGGGTGCCACAGCCAAGAAACCCGACGAACCTTGCTGAAGCACATTAAAGCACCTTGCGATTCACGCCCTGTATGTGCTGTTTACAGCTGCCCGAGGCCTACGGCCCATGTCAGCGTGCCGCGCCCGGGGCCACCGAGTAGCGCCCTCAGCCTGAACAACATCAAGCAATCTCTTTGACCACACCTGAGTTCCGGCTCAGACACTTTCCAGCTCGGTTTTGCTACCTTGTACTGCACCTCCTGAGTCTCGCACAGTTCACAGGTCCTACCAGAACTGCAATGTCAGACGAAGCTTAGGCCCGCACACTCGGAAAAGTTCTACCTGGGGAGCTGTAGCATCCAGCCAAAGCGCATAGCAAAGACTACTTTGGCACAACTACCTGCCGCAGCTGCGACTGTCCTCCTTACAAAAGCTCGTTTTGTCTGATCCTCAGCCTTGCAAGGCCTCACTCCCCGGCCGGGCTTCCCCTTCCCTTGGCTCCCTGGGCCCCCGGGCCGAGGTCCCAAGCTCGGGCCCCAGGTCCCGGCGCAAGGAGCCGACGCCTCCGTCCACCCTAACCCGACAAGTAGGAATAGGTTCCTAGATTATAGTACCCTTATAGGTCCCTTATAGCAACCCTTATAGACCCCTTTACAGTAAAAGCCAGAAAGTTGGAATATGACTATCCGAAACCCTTTATGGTAAATTAGAGGGTATCCTACCCTGAAACCATATTCCAACTTTCTGGAGTTACCTTTAAGGGCTAGGCCTAAGCTTTTTTAGAGAGTCCCGGGGTTGACTTTGGCTGGGTTGAGGCTCGAAGGGAGTCTAGGGGTCTCGGACTGCTCGCTCTTGGGGCATTTCGGGTTCAAGCACGTGTTTCTGGCTTGGGTTGTCGGGTGTGTGGGTCAGGGCCGAGCTTCGAGTTGTTGTTGCGGGATCCCAGCACGTCAAAAAGCATCCTTTTGTTCACACGGGACAGCCGTTCCACAAAATTGGTGCGCAGACCCGAAGGGCCCTCGTTCTCGCAGCCGCCTGACATTCTAGAGCTGTTGGCCCTGACGAGGACCCTAAGGGTTCACGAGCCTGCTCGCCCACAAAGTGGCGATTCCTCCGTGAGCAGCTCACACATCTCGATGCGCGCCTTCCAAGCAAAGCCCACTTGCCGCAGCTGTATGAAATCACAACCAGCACACTCAGAGATCGCGACCTTTGGGTATTTAGGTCAACACACAGCACTCACTACACTGAAAGGGGGCATCCGAAAGCAAGTCTCCCTAAGCGGCATCTGCGGCAGTCACCTCCATCGTCTCGTTCTGCCAGCCTTGGCTTCATCGGAGCCAGTGCATTCGCTCAGGAATTGACTAGTGCAAGTCTCAGCGGACGGGGCGGTAGCAAAAGCCACCACATCTACATCATTAACTATAGACACGTACATACATGCATACAAACGTACATACTTACTTGCTTACGGACACTAAAGATTATACGGATTGGCAACTTTTCGGTATTGAGGCATCATGCGATCGGGATCCGGTGGTACTTTGCCGGGCCATCGCATGAGAACCAGGTGGGCATCTGCACAAGTTGCCTCCGACACCATCACACTTCGAGGGTCGACCGCAGTGGGGCAAAGCCGAAACCGCGTGACCCTAAAGAGACTGCAAGTGCATGAGCACTAGCATCTGCAAGATTGGTGGTGCTTTCTACGTACTCAAAGTCGCCCGAGCGCGCTCCAGCACAGCTGGGCAAATCTGTCGCCACTCCTCTCCTGGAAGCGATTGCTCCATGATGAACCGAAAGTCCCAGTCTCGGCACGGCCTAGCCCGGCCCTTGCAGATTTTTGATATGGTGTGTGGGGAAACGGCCGCGTGCAAAGCGACTGCACCAATGGACGGGAAGTCTTGCCATGGACCGTCGCAACTCAGCCTACGAGCCTGCACTGGTTTGCCGTTTGTAATCTTGCGGGGTTGCCCTACCTTCTGTATATACGAATGCTTCATATTCTCTGAATGCGTCACGTACTCCAAGTTGTCCACGCAGTTGTTGCCGCCATCGCCGTCTTTGTGATTTACCTCAAGTCTTCCGGCATCAGGTTTGCCAAGGAACGTGCGCGAAACTATGCGGTGCACGAAAAAGACTTCGTCTCCCGTTCTAACTCTGTAGTACCCGGCACCGTGGAGAGATCCAAGCCAAGAACATCCTCGCCGGGAACTCCATAGCCGTCCACGGTTGCTCACCATCAAACCCGGCAGGATACTCCCCGTGCTTGGATGCTTGGCAGCCCGCCACTCTTCCTCCAAGTCAGAAGCAGGCGGATGATGAGTTTTCAGTTCTGCCAACTTGACTTCATAGAGTGCACTGCGACCATTTCCAACGATGTGATGAGTTGAGCCTCTGCACCAGCGAGATATGGATTGTGGCGACACACCTATCAGTCTCGACAGCTGCTGCTGCGATGCACATGTAGACCAGGATTGCTGCCCCAAAACGCGCCACATGACTGGCTTTCCTCTCCTCCTTGTCCGATTGGCTTGCCAGGAATGCTGCATGTTTTGAGCAGGTGATGCATACTGCAAGTTGCCCACATGGTTATTGGAAGGATCAAGATCTCTGTGGTTTACCTGCCACTGCCCTGGCAGCGGAGGAGGTAAGAATTCAGCGGCAACCAGCCGATGCACATAATAGCAACGTCCTTCAATGGCCACTCGCCGGTATCCAGAGCGTAAAGAGGAACCATAGCTCACCCGACCGGTCGTAGACCTTACCCTGCCACAAGAACTCACCTGCCATGATTGTTCAGCTGCTCGTGTGTCTGCCAGCTTTGCCACGTAGCGCTGGGCGTAAGTAAACCATGGATGGCCACCTGTGCTTCGCCCAGTCCCAGCATGGATGTTCGCCAACATGGAGTGACTACTACGACAAGCCAGCGGATGTTGGCTGGGGACGGCGTGTAGCTTCAGGATGCACAAGAGTCACAAGAGCCTCCCATACAGTACCTGGGTGCCCACCTGAAAACGACGGCCAGTAGACTGAAACTGCCGCCGTTTAGTTACTGGAGGTGGCTTTCTTAAGTTACAAGAGTCTTGGATAAACCTTATAGCAGGCTTCGCAGTCTCATCAGAATAAGGAGCATAGCCATGCAAGAGAGCCATCATCACCATGGTTAACAGAGGAGTCGTCATCGCCACATCGTCTTTAAAATCATGCTGTGATCACACGGGCCGGTAGCCTTCGGCCTTCGGCTGCAGAAGTCCTAAAAGAACAGCGATCATGCAGCGCTTCGTGCCGTCTCAGACGCGTTCTTTGCCGGGGCGGGCCGGCTCGGGATCCAACCAAAGTGCTGTGACCTGGCAGCTGGTAGTCGGCAGAGGTGGTATTACAAAACTGTTCTGCTAAGCACGAGGCCAGTGATTTATTAGAGCCTGGCTTCTGGGTTTCAATGCCGGCAAATGCTGAAGAATCTATAAAATGCTTGATCTGCCAACTAACTACCCCCGATTTGAGGAAAGGAAAATGACCAAACAGTTCACTCTGCCGGCATCCTAAACACCTAGAGCATGTTCCACTCTATTCCACCTGACCCACTAGAGTCACTGGAAAGGGAACCCCAATTGGGAGTACCACAGGCTTATCTACATGCATGCTCCAGCCTTGGGGTCCTTGCAGATGGTCGCTGCAATGTGCGCGTGGGCACACCTCAGCTCCCGTCGGAGCAACGGGGAGGACTCCGAAACCAACGATTATTGCGCAAAGGGGGCCTGGGTCAAAGTGCTCGGCACCAGGCGTCGGCGGAGAGAAGGCTCCATTGAAGAAGACCTGAGGGCTCCAAAACATCGGGATGATGCCACTGGTGTCACGTTTGCACTCTGACCCGTGACTCCCTCCCTAGCCCTGCATTCCGCAGCCAAGAGATGAAAAGGCGCTGGCCAGGTGTTGATCTCGGAGAGCTGCAGCGGCCGCCGGCATCTGCCACAGGGGCCGGATGGAGCTTCTGCTTCAGTTGTTCAGCCGAGGCAATCCTCCAAGAGCCCATCAAGCGCAAGAAATCTCAACCACACCCAGTCATGTAACCCTTGCCCAAACCTCAACTGCCCAGAGCTGGCACACATGCGGTGTCCAAGCACAGATACGCCACACCCAGACCCCGACATGTCAACCCATTCACACATCCCTTCGCGTTTCCTTTCCTGAGCTGGAAGCTGAGACTTCACACTTAGCATCTGGTTTATGCCCTGCCTCGCGGGCCCAGGCGGCCACCGAGGCCACATTCGAGAGCCGGCCGCGGGTGGCGGCAATGGCCTCAAGCGGGCATTCATCACAAGGGGCCCAGACTTTAGCTGAAGTTGAGATTAGGGGCAAGAACCTTTCCATTCACTCCCACTTTGCGCGGCTTCTTGTTCCGGGAGCAAGCTTTCAGGTCAGAGTTTCGGAGGCCCTTGTACGGAAGTCTCTTTTTCAAGGCCCGGCTCGAGGTCGAAGCTGTAGGATTCAACGGGTTTTTGGTGCGATTTGTCGGTGTTTGGGATGTCGGGCTTGGGGCTTTGTCTGAGGAGGCTCGAGTCTAGATTATTATACCTTGCAGGCTGAGTATATGATTTTTGAGGTATCGGGTACAAGGAGATGGTACGGTCCAGTGAAATTTAGAACGGGTCTTGGAGTCTTTGAGATTCCGGGACATGGAGCAATTCAGGATCGGGGTCAAAGCTCTACACAAACGAGACTCCCCACCACAAGTACGGGGCCATCGTCATAGCAGCAAATACATCACAAGCTGCCATGCAAAAGACCTGCGCACGTCGACCAATGCTCTTTCCAGCAACTTCTAGTAGGTCTAGGCTACGAGTACCAAGCCCCGCGCTTGCGCCACAGACATGGCGGGAGTTTCAGCGATCAGCGATGCCAATGCATCCTCGGGCTTTTTTTTTGCATGACCCTTTTCCCCGCGGCAGAATCCAAGACAAAAGTGGCTTTCCACTGGGTGCGGTGTTTAGGCTCCCAGGACCTGAGGACTTTCGGGCTTGCCTTTGCACAGAGTCCGAGGAAGAACCGTTCAAGGCGAGAGCGAGAGCGAGCGAAAAAGAAAAACCGACTGAACCCTACCTGAGCCATTCTCTCGAAAGCTCCTGACAGCTAAGAAACACATGGAAGAACTTCTGTTCTGGCAAGCTCATCCAGGCTTGTTCGAACTGCCGGACTTAAGCCCTGAAACTTCCAAGCCCCCAAAACCCTGTAGAATCAAACTGTAAGCCGGATTACCCTCCGGCCGGCCATGCGCGGAAGCCCTGTGCTGAGGCGCAAGCTGCACGGTCCTCAATCTCGCCGAAACACATCGCGGCGCAGGCGGACGACGAAAGGCAAGAGGATATAATAAATTGGGCATTTGTTTGTTCAGCCGAGGCGGTGACTTTGTGGGTGCTGTGTACCGGCATCGTCCGATTCTCTGGCTTGCTCAACTGCTGGCCCCGAGCTTCGGGTTCTTCACGTGCCCTGCGTGTTTTGAGGGCCGCCTACCTGACGCTTCGCAGACGTGGCGGGTCAAGGCGATCAGCAACCACACATGTAAGAGCTTCAGAGAATAGGTTAACCTGACCTCGACCCGAAGTTGTTAAGACATAAGAAGCCTTAACAAGGCACTGCAGATAGCTATGAAACCCCATTAAGCTCGGCATCAGCTGCGATCAATGAAAGGGCTATGACCTGCGCAAGGCCGCTACTACGGTGCGTTTGAACTCGTGACAGTACGACATACTCACGAGAAGTCATGACAACGGAGAGTTGCTTGCAGCACACAAGGCCTTGGGCTAGTTCTTGCTTTCAAAGACACCTCCTCACAGTTACAATTACGACATCCATCCTGGACTTGCTTCACCAAGGCTTTCCCATGAGCCTCCGGATTTCCACAGGCCGCACAAGCCATGCTCTCCGCAGTCTTACTGGACTCGGGCTCAAGCGTCTATGCATTGCTTAGGGCTTAGGATGACAGCTTGGTACCAGTAAACTGATGTTTTGTTCGGCAGGTCGCTGTCGAAGAAAGCTCTTGGACGGTATAAGCTAACTTTAATTGCGGGGTCATGTCAGGGAATGGCATCTCACCCGGCACGCAACCGAACTTGAGGTGTAGGCGCGTCGGCTATAATAAAGCTGAAGCATGGTCTCACCACGTGCCAAAACTTGAGTTTCGTATCCTGCATTGGTACTATAGTTACCAGTTGCCTGCAGAGGAGTTCTCCCTCTGAACCTGCCAACCTGTAGCCGATGGGGGCGCCCGGAGTGTGCATCAACTGAACTTGCCACTACCTCAAGCTTCCTGACACTGAGCAAATTCTGGAACATATCAAGATTCAAGATACTGTAATCAGGGCTTCTGCAATCACACTGAACCATGGTGGGACCACCAACACTGAAAGGGGCGGCTGAAAGGGGCGGCATACTGCATGGACAAGCCCTTGGAGTGTTGTTGTACGAGGTGACTACAGCAGCAGGCCAGCGACATGCGGCTTGAAGTTCAAGGGAGCACTCGGCATTGATCTTCTGCCCACAGCGGGCGATGACCGCCGCAATGTGCTGGCTATCCTGAGCCGCTTGCATACCTACCCTCTCTTTGTAGACAACACAAAGCTCTGTAGATTCTCTGTTCTACACCTACAGCCGCAAACTAAGCACAACCCCAATTCAATGTCCGCAAACAGACACCACGAAACACAGCCATGCAAGCTTGCCAAGTATGAGCCGCTGGCCATCGATGGCTCTACCTCAAAGCTTGGCCGGCCCGCAAACAAATGCGTTCGCCAAGGCGAACTGACTGATTCTGGCAATAATTTTGTTTTAGCTCTTCCGTCATGTCCTCTGCCCAGGTTCTAGACCGGATGTCCCACGAACAACAAGCCGGAGAATTCACCGGTGCAGTGCTGAGCCAATGACATTTAGAGTCAAGTCGTATGCGACGACCTCCTTTGTCTTTTCCACCAACGGCCTAGCTGAGCACATGAAGGAACTCTTCACAAGGCCGCAGAATCTATTGGAAAGGCAACCTTTGCACAAAGCCAAAGCAGTATGGACACAAGGTGCAGCTGACATGCGCAACCAACTCTACCGCAGTTAATGTCAACTGAGCTTGCGTGCTCGATCACCTTCGCTCGCTTGACGAGCTGGTCGCAGGACAAGCCTGCACGCGAGCAAGACTCTCGAGAAGCTTTATGCTCTCACGTACACCGCCATCCATCCGAACGAGCCTTGCAGGACATCCGAGTGATTCACCACCAGAAACTTGTGGCCATCTGCTGAAACCTCCGTGGCATCTCTCTCACCATATGTGTATGCGCACTGTGCAGCTGCTGTTTCAAGCCACTCGGCTCAAACCGAACACCACGCGTGACACCATGAGTCCCCTAAACAAAGCAAGCAAGCAGCTGGAATTACGGGGGCAGAAAGCGCCAAGCTCCAGGCGATCGTCTGCGAATGGATGTGGCCATTTGGGACTATCTGTCCTCGCAGCGCGGCTTGTCCAGTCAAGCGGCGAAGACCACCGGTAACGACCACACCTATACACCTACCTTTGTTGACCCTGGACATCAGAAAATTGCGACCACCTGGTAGTCTAAAGGCGGCTGGAACTGTGGTTGTATCGCTTGCCACATCAGGCACACGTGTTCTTGAGATTTGCTTCTTCTTACTTCCAGAAGCTGATGTCACAGGCTAGGCTATAGTTGCCAACACGAGTCCAAGCAAATGACGACCACTGGAACTGCTTTGCTTCATCGCTTTCCCTGCTTTCGTTGTTGCGATGCTGATGCTGGTGATGGGGGGCGGGGGGGGCACCACCATCACAGGTGCCATCACAACACATTACCGACCCATTCACATTACAGATACTGTGCCTACCGTGGGTTTGATGATGGGATAAGGTTGGACCTTGGCCGGGCCAATGGACCGCATCATCATGACTATCAGCAGAAGTAGCAACAGCAGCCGGTAGAAAGAGGCGTGTCCGCATTGACGGAGTGCTTATTAGCTATGATTCCAACCGCACCAGAATCTGTTCACACACGCTGTCCAACACTGTAATACTAAGTTACTTCGCTGTCATCTTGATGTGCTCAAGTTGTCTTTAAGGCTTTAAGGGCTTTATGGGACGACGCTAGCCGCATTGCGACATGCACGGTCGTAATAACAACGTCCTGGAGTGGCCGGTGGGAACCTGAAGCAAAACGTGGACACCTCGGCTCGGACCCGCAACAGTGCGCTCAGCTTGAGTTGAAACCTCTTGTTGAGTAGTTGAGAGGTGGTTGTCAGCGCTAGAACCAGCACATGGACTTCGAAGCTTCTCCCCGTCGGGCCCCGGAACACTCATCCAGAGTCGTCCGGGGCTCAAGGCTCTGCTCCTCAAGTTTCAGTTTACGGTTCTGGAGTTGTAACTGTAGGGTCGACGACACTCTGCACTAAAGGACTGGGCTCTCCGACCAACTGATAATCTTCACCATCGGCGATGCCCATGACCATCTTCGCCTGAAGTGCGTCTTCGGAGAGGTGACAGGAAGCGACTCAAGGTGTCGGGCTGTGTCCAAGGCTTCCGTTGAGAGTATTGGCAAAATCTCGTGCACAAGGAGTGGATGAGTGACAACTGGCTAAGCCATCGTGGAATTCGGCCCGGTTGAGAATGAAGGTCATGTCACAGGCAATGGCTGCACTATTTGGGACCGTGTCCAGAACATCCATGCACAGGCTCTAACATCTACATAAAGTAAGGTTTAGTCGAACATTCGTAGTCTTGCCAGGTTTTGGAAACAAAGAGAGCCCCAAAGCCTGCCCGGCGACCCCAAACCACGATGCATCCTGTGCCCCACACCAGGGCACCATGGCCCCACAGGCCAAGCAGCAGAAGGCCTGGAAAAGGAACCCAGGGTTGGAAGGATCTTCTTGAGCTGAAAACGCTAAACAATCAGGCCTGCTTCTGCCTCAAGTTTTGTTTTTTGCACATTCGTCCATTCTGGCGTCTACCGCGGATCGGTCGCTGCTTTCGGGATGGAGGTTTGACGATTTATGGCGCAGTGTCTCTTGACACTTTGGGGGCTTTTGTTGCTCGGCCTTGGACATGGATGTTTGAGGCCTGCACACGACCCGAAGGAAGCCAACAAGAAGAAACTGGCTGTACACAATGACGCGTGCCCTTCCCAACACGTGGAGAGAAACAACCAAACCTAGAGAGACTTCGCAGCAATGTGAGTTCAGCATGGGGTCCATTGCGAGAACAACGGACATGTTACTTCCGGGCTGCCCGACTGCATCGTCGAAAGCGAGCTACCGCCATGGCACAGGCATGTCCTCCGCGCCAGGCGCTCGGATCTCGCTTCGGGAGCCCTCGTGGCTCAAACTTTGAAGTATGGAGCTTGCAGGTGCAGGACTCGGTAGCCATGGTGAAGCTACTCCGCTGCTTGTGCTTTTGGTATGGTAGGTGCTGCAAGAAACCGTGGGCTCAAAATTGAAATGTGTAGAAGGGATGGCTTGCAGCCTCAAGTGTCTACGGAGACCCTGGGACAACCACGGTATTGACTCGAACACGCTCCGGAACCCTCAACATCCCTTCGACACCATACTGCGCCGAAGCCATGGAGCCTGTGAGAATGCTGCGGGGCACGGCAAATCAACATTCCGTCGCGGTCATGATTTCAGGGTTTAGGGTGCCATGGCAGCTTTCTTGAATCTGTAATGGTTCGTTGTATGGCAAGTGGCCACAGGAATCTTTGGGGCAAAGGAGTTCGATGAGGTGTCTGGGGCTGGAATGAAGTAGTTGTGGATTCGGGTCTGCAGGATTTGGGGGTGTATAATGGCACTATACGGCTGCATTATCGAACATTTCGAGCTTCAAGGTTGCTGCAACAAGTGCCAACAGTTCGAACCGACGTCAGGGTAGCAACCTTTCATGCGCCTTGTCAACATTAAGCACAATCCTGTCGACCTCATTCAGCCTTTTAAGCCTCAGGCCACACTTCTGATATAAGGGGTTTTAATACTTGAAATAAGGTTTTGGATGGGGACGTACTCAAATTGGGCTTCTGATGCTCACGCGGAGACAACTGCAGTATTCTCAACCACGCAACACAAGCGTCACGAGATACAGAAGTGTCCCATTGACAGCAGGTCAACCCCTTGCCCAAACAGTCCGAAAGGCCTGTGAGACTTCAATTTCTGGAGAAGGCTGTCTCTATCTCTCCTACCCCACCGCTTCGTTGAATTGCTGCACTGAGCATTCCCAGGAAAGTTTTCATGCATCACAGGTCTTTGGGTATGATATACTAGAACTTTGTTCAGGAGCCCTAACGACTAGCATCGGAAATATGCAAGCTTCTTTAGTAACTTGATAGTGTCTGTGCCATATTATGTAAAGTGGACTTGGGGGCTGAACACGTTCTGGGCTTTTCGGATTCCGTGCCAACCCGTAGAGGCGAACTGTAGCCATTGCGGAACGGTTTTTCCAACTGTCTCTCACCCGTGTCGCCCGTTAAATGAAGGGATCGCGGGCAGCGGACTCTCCGCGCGCCGCGCTGTGGAACACCCCGTGGTGGGGTCTTTGTGCTCTCGATCTACTGGACCGTCCGGTGGGGAGCGGGCTACTTTCAGGGAAACTATCCCCAGATCGGATCCTCAACCCGATGCCGCCTCTTAACCCCTCCACGACTCTCAACCCTGGGCCTTATAAACAACCCCATGAGCCCTATACACCCCATAAGCCCGTAAGCCCCATAAGCTCTATAAGCCCTATAAGGCGTGTTAGCCCCATAAACCCCATAAACCCTATACTACGCCCGAAAAGCCTGAACCCTACAGCGATGCAGCTGCGACCTTCACTGGGTCACGCGGAGACACCTCACCGGAGCTCCGGACCTGCAGCGCTAAGTCTTCAAAAGGGTCATGGGGGGATGACTCCTTTGAAGACAACACAGGGAATCGGAACTAGACCAAACTTCTTGGCTCTGACAACTCTCTGCCTGCCTAGCTCGTCGTGCAACTCGATTGGATTATGAGCTGCTTAAAGGTTCAAACCAACACACAACGGTTGAAGCCTCGTCTTAAATTCAGACCCTCACACACAACACCCCAACTGAACCTTTAGCCCTTCAGACCCATCGAGAAACAAAAATTGCATCAAAGCCATCCACACTGATGCTGACCCTTCCGTCTTCGAAGAAAGCCCCCTCCGACATGTTGGACCGACAAATCCTGTACTCAATCTTGCTGCTGCTACGATGCTTATGGGATTTATGGGTGTTGCTAGTTCAAGAACCATGCCTGAACGAAGCCTTTCTGGAGTCCTGGAGCCTCCGAGACTCCATGCCCAGCCGCCTCCCGGCTGCTAGAGGTCGGGATGCTTTGGGCCAGCCTGCGAAGCGAACTCCGCACCCGGACTTCTCTGCTGAGGAAGTCCAGAAAGGGGGCTCGGGATGCTACGAGTAGCATCACTGTGCATCCTGCCTGCATCACTTCCGGACGAGGGCTGCCCAGGCGTGACAAAGTGAAACAGCGAACGGGTGAACACCACCCGGCCATGCACTTTCGACGAGAAGTTGGAACGAAACTCCATACCTAAACTCCGAACTGAATGAAAAAACCTGCTCTAACGTCGGGTTCTTGTATGTGCCAGGAGTGAGCTTCAACTTTTGCCTTCAACGACGCGCAGAACACGCAAACCCTGAACCCTAAAGTACTAAACCCTTTCATAAGCCTTCCACCGTCACACCCAACCCCCAACCCTTTTCCAAAACCCAAAGCGAACTCCCCCGAGGCTCCCCCACTCCGGCCTCGAGCGACCTCTGACCTACCGTGGGCAGGCCGACCACGACCTTGGGGCTTCCTTCTTGGACTACCAAGCAAAGATCTTGAAATCTGAGAGTTTCGGCATGCTCGGACAATCCCAGGCGAACACTGTGATTGCTTCAGATTTACGCTCTCGCAACTCGGACATGCCTAAGAAGTTCGGTTTCAAATCGAGAACTGGGGGGTTGCTCAGTGATCTCTTAGACTAAGGCTAAGGCTTGGTAGGGACGAGGGACTATCACATTGAACTTGTCGGATAAGGTTCGGATGGGTCCGACAAGCTCGAAGTGGCAAAGAATTCAGTGATGAACCCAACGGCTGACTTCAAGCATGACCTTTCGGGCTTCATGACGTCTATGCTCGGCTCCTTGGGCATGTGTGGTCTTGAAAGCTTCATCATCGGGTCGCTGGGCCTTATACGGATCCTGAACATGGCATATAGTCTCCAATCAAGTGTTTCGTACTCCAGTGGAAGCCTCTTTCAAGCCCAAGCCTGTAGCCCCATCCCACAAGCGCGTCCTGAATGGCGTGTGCTGGGGTCGGCGCCTTGCCGCTGCTGCTCTGGCCTTGCACTGACTTGATCTTGAAGTACTCGCTCATCTGCACTCCATTCAACCTGAGCTACTCAGAGGCTTGCAGGGCCGGAATCACTTGGTGTCGATTTCCTGAGCTCCACGCTCCAACTTTTTCTGGAGCTCGGAGTACTTCTGCGCCTCCAATATCGAAAGGTTCGGCGAAGCAGTGCTGATTCCCATTGTCTG